CTGCTTGTCATGAGGGGTTGAGCTTCACATCAAGCAAAAGTAATCATGTCTAGCGTTCTTCGATTTCAGAGCCGACGAGTGGTGGCGAGGCAGTTGACCTGGGGGAGCAGCTTCACAGCGCGAGCGCCGCGATCATTCAGCACATCAAAGACTGTCTTTTCTAGCCGAGGGCATTCTAAGCTCTTTGACGATGCCGATGCTGCCGTGGCAGACATTAAGAGCGGATCAACAGTTCTCAGCGCAGGATTTGGTCTTTGTGGTGTCGCAGGTATGTCTCTTGATCCTCTGCTGGAATGCGCTGACAGGTTAGATACAATTATTGGTGCCCTAAACCGAAGAGGTCGCGAATCGCTTCATTCTCTCACAGCCGTGTCAAACAATGCTGGACAAGAAGGCAAGGGTGGCTTGGCAACTCTCACCAGCGCCGGTCAAGTCGATCGATTAATCCTCTCATACCTCGGAAACAATAAAGTGTTGGAAAAGAAGTACCTGACTGGGGAATTGGCTATTGAGCTATGCCCACAGGGTACTCTGGCAGAGCGCATTCGAGCCGGAGGTGCCGGTATTCCCGCATTCTTCACACCAACCGCAGCTCGTACGTTTCTCGTCGATTGAGAAGGACAAGTCTAACTTGGACAGATACTCTTGTGCAAGATGGAGAGATCCCCGTGCGATTGGACAAGTCGGGCGCCGTTGTCGAAAAGGGACGAAAGAGGGAGACGCGCGAGTTCAATGGACGGACATTCCTCATGGAGACTGCTCTTACAGGCGATGTCGCCATTCTAAGAGCTTGGAAGGTGGACAAGGAGGGAAACTGTGTCTTTAGGTGAGTTGAATGGCCTTCGTCGCATTCATTAGCTAACAGGTCAGATACGCTACCAAGGCTTTCGGACCCATCATGGCCAAGGCCGCCAAGGTCACCATCGTCGAGGCAGAGAACATTGTCGAGACTGGAGAGATTAACCCCAACGAGGTTGACCTTCCCGGTATCTTTGTCGATCGAATCGTCCCCTCCACAGCAGAGAAGAACATCGAGGTGCTCAAGACGAGAGAGGAGGGAGAGGATGGCTCACCACCAAAGGCAACCAGCGAAGCTCAAGAGCGACGAAACAGAATCGCCAGACGAGCCGCCAAGGAGCTGAAGCCAGGATACTATGTGAACCTTGGAGTTGGAATTCCGACGCTGGCCGTCTCTTTCCTGCCTGCGGATAGCACGGTTCGACTTCAGTCTGAGAACGGTCTTCTTGGAATGGGTCCTTATCCCACCAAGGACGAGGTTGACCCGTGAGTAACGTCTTTCGTTGTGAGAACCTCGCTAACAGATTAGTGATATCGTCAATGCTGGAAAGGAGACTGTGACACTTCTTCCTGGCGCATCATGCTTTGACTCTTCCGAGTCTTTCGGCATGATCCGTGGTGGACACGTTGATGTGTCAATTCTCGGTGTAAGTGACCCGACTCTGCGATGGCTTCACCTGCTGACAATACTAGGCCCTTCAAGTTAGCTCCGTCGGTGACTTGGCAAACTACATGATCCCTGGAAAGGTCTTCAAGGGCATGGGAGGCGCCATGGACCTTGTCGCCAACCCCGACAACACCAAGATTGTCGTTGCTACCGAGCACTGCGCCAAGGATGGCTCATCCAAGATTGTGCAGCAGTGCAGCTTGCCATTGACAGGTGCACGTGTCGTGAGCACCATCATCACCGACCTTGTAAGTAGACCCCTCTCATATGACATCCAATCTAACAGGCATAGTGTGTGTTCCAGGTGGATAGAGTCCAGGGCACTCTGACCCTCACGGAGCTTGCTCCGGGTGTGACGGTAGACGAAGTAAGGGCCAAGACGGACGCGGACTTTGCGGAAGCGGATGATTTGAAGACAATGGAGTAGATACCAAGAACTTTTGCATATTACAAGAACTTTTGCTAGCATGATTCGCCATCATGTCACTTCTGGGCACCTCCTCGTTCAAGCTACATCTCCGCTGTCAATTGATGATGAAATAGAGTTGCAAGGTTTCATTTAAGCTACCCCGATCGACAGGGCGCGGGCAGCCGTTAGCATACGCAATTGCGGATGGCGATCACGAATGGACATCCCTGTAGAGGAGAATACGGCATCAGACACCAGAGCGGATGGGGAAGGTCAGTCGGTGTCGCAATGCTCGGCGGGGATACGAGGGGCAAGGATCGCCAGACGCATGAGGGCATCGACGGCAAAAGTTCCATGTGCTTATGAGGGCTCAGTCGTTGATCGACATGATGCCATTGATTGGAGAGTATATGTAGATCCGAATCGCTCACTGTAGCATCTCATCAAGCCATTCGTTCTCGTCGCCATGAGGTGCTCTGTTGTTTCGTTGCTTTCCCTCGCTCTTGGAGCTCTCGCAGCTCCAAAGTCAGAGCTCAAGTCCTACGATGGATACAAGGTCTTTCGTGTGAACACTCACGGCAGCCAGGCCGTCGAGGAGAAGCTCGCTGCTGTCACTCATGACGAGTGGGAGCACGGCTTCCAGCACATTGACGTTGTCATTGCCCCCGATGACCTCGACAAGTTTGAAGGCCTTGGTTTCGAGTACCGCGTCTTGCACGAGGATCTCGGAGCTTCGATCTCTGCCGAGTCACCTTCTCCCAAGAAGTGGAAGCGTCAGGCTGATGACGATACTTGGTTTGACGAGTACCATAACTACGAGGACCACATCGACTACTTTAGAGATTTGCAGAAATTGTTCCCTAACAATTCCGAGCTGATCTCTTCCGGAAAGTCGTATCAGAAGAGAAACATCTATGGACTTCATCTCTGGGGTAATGATGGACCTGGAAAGCCTGCTGTGTTGTACCATGGAACTGTCCACGCCCGAGAATGGATCTCTGCTCCTGTGAGTTGCCCTGGTGTGTACAAAGGCTTTGCTGACCATTTAGACTGTCGAATACATTACTCTTCAGCTCGTCAATGGCTACAAGTCCGAGGATAAGCAGGTCAAGTCGTTCCTCGACAAGTACGACTTTTACATCTTCCCCGTCGTCAACCCCGATGGTAAGTCTTGCTCAGCCACTCATTGACCCATGCTAACTGTTCAGGCTTCGTCTACACCCAATCCGCAAACCGTCTCTGGCGAAAGAACCGTCAACCTCCTCCCGCTTCTTCCCCCAACCAGACCTGCATCGGTCGCGACATCAACCGCAACTGGGAGTTTGGATGGGACTCGAACAAGCTCGGCGCCTCGACCAACCCATGCTCCGAGGTGTACAAGGGCGAGAAGCCCTCCGATAGTCCCGAGAACCAGGGTCTTGACAAGCTTGTCCGACAGCTCCGAGACGGCGCTGGAATTAAGCTCTACATTGATTGGCACTCTTATGGACAGTACATCCTTTCGCCTTTTGGATACAAGGAGACTCTTTACGCCCCAGAGCTTGGCAAGTGGACCAAGGCTGCTGCTCTTGTTAGTGAGGCCATCCGCGACAGCTCCGATGATCGCACCACTTTTGTCTTTGGACCCAGCGGTGCCGTTCTGTACACCACGACTGGTGCTGCCCCCGACCACGTCTACAGTGTTGGAGGCGCCGAGTTCTCTTACACCATTGAGCTTCGAGACATTGGCGACTATGGCTTTGTCCTTCCTCCCGCGCAGATCAAGCCTAATGTCAAGGAGCAGTGGGAGGGTCAGAAGGTGCTGCTTTCGCTGTTGGATGAGGAGTTCTTTGATGGTGAGGGCGCTGCTCTCTACCAGGGACAGAACTAATATTCTTGTATCTACTTTGATGTATATGACTTCACCAATACAAACAGCGAAAAATACTTCAATCGCTATGCTTTATTCTTGATGCGCTAAATGGCTCTTCAACTCTATGATCTACTCTACAGCTTTGACTCTCTTCCTGGCGCAAAGCTGCTACCGCCAATGGCCTCCACAATCTTGTCGACTGTGTTAAGGATCCAGTGACCACCCTCGTCGCTTGTTAGGTATTGGACACCCTCCTCGGTCTCTCCGTCTATGTCGTTCTTGTATGTTCCATCTTCCAGGGCCTTTCTTAGACCGAAGACATGTGACAAGACCTGAGGTCCAACACCCGTTTGCGCTCTCAAGCATGAGATGCCCAACAGGGAAGTATGAACTCGGCCGATGCTCGCCAATGAGCCTCGCTCAGCGGGAGGAGGATCGGTAAACAGGGCAGCATAGTGACTGCTGAGAATATGCACAGGCAGATCAGGATGCGCCAGCGCAAGCTTCTCTAGTAGCTTATCCTCAAACGGCCTATACACAGAGTCCCAGAGACCTCTACCCCGCTTAAGTGTAGTCTCGAGGTTCTCGGGTGTCGGCTGTCGACTCGGTGTCGTGCTAAGCTTGGACGCTACGTCTTTGGGGAGCGATGCGTAGAACGAATTAAGGGAGTTGATGGTTCGGGGGATGCCGTTGAAGCCGATGCACTTGAGGCCGACTTCCCGGATGAACTCGGCATTCTGGACAGCCGAATCAGGTTGCTTGGAGGACGCGACGCGGTGGAGGACAGGGAGAGAGTCAGGAGAGTTGAGAGTGAATGTAGCAGCGGCCTAAACAGTTAGCGATTGCATTACTATGCTCAGAAGTGAGCTCATACCGAGACAGTGAGCCAGGACCGAATGCCGAGGTTCCTCACGGCAGCATCATTCGCGATGGACTCGTACAGCTCCTGAACCTGCTGCGGCGCAGGCCTAGGGCCAGGACGCGCAAAAGGCGCATTGATCAGAGCCTTGAGAGGAGCAGAGAGCTTGGACATTTCGGGCGATTTGTCTTGATGCGACATGACAGGCGATTCGCGAGGCAGACGACGTGGTTTTGTGGACAATGGAGGATTCGGCGGGAGCCAGAGTTGGGGCCGAGTGGACGGACCCCACATTCCGGGGGTCCGGGGTTTCGGGGGCAGATTTGAACTCCGAGGACGAGTCTGGGGTATACAAGAGGAGCAAGAGGTGAGGAGTCGTGTTATGTTACTGATTGTTTTGAGTGTATGATTCGATATGGCCTCTGACAAGAAACAGAGAGAGCCGTTCTGGCTGGGGTGAGTTGTCTGTGAGAGTGTGTGGACTTGAGCTGACTGTGATAGCGGTGCTGCTGCTTGCATGGCAGTGTGCTTCAGTAAGTATTGATATTAATATTGACGAAAGAAGCCGTGCTGATACAGAATAGCACATCCTTTGGATCAGACCAAATAGTCAGTCTTTGACGTAGCTATCCATCCCGTCCTCAACACTAACATTCACAGCCGCATGCAAGTCTTGAAATCAAAGACGTCCATGCTCAACGTTTTATACCGATTTGCAGCTCGAGATGGTGAGTTAAATACTCTACATAGCATATTCTCTGCTAACCATGTAGGAATCCCCTCTCTTTGGACTGGTCTGTCCGCCTCCATCCTTCGTCAAGGAACATACTCGACTGCCCGCTTCGGCTTCCACACTTACTTTTCAGACAAACTCCTCAACTACACTGGCGCAAAGAAGCTCTCAGTAACACAGAACATTGCTTGCGCAGGCGTAGCTGGTGGTGTTGCTGGTCTCGTTGGTAACCCCGCCGAGGTCATTCTTGTGCGGATGTGTGCGGATGGAGCCAAGGCGCCAGCCCAGCAATTTCAGTATTCCAACGCGATTGACGCTTTGGCGAGAGTTTACAGAGATGAGGGAATGGGTGCCTTCTGGAAGGGCCTCACGCCTAACATTGCGAGAAGCGTTTTGATGAGTGAGTGTCCACCTTGTCTTTGTGAATCATGCTAACCATGTACAGATGTCTCGCAGATAGCTACGTGAGTATCGTATTCGAGTACTCTTCCATGTATAAGCTAACTTTTTAGATACTCTTCCACCAAGCAATATCTGACAGGCCACCTTGGTTTCGGAGACGACACCAAGACCCATGCCATCTCATCCCTGATGGCTGGCACAATGGCCACAACACTCTGCGCCCCAGCAGACGTCTTGAAGAGCCGAATTCAATCAAGCGCTGGAAAAGAAGGTCTCCTCCAAGTCCTCCGCTCCGGTCTCCGAGAAGAAGGTGCCCTGTTCCTCATGAGAGGCTGGACGCCCGCATGGCTACGCCTAACGTACGTCTCCCCGTCTCCTTTTCAAACTTGTCTGACTGTTTAGGCCGCATACCGTTTTGACGTTTGTGTTTATGGAGAAGCTTCGATACCTTACATCATTTGGGAATAACTGGCTGGGTGCTGGAATTCGCTCAGCTGAACGGGAGACTCTGCGTTGATTTATTGCATGATGGCATTTGCATGATATTTGATACACTGCATGATAGCATATGATTAGATACATGATCATTGAACGGCACTCTTTCTGGACTCATCTTTGGTCTCATTTTTTTTTACTTGCGCAAGTGACAATCTAGAGATACCGGGGCAAACGTCTTTGTCGTAGCTTTGATGGACGAATGTAAGGCTCTGGGTGAGCTAAAGAGTGGTATTAAATAGCAAAGCAGGAGTACTGTTTAGACCGCTATTTGAGTTAGCTTTGTGATTGAAAATATGAAATGAGGAAGAAGAGCCGGTCGAATTCAACACTGGTTGCGATGCTGGTTCGTTGGCCGCACTGAAGCCATTCATTGATCGAAAGTTGCAAGATAGCATTGATATATTCCGCACGATAACGTAGCCTATTCCTATTGACCATGACAGCACTTCTCACAAAAGACCTCAGAATAAAAAAAACATTGGCCAACACAACGGCATTACCGAATGCCGTCCTATATACCCACTTCAGGCCAGTAAAGCCACTCGAAATTCGTCATGTCGTCCCACGAAAGTCCACCAAACGAAGGTTCAAAGTCGTTTCCAGGCTGATTCAGAGCCTGGACAATCTGATCGTCCGACATGGCAGAAAAGTGCATAGGTTCCGGCCATATAGTCTGCGGTTCTAGGAAACTGTTTGGCGTTGTGATGGGTGCGGTTTCGGTGACGGGCATAGACATGTTTCTGACTGGAGCACCCGTGATGCCATCTCCGGTTGCTGCTCGTCGAACAATCTGCTTGAGGTATTTGCCGTACATGACTGAGAGTCCATTTCGGTGTCTGGTAACCTTGCCTATTCTCTCAAGGACAGTGGCTGTTTCGTCGATGAGGTTTCGAACACTCGGTGCGAGAGCAGATCCACCGGTGGTGTATGAACTAAGAGTCAGGGCAAAGCAGGCTGCAAAGGAGATCATGATGGCCGTGTTGTTGGGCATCGACTGAAGCTGAGACTCTCCTTGGATTGCAGCACGCATGACGTTGAGGGCCGAAGAGAGACCGGCTGTGTGGAAGAAGCGGCGAACCTCCAACGGAGCAGTTGGATGATTGATGACGCCGCCGTAGATGGAGAGTCTAGTATGAGTGACTAGAATCTCAACGTATGGGGGGAGACGACGATCTGATGGTCAGCATGAGTCGGAGCGTAGTCTTCCGCTTGTTACCTACCTGGACCCTTTCCTATTGAAACTCCCCATTCCGTGTGCCACTGATCAAAGAATCGTTCGATCGCACCTTGGATGCTGCACATTGTTAGGTTTATCCTGAAAGATCTTGAGCAACTTACGATTGGGCAATCAATGAACCGTCGCTGGATGCCATTTGTGATCCATCGCATAGAGCGCGAACAGTCGCGAAGAGAGCGTCCTACACGGTCAGCATGGTTCAACTCGGAGTCGATAAACATACCAAATCTCTTCTCAAAACTGCCATAGAAACAAGATGTCCATCAAGAGGATCTGCATACTCGGATCGGTGCCAGTTATCGCAGTCCTTCAAAGATCGAGTCATGGGCACAGAAAAGGGTCGTCCACGGGCGAGAGACATTCTAACAATGTCAGTCAAGTTTCAGACAATGACAGAGCACTCACCCCCGTTCTAACACAAACAGAGATATCCAGGCCCGCTCTCGATTCCGGAGAAGAAGTCTTCCTCGTTCCGACCAAGGATCAATCTCAGGGAAGCCGTCCATGGCCAGAGCAGATCGAGGATCCATGCAATCACCTCTGGCTAGGCCAATTCCAGAACCAGATCCAACCATCTCTGGCGATACAAGACTCTTGTGTAGAGACAAATCCGTGGCTACAGTGTTGGCGATGGAAATGTATGTACACGTCTCGTCGTCTGTAGAGTGCTGGCCAGGAAACATCCACGGGATATTCACCATGAACGCGAGAACAATCTCAACGGATCTGTATCGATTCACCATGACTCTATGAGCCAGAGTCCTCGCGTGATTTGACAGTCGTTTTGAAAGAGCGGCAGCTGACGGTAGAAAGAGAGCCGATGCCGCCATGATGGACGTGTAGAGAAAAGCCGATCTCGAACGAGTGAATTCGACAGTGTAAAGCCTGGGATCAAGACCCCATCGAGTATGCGCAAGATTACGATGAAAGCTACAACGTCAGCTACAAACTTGACTCGTGCATGCATACTCACAAGTTGAACAGGTTATCAGCTTCATCTTCAGACACGAGACCCAGCGAGACAGGATCAACGTCTGGTCCAACATCCAGATGCACCTGCGCAGGAGCAAAGAATGCCTGAATCTCATCCTCGGTCTGGCCTTGGGTACTCGCAGTATGGGCTTGCTGTGGCGAATTACCATGCCTTGACTCTGGCGATGGCTGGATGTACGATGCCCTCGCGAGCAATTGAAGCGGATTCTCAGCATCGTCAATAGCAAGACTCTGCTCTGTCCGTTGGATGAAATCGGGCATGGTCACGGTATCTTGCTCCTCTTCTTCCCCCTCATCCGAGTACGCGTCGTCATCCCCATTTCCACTGGTAGAACCATAATTCCCTCGCGTCGGCGGTGGCTCTGGTGTATTGACGCCGCTGAGCAGGTCCTGAAGATGCGACAGGATCCGATCATCGTCTGGACTCTTTTGTCCCGTTGAGCGCGCTCTCTTGACGGCTTGGTCAATCTGATACAGCGCCTTGTCAAGCCCAGTTCGTTTACTAGACACGGTCAGCACTACACACGCGACACACGAGGTCATTTACTTTTTAATGCCCTTTTGACGCCCCGGATGATACGCAGGCCGTACACACTCGCAGTCGAGCTGGACGCATCTCCTGCATCTCGCCTGGTGAGGCTTCCAGTCGCACTTGATCTTGGATCGGCGACACACAAGACACGCAGCCTGTCTCGGGCGTGGCGAATCGTCCCCATCTCCCTGCGGGGATGTCTGAGCCAGAGTCACGGAGCGCAGGTCAGCAGCAGCAGCAGCAGCAGCCATCTGCATGTGGTGGTTGCAAGATGTTTTTCGGAGGTTGATCTGAGCCCGAGGGGGGGCTAAAGCACGCGATTTGGGAGAGGAGCCTGTGGGAGATGAGGATGGGAAAAGAATGGGGAGGATGATGCGGAGAAGCCAAGTGACTAGGGGGTTCTGACTCGAGTCAGTTGAAGCTCGGCTTATCAGTTCTCGAGACATGATTGGTTGGAGGTCAACCTCGCCTCTTGGATACGGCCGAGATGGTGAGGGCCCTTGTTCCACGTTGAGTTTAAGGTTATAAGTCGGGTATTCTTTTTACAGCTTTATATCTTCAAACAAATTATCTTGATATCAAGTTGAAGAATGGATCCTTCATGTCGCCATCGTCCCTGCAAAGCACGAAAACGACGGACTGTTACCAAGAGGGGACACGTCCACTTGGACAATGTAACGTTCGGCGGGATTGCGACTTGCTAGCCCAATCAGGTAGAAAATGAGCATCAAAATCCACTCTTTTTGCGAACCGTTCCTCGGTGTGAATGGGGTGTGAAATCTTTGATATAATGAAAGATCCCCTGGCTTGACCGAGCACTTTTGCTCAGCTCTTCAAACTTTTCAAAATGTCGGCTTCAAACGCGGTTCTCGACAGCGGCAGCGATAGGGATCACAAGGACCCTTCGCTTGGTATCGAACAGAATGTGGCATCACCAGAGGAGCAGACGAAGCCCGTGTCGCGATTCACTCGATGGTATCGCAGTCCCCTATTCAACGTCATTATCGTCGGATTGATCTCATTCACCCAACCTGGAATTTGGAATGCCTTGAACAGTACGTTCATATCTTCACCTTCTTATCACAGAAAATACTGACTCTTCAGACACGGGCGCTGGTGGCCAGCAAGAGCCATACCTTGTCAATGGCGCCAACTCCCTTACCTTTGGCATCATGGTCTTTGGCTGCTCCCTGTTTGGAATCCTTGCCAACAAGATCGGTCTGAAGTGGGTTCTTATCATCGGTACACTGGGATACGCGCCTTACTCGGCAGCCCTCTACACAAACAACCGATATGGTGTTGAGTGGTTTGTTCTCTTTGGTGGTGCAACCTGTGGTATCGCCGCTTCTGCGCTGTGGGCTTCCGAGGGTGCTATTGCGCTTGGATATGCTGATGTCAAGGATCGTGGAAAGTTCAGTAAGTTACATGATGCTTCATACAGTTCATTGCTGACTTGAATAGCCGGCATCTGGTTGGGTCTGCGCGAACTTGGTCAGCTCATCGGCTCTTCCATCCAGCTCTCTCTCAACGTCAAGTCAGGAAAGCGAGGTCGTGTTGGATACACGACCTATCTGGTCCTCATCGCTCTTCAATGTCTCGGACTTCCCCTCGCCTTTCTCATCTCACCACCTGAAAAGGTCATCCGCCCAGACGGTTCCAGACTCCCCCACACCAAGACCAACAAGAGCGTCAAAGACCAAGCCAAGAAATGGGCTGCCCTCCTGAGGCGAAAGCAGTTCTATCTTCTCATTCCCATTCTTGTCGGTTTCAACTGGAACAGCACATATCTCGGTATCTACCTCGTCAACTACTTTTCCGTGCGATCCCGAGCTCTGGCTTCTCTGACCTCGGGTATTGCTGCTACTGCTGCCAACATTTTCTGGGGATGGTTCTTTGATCTCCAGGTCATTAGTCGACCTCGGCTTGCCAGAATCACATGGGTCTTTTTGGCTGTCTTCATGACTGCCTTGTTTGGTTGGCAGTTTGCTATGGAGTTGGAGTATCGCGGCGCCAACCCTCCTGTGACTCTGGATTGGGATCTCCCTGGATTTGGTCGTGGCTTTGCCGTTCAAGTTCTGCTTCGGTAAGTTGATCTTGACTTTGTATGAAATTGCCGCTAACTTTCACAGATTCATGAACGAATCCCACTACATGTTTGTCTACTGGATCCTGGGAACCTTCTTCGACGATGTCGAAACTCTCACTCTCGCCGTTGGTCTGGTCCGATCTTTCGAGTCTCTCGGATCCTGCTTGGCCTTTGGTGTTGGTGCTGCCAAGGTTGCTCCTCTCACCAACCTCATTGTGGCCTTTGTCATGTTCTGCATCTCACTCCCTTCTACCTCGTTTGCTGTTTTCCTCGTCCCTGACCGCCCGAGCGAGAATGCACTTGGCAAGGATGATGATTCTTCCGAATGATGCAAAACGATAGTTGAAGAGCCGAGAAAGATATCGGTAGATAATGAGGTTTAAAAGTCCAATTGCTCATTATATATTACGCCATGCCTGTTGATACCAACCCAAAATCAAACATGTTCCTCCTTTTTATACAGGTCTGCTCAAGTATACAACTTCCTCTGGTCCAGTGGTCTGATTGCTGCTTTGCGTTCTTGCTTTGTTATTCCTCTTACATCCTCCTGAGATACCACCGAGGGAACTGCTCTAACCGCGATGTATCCATTTGCATCATCAGGACGCACATCTGCCAGCTGTAGTCGAAGATCCCGAAGCATCCTTGCTCTGTCTGGACCGTCGAGGTTGGATCCACCAGGGGCAACAGGCACGTATGGGTTATCTCTCGTCATGGTGCTGGCGAATCCTAGAATATCGGGTCCGCGGATGAAGAACTGGAGGGCAAGTCCCAGGATGGCCAGAAGCTCCAGGAGCAAGGTCGTAGTAAGAAGGAGAGAAACCCAGACCCGGTTAGACTTGTAAACCCGGTGGGAGACGATCCTTTCTCCAATCGTCGAGTTCATGAATGGCTGAGCGCTGGGCTCGTCAAAAGACAAGACGTTGGTTTCAGGAAGTTCACCAAAGGAGACGTTGGTGTGAGTGAGAGGATTCAACGTAGCATCCCAGAAAGTGTTGAAAGCTGTGGTGAACCGTCTCGAGAACTCGTCAGGGAAGACATCCAGGTCATTACCAGCCCATCTTCTAGGCTTCTGACCTGCAAACGGGTGCAACTCGCCCATGATGTAGTTCTCTGTCGGGGATGCCGCACCGATGAGGACTTCTCCGGATGACGTGGGCCAGAACTTGAGAACCTGCTGGACAGCATTGGCACTGTCTACTGCATTGTTGTTCCGAAACAGGATCGATGGAGGACGGTTAGAGGACGTATGTCCATTGACACGACGTTGACGGAACGCGGAGCAGCTAGTCGCCGAGGGGCTTGGGCCACAGCGGAGCTCCGTCTCTACCGTAACGGTCTGCATGGTGCAGTTGATGATGGCCCAGATTGGGTTTCCAGAATCCTCGTTGGACAGGCCATAGCTGATGTATGACAGAGAGAGGGCTGACGGATCGGTGCTGCTACTCGAATTCTTTCCTCCCTCGACCCAGACGGTGGTACCAAAGTGTTGAGTTGGATATTCGGCATGCGCGAGTGTATCAACTTTGATATTCCTGGTATGAGCGCACTCAAAGTCGGCGTAGGACGTCTGAGCGGTAAAGTTGAATCTTGTCTCGCCACTGACGCCCGAAAGACCCTGGACCTTGATACCCAGGAGAGAAATATAGGAGTTGGCGTCGGCGCTCAGAGCATCCTCGTTTACCTCGTACCACTCTCCTTGCTTCTTGCTCTTTGACCACTGAGGAATCTTGGGCAAGTTCCAAAGATCCCTAGAAGACCTCTTTTGCTCCTGAGAGGAGAGAAGAGTGGCCGAGTACAAAGCAGTGATACTCGCACTGTTGTCCTCTTGTGTCAACGAGGACGGGTAGTATGAAACCTGGTAGCTTGGGTCGGAAAAGTAGACGCTGACGTTTGTTGCGACGGCGCTGTTGCCAACAGAGAGAAGTCTAGAGGCGCTCTGACCTCCAAGGGGAGACATGGCCCAAGTGAAGAGGATAATAAGTCCGACGGAGAGTTGAGTGCGAATGAAAAAGACTCCTTCGATGGCAGCAGCAAAGCTTCGACTTCCAAAGATTTGCTCCAGGGCAGCAAGGCCAATACCGTCAGGTCTCTCTAGACACCAACGAGAGACATTCTTGTAGAAGCGGCTCGCAATAGCTGCAAAGAGAATCGGGTAGATGGATGGACTCAGACGGGTCAGTTCAACCACTCTCTCGCCATAGTCAGAAGGTTGTTGACCATCCAAATAAACGGCGACAATGGAGAGGGCTAGTACATATTAGTTTCTGAAGATTCATTCAAGGTACATGATAGGCATACCGATGAAGCAGAGAGGCACCAAGGTCAGGAGGATGTCCCAGATCCAGCCAACCCAGAAAGCAACATTTTGGCTGTGCAGCCTCCCTGGTGCCGGGTGCCAATCGTTAAATGCATCGACCATGGGAGCGGTCACGGCATGGCTGAGCCTCTTGCCACCTGGGTCTGAAGGGTTGGGGCTGAGGAAGGGAGTGTAGGTTGGTGATAGTGAGAGACGGTGGTTAGACACGGCTCGTTTCGTCAACCTCGATTGCCTGTAGATATCAGTATCAAGTCGCTTTAATCAACAAACAAAACATACCAGAGTCTCCAAAGTGCACCGACAAGCAGAAGAACGATAACGATGGCAGCAACACAGATACCGGCGACTGCCCCAGCACCCAACGCAGAGTCCTCATCGTCCCTCACGCCTTCTGGATCCCCGAGGGCCGTGGAGCTTGGATTCACAACAAGTGTCGATTGCGTCGCCTGATCATTGAATCCTTTAGGGTTGAGAAAATTATTTCGAAATGTCGAGTTACTTGAGAGAACAGCAGGAGCCAGATTCTGCGACGGACACACGGCGTCACCGCAGGGGTCGGTTGTGCAGCATCCCAGAAAGGGCGGGTTTGTGAAGCCGCAGGTATACCACAAGGGTTCTTCATCCTCGTCGGTGATGGTGCTGTTGTCGCAGCTTTGCGGAGGTAGATTATCGTACTTGGCCTTTGTGAAGCTGGAGAGGACGAGTTGGTCCTCGGGGCAGATACCATCGTTGTCGCAGGGGTCAATAGCGCAGCAGCCGATGAATTGAACCTTGGCCTTGTCGCAAACGTAGAAATCTCCGCCTCTGGGACATGTCAGTCCCAGCTCCTTGATCAGCGCTGCATGTTCCTTGGACATGGTGAAGAATCAAGCTTTTCCACAGCCGTGGACAAGCTAAGAAAGACGAAGAGTAAGCAGACAGAAAGACGAAAGGACGGGACATGCTTAAGAAAGAGCGGCACAAAGAGGCTCGGGGGTTGGTGATTATCGAGGTGCAGGAGAGCCCACAGGGCAGGGATATGGGCAAAGCAAGGCTTGGATTGGATGGGTCGGTCTCGAGACAGTCATCGATTGGCCGAGTCCCTAACGGCCCGGGCTTGGCAGCACGAAATTGGGCTGAAGGCCGATGACTTGGTTGCTCTCCACAAGGTGAGAGCTGAAGGATCCTGCGTGGACAAGGCGTTGGCATCCTTGCTGACCACCTGTCTCAGCCACCAAGTAGACGACGTGGGTGCCAGAACCTTAATGTCTCGATGTGAGACTATCCAGACGTCAGAAGGATGGTAGAGATGCTTGTCTTTGTGTTCTGTTCTCCTCTTTTGTATTATTCTTACAGCTGTCCTGTCATCTAGAAGCAAAACACGGGCAAAAGAGCAACAGACTCGCAAATTGTCATCCCCCTCTAAACCTCATAAGGCCATTTCATTGCGAGCCTGCTTGCGATCGGCGTTGTTATTCTCCACAGCCCCATGACCAGCAAGGCAGCTAAGCGGCCACGAAGGATGCCCTCCCCCGCAAGCCCTGCCGGTCAACTGCAACATGTCAGACGAAGCACAGGCTCTGATTTGAGGCCTGCAGGGCCAAGCTACCAAGGCGGAGGACCTTTTCTGCCATTGAGTTTTTTTGCGAGCGACAGGCCGGCCGGGATCTTTGGTTCTAATCTCGTTCCAGGGGCGGTGCCGTACAGGGGTGGCTACCGTACCCGCGCCTTGGCAATTGGGCTGTGGAAGCGAGCGTTGCCCTGTGAGCTGTCCAAAAGAGAATGGTTGCTTGGGGGCTGAAAAGTAAGCAAGCACGCGAGGTCGCCGAGGTGGGCGGGAGGCCAAGACGTGAGGCATTCTTCAAAAGGAGTCAAGTTGCCTCGTAATTCTAGAAATGGACAATGCACAAGTGCTTGTCGAAGATTATGTCCTTTTGTAATGTCACTGCATTGTCAGACGCAGGAACGCCGTTGCTGAACCAAATACACGGGTTCGAAGGATAATTTCCTCTTTGGGAGGACAAGCTCCCGGCAATGCCAAGACTTCCGACCCAGGTCTCTGTCAGCACAGGGTAGGGGAGTGATTTCGTTATGTTTGAGATAAATGCGCGTCAGACCGCAATAGCTGTTGTCGGCGGACACATGGTTGCTTTATATCCTATGAGAATAACCCCTTGATTAATATTCGGAACCAATTGCTCTGTTTTCCCTTGACCACACCTACATACCAAACTGCATGCATAGGGTAGCACTTCTAACCAAAGTTCCTTTCCATGGTTACTCCGCTCTTCGCCTCACATTTGCGGTGCCTGGAAACTGCATTGCTCTACACAGAATCGCGGCAAGTTGATCAATCCTTTATTTGCCACGCTGATGGCGAGCCAAGGGCAGCAAATGTGCTTTGGCTTCAACCAAACAACCCTGGGGTCTAGAAGTTGGACATTCCCGCCTTCATCGTTGATCGCAGATTCGGGTCACACGACAGGATTTGCTGAACTCGTATGCTTACCAATCGACACCGACATTGCCGGGATTCAAGCTTCTTACTCTGCCTAGGGCTGAGCGTCGGCGACATTGGCACGTAAGCGGACACTAACGACGGCTGACAGGGGTTGCCACGGTCAAAGCCGAGTTGTGAGATATTGGTATTGGCGTTTCACCAGTCCATCACGGTAAAGGAAGAGACCCTTGAAATGCTGATGGTGATTAGAGAAATGCTCGATAAGTCTAGTCGTAGGTAATTTTATGCTTGTTTCCCGCTGGCTCATCTCTTCCCAAAAAGGGTACCTGGATCTCGCACTGTTCATACTTCCCTTGAGCCGCTTGAGGTTGATCTGTTTCTTCTTCCTGCCAATTAATAGAGTTTTGATGTATTCAATCCCTATTAGATACAGTTTGAGGCCCAAAAATACATTCAACGGCCTTCTGTAGGTTTCCTAATTTAGGGTGCTTCTATGATCCTTCAGATGAACTAGCGAACCCAGCCTTGCTGAGTTGCCAACAACATTTCGGCGACCATCTGGCATCTATTACGAGATTATCCTTGTAAAGCCCGGGGAAATACTGGAACACCCTCGTGTCAGCGTCGTGAGCACCGAGATGCTGCCGGAAGGATTGTCTCACCAGCACTGCCGCTCAGCAAGTGAGTGTCGCATGATAGAAGATACTACCGGCTCTCTCTCGCAAAAACATTGCCCTGAACTAGCTCCCGACATTAGATCTTCCTATCTGTACTGAACATTTCCTTTCGTCACCCGTTCTTAGGGTGGTCTTGCGGTTATGAGCATGCTGGGGTTTCGCCAAAGCTTCGTGTTTGACTCATTTTCACTCGAGGCAGCCCGTCGTCATGAGATGGTCATCAGATGAGTGATTTCCCACCAAAGAGCTTGTTAGCCTCCGTGGCTAGGTTGAAGACTGGTGAAACATCATTCCAAGGATGAGGGCAACGGCAGCACGAGGTGAGATGGCGGAGCATTGGCAACGAACCTACTATCGTTTTTCAGTCCTGATCCTTTAACTTCTTGAGAACGATGACCGGGAACCTCGACAGAGCGCCCCCGGCGGCATCTCATAAACCACCAACAATCTAATGAAGTAGGAGCCGTTGTGGCTCTTATCTTGTCAGGGATTCTTTTGGTAGGGTTGTGCTGCATGCGATTTTGCCCCGTAGGGCTGTGGTAGCTCACGTCTTGGCAAGGGGCCAGAACAAGCCTATCAAGCCTCTGAGAACATGTGATAGCAGTTGATGGTATAGAAGATGGATCCTGTTGAATGTCTCGAAATAGAATACATCCCTAAATCCATCAATACAAGTTCTCCATTAACCCGAGATAACTGGTTTAGCAGCTCAACAGAGGCAGTCACAAACTATTGCAAGCCGTATAAGGACATTGTAGATTATGTTTCAAGCCTTTGGAGAAGGTCTTGGGTTATTGTAAAGAGAAGTATAGTGCTAGTAATGGTACGGTTCGATGAATGAAGTTCGACTCTCAGATCTTGTAAGAGCCCATCTTGCGGAGTGGAACTCGGCGATAGAACATGGTATCAATCTCCTGATATGTTCGACCCTTGAGCTCAGGAATGTAAAAAACACAGAGGATAGAAGCGAAAGCAGAGAGTCCACCAAAAACGAAACCAACTTTGCCACCGAGGTTCTAAAGCAATTAGCGTTTTTACCAACCAAGGTATTGAACAAAACTTACACCCGCGTCAGGATTCACCATGTATGGGACAGCGAAAAACATTATAATACCAAAGATGGCCTGGGTTGCGGTGGCCAAAGCTGTAGTTCGTGCTCTCTGAGATAGAGAAGATACCTCTCCTAAAAGAACAAAAGCGACCGCACCGATCGTGAGGAAGTAGACGAAAGAGAAGACAACGGTCAGAGAGGACATGGCCCATTTGGCTGCACTTGTCGGCACAACGTCGAGGATACCGATGAGCAGAAGAATCGTGGTACAGGCGAACATGCCGATGACGAAAATGGGACGGCGACCATAGCGGTTGACGATGAACCACGAACAGATGTTGCCAGCTACGCCACAAGCCGTGACACCAACACCGAGGTTAAGAGATTTTCTTGTATCGAGACCAGCGAGCTGGAAAAAGTAGGTTGAGAAGCTGAGGACGAAAATAATACCTACGGCGTGCTGACAAGCAAATACGCCGATGGAAATGAGTGTCCGGACCCTATCAGTGCCCTGGAACGCAGAGATGTATGAGGAACTGGCCATACTGGCTTCTTCTTCGACCGTCTGTTGAATGGCCTGAAGCTTCTCTGATGCCTCGAATTCGGATCCGTACAGGTCTTGAAGGACAGCTCTGGCTTCCTCCGTCTTTCCAGCACGCACAAGGTACCAGGGCGATTCTGGAGACAGAAAGCTACCGACGAAGAGAAGGACAGAGAAGACCAGTTGCGTAAGGAAAGGCCCCCGGAAAGCCCACAGATCGTCCCTGTTACCAAAGCCAGAGGTGACCGAGTTGGAAATGAGCTGGCCGACAGCAATAGCGAGGTTCACACCAGCAGTAGAGAGACCACGTAGGACAGTCGGAGCGATCTCGGAGCATGTGATGGGGCCAAGGGTCAGGTAGAAGCCGACTCCGACGCCGAGGATAAGCTTGCTGACGACGAACGCAGCGCGAGTTGAAGAAAAGGACTCTCCCATGATGCCGCCTGTGACGATCAAGACGCCCAGGGCGAGACTCCTCTTGCGACCCATCCTATCAGAGATGGCGCTGCAAGCGAATCCCCCAAAGAACTGACCAACTGAGGACACAATGTTGAAAGCGGTCAACCAGTCAGCGGGGATCACCCAGTCGCCGTCGAGCTCATGGCTTGGGAGTTGATTAGACGCAGTCGTCGAACGGATAGATGCTTGGGTGACTTACCCATAATACTTGCGAAAGGCGGGAACACCAACCATGGCGCCATTAACCTGTGTATCGAAACCCCCTTGGTCGACAAGTCAGTTCAACATGTCTTGCTATGGTGTTTGAGGAATGAAAAAGAAAACTCACAGCCAACAGCAGACATGCACCAGAAGAATGACCACCAGATGATCTTTGGGTGCTTTCTAGCGACATCTCTAAAGGTTAGATTGTGTTCATTGGCATTGGCAGCCTGGATCTGATCAGAGGCGTGCTTGTCGGAGACTGCCTTGTGTTCAACAGTTGCGTCTAGGGTGCTCTTTTGGTCGAGCGAATGCTGATTGGTGTTGGTCATGGTGTGATGGACATTCAATTGTGCTGTTTGATGAGAAGAAATGTTGGCCTCCAGATGCTGGGGCTGGTGGTGAGCTTGGTGTAGAATAGGAAGATGGACAGGATATGCCATGTATCTTATATCAATTTGGTTAACAGGTACTGTCTACAGCTGCTTCATACTACGTAGGTAGTCTAACAATGTGCTGCCACCTGCTCCCCGTACATACGATTACCCACTCTGGGGAAGGTCTCAACGATGTAGTTAGACTCATTCCCCAGGCGGGGAAGCAGAAAAGACATGTTTAGTGGCGTCACTCAAGTGTCGGACTAAGCCCCGATACTCCGCTAGCTCGTATCAACGTCCTCGGATAAATGAAGCGAAACCATCCAGTCTCTGCCAGATTCGTCGTCCCCCTCCAACATTTCTCCCCCGATATTCCGCACTCCTTTCTTGTCGACATGACCTCTGAATCCCGGCGGCGCTCAGACACTCATCGTGGCCCTGTTGGTCGTACCAGCTCCACATACGTTCGCAAACGAGCCATCAAAGCATGCCAGGTCTGTCGCGCACGGAGGACAAGATGTGATCAGCAGCGACCTGCTTGCTCATTCTGCGTCAAAGCTGGCGTGGAGTGCGTTTTCGATCTAGATGAAAGGGCAACTTTTGATCAAGCAAGTCTTGCCATCATAGATCGACTCGACCGATTGGAGCGGAAGATAGATGCACAGTCACAGTCTGTCATGCCAGATATTGGTAAACTTGGCCAGACATTACCCCGAAATCAGGTTAATCAGAATATTTCCTCCCTTTTCCCTTGTACAGTAGACAAGGTCCTGCAATGGAATCTCTTCCGCGACGCCCCCTCTCCAGCCCTTACAGCCAACACACAACAATCCCTTGCATCACAGCCACAATGCAATACAGAGACCTCATGGGTCGGCGACATCCTCGACCGGAAATCATGCGACCGATGGCTCGACAACTTCTTTGCCCACATACACGTCAAGAATCCGATTCTGGATGAGACGGAAACACGAAGACTGGTCTCGAGATTGTGCGCAAAGGGACTTGACTGGGACGTGGAGTCGGGTCTGGCTCTTCTGGTCTGCGCCAATGGAGCTGTTGCTTGTCCCTTGCAAGAATCTCTCCCTTTGTCGCATGCAGACAGACGCATGGCAATTTCCTTGCTCAGCGCAGCGCAGAGAAGACTCGGTGGGGGGTTGGGTCCCACGGGGCTGATACAGGCTCAGTGCGCCTTTCTATCAGGAGTTCTCCTCATGTCGCTGATGCGTCCCGTCGAGGCTTGGACGACCTTTGTCCATGGTCTGGCTATTTGCCAAACATTTGCTTACACCCAACAGCGTGATCGCGATATGGGACAGATAAGTTCTCGGGAGGCCTCGGAGCAGAGTGTTCTGTGGTCATGCTGGAAGTCTGAGCAAGAGCTCAGGTTAGAACTGGGAATGTCCAGCTTTACTTGTCTGGTTGATGACCCGCCTGAATTATTTCCCAGTCCCCCTGGAGAATGTGAAGGCCATGTTGAGCAAGCGTGGTACTTTTACCTCTCCGAGATAGCGCTCTGGAGACTCGAGGTGAACGCTCGGCGGTCCATGACTCAGATTCAGCATGAGGACTGGCCGTCGGTCTCGAAAGCTCTGAGTGAGATTGGCCAAGATGCATCAGACCAGCTTGAAGCGTGGAAGACATCGCTACCGCCGCCAGTCAGCATCCATCAAGGTGCCGAGGACGATGTCATTCGATTTGTTCTGCGTGGTCGTATAACGTATATCCATGAGCTCGTTTCTTGGGCTTTTGTTCATGTGGCTCTGAATCGAGTCGCTGATCATGATTTTGCCGAACAAGAAACTGCGACTGCTCTTGCTTTCCACTATGATAGGCTTCTCGTCAACGCACCAGGTTACTATCATCGTCACCACGGGACTTGGCTCATGTTGCGAACCTCGGCAAGAAGCGCGTGCGTCTTGCTCGGTTTTGCCCGCATGTACCCTGGTTCAAATCTCTTACCTTCAGGTTGGAAGGATGCTGTTTTAGGAACCCTGAAGATGGTTGAGTACTGGAGCAATGAAGCTGAAGGAATGCTTTCGGTGTTACAAACCATGACATGGCTGTTCGAAGTTGTCCAATAATTGAAGTTTCTGGTAATCAGCAACGTGTTTATTTAATAGTTCTATATTCCATCTGCTTCAGCATCTCAGACAGGCTATGGCTGGACTAAAGCTGATACACTTTACGGATTCCGTGTTTATCCCCAGCGTATGCTGCAACCTCAATCTCGAAGTGATCAACCAACAAGCAAAACTGACCATCAACCCATCGTTCAATCGGCCGCAACGATGCATCGACAAATACCCGCTTCAACTCTCCAGCTTGTAAATAGACGCTGCCAAAACCAAGAAGGACTCGGTGTGGAAAGTCAGCCATGTTAGGATGTCCATAAACTTGGGCGACGTGATGCCCAGATCTTTGACTTGTGTTTTCCACATCGACGGCCACCTTGACACCATTATGGCCTGTGGGCTCCGTTCTAGGCTCAATTTCGAGGTTATTGAACCTGAATTCGGTATAAGACAAGCCATATCCGAGTGGAAACGCAGCATCAACCCCAAGCTTGTCGAGTAGGCTTTGACCATACCAACGATCATATTTGATAGCCGATGCTTCAATATCAATATCAGGGAGGTGGCTCTCATCTTGTGGGATAGAAAATGGTAATCTGCCTCCAACATTGACCCGTCCCAGTAAAACATCTGCGAGTGCATGGCCGCCTTCTGCCCCAGCGTACCAACTGATCATGATAGCAGGGACTTTGCCTTTCCACTCTTCCATTATGACAGCGCCGGCGCAAATAAGCACAACAATTGTCTTCGCATTAACAGACGCCACTGCATTGATAATCTCAACATCTCGAGGTCTCAGCCTCAGAGACAGTCGGTCGCCGCCAGCACCGACTTCGAGTGCCGAAGTTGAACTTTGTTTGCCTTGAGCTGGGTTACCCTGCACAATCGACAGCATCTCCTCTTGGTCAGGATTGCTAGTCGGGGGGAACAGCTCCGATAAGCCAGGATCGTTCTGGAGAGAAGGCACCACATATTCGCCCTCGTCGTTGGCGTCGTAGCCCACGACAACAACTGCAACGTCTGCTTTCTCGGCTGCTCTTGCAGCAGACTCAGGTCTGTCATCATCTTCAAAAATGATTTCAACGTTGGGTATCCCTTCCTCGAGTCCTTGGTAAGGGGTGACCACCGTCGGTGAAAATACCTGGGAGGAGCCCTTGTCCCCGGTATTGGGTTTGTTTGCCAGGCGACCAATGAGAGCCAGACGAGACATGTCTGCGGTTTTGAGTGGGAGGAGAGGCGTGCTGTTGATTGTGTCGTTCTTTAGCAGCACCATTGATCGTTCGGCAACCTCCCGGGCTAGTTGTCGATGTTCTTTGCAAAAGACAACTGACGCATCAGGTGGCTTTGAGAGAAATCGAGAGGCGAACTGGAGCTGTGTTTGTAGAATTCTCCTGGCTGATTTGTTGACATCAATCCAAGATAGTTCGCCGTTACCAAGGGCATTCTCCAGATGCATTGCTCGTTGCTGCGCGAAAGGCGCTTCGATATCGAGACCATTCTTGACCGAAAGTGCGGCATCTCGTAGGCCGAAAATAAAATCTGATACAACGAAGCCGGTAAATTTCCACTGTTCCCGAAGTACATCTGTGAGGAGAGCCTTGCTTTGCCCTGCCCATTCTCCGTTAACCGAGTTATAAGAAGACATTACTGAAGCTACGCCAGCTTCAACAACCCTTCTGAAGTGAGCAAGGTAGACTTCATGAAGGACGTCCTCTTCGACCTCCACATCAACTCGAAATCGTGCATTCTCCATCGAATTCAAGGCAAAATGTTTGACGCATGCCATGATATGATTTTGAACGCCCTGAGTAAGTGCAACTCCAAACTCACCCAACAGAAATGGGTCTTCTCCGTATGTTTCTTGGATGCGACCCCACGCTGGGTGACGTGGAAGATTGATGCACACGCCGGCAAAGTAATTTGCGCCCTGTGCCTTGGCTTCTAGTCCGATGGCGTTGCCAATACGGCGTTCAAGCTCAATGTCCCAGGTGGCGCCCCGGGCCATGGAAATTGGAAATGCAGTTGACGAGCCCATGACAACGCCCCTGGGCCCATCCGTGAACTTGACTCCCGGTATGTTGAGGCGAGGAATTGCACCCATGACGAATGGCTTGCGATTATATCGATCACAGAGTATTCCCCATAGGCCCTCCCAGAATGGTACATCTCCATCCAGAAGATGTAAACGCTCCGTCAAAGACAGCTCAGTCAGTAGACGAGCAGCGACAGCTGAAGCATCGTGACCGAGGCCAACTTCCTTTACAGCCCTGTCAAAGGTCAGAGGCTGGTGTTTTTCATGATCAACAGGATGGTGATGATGTAACAATGTTGGTGGTATATCGCTCTTCATGTTGGCTAACACTGAGTTGAAAGGTAAAGGGTCGACAATATGCTATAGATGTAGACAGAGGGGATGAAAGGATTGCCCGGAGTTGTTCACCCAACAAAAGAAATATGAAGACCTATCGTAATAAAAACGACTCTATCCAAATGCGCCCACAGGTATATTCTAGGTAGTCATGCGGTCAGCCAGTCATCGCGGAGTGTCGGGTGAAAAGCCTCGTGAACCAGTGTGATCCGGATACTGACTCGGCGCGGAATGTCGGGGCATAACCCGAAGGAGTCAGACCATAAGTTATGAGACAGACACTAATTACCCCAGACAACTCCCCGCATGGCGATCCATCCCACATTTAGGCTATTTGTCTTAATCAGTCTATAACACACCATTTGACTAAATCTGGAGGATCTACGAGAGTATCCGTTTGGTCAAGGAGTAGCGGGATTTACGTACTACGTAGCGCTTGTCCAACAATGCTACGCAGCTCCTCATTGATGGCAAAGTTTAATTCTGGTTCCCCGCAAGTTACATGTTGCCATCATATACGGCATCAAGCAGCTATCTATGCCTCTTTTGCTACCTCTGATCCAACTGGACTATGAAGATATATAAAGCTTCGATTTCCCTCTGGTAAAAAATTCTCTTCAAATCATACACCAAGAACATCCGTCTTGCCTGTGATCTGCCCCTACCATGATGATCAAGTTCATCCTTCTCGGTTTGGTATTTGTTGCCATAGCCTGCGGTGCCGTACTCGAGAAACGCGCTCCTACCCCTTTCTCCAACTTTACCAGAAACGAATTTTTCAAGCCTGCAGCAGATGCTCAGCTCTGGGGCACGCTCTATGCTCGGTCACTCCAGTTGCCTGATGAGTCGCTGCTCATGACTTGGGAAAACTACCCAGCCGAGTCTAAAGCCTACCCCGTCAACCGTGAGTCTTCCATAAACTCTTTCATATACCACGGATGCTAAGTCATTAGTTAGACCCTATCTACAAGTCCGTGGATGGTGGTGCAACTTGGTCTAATTTCAGTGCTGTTAAAGACACTCAGAACGGCTGGGGCATGCGATTCCAGCCGTTCCTGTATGCTCTTCCAATTGACTTTGGCGGTTATGCCAAGGGTACCATTTTGGCAGCTGGTGTTTCGACCCCTGAAAGCCTGGAAGGTGGTGTATACATCGAAGTTTATGCAAGTAAAGATGGTGCAAAAACCTGGGAGTTTGTCTCTCATGTTGCCTATGGCGATGGACCCAATACCATCAAGAATGGCAATAAAGCACTGTGGGAGCCCTTCTTCTTAATGTACAAGGGTCAACTGGTCTGTTACTACTCTGACCAACGGGACCCCAAGCATGCTCAGAAGCTCGTTCATACCACTACCACTGATCTTAAAACATGGTCAGATATTGTCGAGGATGAGGCCGAGAGCAACTATGACGCTCGCCCCGGCATGACTACTGTCGCTCATATTGAGAGCACTGACAAGTGGATCATGACTTGGGAACGCTGTGGTGTCGATGCCTGCAGAATCTACTACAAAGTCTCCGATAGCCCTCTCGCCTTTGGACCCATCCCCGGGACCAGACTCAAAGCCACCGACGGCAGCCTGTTCACTAGCGGACCATATGTGACTTGGGTCCGTAACCCTTACACCAGTGATGGCTCTGGCATCATCATCATTAGCACCACTTCTTCCGAAAACCTTCTCATTCAAGGTGACAACCCAGCCGACGGAAAGTGGAAGAAGGTCGATATTAACCATTGGTCCGCCTATTCCCGCAGTGTCAGAGAGATTACTGTTAAGGGAACCAGAAGGCTTTTGATTGGAAACGGTGGCAATTTTGGGGACAAGAAGTACAACGGCATTGCTGACGCCGTTATTTCTATCCCAACACTGTAAAGTATCTCCCAGGCTCACTGTGTAGATGGATCATTGTAGCTCTCTGTAGGCCGTGGTACACAAGGAAAAAGGAATATTGGCCATGGCTTGTCCGAGGCTAAAACAGAAAGGACTACATAATTGTCAAGCTTTATCCAAAGCCCATCAATCCCAACTCTAAGATTGTTATCTTGCTGGTACTTTTCTAAACATGCGATCAGATCCTTAGGAAGTTTCTTGTACCAGTCACCGTTTGGGCGAGAGACTTCGAGCTCTCAGGAAGCCTGTGCATTACATCCATCATGAGAGTTAAATTTTGGTGCTCCAGAGCTGTTTAAGCGATGCTGCTTAGTTGCTATGTTAGCAGATGACCCTCGAGTAAGGAACGAGTCATCGCTTTGGACCTGGGCCGGAAGAGCAGGTGCATACTGGGCAGTTGGTATTTGATTGAACGATGCTCGAACATGTGACGGTTTACTGGCAATTTTGGTCGTCAATGGTCAAGTACACAGTGACGGTGAAAGTGACGGCGGTGATGGTGCATTGGTGGCCAACTGGGACGATCGAGCGGGAAAAGGAAACGGCTGATTATTTAGAGTTGGCGTTTGACCGGGAAGTTTATGCGATGGAGGACTGTTCGCTCCCTGCATAAGCATGGAGCTGATCGGTGGCAATACAATAGTAGTTCTGGAGGCTTCGAAGTTATTTGAATTGGGGGCTCACGTAGGGCGACATGATCTAAAGGTGATACTGGTTGAGTTGCGGGTAGAGAACTGTGTTCCTCTTGGCACTGGTCAGGAGCCGCAATCTGAGGACCGCGATGTTGAAGAGGAACTGTACATAGTAAGCGATCCAGTCAAGGGAGTATATTACCAATTTACCTTTCATAGGCGTGGGCGGGTAGCCGTTGGCCTCACTTGAGCCTCATCCCGACTCTGATAGATGGATGATCGATGGCGATACGAGTGGTTATAAGCCTCCTGAGCCAGACTTCCCCGCCTGCTTCGGACTTCAAACCAACCGCTACATGAACAGAGGCGTCCTTGCTGGCAACATTGAGCACTTCTGTGAAGCTGCACAGGCTCGGGCACGACCAGATTCTGGTTCTAAGTTCATCTCGACCGTATACAATGGCGGCACACCCAACGAGGTCATGCTTATCATCGACTACGAGACTCCAGATATTGACTACGAGATTGGTAAAGAGGACTGTGTCTTTTATCTCAAGGAAATTGTGCTTGATCGATGTGATAGTAGTTCCAAGGACAACCCAGGAAACTGGAAGGCTGGCGGAGTCGCCCACAAGGACAAGATTAGATGCAAGGTCGATGGGCGGAATGTGCATGTCTGGGGTGGCTGATGGTCCACAACAGACAGCGGAAAGCGTCTTATAGAGGAGGCCAAGAATTGCGGAATCGACACCTGATCTCCCAAGTTTAACTACGGAGGTGATGGTGATAACCGCGAGTGGACTGCAGAGATGAATGGAGGGTCTGATGTTGAGGACAAATGCATCTCAGAAGCCATTGAGAAGGCTGGGGGGCCCAAGGTGGCCTATGAAAAGGCGGCTCCTCCTCCTCCTCCACCTAAGCCCTTTGAGCCCAAGTATGACTGTCAGGGGAGTGGGTTGGTTAGTGTTATACCTTCTTTTCACACAATCTTTGACTAACAATACATAGTGCGGTGGCCCCCTTCTGCAAGTGAAGCACTGCGACTATGCCGTTAACAGATTGCGCCGGAACCAAGCAGATCCTACCTGGTACGGGACTCAGTATGTTCAAAGATATCCAAGCGCACTGAAGGAGAAGACTAATTACTTTGAATAGGGAAGGGCGCCTCACCAGAAACTGTTGGGCCAAGTCAGACGGTATCGGCAGCGGCGTCTTTCTTGAGGGCAGCGGCTGTGAGTTGATTGGTGACGACATCTGGGAGCACTACCAGAAGATCCGGTCTTTGTGGAAGAAGTGCGGCAAGGTCGAGTACAAGGCGGGTTGCTTTGTCAAGATTGACTATGTGACGGGGTGCAACAACCACGATTAGGAGCCAGGGCATCACCTGGATGTCTAGGGATGGGACAATAGATAGGTTTCTCTTTAAATCTGTCCTATACTAAGAGTAGATAGATACTAGTGATGTAGTGAGAGGGTCTTCTCATTAGGTTGGAGAGTTTAAGACAAGATTGCCGTATTCCTTCGAGATATCACCTCGTGGACTTGAATAGCGTCACTGCAATATTGCTGATGCTACCTTGCAAATTTTTTTTTAATCCACTTGGAGACGAGCATCCTGCATGCAATTATCATCTGCATAAATCCACTCGCGTACAAGACCCTCAGGCGCAGATCTTCATGGTGCACAATCAACCCCTGCTCGCTACTCCCACGATGCAACCTCCTTGACCGCCGATCACTCTGGGTTCACAAACTCTACTTAAAATAAAGACTTTACCGTGCGTAGTGATCAGCGGTAGTTTAATTCTACAGTATCTATTATTCATTACGCTATTTAGAAAACCACTCATACCACATCAAAGAGACACCTCGCTAGTGCTATGTGCACTCGTAGTAGTCGTTACATGAGACTTGTTATACTTGTCCGGCGTCACAAGATTTGCCTCATCTCCCCCATCGCTATACTGCACTTTGAACGTCCTCTGCAGCTCGATCCCGCCGTGATCCGGCGCGTGTATCGAGTCCCCCGTCCTAGAGGGGAGTTCTACGCGAGCACGGCTCCGGCTCATGATGTGTGACTTGCGACCGTATTGTTCGCCGTAGTTGTTGTATTTGCTCGAATCGTAGGAAGAACCTCCGAGGACGGGAAAGAGACGGACGAGAAGAATACGGAGAGCGGGCATGGATGCACAGATGATGCCAATGTTGATCTCGACTGTTGACCAGATGGAGACATCTGTTTGATCGTATGTGGGATTCTGAGAGGAATCCAGGTCGACGAGATATTGGAGACGAATAATGCTCACGATGGTGACACTTAAAAGTTAGCCTAGGCTATCAATTGTAGAAGGAAGAGTACTCACAAAGTTCCAACGATAAACATGGCAGCGACACCAATCTTCTTCTTCCAGTGTAGTTTCAAGTTCCGTAGATACCACATTGGAATGCCCAGCATCCAGATATCCAGGGATATGCTGATGGCCGCATTTGCCCAGCCGATGGCATTGACATTGGCACTATACTGTTAGCTGGGACATCACGCCGAGATTGAGAGTACTTACCAAGTTCCCTTGTGCTCGCCATCCCATTTGAGCCAGAAGAAATTAATAGGCGAACATTGAAATACCGCCAAAAAGATAAAGGCAACACCATAAATGGTATTCAAGATGACGGTTCCCCAGAGCAGCTTCTGGGCAGGACCAGGAAAGATGCGCAGGTAGAAGAACAACAGCGACATCTTCAATAGCGACACCTGCGCAAAGTAAAACACCTCAAGCAGCCAAAAGAAAAAGCCAAACTTTGTAATCTGGTCAAATTCTAGTGTCCAGATGTCGCGTCCCTCTCCGTGTCCGGCCGTTCCGTGAATGTTCATCGCCGTCGAGGGGATACCGAAGATGAGGGTGAGAACGATAAAGAGGTCGTCGAGGCCAAAGTCGGAGTTTGTGATGAGAATCTTGGATCCGATACGTAGGAGAATCGATATGCCGGAAAAGGTGCCAAGGATGATGGTTACATTGATAAAGAGGCTCGTCTTGTCGCGGACTGGGACTTGGCAGTACGTGTTGGTCATATTTTGGGTAGCTTTTTAGTTAGCAGAGTCCATTACCGAAGAAATTGACATACTCAGAGACTCCTTGACCGTACAACCGCCTGCGACACATATCGAAGCCACAGGTATAACCTTCTCGTTAGTGCAGACACACTTGACGTCGGCAGAGTCGCAGTCAGACTTTGAGATCGCATCGCCAAGGCACGATCCCTACTTGGCAGATTAGCGCGACCGCGCGAGGCGTAGACCAAAGACGGGAAAGGCTTACAGCGCACTGGGGTAGCTCAGCCAGCAGCTCCTTTGTCGAGATGCTGGTGGCAGCGGCGAGCCAGCACGGCATCAGAGCCGCGAGAAGAGGCAAAGTCCACTTCATGATGATCGACAACCAAAAGATCAAACCTGGGGGAAATGCCCGCGGTTCCACGGAGCTACGAAGGATATATACTGAGCGACCCCTGGACGGCGAGTTCCACAGGAAGATGCTCGCCTAAATTGGGGCTGCTCCATGTGAATCTTGTAAGCGACCGCCGACCCGCTGCTCTGGAGCCGGGAGAGATCCGGGCATGGGAATCCACCAGTCAAGATGGGACGAGGACATGGGCGTTTTGGACGTGCAAGGATGGCATTGTTCAGGAACTAGAGGGAGCTAGGCCAGGGCTAAGACACCAAGCCGGCACCGTTTTACCCGATGTCAAAGGAGAGACGAGACATTCAAGGTGCTAGACGAAAAAAGTCTCGTGTTGGATCGTCGTCGCAGCTCATGTTGCACGATCTCATGTTGGGAAGAACATGGAGTGATAGATGACAGGTCCTGTGATCGTCACGCGTGACTTGCATGATGAACTGGGGTTGTATGTTTTCTTTTGATCCCCAGGTTCATCTCGACGTCTAGAACATGATCCTTGGACGAAGCTGTACCTGAAAAAGGGACTCTCCGAAGCCACACTGCCTCGACTCAGTCCACTCTCGAACCGGAAACTCACTCGCCTGGAACAAATTCAACTGTCGCTTCAAACGCGGAGGGTCGCGCTACGGAAGAATCCCCTTCGACGCTTGACTCAAGAAAGATCCATCTTGAACCCCTGGTTGGGAGACGAGTCGACCCTGTGGATCATCCCCACCTCCTACTGGCTGCCCCTGAAGCCAACGTTTTCCAGAATTCATCAGCCCTAGACATCACTCCACCGGTCTGTTTTAATTACCTCTCGAATTGCCAGGTTGAGTAATGATTGACTCCAGCTGAGCATCCCTGGAACATTCCGTCTGAAGCTTTCCGCGTCTCGGCACAGAAAACATCCAACGGGTTAAGCTACAGTACTGGTCAAAGTACGAACCTTGTCCTCTTTTGTGGAAATTTGATCTCATTCAATCTGCATCGGCCGTGCTAAACGATAATGAAAGGATCACCCGAAGGATCAAGGTAGACCTGGCAACCGTATTTCCTCGCTGATAGGCACGCGTTGGGTAATTCCGCCGAAGGAGACAAACGCTAGGGGCTCCACGTGGTGCATGCGCAAAAGATGAGATAAACACGCGTGTAGGGAGTAAAAAAAAGGGTATATTTAAACCCTGGGAAAGTCTCCAAGTTGTCGGTACGAGAGGATTCAAAGTTGCTTTGTTTGTAAATCATGGCTTGATTAGCAAGAACCCTGAATCGCTGACTCGTGGTACGACGACATCTTACGAGTATGTCACTGAAGGTCACAGACTAGCCGTTGGAGGTGACGCTATGCCTCAGCTGGCGACGCCATTCCAGCTTTGGAGAGCAGCGAGGCCTCTATCGCAAAAGGTTCGGCGAATTACACCTCCTCGTCACCGACGCAGGAAGGTCGAAGCATGTGAAGAGGGATTGATCCGGGGTCACGTTCTGGAACGACATCCTGGTATCATTCTTTGTATGCATTCGGAAATATACCCCCGAGACTAAGCTACCAATCCTAGTACGACTTTTGCATAGCAGGCCTCTTCTCAGGAAACTCCTCCGCCAAGTGACGAGGGATGCCCGAGGACAGAGATCCCGACGTGTCTCTGATGTACTCTTTTCTTCCAGCCTTGTGCACCCGTCCGTTCATGATGATGATATTGAGTTTATCGTGGTCCTGAAGTATTGATATATCCTCGAGAGGATCTCCGTCGACGAGGATACAGTCGGCAAAATATCCTGGCTGAATCCTTCCAAGCTCGTGACCCCTCATCATGAGAGCTGCAACACCCGCAGTTGCAGCAATGATGCTCTCATGAGGAGTAAAGCCCAGCATCTTGACAAAGTGTTCAAGATCTCGAGCATAGGTCCCATGCGGTGTCCACGCAAATCCATAGTCCCTATCTTGATTAGTTCTGAATAAGGTAGGTGGTATCGATCACGTACCCCCCTGGCAACACGACAATCCCTCGTCGGTGCATCTCACGCAACCCTGCAACCGCAATGTCGAGCTCTCGCTTATATCCAGCCTTCTCCGCTGCTTCGTAAGTGTATCCAAACGCATCGGCTTCGTAGGTCGTGGCGTAGAGCCAGTTGATTGCTGGCACGACAATGTTCTTGTGTTTGTCCTGCTCGAGCATATCCATGCCTACTTTGTCAGTCCGGATAATCATTGATTTCAGGTGACATACCTTCGTCATCTACGTAAGAGCCATGATAAATCACATCCACGCCATGCTTGACACACATCTTGACCGAATCCCTGGCTCTGGCGTGTGCGCAGACTCGCTTCCCTCGCTTGTGAGCCTCATCTACACATGCAATAATCTCTTCGTCCGAGAAGTAGCAGTCTTGAGCGGATCGAATTTCGGTAATTTCTTCTCCTGAGATGCTGAGTTTGACATTGTCGACGCCGATGGTCTCGATATTGTACTTGATGGCATCGCGCATTTCTAAACAGTCAGCAATGTTTATCAAGAGGCTGGTAACTTACCTTGTGGACCATCTGCGAACCGTGTGATTCCAGCTACTAATTCGCCTTCTGGCTTGGCAATCTCTCGGGCATTGGCCAGGTACCGAGGTCCCGGGATGTCTCCAGCATTGATGGCATCTCGAACAACCACATCAAGTCGATCCTTGGCTGCAGCCGCTCCGAAGCACCTAGATAATTAGTGGCGAACAGATGAATGGTAGGGAACATACATGGTGTATCCGGAGTCTAGGAAGCACTGAGCACTCTTGATGGTCAGGAGAACGTGTTCCTCAATGTCAAGCTCGCCTAGGCGGTTAAGGTCGCCACCGTTCCAGGTGAAGTGCGTGTGGCCATCTCCTAGACCTGACATGAGTGTTCTCCCTCTACCCTCGAAAACTCGAACAAGAGGGTCTCGTTCAATTTCGGCCTTGTTTGGGATCTGGCCAACCGCAGCAATCTTTTCGCCTGCTCTCGTTAAACCCACCCACGAAGATCTGTATCAAACTCACCCTCGATCAGCACATCACCACTGTAAGGCTCTCGACCTGTAGAGTCCAGAATTTTGACATTTATAAACAGAATCTTTGACCTTTGATGAGTACCATCGATATGATAATCCTTCGGCTGAAGCTTCTTGTCCAATTTCAAGTTGTTAATAAACTCAACGTTTCTGGGAACCTTTTGAGAATGAATCGGCTCTTTGCCCCACGAATCATGAGCGCCCTGAGGCCACGAAGCCTTTGTGATGTCGTCCTTGGTCATTCTGAATGCTTAAACTCCAAGTTGTCGATGTTAGAGTGGAGCCAAGTTCCCCGTGGGGAAGCGTAGACGTAGTTATGTAGGTAGGCCGGATGGTTGGCCAACCCGTCTGCCGACACCTCCGCTCCGTGGCTTGCATCACCTGGCCCATCATGGCAAAGTTCCGAGACAGTCATGTCCGCTCATCGCCGCCTTCTCCGTATTGGAGAGCGGGGATCGACGCTCCGTCATCTCCGCGGCTAGTGATGAGGGGAACCCGGGGCTTGGCAGCAAGGCCATTTGGGCCGAACGACAAGTCCAGATTTGGGGAGTTGCACTGAGCTGCCAAGTTTGTTCTCGTTCTTGTAATCATGAGCTTCGTATTTGGTAGAACTAGGTGGCAGGTACGAATTGAAGGGAAACCAGCCATAACGGTTCAAGTACCTCGAAGCTCACAGTTACATGCTACACGTGGGGAGAAACATGCTCCCTATCTCCACCAACCGTCTAATATCTGTTTCACTGTCCCCATGGCCTATGTCGCATCTCGTGAAGAAATCGAGCACTATCAAGTCCACCCGTTCGAGTTTAAATCCATTCCGCCCTCGTCCCCGAGTAGCACAGACAGATCCAGATTCAAACCAGGATCTAAATTTCCCAGCAAGGTCCAATTCGTCTCCAAGGAAGCCAAGTTATCCCCAGACAGTTGACCTAAGTCGCTGGTTGGTAGCGCGGTAAGATCCAAATTCTGACCCGACGGCATGGAACAGGTAAAGCAATCCCAGCATAACTGGAGCTGGTTGATATAATCTGGTATCTGCGAGAAACCAGTCATCATCAAAGCTTCGTGCCGAGCTTTCCATGGTTTGAGGGTGATGTATGCTTGCGCCATAGAGGGTCTGTCGTTCATGTCGAAAAGCTCTGGGTGAAACTTGTATACCGCCTCGACGACACGCCAGGCTCTATCTGAAAGGCCTCCAACTGGTTTCTGGTGAAGCCTCGAGGTCATGACAGCAAAGCTGCCTCTTTGAAACTGAATCTTTGAATACCAGAGGAAGTCTGCCGAGTCCATTGCCTCATCGAAGCTAGCAAAGATTTCATTCTTGATGATAATAATCTTGAAGAGGTTGTCGTCGATGGTGAAAATCTCAGTCCCCCATTCGGGCTGCTCCATCATCGGGACTATCATCTCTCTGCCTTTGCTGATCAGGACGCGCCGTAGGCTTAGAGCTGCGGCATGGATCCTGCCAGCGGATCCAGACACATATCGGCGTTCAATATCCATTAGAACCTGGTCTAGTTCGTCAAGATCCTCCCTGAATCTTTGAAGGATTGAAGAGGCTACAGGATTTGCTGCAACATCCTCGGTGTTCCAGATAGTAGCGATCTCGAGTCCTGCTGTGCCACGGAGACTCTCTAGAGAGAGAATAGACTTGACAATTTGGTAGATGATAAGGCAGAAAGCCATCTCGGTAGGGCCTTCGCGAGGCTGTACAGGGTCGACGGATCCAGGGAATAGGTCGGCGTCATTGAAATTCTGGGGCATTTTACAATCCCAGCTGATGGGCATCTGAGAGCAACTCAAGGCCGAGGTCAAGGTGTGGTTGACATCTTGCAGCATGATGTGCCACCATATGCGCCTTCGCATCTCTGTCTCAAACGGAGGCAGGCCCAGGAGCTCGCCATCCCGATGGTATCCCATTTTTATGGCCATCCGGAGACCGGCGCCGGTTAGAATCCAGGCCATGTCCTTGCCATAGCGATTTCGGATGGAGAGCTAGATACGATGAGTCTTGGTTGTCAGTCAAGGGTCAGTGATTTCTTACCAAGTACAGCACTAAAGCCTGCAATATCACCATGTCAAAGTTCTTCATCACGTTGAGTTTCCTCAAGACTATCTCGGCGCCTTGTGTGTAGTTGCTGATCGCATCCTGGCGCGAGCATCCTAGCCTTTGTTGTGATTCCGATTCCGACATTGACATGGAAGCCAGAGTAAAGATGACGAAGCGTAGCGCTTGATAATTGAGAGGGATAGATTCTATACTGGATTCTTTCTCTGTTATGTAGGGTTGCACCGATGGGGTATGGATTACTTTGGTCAGAGGGTTTACTCGGTTCAAGAATACCTGCCAAAGAGTGTAGGCCTGGACTGTGCTGGGTTGGACAGAGGCAAAGGAAGCCGTCACGAATTTGGCTGCAAGGATATTGTCTCCAGCCATATCTCGAGGCGGTGCCTCCTCACCTAGGCTCGCATCGGCTTCAAGCATGATTCTAATGGCCCGAAGCTGCATCAGGTATTAGAAAAGATTCTGTTGGGCAACGGTTAGGAAAGGTATACCTCTTCATGAATAGCTGCTCCTACATGGCTGTCCATGTATCGTACGCCATCTTTACCTTGGACCATCTTCCCTGCCGGTTTCGATAGGGATTGGGACAGCGACAGGGTGGGTGAAGGAGGCGCATCCGCATGAGGGCAATTCTCGGCGGGAGATGCAGAGCCATTAGTCGCCGGGGCTAGGCCAGAGCCGTCTTGACTGATAAATCGGTCCAGTTGCTGCTCGAAATGCGCCAGTTTGTCGAAGAGCCGATCAGCCATCCGCCTGCGTTTGCGAGGTAGGGTCTGTTTGCTCGGCATGCATTCAACCCTTGCCTAGAGTTTAACGATCAGACTCTGTACATGATCCAGATGATGGACGAAGCCTAAAGAGGCAAAAGGGCTGCAAAGTGATGGCGATGGGGACACGGCGGCTCATGGAAATGCGACGTGTTCACCGGTGAGGTTTTGTTTCTCCGCACCTTGACACAGTTGAAGCAGGGCAACCTGCGATCACACTTGATCTTCCGCTCCTGGCATAGAATGCATGCCAGGGCTCGTGTGTATTTTGGAGAGCTGGCGTTGGACATTGCTGGGCAATGATTTTGGTGATCGCTTCGATTCAAAGTGGGCTGAGAGAATGTGACTTGTGTGAGAAATTAAGAGGGACGAGAGCAAGCCCCGGACATGCTCGGGTTTAAAACAGAAGTAATTTTAGTAATAGAATAACACAGATAATAAAAACAACAGTGAATAGTTGTCGGCATACGGGGCTAACGGTTGATAAAAGGGGTTAATAGGGTGAAAAATCTAGAGCGGAACGGTCGGGAGTTGTGCACACTTTGTAAATCCGCATCCCTAGATACGTCAGAGGTACGCGTAAACTTAAATTAGATTGTGTCAGTGCGAGCTAATAACGTGATAACCGAGGAATGCGGTATAGCGGACTCTTCACAGCCCCGAGGGCCCGACGCTTTGTCATGTTTTAAAAGAACAGACCCAGGCACCAAGGGTGCAGAGACGATAGGTTTATGCCAGAAACTAGGATGGGCCTGTGAAGCCGCATCGTATGCGCGCCGTCTTTCTACCTTTATTCTCTACTCGTGTAACGGATCTTCATGCGATGATAGACCAGTTCACTTATTCTAGAGGTGCAACCTCTTCAATCGACATCTGCACCTTGTCAAAAGCGTCATCTCATTTCTTAGGCCTTTCTAAGATCTTCAGCTACTTTCAAATATGTCATTTCTCTCTGCTTGAATGCATCCGATCCTGGTTCAACACTCTTGTCGAACCCATGCGCCGCATTCTCGAGCTGGACAACCTCAACATTGGCGCCACCCACCTTCAACTTTTGGCCCATATCCTCAGCCTCGGGCGATAGATTATCAGCACTACAGGTAATGATGATTGTTTTGTCAGGGAATAGGGCAGGGCCGGCAAACGTAGGCGATACCCTGGGGTTTGTACGTTCCTCTGCTCTGGGCATATAGCATGTGGCAAACAAGCGCAGAGAGAAAATCGGAAATGGGTTGATCGGATTCGGGACTTTCTTTAGCTCTGGATCGCGGTCAAGGTCTACGAGAGGGTAGAATGCGTAGGCCGCCCTGATGTTGATACGCTTGAAGTGTCCCCTAAGCTCGGATGCAGCAACCAAGGCCAAGTTACCGCCAGCGCTAAAGCCAGACACGGCAATACGACTCAGATCAAACCGGTCGGGCTGGCCCTCGACCCATTTTAGGATATCTTCCACATCTTCCACAGGAGCTGGGTATGGGTGCTCTGGTGCTTTGCGATAGTCGGCGTCCAGCACCACCACCCCAGCTTCGAGCGCCATTCTATCACAAAACTCGTGGTCCATTCCCAAGCTCGGCAAGATGAATCCGCTACCATGCCAGTTGATAAGTAGGCCAGGTGTACATCCACTGTTGTGTGGCGGATGATGAATCCATGCCTTGATGGAACGAGCCGAGTCGCGGGAGGGGATCTGGATGAGAGTTCTGTTGCTATTTGGTGCCTTGAAGAGGGACCGCATGAATGAATATGCTGACCATCGTGAAAGAGTAATAACAATCTTGAGATACAAGTAATATAGAGGGCTAAAGTCGGTCATGACTTGAACTGAGCGATCTACGAAACAAGAGATAAGTTATGACAACGGTTCAGTGTAAAGCTTTTTAAATGGTTTCTCTCTCGGGGCCTCGGGGCCTTTGTATTCTCCGTAATTGTGTTTAAGATTAAGCTTTGAGCCTTGGCAGGCCATGACTGTACCGAGCGGCTTGGAAGCTAAAGCAGTGATACACATATTCTTCTTTTTTTTTCTTCTTCTTCGGAGAAAGAGATTCTTGCACTCCGGAAGACAAGAGGACGCTCGGCGGGCATGCATGTCGGTGTGCCGGGCCACGATTCGTGGCCCGCTCCGCCATCTCCGCGTCTAGAGATGAGGGGAAACCTAACAACTTCGCCTTGATCGGGTTCTAGACTTTTCTCCGTAGACAATCTCTGTAATTTCCTTCTTCTTTTTTCGTCATGGGCTGGATGAACCGAAAGTCTCAACCTGGCACGCGGGACAATCTCATTGCCGTTCAAATCGACTGGAGCAACACAAAGGACGTACCGTCCGTCGACTTTGTCGAAGACCCATCCGACCCCAAATCCTTCAAACGAGCGTCAATGCACATTTCAGACGATGAATTGCCTCTCATAGACGCATCTATTGTCTTAGCAGCCGGCAAAGTTAACCTCTTATGGGTCGTCATTGATGATATTGTCTACGACTGCACAGATTTTGTGGAAGAGCACCCTGGAGGGTCTCGAGTCCTTGAGTCCTTTCGAAGCGGCAATTGCAGTTGGCAGTTTTGGAGATTTCATGGGGAAAAGGAGCTGGAGGAGGTTGGACGACCTCTTCGGATAGGGCGGACAGCGGGGATAGACAACAAGTTCAAGGAGCCGCCGAGATTTGTTGGCTTGAGAAAGCTGTGGGGGGATGACTGAACCGGATGACTTGAAACACCTGTTGTCGATAGATGAAACAGAGGTATGATGAGATTTTGAAGTGGCGTAATGAAGCTGAACGGAACCTCGTGTCATTGCAGTAAACGCGCTCTGAATACCATCGCTGAGGCGTTGAGATCCAGGAGAGTTGAAAAGATTCAAGGGGGCGCCGGGGGGAGAACTGGAGCAGCCCAACAGATCAAGTGTACGACATGCCTATAGATGTGAGAACCAAATAATTCATACCCAGTCTATTGAGTTCCAGTTTCTATTCTATTCTGTAATCACTTCAAAAACTCTCCCACGGCCTCAGCAACGCCATCCACGTCCTCAAAAACATGCCAATGGCCGACATTCTTCAATACGACAGCCTTAGAGCCCTTGATCCGTCCAGCATACTCCTCAACCAGCGCAGGCGGCGACACCCTGTCCTCGTCTCCAGTGACGATCAAGGTCTTGGCCTCAATAGCCTCCACGTTGAGCTTTTGCGTAGCCCCAGCAAGAGCCCATGTGGCCTTGGCATAAGACTCGGGATCTTGACCCAAAAGGCTAAGTCGAACTGCAGTACTGGCAGTTGGGTTTGCCTTCTTCGAGTGACTGGATATTCCTGCGTCGACAACAGCATCAACAACGGCTCGGATACCCTTGCTTCTCACAAGAGCGGCACGAGCATAAGCACCCTTTGAGGCCGCTTCAGGAAGAGGAGAAGGAGGAGGTCCAACAAGAACAAGCTTGCTGACAAGGCCAGGGTTGTCAATAGTAAACTTGAGGGACGCCAGGCATCCAAGCGAGTGTGCAAAAAGCGTTGCCGGCGCCGAGGTTGTGACGCCAGCAGCATCAAAAATAGACTTGATGTCAGAGGCAAAGGACTCGAGGCTCAGGGTGCTCAACGGGTGAGTCGTGCTGAGACCATGGCCTTCAAGGTCAAAAAGGTGAAGAGTGTTTTCCTCAGCGAGAGAAAGCCGTGAAATCAAAGGAGTCCAGTAGTCCAGAGTGCCGCCAAGACCGTGCACAAATACAATGTTGTTGCTACCAGATCCGATCTTTTGGTAGTGAAGTGACTTTCCGTTCAATTGCGTCAGTCCAACACCTGCACTAAGAGTCTTGGCCGAGTTTGTGACTTGGAAGGGTAGGTTGGAGGTGACCTGTTGGATGGTAGGGTTGACAGTCTCGGGAGAGGCAATCTTGTTGGTGAGCGTTCCGAGGCCAGTAACCGAGATGGCGACTTCATCCCCAGGTTGGAGGTAAACGGGAGGTTTCTTGCCGATGCCAACACCGGCGGGCTATACCGTTAGTCAAGAAAAGGTAGAAGAGAGAAGGGTTCTTACAGTTCCAGTAGCAATCACATCGCCAGGTTGTAGGGTCTGGCCCTCGGAAATGGTCTTGATCAGGGTAGGAATGGAGAAGATCAGCTCCTCAGTGGTGGCACTCTGCCTGAGCTCTCCATTGACCTTGGTCTCAACCTTGAGAGTAGAGGGCAAAAACTCCTTGGGAACAGCGACGGGACCCTAAACTGTTAACGATACGACTCCTGCTGCATGCAAAGAGAAACTTACAATAGGACAGAAAGTATCGGGAGACTTCCCAATGAAAAACTGCTTGTGGTCGCGTTGACGCTCACGAGCAGTCATGTCATTGATAATGGTGTAACCCCAAACATACTCCCATGCATCAGCCTCTGCAACACGATAACCAGCTTTTCCGATAATGACACCAATCTCTCCTTCATAGTCGATGGTCGAAGAAAAGTCGGCATGAGGCAGAATCTCTTCTCCGTCCGCAATGATGGACGTAGCCCTCTTGGTAAAGATAACAGGGTGACTAGGTCGATCCGTCTTGTCGGAGCTGTCAAAGCCAGAGCTGTTAAACTCCTTGGCGTGCTCCATGTAATTCTTGCCCACAGCAAGAATGTCCCGGCCGGAAATCGGCGGCAGAACTTTGACGTCCTTGGCAGACACGGGCTCACCATCGGCTATAATCCGAGACACGCCTGCGGCGATCACCTCGTAGAGACTCGTCACAGGCGTACCAGAAGCAAAGCTCAGAGGCTGGATGGTGCCCTTGGCAATGTCGTAGTGTCCGATGCGGACGAGTCCCGTGTCGGGATGGCTAAAAGCCGCATACTGAGCGAGAGGAGTGATGGATCCCATTATTCGTGTTTGTGTGGTTGTCTTGACGATTACTGAAGAGTCTCAGCGGGTGTAGGACGGCTCAAATAAACACTCCTCAATTGCCGATCTACAAGTCGCATTTGTTGTTTCGGGCTTCGGGAGATGTCGCCGGGTGGTGGTTTTGCGGGGAAGACGGAGATGGCGGAGATGGCGGGGCGGAAATGGCGACAGCGGAGATGGAAATGAGCACATGATGGTTCATGAATCAAGCGTGTTAGTCTATGGGGAAGAGGGCATTCAGCTGGGGTAGTACAATCATGGCGTTCTGGGCGTTTGATTGAGGCCTTGGTAGCTCAAGATGGTTAGTTTAGTGGTGTTGACGAGTATTTATTAGCTGGGTGAAGCAGATATTGCAGTTTCAATGCAGTCCTGAATATTCTTTCTGTAATAATTACAATTCAATCATCATGTCTTCAGAAGATAACAAACTCCGTCAAACCCTCACAGAGGGAGGCCATGTTGAAGACCGCACTCAGCCGTCTCTGCCAGTAGTCCATCGACGCTTTGCCAACCCTTCACCCCTGGGTCTACTGTCATTTGCAACTGGTAAGAACCCTACTCGTCCTCGAGATACCTTCTAACGTGTTAGGCATCTTTCTCATCTCGAGCTTTGGCGTCCACGCCCGCGGAATCCAGACTCCCAATGTCATGATCTCGGTCCTCATCTTCTTTGGCGGGATCTGCCAGTACCTCGTCGGAATAATGGAATTCGTCGCCGGAAATACTTTTGGAACGGCAGTCTTCATGTCTTATGGCGCCTTCAACATTTCCTACAGCATGATTTATCTGCCTGGCTCTGGCATCATTGCTGCCTACATGGACTCTGAGGGCAACTTGAGCCCAGACTTTCAACAGTCTATCGCCTTGTATCTCTGGGCCTGGTTCATCTTGAGTGTCATCTACACCATTGCAGCCATCCGAAGCTCTTGGGTTCTCTTTTTAGACCTGGTAGCCCTTGATGTTTGCCTAATTCTTCTTGCAACTGGAAACATGGTTCAGAGCACTGCTGTTCTCAATGCCGGTTACGCATTCGGATACTTGGTTGCCATTCTTAGCTGTAAGTACCTTGTTGTCCTTGAGAAATTACACTAACGTTTGTAGACTGGGCTGGTTGCGCAGGCCTTTACGCTGGAGGAACAACCCCCTTTGAAGTTCCAACGTTTCCTCTCTACAAGGAAGCATGAGCTTATGATAACAGTACTTTGTACTCAAAAGGTTTCCCCTTCCACCATTTAACCTTCTATGCCTGCCGCTATGGAAGGTTGAGAACATGTCCGTTGCAGTCCATTGGGTTAAGCTTTCCAAGGCCTCGTCATGTGTTGGTAACTCTATGATGGCTGCTACCTTCTTTTAGTTCAGAATACTACAACAACAAACTTTTGAACAACGTTTCCGTGAAATCTACTTTCTGTCTACATCCATCTTATGCACAGACGCCAATGCGGCCGTGAACTCAGCTAGCGAGCCCCATTCTCGGTCACCAAAACGGAAGGCTATAAAGAGCGAACGGCATGCGGTGTGAGAGGGCAAATAAATCTGTTTCTAATCCACACGTGCGTCTACGGCCGTAAGATCCTGCAGCTGTTGTTTAGACACCGTCACCTCAAACGGGAAGTGATATGCACAGCTGAAGGATCACTGCATTGCCGTCTCAACCGACTTGTTGATGCAGCAATATATATAAGCTGTCTCAAATTTTCTGTGAAACACGGTTTTGTGTCTTCAATCGCAGTATTGACTCAAGATGAAGCTCACCGCTCTTCTGCTCCTCGCCTCCATTGTAACGGCCTCTCCTACCGTTTACTTCATCCGACACGGAGAAAAGCCAGCGGAAGGCAATGGATTGAATGCAGAAGGCCAGCAGCGCGCTCAATGCTTGAGAAGCGTTTTCGGTGCGAGCTCACAGTACAACATTGGCCACATCATGGCACAGACGTACAAGTCTAGTAAGTTACGAGCGATTCATGATGGTTTACAAGCTAATGTGACTCAGGTGGTGCCAGAAAGCGCCCGTACGACACTGTCCTGCCCTTGGCTCAAGATCTTGGTCTTACCGTGGACACGTCGTGTGACCGAGACGACAGCGAGTGTGTCAAGGACGTCGTCAAGGGCTACGAGGGCAGCGGAAACATTCTCATTTGGTAAGTATTTTTGTGTCCTTCTTAGAAGCTGGCTAACATCTTCAGCTGGGAGCACAAACGACTCAACAACCTTGTCAAGGAGCTTGGTGCCGATGATGTGGACAACTACCCCAGTGACAGATTCGACATTATCTGGACCGACCCTCCCAAGTACAAGGAGATTACTGAAGTCACATCTGAGAACTGTCCCGGTCTAGACGACTAGGCTCAGCCAGTTTGAAGTGCAAATCAAGTCCAGTGTGGCTCGATTGACCAAGATTGCGATGCATTTTATAGACTAGAGTACATTCGCAATAGAATTGTTCTCCAAAAACGTCTCCCATTCTTCCCAACCCATCGTCGAAGGTGAAAGCCACTGTTGCGGTGCCAAATTGTCGATTGGCTCTTCGAGAAACTCCAGCCCTGATCGATCAGAGCTCACCGCAGTTTCATGTGCAGGGCTGTCGGATGCCATCGAAGGAACCGAATGCTGACTCTCTTGAGGTGTGATGATACCACTACTGCCTGTTAGCGAGAGAAATGTCGTTGGATGCGGCACATACAGTAGCTTCTTCAATACCGGTGCGGCCTTTTGACAGACGGCACTCATTCCCGTTTTTACCATCTGCTCAAATATCTCGAGCGCCCCTTGAAGTTCACGACGCAAAGCATCTTTCGTTGATGCATCAACGCTTGTTCCACTCGTACAGATATGAGTCAGGCACACTGCAGCATGGAATGCATGGAAGCTGCCCAAGCCACGATTATACCACTGATACGGTCGGAACAGGGCATCCTCATATAGCGTCCGATGAATACTGAGCAATGCCTGGGAGCTCTCAATGCACTTTCTCTGCGACGTGAGAAGATTCTCCCTAGTATACCGCATGTCCACTGTACTGTGTCGTAGAATTGGTCTGTGTAAGAGGAGTGTGAGTTGATGCGAATACCCAAACAGGATGTTTAACTGAACAGCATGATGAACCGGGAGTGTCGTGTCAAACAAATACTTGTAATTGAGGACTTCCTGCAAAGCACAAATCTCAGAGTCGAGTGCTTGGATCGCGTCGTAAGAAGGCACATGGAACGCCCCAAAGATCTCACTACAGATGCGAGTGCAAAGGCCATAGAGGTCGAACTTGAGCAAGAGATATGACATCTGCGTTGGCCCGTTTCTTGAGACTGGCACTTCAAATCCAGCGACAAGTTCATCGTCGTTGACGTCCAATGGAGGCTTGACACTTGAAGGGGTGAATGTCGAATCCAGGTTTCCCAGAGTGGTATTTTGTATCGTGTAGAGCATGTTGAGCCCAGCCCAGCATCTTCGACGCTCCTCGACTCGTATCCGATCCATCCCAAAGACCGTAGGGTCGATGTGACAGCCGAGAGCCAAGGCAATGTTGCGTGCTGTGCCCAGCAGAGCCCAGGATTGTCCGTGGGTGTGATTAATGCCATAAATGAGGAGAACAACAGCCTGTAGCGTATTCAAATTGTGTCTCCAGAGGTAGTGATCAGCTTCAAGACACTTCATCGCTGCTCCTCGGTATCGACTGCTCAGCAGCGACGTGTTCTCAAGCGCCGAGTTGCGACGGCCCAGCTCACGGAGAAGAGGGCTATCTTCTGGCAATGCTATGACCGCGATGCTCAGGATGACAAAGAGGAGTGCGAGCCACGGGAGAGACACTTGCTCGGGGTCTGACTGGAAGCGGCGATAATCGGCCTCGAATGTCGGATCATGCAATATGTGAAAGAGCTAAACTGTCAGCATTTGCATGCCAGAAAGGGTGAAGACTTACAGGAGAAAACACGTCAAAGTACGTCCTCTTTAGCTCATCGCAGTGTGAAGTAGGCGGAAGAAGCTCAAGAAGCTCTGCAATAGTAGCGGTGCTGGTTGTGAATGGCATCGACCCAGTGTCGCTCCCGTCGAGGTCCGTCTTGATCCCATTAACATTGGGGTTGTCCCGAAGAATGGAGGACCAGCGTGAAGACGACGGCTCAAACTTTTCGTGTCCAGACTCGTATCGTATAATGATCCCAGCTGGTGGCGCAATTGAACTCGAAGAGACGCCCTTGAGCGGTGACGCCTCATTTCGCCCAGTGAACGAGCCCGCGGATTGAGGTAAAGTCGATTCAGGCGAAGGAAGATTCGATACAGATTCCTGAGGTTGCTGACTCGCCGAATTGGACACACTCTGTCGTAGTAGCTCCTCCAGTCTATCGATCCTCGCGACGAGTTCCGAGTTATCAACAGCCCCTGCAGCTGGCTGATTGTGTCGTCTGGGCCATTGATCACGGAGGTAAACGCATTCCGAAGTAGGGATCCCTCGACGAACGCAAGTCTCACAAGGTCCTCTCCCTCGGTTGATGTTTCGAGGACACTTGATCTTGCGTTCCCGACAGGGTTCACAACTGAGAGGCATACGACGACCGGTTGAGACGGGCATTTCGACGGTGACTGGGACAACTTAGAACAAGAAGCTAAGCAGGGGAAAAAGTCTGGGGACACACCCTTTTTATTAGACTCAGAAGAGTCCCCCGACATCTCCGCATTCCCCGCACATTCACTTGATGCCAAGAGGCGAACTCCCGGGACTCTTTCTGAGCATCATGATTCGTCAGAGGGATGTCAGCGAAAGCTGACTAACTTCTTCAAGTGGCAGTGGCTGAGTTGGGTTGAAACTGGGGCTGAGTTCGAAGCTGAACTTCAAAGCATCACAGCTGTTCCATCTTCCCGAGTCATGGGCTTCCCCCATCGCTTCTTTCGCGACAAAGCCCTTTGACAATGGATTCCTTCTCCTTTGCTTGGGGGTTGTCTTCAGACCAAGAAGCAACCTGGAATGCTGAGCTCTTTGTTGGCGTTGTGGCATTGTGTGGTGCTCTCCTGGCTTTCCTGTGGACACTCTATGACTCCCTGCCCTCATCCACTCGGGGATGGATTTGGAGATACCTATGGCTTTCACGAAGACCTACCGTACCAACAGAATGTACGCAACACCCCGGCTTTGTTTCTCTAACTCACACCTCAAAGTTATTGTTCCGTACTATCGCAACTCGAGATTCGTTGGAAGAGTAGAAATACTCGATCAAGTCAAGCGAAAGCTCATTATCCCCTCAAAACGGGGCATATTCAAGACACGGGGGATAGCACAACCACGAGTCTGCTTGTACGGACCTAATGGTGTTGGGTATTGCACTACTTGAACTGTCATGATATTATCTGACGTACGTGTATAGGAAAACCCAAATCGCTCTGCATCATGCCTACTCCCTCAAAGAAAGACAGCCGGATACATCAATATTCTGGGTTCAGGCCAACAACATAGAACAGCTTTACGAGTCATACGCCTCCATCGCCCAGAAATGCAACATTCCTGGATCCTCAGATATAGGATTCAACCCTCTAGATCTTGTCCCATGGTGGCTAGAGAAAAAGGCCAAATCACCATGGCTCATCGTTGTCGACGGCGCCGATGACATAGAGTCGTTCTTCCAGACAGACCAGGGGAAGAGAATGGCAGGCCTTGCCAATGCGGACGATACGAAACAACATGACATAGCGACGTACATGCCCAAGTGCAGCCACGGGGCTATCCTCTTTACCACGACGAATCCTGAGTCCAGCCTTTTCACAAGGACGTCGATGATAGAGGTTGGCGAATTAAACAAACATGAGGCGAGCCAATTGATACGAAACGCTCTGCGTTATTCAGATCCTCAAGAGGATGTGTATCTCCTCTCGCTTCGGCTCGGCTACATGCCACTTGCCATCACCTTGGCGATCTCATATATTAGAACGAACACAATCTCCATCGAGGACTACATCGACCTCCTAAGGCGAGTCCGGCCTAGCGTGATCGACCTACGCGATTCACTCGATGCAACAGATCCCAAGGAGCCAAAGCTACCACCAGAAGTCACTGCCACGTGCCTCATCTTGTTACAGAAGCTAGAGCGCGAAGACGACTTTACAAATGAACTTCTCCAGCATGTCAGTTTATTTTATCACCAGGGAATTCTACGGGTCTTTCTCAGTCGATATCCAACAGCAGAGTCACCCGACCCAATGTCAACTGACGCTTCACTGAGCAAACTCAAGAAGAGCTCTGCCTTGTTGGGGAGAGACGACGACATTCTTGAGATGCACAGACTGGTTCGGCTCGTCATCCAGAAGCTGCTGCTGCATAAGGGGGAGATGGTCAGAGCCGCCGATAAAGCCATGTCAGCGTTCTGGTGGTCTTACCCGTACGGCCAGCCCATCGCGCATTCGGCCCTTGCCACCTATCTCTTGAATGCATTTTCCATATTCCAATGCTACGAAGAGTTTTCTTGGGTAACTAAGGCACAGAAACTAGCTTTGAAGCAAACTCTCGAGGTGTATTTTGAATCCAGAGGAAGATGGGACGACATGGCGATGCGGTATGCTCAAAAAGTCGTCCAAAGCGTGGAGAAACTAGGCGAAGAGCACTCAGAAACACTGGACATTATGAGCAAGCTGTCCTTCGTTTACATGCATCAACGCCGATGGAAAGAGGCTGAGATGTTACAATCCTATCTGCTGGAAGTTAAATGTGTGGTTCTGGGCGATGGTGAGCTTTCCACAGCGATGAGCAGAGAGAGTCACAGATTCACATCCTCAAAAAGATGGCAGGTGAAGGAGTACACAGCTCTTCTGCTAAGAGATATTCCAGTGAAAGGTAAGGAAAAGGCGCATTCTCCCATGCTGGCAGCTCGACTGCCTGGGACTGGATTTCCGTGGGCAGCGTTGAAGCAGGACATTCTAGCCAACGGGGAGAACAGTAAGGACAAGGACAATTGACAGGCATTTTTCTAGGCTGACAACTCTATTAGAGCGACCCTCTAATCTGCCACAACTAGTCGACAACATCTCAAACAGGATACCAGTTCTTGGATCCCCCTCGGTCCCCGAAGGACAAGCTCGGGTTTGCTGGACCTGTGTAAGTCAGGCTACGTCAACATGTGAACTTTGGCTGATCATTCTCTAGTCTTGTGGGCAACAGCTCTTTGATGACTTCTCAAGCTCAACTCCCGAGTCCCTACAAGCCTTGCAGCAAAATCTACAGAATCACGACCTGTCATCTGGCGAGGCTCAACACAGTGGTAGCTCTTCCAGCCAAGGTCCAACAGGCCGTCCCAACCTCACATGGCCATGGCCAACATTTATGCCTGGGAATAACTTCAACAAGTTCTTACGACGGAAGAAAGAAGAAGCAACTACTCTTCCCATGCATACCAGTTCACAAACCCGGCAGCCCGCGGTCGACACAACCCCGTGTCTCTTAATGTGCATCGATCAAGGCCGTCATTTTACAGGACTTTACCAACCTGTGCTACAAAACGTCGAGGATGACACACAGCTCTTCCAGTTTCTACGAGAGAAAGTTTCCCGGCATCGAGGTATCGGGTCATGGTTTACATTCAGGAGTGTCAGCGCGATTTCTCTAACCAGAGTATGTCTTCGTCAGAGCTCCCTTTCACTGCTAATAGTTCCCAGTTTGAAGCAGACAACAGCCAATTTGCTGAAGTCCACCGCCACAAGGAAATCTGTGGAAAAGACTGCGTGTGCATTCCCCCACCTGAAAGAGTCCGAAATGACGAATACGATTGTTCGCCATCACCAACAGTCAAACCAACCCAAGTTCCCGTCATCGGCACAAACCGTCTAACCCACTACTTTCTAAAGCCTCATGCGTTCCACGGACCTCAAAGAACGATACTCGACCAGTTACCGAAAAGGGCACGGGGACCATTGAGCACTTCACAAGACAGGATGCAACTTGGGTGGGGTATTCACATCCAGGAGGGCTGGCATTGGAGGTCCATCTACTTTGTCGTGCTGTTGGTCTTTGTCATCGGAGGACTTGTTTTCGGAATCGCCTGGTCCGTTGCCAAGAAAGATATCCAGAGTGCGTTTTCTATCGCAGCTACCTGGGTGGCGATGGCTCCTTTGTTATTTGGGTGGATTGCGGTCAGAGATTTGCAATAGCAGGGTAATGAATCATGATTTATATCCACGACCTATACATTTAATTGAGAATAAGAGAAACTCCTTCTAGATCCAACTTTTCCCATTCCGCTGCTATTACTTCTCCACTTGCAAGTCGGTATGCAACACCATCCTTCCACTCAACCCAGAGCACAAGGTATAACTCCTTCTTAATAAGCGGGAGTCCAAATCCCCTTTCTTCTCGATTCCATGTCTTGGAACATCTTTTCAGTTTGCACACCGCTACCACATCAACTAGTAGCCCTTTCTCACTTTCATTCACACACTCGGGGAAAAAATCCCACGAATCCTTGTTATTTAGGTGCAACTTTCCAACGGCCTTTCCTAATCCATCACAAAGCTTTGCTTCGAGCTCACACGAGTATTGCAACTGATCGGAGTCCTGTTGGTATCCTGATAGTTGGGCTTTGACCGTCTCGCAGAATAGATATTCGGTCTGCTCTGGCATGAAGGGAGGTGTTGATTCCTGGATATCTCCCACAGGGAATGGGTAGTACCACTCCAATGGCCTCTCCCAGTTTTCAAGCAGAGCCTCATGCTGAAAAATATATCTATCACACCCATCAGGGTAGAGGCGAGGCTCGTTGTGAGGTGATGGCACTGTGACGGCATCTCGGCGCGTCCACCCAGAGGGCATAGGTTTGGTGAAATCTTTATAGCCATCACGTTTCTCGTACCAAGTCGACCGAATTCGTCGTCTTCGCTCTGGTGGATCGGTCGGTGACCTGCTTGTGTACCACTCGGTGATGGGGAATGCTTCTTCAACATAGCCATCAATGGTAATGTAGCTGCTGTCGACCCGAATCGCTGTCTGGCAGCGCGTATCGACCGAGCCTTTCCAACCCAACCACGACCACGAAGGAAGGCCAGAGGATGTGAATTGATCTTCGATAGGTCTTCCTGATGGGATGCGGCGTTGGAGATCACCATTCAGATCAGGTCGCCAGCCTAGACTATGCTCGAAGAACATCTCTGGAATTCCATACAGAAATCCTCCTTGGAAGGATCGACCGAAAACTGATAGCAGGCCAGAGACAGCTGGAAGAGCATCTTCATCGAAAGTTAAAGACCTTTGGTTGTATGCATCGAGGTATCTGCGAAGAGACGAGTCATCCGGGAAGCCAGCCATCACGATGTTGGAATGAGTAAGGGCTTCTTCATCAATCTCAGTATATGAAGTCAACTCCTCATGCCAGACACTGCATCTGCACACCCAGTGAAGCTCAAGATTGTTGAAGATGATCTTTCTCTTCGCCATTGCATATTCTTGAAATGTCCAACCTCTGTGATAGTAAGGTTGGGGAAAACCAGGGAAGAAAATCATCTCGTCCAGATGGAAAGTGTTCCGAACAACAAGTCTCTCGTCCCCAAAGGGAATGATATTTTGGCTCATCCCTCGAGGGTTAGAAATACCCTCAAGGCCAGGTAAGCCAGACTCAGAGTCACCGTCTGTAGCAACAATAGTCACAATAGCATTGGCATAGATAGCTCCCATTGACCCCAACTGCTCAGAAGCAGCGTCGGGGTCGTGGTGAGTGATACAGAGTGCATCAGCCCACAAGTACCTCTCATCAATGAATGAAGTAAGATACATGGCGTGGCGAATGATTGGTGAGACACGGTCTGAGAATTCTGTGGTTTCCAAAGCGAATGGCTCTTGTAGTCTTGCGAAGTCGCTCGTAGTAATATTCGGCTTTGTATGATTTCCGTAAGTGTAGCTTATTGCCACATAGCTGCTGGGGATATGGCCAGGGACAATGCATTTCCTCTGCACATCAACTAACCAAGCGGGTCGAGCAGGCCAGACTTTGAGAGGGTTTTCGCATTTGGCGCCATGGGAGAAAACGCATTTGTGCTTCCACTTCTTAATGATTTCGATATCAGCCCAATCCGGTTCTAACAAGCGCCCGTTGCCTGGATGGTTGGGAACGCAGTCTTTTTTCACCAATAGTAGGTTCCAATAATAGCCTCCCTTGGACAAAGATTGGTTGATAGTTGTGCTGAAGCCTTTCTCTGATTTCCGAAATCCCACGTCAGTCATGTTGAAACTTTGATTACGAGGTTCCATAGAGAGGACATAATCAATGAATCTTTGCATTAGTGCTTTGTGGTTCGGACACGTGGTCGACAGAGCTTCTTCATAAGATCCAAGATTGACCTCAGGCGCAGATTCGGGATCTGCGAATTGGTGCCAGATAGCCTTGCAGGTTGGGCAACTAGATGCCCATTGTGGAAAGTTGTCTACGAGACTTGATGTTTCAGATAGTGTAGCCATGATCCGTGAAGCACGAAAAGGTAAAATATCAAGAAGAAAAGGCTTTACTCAAATCATGTCTCCCGAGGTGTTTTTATTCCCCTATCCCTCTCCGCTTGACCTCACTGCTCTGTCCCACCAAGGCCCCTTCAAACGTGACACGGCGCATCATGCTACCCCCAAACTCCTGGCAAGCCACCTCAGCTCGACTCGGACAGCGTCAGAACGTGCAGTTTGGACGGCACAGTGCATGACTATTCTAGCGTGCCATAGGCTTGAGCGTCAGGCAGCAATAGGCCGATGCTACTGTATTATTGAGGCTTAGGTATGAGTCTTACATGTGTTACGGCTGTATTAGTTCTGTTGAGTTGCTCCAAGGCCCCCGCCCCCTGGCCATGTGCAGCCTTTTGAACAAGCAATAGGCCGATGCATTTCCGCTATTACTGTCTGAGAACATGCCGCATCCTGCCTGTTTTATCCGCCTTGGCTGCTGCCAGGAGATAAGCAACTCATTGGTCTTTTTCTGGGGGAGGACGGGAGGCTCGGTTACAACCAACACCTGCAATGCCGCAGTAAGTTTGTTTGTTTTAAATATAACACACACCATCCAACGGGCTCTAGGCAATCAGCACGGGGTCGGGCCGGTTTTCCCCACTACAATTGGATCTGACAAAGGTGTGCGGGTTAAACGATGCTGCTATTAACTTTATCCTTGAAGCATAAGGGTGTGGTTAAGTCTAGCGGAGAGGAGAAGTATTACCCATCCTATTATAACAGCCTGGTTTACAAACGTTTGGATTCCCCCTTACTTCCGTTCCCCCAACCACATCCTCAATCTGACAGCCAAAGACTCTTTGCAGTCGAGGGCTTACAGATTCCCATCTTTCCCAAAGGTCCAGCAGAGTTGGTCGTCGCACAAGCCCAAGTACGCATATTGTTATCCCTCAGAATACCCGCCCCAACAAGCTTAGCACATACCCCTGGATGACTCGCGTCCAAGAACTCAGAGATGCTGGTCGCGAACGTCGTGGCACTGACTCCGCCTTCACGCGTGATACACCACAAATCCGGATCCTTCTTCATCTGAGTGAGCTGGCCCACTTTAACAGTATCTTCGTGCGACAAGACATCTCGAGTCGTCTCGTTGACGGCGCAGCGGTGGATGTGAACTTGTTCGTGCGTTCGAGCCCTCCACGAGTTGAGCACCAGCGCCTCCCTCGATGCGTCATAGTTCTTCTGAGCAAAGAACCATCCTTGGTCACCGAATGCGCGGTTTACTTGGTTGCTCATATCAAGAATACCCGAAATCAGCCTGTTGGTGGTGGTGAGGTTATCGTGACCAGGAAGAAGCGCCCAGATATCATCCCCGCCGACTTGAATAGGTGTATTGGTGGTGCAGTCGCCGTGCTTATTCTTGAGACATCGGCAGAGAGAGTTGAAGAAGAGGCCACAGCCTTCGCATGTGACCTCGCTTTGCTTGCAGGTCGTGTCGCAGACCTTGACGTTCTTGGGAGCATCATGACCGCAAGCACCGCAAGGGTGGTCTTTACACCCTTCGGCTGGAGGGGGACACTCGCATGAGTCGACCGTCATCTTTTCAATGTCGGTGCTTGTACATTCGACGGGGCCACGTGGCAGGACAGTGCTGTGGAAGCCTTCGAAAGGGGGTTCAGCCATGGCAATGGTTGCCCAGAAGGCAAGGGCGGTGTAAACGATAAGCATGATGCGACGGGTACGAATTCAGTAGTAGTTCGAATAGTGTTTGGTATGGCCTGGGGCTGAAGGGAAGAAGTGGAAAGGGGAGGGACCGAAGGGGGACTTTTTATACATGATCTGTCCTTCGTAGAGTTCTCAACGGTCGTCGTTTGCGGGGGTTTAAACTCAATTGCCCACTCTTGCACGTCTATAATCTTCAAATAACGATGTTAATTCCATTGTTCAAGGCCTTCTTGGCAATATCCCACTCTTCGGGCTGACGTTCGGCGAGACTGTTGGTGAGAACTACGGATATCTCCAGGGGCGGCTGACAGGAGGTCACAGGGTTCTCATCCGCGGGAACTTCCTTCTCCTCGACGCTTGGCGTTCAATGCCGGCATATCTCAGCCGGGATATCTAGAATTCTTCTCATGATAAAGATTAACATGTATTATCGTCCTTGCTCAACGAGAACTTGCTCGCTTACTCCGGGCCCAAGCCAAGCCGCATCCTCGACCGGCATACCAAGCAACCCGGCCCTGGTCGGTTAGACATCCGCAGATCCTCAAATGCCGGCATACAAAGGGGGCTATAGACTCTCACTCTTGGCGTTACCGCTGAATGGCCAGGTGTAGACATCTAGTTCCTTCAAGAGCGAGAGATGGGGGTGACGAGGGTTCCGATTAGGTCTGTCACGTCCAGGAGTTTCGCAACTGACAATGGCACTGCACTTTTCTAGTCACAGATGTTGTGGCTTCCACGACACTCTGGTCCGCCTCTGCCAGCTCTCTACGCATCAGCATATCGAGCCGACCAAAGTCGATATTACAAACTCGTCCACCATGGATCCCTAGGTGTGTGCCAGCCTCAAGCAGTTGAGGTAGTCGACGAATGTATTTTCACCAACTTCCTCCATGCCTTAGGCTCTCTTTTCATATACGTTTGCAAGTTCATTTGATGTTGTAATCTTGAGGCGCCGTGAATGATCTCAACTGGATGCTTGGGGTATAGCCGTCTTCAGTTCTGTGGCAAGTTGAACACAGGAGCGAATGGGATCAGGACAAAATAATAGTTTTAAGATATCCTATTTATATAAATGATTCAATCCTCGACCTGGCAGTCTTCCCTGTGTAAAGGCGACATCGTGAATGCATCTACGGGAGTTGTGTGGTGGATGACGTAAGATGGAAATAATGACTGCTGCACAACCACCATGAACTCCATCGCAACTCTTCCCCCTCTATCTAACTTGGCGATTATTAGATTGGACATTCCCCATGTCCAAAATGCCTCTCACACCTCTCTCATCCCTCCGCGTGTCCAAACATCTAATCCCAGCCCACGGCCTCATCCCCAACTGCAGCATCCAGAACAAACCCCTCCTCATCTACCACTCCGCCTTCCAACGCCCCATCTCAGCAACAAGAATCGAGTCACACCTCTCCTCCGTGGGAGTAGTGATCCCTCAATGGCGCTTCACCATGTACACGACGACTCACTTCCACAGCACGTCCCACGAGGTTCTTTGCATCAGCCATGGTCGAGCTCGTCTGTGTTTCGGTGGCGAGGAGAATGAAGATCGTGTTGAGCCTGTGGTAGAAGCTGGAGACGCTGTTATTGTACCGGCGGGTGTCGGACATCGACTTTTGGAAGACTTGACTGGTGGGTTTGAGATGGTGGGAAGCTACCCTGAGGGTCACAATTGGGACATGTGCTATGGCAAGTCGGGCGAGGAGGAAAAGGTGAATGCGATCAAGGATTTGGAATGGTTCCCACGAGATCCCATATATGGAGATCAAGGGCCAACGAAGGGCATCTGAGTCTGGGTGTAGTGCGTATATGTTGGTGTGATGTTGTTGTGCCTGGAATGAGCTATTGGCGATACCAGAACGAACAACTTTAATGTCCGGAAAGCTTTCTTTCAAAGCCATGTGAATGTTTGCCTGTCTTTCCCTCAGTCCATCATAGGCATCTACGACAGTGATAACTCGTAGCGAGACAAGGGCGTTCTCACAAACGCTCATCCACTTCACCAGCAAACATGAGCACTTGGGTATACGTCTACAGCAGCATCGCATCAATCATGGGTCAATAGTACAGTGACATGGACATCAATTCACATACTCAGTATCTCACATGCAACCATCCACATTACACATCCCCTCATCCATTAATCCCCCCCCAATTATACTACAAACAGCTTAATAGTTCATGACAACAGCGGCACCACCAAGCAAAGCACCAAGCGCAATCGCAGCCGTAGCATGAGGAGCAGCCTCAGTCGAAGTAGAAGTAGCAAGTCCGGTGACCTGCTCAGTACCCTGCGGCACACCCGAGGTGAAGGGAACGCCGACGTCGCTGGCGGAGCTGGCGCCGGAGAAGGCCGGGGCCTGAGTCTCGGCGGTGGGGTTTGCCGTGGCGGAGGGGTTCTCGGGGTTGAGCACACTATACAAGAGTTAGTAAGATTGATGTGTAGAGAAAGTGGAAAGAGGCTTACCCGTCAATGACGTGGAGGACACCGTTAGCAATGAGGACGTCAGGAATGACAACCTTGGCCTCATTGACAAAGACATCACCGTCGTGGATGGCAATGTTGATCTCCTCACCCTCAGAAGTTCTAAGAGTACCGTTCTTCAGCGTGCTGCTGTATCCGACAGTACCGTTGACAACGTGGTACTTGAGAATGCTCTCGAGGTCATCGCTGCTAAGATCACCCACGACGGAACCAATATCAGCAAACGCGGCGTTGTTGGGAGCAAAGACAGTAATGTTCTTCTCCTCGACGACATCCCCTCCGATGTCAGCCTCAGTAAAGGCACCGACGACGGCAGAGAGATTGGCAGCGATGGCAGTGTCGGTGAGGTTCTTGGGGATGCTAAGGACGCGGTTGGTGATGTGAATGGTACCGCCGGTGAAGTTGAGGTTCTACTTGGTCAGCGACGAATTGTCAAGAAGGCGGACAACTTACAGCCTCGGTCACATTGGACTGAGCACGGAATCCACTGTAGAAGCTCACAGTGCCATTAGCAGAAACAGCCTCAACGACCTGTCCGCTGGTGACATTGGTGTAGGTCTCGTTGGTGAGCAGCGTCTTGACAAAGGCGGGTGTGTCGGTAATGTTGCTGGCATAGTATGTGCCATTGAGGACGTGGTACTGGAGGATAGCACCAATCAGGCCAGGATCCGCCGCGACCTGCTTCGCAACAGTGGTATCATTGAGAAGCGCCTCAAGGGCATCGTTGCTGGGAGCGAGGATGGTAATGTTGCGAAGCTGGGAGAGCGTTCGGGCAAGACCAGGCTGAGCCCTGATGAGGCCTACAAGAGTAAGCAACGACACAACAACAACCCTATCCGGACATACCGTTCAGCTCAGAGAGGGTATCATTCTTGGAGTCGAGGGCATCGGTCAGAGAAGTGCGGCTCTGAGCCGAAGCAGCGCCAACAAGGGCAAGAGAAAAGAGACTGAAGGGCTTCATGGTGTGTATAGATTCACAGGAACTCAAAACCTAGCTTCTGATCAAACACTTCTGGACAAGAAAGGGAGACACGAAAAAAAAACACAGAGGGAACACTCGGCTTATGAGCTTCTCAAACAAATGGGTACCATGCCAGCAACAGTCTTGGCCAATTCATCACTAGCCAATAGTCAAAGACACATCCTCTATCTCGACCAGTCTCCTCTCAGCGGGAAGTACGAAACAAAAAAGTCAATGACATAGCCAAGGATTTCTGCGTCATGCACTAGCTCCAAAGACGTGACTTGTTGTCTCATGGCGCGAGGCTGTACAACTCAGACGATTGCCAAGAAACAAGATATGCGAGCCAAGGGGCAAGGGTTCCATTTGAAAGAGGGAGCCGACGGGAATTGAGGGCATCGTAGGAGGGGGACATCCATCGTCGACACACGAGACAGACGTGCCGAGAGGAAGGCCAAGCGCAATTGCATCAAAACCAAGAATTCCATGCGCTATCCGTCAAATGCCATTGCTTAGAACCTGTTTTTCCGTCCTTGTCGCGACTCTTGAGCCGTCACCGACGCGCAACCGACAACCACCATCACCACCAGCAACAACGGGAACCTCCTATGAATCAACCAATTGCCGACGTCTTGTGTGTATCGGCTCAGCCCAGGTCCAGACTCCAGGCAAATAAAGGCCGCGGCAATGTCGTCCCCATCCTCCCCTCCACCGGCTGCCCAGAGCCGGAAACCCCACTCCCCGCCATTTATACACGTCGATCCGGTCGCTTCATATCGTCATAGACCTTCCCTCAGGTATCGCAGCAGCACAGCTCGGCTGTGGGTGAACATGGCCAAACAATCGCCTAAAAAGGCGTGACATGGTCCAAGCCCAGAAGCCAAGCCTCGGCATGGTTAAGACGGCATTTCAGCTTATGGACAAGATGGGTTGCACCACGTCTCTGGGAATCGAATCAGCCAAGGCACGTCTCGTCTCGACGATGCATGCGTGCATCTAGACCACGTCGAAGATCGGCTTGGCCAGCTTGGGTCAGTTGTTTCTGACCACTTCAGCTCTCCCCGCGCCTCAAAAGCTGTCGCGGCCTCACCAAGGCCCTGGTTCTCTCGTCTTTTCCGATTGGCTTCCCAAGAATCAATAGGATGGAAGCATCATTAACCTCCACCTAGTCCAATTGGCAATATTCATAGAGGCGGGCCAAAGGGATCCGCATTCTCCAGCTTCACCCGCTTCGTCTCCCTCACGAGGTCGTCTCCAAACACAGAACCGTCATTGTTCGCCGCCGTCTTCTTTTCCTTATTCATAGCTTGTTCTCGTCTCGCTCGTTGAAGATTGACCAGGTTCGCTCGATCGGGGTCTCGACATTTCTGCAGCTTCTTTCGGAGAGGCTTCATTGCTTTGACAATTTCGGGCTGGATTCGTTAGCAGATGCATCCAACGCAGGTGAGAAACATACCGTTCCCCAATAATCCGTCATTCTCTCTGGGGGCTCCTCCTCGAGCATCTCACGACAGCTCTGAATCGCCCCCAAGATCTTGTCGCGCATGCTTGCCAACACAGCAGCCTGGCCTGTCTCACCATTCGGCAAAGGAATCAAGACATCCAGAAGCCCACGGTCCACCATAGACACTGCCGCCATCATAATCTGGCTGGGAGTGTAGTGGAAGTAGGCATCTGTGACCAACGGACTAAACTTGAGAATCTCTCGCGCGCGAGCGTGTACTCTGTTGATCCGTGACTCTTCATCAGGCACCTTCCTCCGCAACTCCAAAATCGCACCCTCGAGGGCTCTGAACGGGTGCCTAACGTCAAAGGCGAATCGAATCCCCTGACAAAGCAGAAACTCTCCAGCCAGGATCTGCTCCCCAGTTGTATTGGGAAATTTTTCCGAAAAGGCATTCAGCTTGTAAAAGAAGCCCTCAGCCTTGCACCCAAAGAACAGCGACGTCTTGAGGAGCTCGGGAGCCGGGTATGTCATGACCGAGTTGGTCACGTAGAATCGTCGCAGGAAGATGGCGGCGGTCGCTCGGATCTCGGTGGGGAGTTCGCAGAACTGGGCGGCGCGGATGAGCTCGACGGTGAAGAACTTGACGAGGCGGACCTCTTCCTCGGCCGTGAGAAAGTCGGGAGGAGGGTCGGCAGAGAGTCGCGGCGCGATCTGCTCTCTTGCTAGCGAGTTTGTCTTTGCGCGCAGCTCTTGGAGATTTGACGGGGTGAAGGACCAGAGCCGATACTGGCTTGATTGCCGGTAGCGCTCGTCTTCGGTCGCCATGATGCCTGTGTTTGAGCGGTGGAAGGTGTGAAGAGTGTAGAAGGCAAGTTGGAAGAGCTTCAAGTTCACATGCTGATCTCCATATTCCTGATGTCACGTGACCTATCTTATCGCATCGCATCGCAGAGGATCTCATTATGTCTTCAAAATCGTATTCTTTTCGCATCATTTCAAATGTCTTAACAATGAAATCAATTAGTCCCCGAGGACAGAAAAACCTTCCGTCGCGTTCAACGTGACTCTAATCCAATCTTGCTAACCCAGATGACAACACGAGACCTAACGCCACCCAAGACCCAAGTTTACCCAGTTCAAAAAGAAAAAACATCAAGTCCACTCATCAAGCATCAATATCCAAGATTCTCCCTTCGAGCAGGAGGAGGAGGCGGGGGCTTCTTGGCCCTGTTGGGAGGAGGTGGTGGTGGCTTCTTGCCCAGAGCCAGGGCACTCGTGCTGCGGCTCAGGCTTCCATAGCTTGTTGCAGGGCTGGCGCTTCTGCGGTCGCACCAGTCTGGGCTACCGCTTCGACTTGTTGAGACATCATCAGAGAATACATCGTCGTTGTGGCCGTTTCGACCATAAGAACCACCATCAGTCACGACCCGGGAGAGAGGAGCACCAGGAACGCGGAGGTTGGCTAGGGGCGTAGGCGAGCGGGCCTCAAAGGTGTTGGCCCTGGCAATGGCTGGTCGTGGTGGCTGAGGAGGAGGTGGTGCAAGACGACTACCGGGAGAACGATGAGGAATGCGGACAGGTTCAGGCTCAGGCTCGGGTTCCTCGTAGACAGCCTGGTGACGAGGCTCCTGCCAGGATCGAGCAGTGTTGGATCGGCTTCGGCCAGGCCGAGGTGCAGTTGTGGGAGAAGCAGCAGCACCTCCAGCCCAGCTCTGCCTAACACGGCGAAGCTCCTCAGCGCAGCGCTCATGGTAGTCGAGCTCAGCGTCGAGGAACTGAGTAAGAGCAGCAATGTTCTCAACCTCGGACTCCTTAATATCCTGCATGCGGCGGAGGACGTCCTCGCTGGTCTCCTCAAACTTGGCCTTGTTCATGCGGACCTCTTCTTCGATTCGGAAGTCGTCTCGTCGGGCCTTGGCCATCTTGTTGGTGCTGGCGTCATAGGCGAGACGTCGGTTCTCGAGCTTCTTGCGGGTGTTCTGTGCCTGTTAGCTATGAATGATTCATGGGCGTCGAGGGGCTGAACCTACCTGGTACTCTCGCATCATAGCCAGGCTCCTCTCGAGGTTATCCATCCAAGTAGCATTGGCACAGTCGACATAGCAATCCTGGATGCCGGCAATGCGCTCGTTGGCGCGACCGAGGGACAGGAGACAGTTTCCAAACTCGGAATCCTGCTCAAAGTCCTCTCCATGGGTGGCCATGGTGCGGCCAAGGTAGGAGATGGGAGAACCACGCTCCTTGTCATCGAGGAGCTCATTGCGACGGGAAATCCACTTGACGTAGGCTCCCATGGATTTTTGCATGCGCTCCATGCCTAGAAAGGTCAGTTAAAGCCATGACTGGCGATTAGAGAGGACGAACCATCATGTCTCAAAGCCATCTCTTGCTCGAGGTTCTTGAACTCGTCCGAGTGGCCGGTTCGGGCCTCGGAGCCCATCTTCTCGCCGGCCCATTGAAAGGCGCGGTCAATCTTCTTTGTAAAATGCATCTTTCGTTACAGTCAGGTCCAGCAAGGTATTATCGGTGTGTCGTCTCTGATCAGGTCGGATCCAGTCCGATCTGGAAGTGTGTATCCGCGGGGTCGTCTGGCGCCGTCGCTATTATTCTTTAAGAGCAAGCAGTTTACAAGCAAGTTATCCAGCGATGGACGAAACGAATGATGGGAGAGATGAGGAGGAGAGGAGATTGACCGGAAGAGCAGTCAAGAGGAGCGAGCGACGGGGTAATGAACCAAATCCCAGCAGCAAGGGGTTGGGTTAAGCAACAAGGGCGTCTCTGGTCTGTCTGTCTCGTGGCGAACTCCCAGTCTGTCTACCTTAGGTACTCGGGGGGCGTACGAATTGGGAGGATGCGACGTTGGGTCCATAGAACTCGAGTGGGTGAAGATGGACAGGGGTGACCGTAGCGGAGGTTGGGGAGAAGAGGCCCAGCCCGCCCAGTGCCCTTTACAGTGTCTTTAATTGGCAAGCCCCCTGAATAAGGTACTGACCTACAGGGCAGGTCGAGGGGCCATGGCACGCCTGGGTTGCAGTCTATCTTATCGCCCTGCAGTAGCCCGAAGCCTCTGTGCCTCTGGTCTGCGTGGGCAGGAACTGCTGCGAGGAGGCGGGGGAGAGTCGCAGTAGATGAAGCCAAGCCATGATCCATGGGTTGTGTTTGATTAATCGAGATATACCGTCATTGCTGTCTATCTACCTGAAGCAATGCTCGAGGAATCAGGTCGTGTGTGTGAAACAAGGCCCAAACGGCAGTATATAATCAAACACCCAACAGCTGTCATTAAAGCCCGCTCACCTCATGAGAAAGAAAGAAAGAAAGGAAAGCAATCAATGAAAAGGCGGCAATAATGTTGAGCCTAAAATGGTGCCATGTACCAATCTTGGCAGCCCATCCATCGAACAAAAAGCACCAGCCAGAATGCATGGCACGAGTGCAGGAATTGAGGCGGCAAAATGCCCGGACAAGGCGATCTTCTTGACACCACCTTTTTCTCAGAAGGATTTTTTTCTAACCAGAATTCCCCAGAGCCTCGTTCCATCGGTTCCCATAGGTTGTGGATAAGGGATAGGCGCCGTCGAGAAATGTCGCGCGCCTAGCGACAAACCTTTTGGCTCGTATTGTCCATTCGATCTCGAGGTATTGCGTCGACATGACACGAAAAGCTTACGTTGACAGACGAAACAAAAGAAACAGAGTGAAAAATAGAAATTCACCGTTTGTTCGTACTCGCAGCTGGTACAGTCATCACTGATACGAGTACGGGAGTTGGGTTGGCGGGCGAGCATGGATGGCACTTCTTTATGCCCCCTCCACCTCCTCCTCCTCCTCCTTCGCAAAAGAACCCCTGAGACAACGGTGCCAATAACATGTGTGCTACCGCTACACTAGGAACGGGAGCTGTCTCCGTCTGTGACAAAGCCAAGTTCTGTCTCTCTCCACTCACTGACCAGTTCTCTCTCCACCAAGAGACATGCCTCCCACACACACTGGCCCTTTGTCGCCCTGCTCAGGCCCGCTCTTCCTCCACATTCCACCATCTCCCCAGCCCCTGGGGACGGATGTCCTTGCGATAGACAGACGTGACAGACCATGGCACAAAGCAAAGGCCATGATCCGAATCATCATGACCATCCATGGGGTGATGCATCAGGCAACTCAATCACGTCTCTTTTTGTCAGTCCTAGAGTTCAAGACCATCAAAGAAGCATACTTCCAAACATGCCTACCTGCAGATGAAGCCAGCCTTTCCAGTTGAGGCTTCGTTCCGCTGGGACGGGACGCGCGACACCACCCACTCTGTTCCGTCAAACTCTCTCTGCTTGTCGACACCCACTTGCCGATCCTCTCCAACAGTTCTGCACCGTCGGGCCGTTCAATCCGCTCATATTCTCACGCTCCTGTCGGATATCCGTCACCTTGAACCCCGTCAAAGAGCCGCAGATATCAGCAAGGGTCATCACGAGGGGAGTGACCTCTTCTTCTAGAATGCATCATGAGCTTTTTCTCCCCAACCTCCAGCCTTGTTGGGGATAGTCTTGAGCTGCCAGACGATTGTGCCTAAAAAGGCGCTCGTCCACGGCGGTCGGTTCGCCCCCTCAGAAAAAGCTCCGGTCCACTCTGCCGGGATCCAGACCATTCCTCCAGTGCGATGCGGTGCCCTCTCCGCCAACAGTGGGAACGGGCTTGCGTAATCGAGGAGTGTCTCGAGTGAAGCAAGTACAAGCTTTCTTGGAGATGGCCCTGGACACGAGGGACACAGGGACACAAGAAGCTGATCTGCCAGATCTACAATTTCTGTCGCGTTTCACCCTGAGCAGAGCCACGCCCAATCGCCCACCCACCGGAAAGCTTGGCCAGGCGCCAAGTCACCTACGGTAGCTTCCCCAGAGTTCAATGGTTGCCCTAAATAAGTCGCCCTGGCGCGCGCCAGAAGAGACGAGACGTGCGTCGGTTGTTGGTCGATCCATTTTCATGTCCCAGACACCTGCACTGCCTCGCCGAGATCTACCGTCCACATTACGATCCGCGGGCCCCGTGAAACGTCTTGCGTGCGCATTCTTGAGACGTTGCGTGGCACGGACCGATATAGGGTATTCCTGCTCCCGGCGATCAGAGAGTTGATCATCATGGGATGTGATCTGACATGGCTTCTGATGACATCCATGGCTTGAACTCGGCGTGAAGACAGATGAGTTGAAGAGTTCTGTAGGCTCTAGTCTACCCCAGGAGTCCGGTTCTCTTTTTCCCTATCCCAGTGACTAGCAACGATACGCTAAAACAGTATCTTGTTGAATGTTGACCGAGGATAGCGTCGGTACGTCAAACGGTAGAACAAGTTGGAGGTTGGTTCCCGAACATCGGCTCCCTTGAGCATCAGGCGAGTCTCACCCTGGAGCCGGAACGACTCAGTCAGGGCAAGCAAGACATGACGGCATTTGATCCATCCGGTGCCTCGTTAATTCGGTGTCCCGGGATACTATTGCCAAGTAATGGCACGGGAGCGCTTAACAATGAGGCTGTGTGTTCATACCCGTATCCCTGCTCTCGTTTACAATACTTTCTCTGATGCTCCGCGTATTCACTATTCGTTACGGCGTACCCCTTCCTTCAATTCCTTCGTCCCTGCATACAATACTTGGCGATCGTGCTCGTCATCACACAAGTAATTGCTAACCAAGCCGATTACTCCTCCATCTCAATACCTACACTTCCCGCAATATCCGCACTCTTGATCGCATGCCGTGTAATCACTCATCTCCCCATCGCTATCAGAAAGCGTGGCCAGGAACTCTTCCCAACGTGTCGGATCCGTCAGGTCAAGCTTCGAGTCCCTCTTCTCCAAGCTTGAACCCTTGACGTCCTCATTGCCCAGCCAGGCCTCCCATTCCTTTCTGACAGACGCAGAAAGGACATCGCCCGCGCCCGACAGCTGCTTGCGAATCTCGAGAGGACCGTCAGTTGACCACACCAGCTCAATCTTGCCACCGGATGCACGCGCGCGGTCGATGATGAGGTGGAGTAGAGCCACGAGTCGCTTAAGCGATGGCTGGTTGAGCTCTTCCCACTTATCAATGTCATCCCTGACATTCTTGATCTCGATGTTTTCGTTCTGAAAATGACCCTTCTCGTGGTACGCAAGGATAAACTGCGTGACCTGAGAAATCCACAAGCGTGGGAGCTGATCACCGAGAGTGTCCCTGGATCTAGCCACGACTGATCGAGTCTTGAGGTCAAAGATGGCCTCTTGAGGGACAGTTTCACCTTCTTCAGAGACCTTGAGATCGCATGTCAAAGTTGGCAGAGGCTTGGTGAGAGCTAGGCCCTTGATGTCAGCGAGGGCGGCTGCTACTGTAAACGGACGGCTTTGTCGTCGCTGTGATTTGGACTCCTTGATGAAGCCATCACCTTCGAATCGGACCATCATGTCAAGACCGCCAAAACGGTACGCCATGATTCTCTGATGGGATGTGGATCGCCTGACAGCAGGGTCCCAAGTGGTGTATGCGTCTGGAAAGGTATGGCCATAACCTCTGACTCCTGGAATCAGCTCTTTGGGAGAGTTCTCTCGCCGGATGAGATGTACAGTATCGCCGACGAGTTCGACAAGAATGCGGAATGGGCGGTCCAGGTCAACGCCTCTAACGAAGCGCAAGAGGTTGCCGATTGTGCTGCCACAAGCGACAATGTTGACGGGCATGGGCTTGGGATTCATCTTCATCACCGAGATAATGGCTGGCTCCAAAGGGTGCTTCGGGTATGAAGCAGCGTTCATGTCACGGTAATATTCGCCGGTGTCCCAGGGGAGTCGTCTTGAGACTCTGGGAGGCGTCCATCTGGGAGGTTGACCTGAAAGAGTCAGAGATGCTTGAGAGTAGATGAAGTTTGTGTGAGAGCAGACGTACCTGGGACAATGATCTCTGGCGATGATGCGCTGACCCAGTTGTAGGACGCAATGAGCGTTGTATTTGAGATCTCTGCACGGTCGGACTCGTATTGAGTGACATCCAGGTCATCTCTGGTGATGCTCTCAATGAGATCGCCGAGAGGGGGTGGTGGTGAAGGCGTGACCACCAGCGGTTGTTGAGGCCGCCCACGGGTACGCTGCCAAGAGCTCATGGTGAGGATGAAGAAGAGGAAGGTTGGTAGTGAGCCGTAACAAAAGGAATTATGATAGATGTGTTTATGATGTGCTCTCTGTCTGACAAAAGAAAGGCGAAAGGCAGAAGAAAGCACGTCTTTATCTGCATTCACCCGCGTCACGTCACTCAAGGAGGCCGACCACAACTAGGCATCCTCCGCCATTGCTTCCACCGGTTTTGCATTAAATACACTTTGATACATCATCTATTTACTGTTGTTCGCAACTGCGTCAAACCAACACTGCGGTGGATCTTTATATGTGGGAGGCCGACCGTTGGCATCACATTCAGCGAATGAGCCACCTCCGTTGGCCGGGAGGATGGCCGGCCGAGATAACACAGGCGGCCGGCCCCCAGGTGGGCCTCCCAGGCGGTGTTTGCTTGTACGTCAAGGCAGATTGATGCCTCGAGGCTCTGGTGAATGTAAAGTTGCAGTACAAAGAGAGGATGTATTCACGTCTTCTTGCTTGTTTGCTTCTTGTTCTTTGTGGTCGTTCTCACGACATACTTCTTCCTATCCTACGTATCTCTATTCTCTCACTTCCATCACATCTACTGCAACCAACCGTCTTGGCATCACGAATCATGGTGCTGTATGCTCAGACAGGACCGGGCTCTCGTACCGGCAAGTTGATCAAGTCCTTCTGGGCCATCACCAAAGGCGAACAACAAATTGCCAACAACCACTCCGCCAAGCTGTACCTCCAAGGATGCAAAGTCTTTTGCGAGCAAAAGACAGCCGTCAAGTGTGTTGAGGTTCTCATCTCCAACTCGGCTGGTATCACCGCTCTGGAGAGAGCTGTGCGTGCCGATTTGAGTACCGACTTTATCACATCGACCACCTTGCCCTTCATCCATGCTCTTTCGGACCCTGGCGTCGCATCACTCAACGATGGTCGCTTCCTTCGACAACTTCTATCGGCTATTCTTGAACCAGCCACATTCTGGTCTGCTTTGCTGCCCGTCTATTACAGTGGCAGACTTGATGATGCCGGCCTTAAAGCCTTCGCGTGGCTCTGCCTTCAGATCGTATCTGACCAGAGCGGGAGTCTTGATGCCCATCGGATTGGAGTCCAAAACCTAATGGAGGACAAGTCCCTCCTTAAGTCTCAATCAACAGAAGTCCGGAAGATCGCCTACCGCATCGAAAAAGTTCTCAGCGCCTTTACTCTTCCCAACGTCGCAACCGGCGGCGTCAGTCCCGGAGGGCGCCACGACAACGACCATGCGGACTTTCGCAAGATCTCCATCTATCCCACTTCGGATGAGCTTCTAGCAACTGATGAGCCGTACCTCCAGCGTCTTGCAGATGTCTTTGACACGGCCAAGGACACGAGAGGCCCTGCTTACCGCGACTGGCTCTTTCGCCTACTTCGGGAGGACATGCTCTCTGAGATACGCGAAGATCTACAGACTGCCACAGGGCAGAAGAAGAGCAAGCGCAAGCCTGTTGCTTTATCTCAGTTGTATCTCGTTGGCCTCAATGACGTGAACGGAAACAACGCGAACGCACAAAGGCCCAGGCCCAGTCTTCCGTACACCCTCAACGTCGCATGCAACCAGGGCATTTATTTCCCAAAGAAGCTTCCCAAGGGCGGTAAGAAGGGTTTTCTGGAGGAAACCAAACAGTTCATGAAGCATGATTCATTTGGCGCTCTCTGCTGTGGCAAGGACATCGTCGCATTTGGATCACTCGTCAGAGACATCCACAACCTCATCCAAACGCCCCCAGTCATTGGCATCAGATTCACCGACGATTTAAGCCTGGGAAAGGCACTTGAAGCTCTCCGAGGCCCCGACCAGCAAAGCCTGAGATTCCTTCTTGTTGATACGGCAACGTTTGCCTACGAGCCCATCCTCAAGCGGCTCCAGACCATGACGGAGCTGCCACTTGAGGGCCAACTGATCGACTCCGAAGAGCCTTCTCAAGATAGGGAAATACCAGAAAGGCTGGGCCAGTTGATAAGGCAGTTAAAGACGACTTCTGCTCATGGCCAGGAAGCCATGATGCCAGGGAACATGCGCCTAGAGAAGAACATCATGCTCGAAGGCGCCCAGCTCGAGTCCTTCATTAACGGCCTGAGCCAAGAACTCGCATTGATCCAAGGCCCGCCTGGAACGGGAAAGTCATTCCTGGGTGCGCTCATTCTGGTTGCCATTCTTCGCCTGACAACCCGTCGTATTCTTGTTCTGAGCTACACGAACCACGCCCTCGATCAGTTTATGGAAGACCTCATGAACATGGGCGTTAAGCCCGACCAAATGGTCCGCCTTGGCTCCAAGTCCACTGAAGCTACCAAGAGCACCCTTTTGAGAGAGTACGATCGGCAGAAGGAATACTGGCTGACTCCAGAAGAGAAGTCCATCCGCAACCGTCTCCAGGCAGAATCGGCGTCTATTTGCAGCGAACTCGAGAGCTGCTGCAAGAAACTCTCAGGACACATTAATTCGGGCGATATTATCGAGTATTTGGAGTTTTCCGACGGCTTCACCCCTGCCTGGGCGGCATTCCAAGTCCCCGAAGACGACGGCTTCCAGATTGTTGGCGCAAACAACAAGGCTCTCACACCAGACACTCTCTACGACTTCTGGTACAATGGCTATCTGGCCACCCAGTTCGGCGGGCTTCTTCAGTCTTTGGATCCCTCGGCCCAAGTGGTCTGGGGGCTCCCGCCTGAACAGAGGCAGCAGCTTCACTCTCAGTGGTTGTATGCTGTTTGTGCAGAGCAGAAAGACACATTTGTCGAGCTCAGCAAACGGTACCAAGAAATTGAGGTCGAGATCAAGAGCATTAGAAACGAGAGTGCACGAAGGGTTCTCAAGGACAAACGAATCATTGCGTGTACGACAACTGCCGCGGCGATGCAACAGTCCATCATCGAGACGGCCAACCCCGATGTCATTCTTGTCGAAGAAGCCGGAGAAATCCTCGAAGCTCATGTCATCACGGCCCTGAGCCCTTCTGTCAAGCAGATCATTCTCATCGGTGATCACAAGCAGCTGCGACCCAAGGTCAGCGACTACAAGCTCACCAAGGAAAAAGGTGAAGGCTACGACTTGAACGTGTCTCTGTTTGAGAGGCTGGTCTGCCAAGGCCGCCACTTCACAACCCTTCAAGAGCAGCACCGCAGTCATCCAGACATATCATTCTACCCACGCATGCTGGCCTATCCCGAACTGAAGGACATGCTATCGACTCACGAACGCGCTCCTATCCGAGGTTTGAAGAGTCGAGTAACCTTTGTGCATCACCAACACCCCGAGGATTTGATGGCCGATGTGGCTGAGCGCCGTGATCCAACGGCCAAGGCCAGCAAGAGGAACCAATTTGAAGCGGACATGGTTTTGAAGATGGTCAAGTTCTTGGGCCAACAGGGATACAAGACCGAGAACATGGTTGTGCTCACCCCGTACCTCGGTCAGCTCTTCCTTTTGAGGGGGATTCTCCGCCAAGAGACTGATCCATACCTCAACGACTTGGACTCACATGAGCTCGTGCGAGCCGGGCTACTCACCCAAGCCAGCGCCAAGGTGAACAAGAAGTCGCTTCGTCTTTCCACCATCGACAATTACCAGGGAGAAGAGTGCGACATTGTCATTGTGTCATTGACTCGCAGCAACGCGTCCGGCGACATTGGTTTCCTCCAGGCCCGCGAACGCTTGGTGGTGCTCTTGTCCAGAGCCCGCAATGGGTTGATCATCTTTGGCAACATGGACACCTTCATGAAGAGCAAGAAGGGAGGTGAGATGTGGACAGAGTACTTTGATGCTCTGAAGAAGAACGAGTGTCTGTTTGATGGTGTACCTGTCTTCTGCGAGCGTCATCCAGAGACATCTATGCTGTTGAAGTCCCCAGGTGACTTTGATGCCATGTGTCCTGATGGAGGATGTGCAGAGCCTTGGTAAGTTTGAGTCCCACACATATGAGCTTGTCTAACAGTGTACAGTGGTGTCAAGCTGAGTTGCGGCAAGCACACCTGCCGCAGACGCTGCCATCGGTTGCAAGATCATTCACAAATCGTCTGCCAAGAGCAAGTCGAGCGAACATGCGACAGAGGTCACAAGTCCAAAGTCCCCTGCGGAGATACCTCTGGCAGCTGCAAAACCTGTGCCAAAGAAGACGAAGATAACCGTCGAAGAATCGCTCGCAACTTGGAGCTCGAGAGGAAGCGTCAGGAACTGCAAGACAAATACCGGCGTGATCTGCAGGAGATGGACGATGAGATCGACCACCTTCGTCGTACCATGAAGTACGAGACGGAAAAGGAGCAGCAAGCAGAAGCTCTGAAACAGAAGAAGGAGGAGCTGAGAGCCCTTCGAGAGGCTGAAGCCAACTTGGATAAGGTCAAGAAAGCCCAGCAAACAAACTCGACGCAGCCAGCAACCCCAGACCCTACACCTCAGTCCAACTCTTTCTCCAGCGCTTCCAACGAATGGAAGCACATGAAACAGACCGAGGGTGCCAGCAACTCTGCATTGGACAAGCTCATGGGCATGATCGGACTCGAGGCCGTCAAGGAGGAGATGCTCTCCATGAAGTCCTTCGTGGACACAAAGCTGCGTCAAGGTTTTACGCTGAGCGGGGAGAGATTCAGCTGTTCAATGCTTGGGAACCCAGGAACTGGTGAGTTGCTTCCTCTGACATGGAATTTGACTAACCCACCAAGGCAAAACAACTGTCGCTCGTATCTATGGTGAATTCCTCACCTCAGTCGGTGCCATCGCTGGGAACTGTTTTGAAGAGGTGACAGGCTCCAAGCTGGCCAACTTGGGCGTATCGGGCTGTGAGAAACTTCTCGAAAAGATCATGAATAATGGCGGAGGTGTCATGTTCATTGACGAGGCCTACCAGCTCACCTCCGGCAACAGTCCCGGCGGCAAAGCCGTCTTGGACTTTCTGCTTGCGGAAGTTGAGAACCAAAGAGGCAAGATCGTCTTTGTTCTGGCGGGATACAGCAAGGACATGGAGTCGTTCTTTGCTCATAACTCAGGCATCCCAAGCCGATTCCCCATCGAGATGAAGTTTGAGGACTACACCAATGAGGAACTGCTGAGCATCCTGCAACTCCAGACTCATCGCAAGTTCAAGGGGAGAATGAAGGTAGAGGAGGGCCCAGATGGCCGCTTCTTCCGCATCGCGTGTCGACGAATCGGTCATGGGCGTGGAAAGAACGGCTTTGGCAACGCCCGTGCTGTCGAGAACTGCCTTCAACGCATCACTATCAGACAGGCAGCAAGAATCAGGAGGGAACGCAAAGCGAAACAAAAGCCAGATGATTTACTACTCAGCCGGGAAGACATCATCGGGCCAGAGCCATCTGAAGCGTTGACCAAGAGCAAAGCGTATCGAGAGCTCAATTGTCTGATCGGACTTCAAGAAGTCAAGGATGCTCTCAAGATGCTGATGGACACGCTCAAGACGAACTATCAGCGCGAGCTAGATGAGCAGCCCCTTGTCGAATTCTCCCTCAACAAGGTCTTTCTGGGATCCCCTGGAACCGGCAAGACGACAGTGGCCAAGCTGTACGCTAAGATCCTCACAGACCTTGGGCTCTTGTCAAACGGCGAGGTCGTGGTGAAAAACCCAGCCGACTTTGTGGGAGCGCATATTGGCCAGTCCGAGGTTCAGACAAAGGGTATCCTAGCCTCGACAGTAGGCAAGGTCCTCGTCATCGATGAAGCATATGGCCTCTATGGAGGAGGCAAGAAGACTTCGGGTACCGATATCTTCAGGACAGCTGTGGTGGACACCATCGTTGCCGAGATTCAAAGCGTACCCGGAGAAGACCGATGTGTACTCCTTCTTGGCTACAAGGATCAAATGGAGGAGATGTTTCAAAACGTCAACCCCGGCTTGAGTCGACGTTTCCCCCTCTCATCCGCTTTTGTCTTTGAAGACTTTGACGATGTTGCCCTTGCCAAGATTCTCGACATGAAGCTGGGCAAGAAAGGTTTCTCGGCTACCGACAAGGCCAAGCAGGTGGCACTCGACGTTCTCCGCAGAGCAAGGAACCGCCCCAACTTTGGAAACGCTGGCGAGATTGATATTCTCCTCAACGAAGCTCAGGCAAGCCACCAGAAGCGTGTCTCTAGCGGCAAGGTCAGAAGACACGGCAAGTTAGAAGCGATCGACTTTGATGCGGACTTTGACAGAGCTGAAAGAGGGGACACTGACATCAAGAAACTGTTTGAGGGTGATGTCGGACGAGACAACCTCATCTCGATCCTGCAAGGTTATCAGACCCGAGTCAGAAATGCCAAGTTGTTGGACATCGACCCAGAGATTCCCTACAACTTCTTGTTCCGCGGACCGCCCGGCACAGGCAAGACAACGGCAGCGCGCAAGATGGGCAAAGTCTACTACGACATGGGTTTCTTGGCCAGCACAGAAGTCATCGAGTGCTCCGCCACTGATCTGATTGGCGAGTACGTTGGACATACTGGGCCAAAGGTGCAGCAACTTCTCGAAAAGGCTCTAGGAAGGATCCTCTTCATCGATGAGGCTTACCGCTTGGCAGCTGACAGGAACTCCTTTGCCAAGGAAGCGGTGGACGAGTTGGTCGACTCTGTCACAAAGCCAAAGTACCAGGGCAAGCTCATTATCATCCTGGCTGGTTACGTTGAAGACATCAACACCCTCCTCAACATCAACCCTGGAATGACTAGCCGGTTCCCAGAGAGTATTGATTTTGACCCTCTTGGACCTGATGCCTGCATCAAGTTGATGGCGAGTCAACTGCAAGGGTGGAAAGCCAAGCTCAAGGGCAAGAAGCCTATGGATCTTTCGTGTCTGGAGAAGCCTCATTGGCGTTTCATCCAAAAGTTGGAGGCCAAGTTCCGAGCTCTGTCTTTACAGGATAGCTGGGCGAACGCTAGAGACGTCAAGGAACTGGCCAAGAAGATCTTTCACAAGGTTGATCTCTCCTCTGCAACCCTGAAGATCACTGAGGCTCTTGTTCTTTCCGCGCTCGACGAGATGACTGCTGAACGTTCCGGAAGGATGAACAACGCAAAGAAGCCTTCGACACAGAAGTTTGCAAGCGCACAAGCTGACGGACCAAAATTCGCGCCCAGCACTCAGACCAGCAGCTCAACAAAAGCCCAAGAGAAGCACAGTGACGATGAATCAGAGGAAGAACAAGATGCCGGCTCGGCAAATCCAAATAGCATCAGAGACCCCGGTGTGAGCGATGCAGTCTGGGAGCAACTCCAGAAAGACAAGGAAAAGGAAGTCCAAGAGGAGAAGAAGCTCCGGCAACTCAAGAAAGCCCAGAAGGATGCCAGTGATGCGGACAGAGAGAGACTCGTGCGGGAGATATTGGCCGAGGAAGACAGACGCAAGCAGATCGAAGCGAAAAAGGCAAAGCTCAAGAGCATGGGAATATGCCCTGCTGGATTTCATTGGATCAAGCAGGGTGATGGATATCGGTGTGCTGGGGGAGCCCACTGGGTGCCCAATGAGGCCATAGAGAAGATGTAGGGGCATGTATGGTCTGTTAAACGACAAGTTGTTCGGTGTATGGCATAGTTAGTCGAGGGTTGATCCGAGACATCCGTCTCTTGTCTCAGTCTAGCTAGCCTAAAAGCTATTATCTACAAATTAATCTACGAAAAAATGTGACGTGTACTCTCTCATGCAGATTGCCACCTGGCCTTCGCTCATGCTCGTAAACCCATCTCCAGTGTCTTAGTCCAGCCAGCCCTGGTGAGCATGCGCCTCAATCTACAAATCTTCCAATGTCGCATGGTAAATCGTGGGGTGGCCGAGACATCCGTTCCTGTCTCACTCTAGCCAGCCCCAAAAGACTGTGCCTCCATCTACAAGACTTGTGATATAGCACTGTTGGTTGAAGGGTCTGTTTCACTCCAGCCAGCCCTAGGAGATATACGCGTTCATATTAGAATCTCGAGATCTCAGATGGATAATCGAGAGTTGGCCGAGACATCCGCCCTTGCCTCGGTCCGGCCAACCGCAGAGGATATGCGCATCGATCTACAAATCTAACGATATAGCGTGGTCAATCTAGGGGTGGCCCGTCCCTTGTCTTAATCCAGCCAGCCAAGAAGTCATGCGCCTTAGTCTACGATAATGAAAAGTTTGCTCTGCCACAGATTGCCTCCCTGGCATTTTCTTGAGCTTTGGATCTCATCTCCCCGCATTTCGGCTTGCCCAAACTGGAACTGTGCATGCCTTCATGTCTTTCCTTGCAAGTACGGCGGCGGCGTGGCCTGGATCAGTCAGGCAAGGTACAAAATTATCCGTATCGGAGCAAATGAGAAACTGAAGTTGCCATTGCCAACAGTCAATCTCTGTGAGAATGTCTAGATATCCAGTGTTTCGTGTCACTGCGTTAGTGTGTTGAGATGCTACAATTATGTTGAAAGCAGAGTTCGCTCCACACCATCGTGGTCGGCCAGTACCTTGAGGAGAGCAAAACTCCTTGCATAGGTATACATCTTGAGATTAAACTTGGTGCTAAGGCCTGGCTGTCTGAATCACTCTTTTCTCCCTTGATCTACCAACTACCAAGCTAGTCTCCCGTCACAGTTGTCGAGTGCGTACTAAGACATGTCTTGTTGGGTAAGTGGTATGCATGTTTCTCATCGCCATTCAATTGCGTTTTGGTTGAGTAATCTGGGTGGGACAATCCCTGAACGGCATGTGAATTGTATGTAGAAGATACTCGGCATTTCAGTGGTACCTTCAACTAACACTCACGTTCCAGATACTCTCTACGTATGATTCACGTAATGTCAGGGCAGTTCAGAGACGAAACACTTCGACAATAAGATATGCTTATAAGTAGGAGACCTACAGCCCCGGGGAAAACACTTAGCTTTCCACATCGCTCTCACACTTTCCTCATCATACTTTAACAGGCAAAAACCACACTTCTTCGTTTGAACACTCTCCACGAGCATGGCTGACAACCTGCCTGGTGAAATACCGGCTCTTCTGGCAGCCAACAACAACACCTGGCAACCCTTCCCTCATGGAAACCAGCAAGATGAGCCGGTGCCGGGACCGGGCACATACTACCTCCAAGGGGGGCCAAACCAAACCCCTGCTCCCGAGGGCGTGGAGGAAGTCCAAGCTTCGCATTGGTTCAGAACAAGGGTCAGTTCTCGTTGATTTCCACGATTCATACATGAATATATACAGGAAGCTAATGGAGTGTCACATTAGCTTTTGACCGAGAACGACATCAGCCAACTCACTAGTCTCCAACTCATCACCCATTCTCACAACCGAAATGTTCAACATGACGACTGGGCTGGAGTTTTGACTTGGTTTGAGCTTGCTATTCATAAGGGGAATAGCGATGAAGTCAAGAAACTTCCCAGTGGCCAATCGTTGGCGTGGTTCAGTCACAGAAACTGGTTCGGGGTCAACGAACACAAATGGGTATGCCGTTATCCCGTTTCTTGGACAAGTATACTAACCAGCCATTTTCTAGTGTCGGGGCCGAATGTTTACGAAAGATGACGAGATATTCCAGCATCTCAAGGTAAGCAAGACCATGGGCCACTCAAGAGTGGCTCTCTCTGCAGCATCACACAGGGGGTTGGCTAACCCCGCGTTCCAGATCGGAGATTCCATCTCTGTTCGGATGTCTGCTGGTCCCCATCGTAGAAATCATGCCAGCGAAGGATACCTGGCTTTGGGGTTTGGTAGAGGTGAGTAACATCAACAGATACGTTGCGATTGTCTCTATACTAAATTTCTTTTACAGCGCATCAGACACCTACGCTCCCAGCAGATCAACCACCGCCTATCATCTCGGTGTATGCCCAGAAGCGGCAGGAATGTTTCATGGTCCCAGCAGACGTCCCTTCAAAGGTGGAAGCAACCATTATCCATGATGGAATCGATCTGATGGGTCGGCTACTGAAGCCGCAAGACAATGACTGGACAGTGCGGTGCCATCCACTACCACCAGTTCACCAGCCTACTCAGGAACCAGACTTTGATTCCACCACAGAGCTGACCAAAAACGAGAAGGGCACCAAACCTTCCCTTCGAGTTGTCAAGCAGTCTACCATCAACTGGAGACTTCAGAGCGCCGGCAACAACAATGTGCCCCAGGATTTGCCACCAAGGATCACCGTCTGGGATGACTCTGGGGTTGAGGACAATGCCGAGTTCGCTATCAGGGAACCTCACGGGGAAGTCCTGATCTATCAGATGCATGCGCCTCTGTGGACTGGTGCACTTTGGGACAAAATTATTGCACCCCCAGAACAGCAGAGCCTTTCGACTATCCTCGTGATTGACGCCGACGATCTTCGTGCCAATGAAATTCGCATCTCTCGTGGTATATCTTGGGAAAAGACAATGGAGCATCTTCGATCAAAACTCGCCAGAATCACCTTTCCGATGCCCCAAGAAGTAAAAGAGAGGGTGCATTTGCTTGTGCGCTGCGGCTACGAGGGTGTCCTCCACGTACCACCAAGTACCCTGGGTGCAGACACTCGACCATTCGTCTTCCACATGGTGCCAGACATGGCAGAGGGCGACCTCCTGCAGCCCTATCAGGGACGGATGCCGGGCATCCACCTGGCTTTTGTTTCTGGGCTGGCAGCATCTCTCGCCAGAGAACCCGTCATAGCCCCCGAGACAATGGGCCGCACACAGGTGGGGACGGCTATCGAGCTCGCCATCATCTGGTCCCATCGGTTCGCAACCGTGGGGTTCTGCAAGGACATCAATGGCGGTTTGAATTATCCCAAAGCCAAGAGCCTCAACAACTACCAAGCGTCCAAGACCAAGATCATATATTGTGATCGAAACGGGATGGCCGACGATGGGAGATGGTCCCTTTTCAGACTGCCTCGTAGAGAGCGAAGGTTCACCGCTGCTGAAGTAGTCAACCTAGGGACAAAGTACCTCGACGCCATCGTTCCAACGGCCCTGTTCGGCAAGTTGAAAGCCGCAGATCGAACAGAGATTGAAGGTTACCGATCCACTGCCGCCGTGGTCCATGAGTATCTGCGTTGCAAGACAGATAAGCCACTATCGATTGCGGTCTTTGGGCAGCCAGGTGCTGGAAAGTCCTTTGGTATAAAGGAGGTCATGAAGGCACTGGTCGAAGACTTTACCAAGAAGAAGTGTGAGCCGATCGAAGCCAACCTTTCTCAGTTCTTGGAGTACTCGGACTTGGTTGGCATCTTCCGCAATATCAGGGACAAATCACTCAAGGGCGAAATTCCAGTTGTGCTGTTTGATGAGTTTGATTCTGCCCTCCATGAGAAAGCGCTGGGCTGGTTGAAGTACTTCCTGGCACCTATGCAGGATGGCCAATTCCTTGACGCCGGCGTCATCCGAGCCCTTGGACGGGCCATCTTTATTTTCATCGGCGGGACCTCGAGCACATTCAAGAACTTCAAAAATAGCAGAGACGAGCCCCCGCCGAACGATATCGACCCCGACGATAACGAAAACCTCAACTATAACGACGACGACGTCGACAATGACGAGGAGCACCAACCCGACCACAATGATGAAAACAACCAGGATCCAGACCCGGACCGAGTTCGCCAAGACAGGCAGGCAAAGAAGCCCGACTTCGTCAGCAGATTGAGCGCACACATTGACATCAAGGGTCCAAACAGAGTCAGGCCCAACAGGGATAGAATGTTCATCGTGCGACGAGCTATCCTACTTGCAAGTATGCTGAAAAGGCGCTTTGATGTAGATGTCGACAGACTGAACGTGCATGGGGGGGTTACTAAAGCGCTATTGAACCATGGGCGCTACCCCCACGGAACTCGCTCGATGGAGCTGATTTTACAAACGAGCAGGCTCTCTGGTCGTAACACGTTTGAGACATCCGCTCTAGCCTCGGATGATCAACTTATCATGCACGTGCGCAACACTGATCCCTTCCATTTCCTGGTTGACCACGGGCCGATGTGGTTACCAGATTTCCGTCCGATTGACGTCGATTTGTACATCAAATGGATGTGGGCTAGGATGCAGACCGAAATGGTACCTAATTAGAGTGCCAATCATCGATGCTAAGCTGGGGAAAGGAGAAATGCGAGGCAGCAGATGGAAAAGCTTGGTGGAGAGTTTCAACAACTCATAGCTGGGGTTTTCCTTCGGGGTTTCAACAACTCAATGTTGGGTATTTTTGCTAGGGGTTTCAATAACTTGGTATTAGCTATTGTGCAAGACTCGTATTTGAAGTTTAAATGCTTTGTAACTTCGATGAATTTGGATCGGTGAAGGAATGTCGACTCCCCCCTTGAGTATAGAGCCCCTCCTTTTGTTCTTGGACTGGCCTCTTGAACCTACTAAGCGACTGAAACCCCCATAATCCCAGGCCCCTGTTGAGACAGAAAGAAGCCTTTGAGGGACAAATGGAATGTACTTCAGGGCTAAGGAAAGAAGCTTGCTGGCTGCAGCAACGAGACGTCAAAACATATTGCCATCACCTACATGAGTCACGTGAGGACCTTCACTGCCAACCTTGATAATCAGGGAAACCATCCAAGTCAACAAATCAAATATGGCCGCCAAGGAAAGTCCATGCCCTCCAACCTCCGTCATTGACAATGTCGGGGCGAGGTTCCCCTTACTACACTCCAGCCCAACAACCACCATCAGGCACCGCAACGGCGTCAAGGAGGACACAGAGACACCAAAACTCTTTACGCCTCTCACCATCCGGGGTGTAACTTTCCAAAGCCGGCTCTTTTCGGCCCCGCTGTGCCGGTGCTCTGCCAAGGACGGCTACGCCACGGACTGGCATCTCACGCAGTTGGGCGGCAGTACCCAACGAGGTCCGGGCTTGGCCCTTGTGAAATAAACTGCGGTCCAGAAAAACTGCCGTGCTACACTGCAGGACATTGGTCTACGGGAAGACGACCAAATTGAACTTCTCAAGACTTCGCTTACAGCCGGAACCGAAAATATCGGCATTCAACTAAGCCAAGCTGGAAGAAAGTCGAGCACCATGGTATCATTTCTCCACAAGAACGTAATAGCTACACCAGACGTGGGAGGATGGCCTGATGAGGTTGCATGCCCCTTCTATTCTCCGCTTCAATGAGGAGCACCTTAGCCCAAGGAGATGATCCTGAACCAAATCGAGGTTGTCAAAGTCGCCTTTGCCGACGCCACAAAGCGAGCCGTCAAGGCCGGTCTTGATGTTGTTGAAATCCACGCCGCTCACGGGCATCTGATTTACCAGTTCCTCAGCCCAATCAGCAACCAGAGCAAGGACAGGTACGGTGGCAGCTGGGAGAACAGGGTGAGATTGGTCCTTGAAATTACGGACCTTGTTCGCGCCGCAATCCTGGATGAAGTGCCGCTATTCGTCAGAATCAGCGGCACGGACTGGTGTGACAACATGAAGGATTAGTTACCGGAAGGCTGGACCGTCGCTGACTCTTGCAAGTTGGCACCTATCCTAGCTGAGCGAGACGCTGACTTCCTCGAGGTCAGCTCCGGAGGTATGTATCCCAAATAGTCCACGAGCATCAAGTCTGGACCCGGCTATCAAGTGCCATTCGCTCTAGAAACCCCCAAGGCCGCCAAGTATCAGATGATAGTGCCAGCCATCGGAAGAATCAGCACGGCGACCTGAGCAGAGGAAGTCCTGCAATAGGGCGTCGACGTGTTGACATGTGGCCGATGGTTCCAAAGAACCCGGGACTTGTGTACGCCCTATGCTGACAAACTGAGAGTACAGGTCAAAATGGCAAGCCAGATTGGCTGAGGACGAGGAGGACGAGGAAAATAAGTGAGATGTGATGCCGGGGAGATGAGTACATGTACAGAGACGGAGCCCGGGACGCATATCCACTAGAGAAATACAACCTCATTCAGGTACTATTGTCCCCGATGACACCTCATGACCAAACAAATATTCAACCTCGAGCCACGGCCGATCGGCCGACCGCCACATTCCGCCCTCAGCTCAGGCATATCGCGGGTAACAGTGTCTCACAAGCTCTCAGCGCTAGGCTGAATTGCGACGCCATCGTCCGTTCAACGTGGCCGCCCGTCAAACTGCCGGCCGCAAGATGGAGTAGGTTTTGACCAAGCAGACCAATTGGCAAGTCTCCGTCCCACTGCGGCTTGTCGGCATCAAATCACGTCCGCGCTTCTCCTGAGACCCTCCAGGTCTAAAATTGGACAATGCCGCAGTGACGACATGGGGGATCGACGCCGGGGTAATCACGCCGAGGCCATTTGACAGCTGAGGATTGTTTTTTCACGAGGAATGAACGAATCATGCGTCATTACCGTGCCGCGATGAGAGGTATATTCGTGGCTATACGAGGTGGCTGACCCCTTCATTTGCTCTCAAAGCTTCGCGGACACCTGACCGCAGATCCGGCCTCATTTTACTCTGTACGCATGTTTCAGGGAAATGGAGTGTGGTTTGAATTAATGATAAGCTTACATTGGTTTCCGTCCAAACTGTTTCTCGTCATGCAAGTTATATAAAGTGCCACTCCCCATTCCATCTATACCACCAAGCAATCCACATCCACACATCACTCAATCACAATGCTCTTCACCAACCTCATCGCCGCCACCCTCCTCGGCTTCGCAGCCGCCCAGCAGAGCCCCAACGGCCGAGGCTGCGGCTTCAAGATTGCCCCCTGCCCGGCAGACACAAAGTGCGTGCCCAACGACTACAGCTGCACCAACCTCCACCGCTGCCCCGGCACGTGTTACTTCAAGAACCAGTACCAGACTTGCGGAGGCTTCCGCATGGAGCCTCCTCCCCCATGCAAGAAGGGCACGCACTGCATCGACGATCCTCGCATTCCCGGCTCTTGCGGCATGGCCTGCGACGCGCCTGGCATTTGCGTTCCTAAGAAGGCGCCCTCTTGTGGTGGATTCATCGGCAAGAAGTGCCCCAAGGGGCTTTGGTGCTACGACAACCCTACGGATGACTGTGATCCTGAGAATGGGGGTGCCGATTGCATTGGCATCTGTCTGTAAGGGTGGACGGGCAATCCGTGTGTTATGGTCTAGGATAGCAGGGATCCCGGGCTGCTTCAGTTGACATGGTGTTGATAGTCTGGACTTTGGGTGCTGTACTTATCAGTAGCAAAAAGTGATTTGAAGAATATATTGTTGCATCCTATTTTGAGGTTGACAGAGATGTGCACACATGATCACGGTGCTGACACCACGTGGTGTGGATAAAGACTAGAGATGTGCTAAATAGGAAGCTAGAAACAAAAGAGTGCGTAGATAGATATCGGAGAATGACCGTTTTCCTCATAAGGATTGTGATAGCGTGTTGGTGTTGTCGGACCATGCGTGGGCTCTCATGACATTCTCCTTTGATCATTTATTGAGTAATTCGCTTCGCTTCCGGCTGAGGTCTCAACTGATCAGCACAATGCGCTCTCTCAACATAGAGTCTTAGGAACGCTTGGAAGGAGGCTCATCCATGGTGGTGGGCTCGGGTTGCTTCCTCTTCTTGGCCTCTTGAAGGTTCTGCTTTGCCGCCTTGAAGGCGTTGGCCTTCTTGACCGGACCTCCAGTGGTCTTTGATGTTCCTTTGGTGTTGGTAGTCAGCTGAAATGTAATTTCAGAACCAGGTTCAGTGGGAAGGGGCATTGAGAGTGAGGTGGCAGTTGGGGATGGTTTTCGGTTCGCTTGTGCCCGTTCGATCTGGGCCCTGATAACATCATCTTATCTGGTCTTGCTCGCAGCATCGGCTTGGTCTCGTTTCTTGAGTGCATCAGCTCGGCGAACGGCCTCTGGAGAGCGATCGATCCAGGCAACGTAGAGTCCGTCGTCCTTCTCCTCAACGCGGCAGAGGCCTTCTCGACCGAGATGCTTGATGAATTCAGTCAAAGAATTCCAGCGGGTAGAGTTGAGGTGAATGTGGTGCTTATCCGCGATGTATGTCTGGTAGAAACGGTTAGAATGGATATTCTTCTCTTGATGACTGGTCCGGAGGAGCCTGAGAAACGAAGTTTGGAATTGCTGGGAGAAGTCGCTGATGGTGTCCTTGACATTGCCGATATTGTCGATACGACGAGTGTGAGATTCCGAAAGAGTGTGTTGTTTGAAGGAATTAGCATCCCGACATTACTTCTGGCAGGGCGTGCAGTACCACCTTAGACGCCCCAAGCCTGCCATTTTCAAGGACTTGTCGACATGGCGTGAAGATCCTGGCTCGTGAGACATGGTCAGCTTCGAGGTTTACACACCCAGTGAGGATGTGAGTCGCTGATATTTAGAAGCGGTAGATCTGGCGATTTTGTTTAGAAGAGGATGAGTGAATGTTGATTGAGTGTTGTCGATGTTTTCACTAGAAGAATTAATGGTGGTGAGGCCTATCGCACGTGATCCACTTAATAGACGTGATGCTCGAGTTGGCTTGGAAATAGGTGAATCCTCCACTGAGTGTTAACATATTAGGCTTAATATAATATTAATATTATTAAAGGTGTCTTATTTGTTATGCTTTATAGCTATTAAGGAAACATATGCTTAATTAGCAGTTAGTATTATTTAAGGATTAACCTAAATAAAAAAAGAAAAATAACTTCTTACCGAAGATAGCTATAAGTAAACCCGTTTTAGCTTCATAGGTATTAAACTTCACCACGGTAGTAAAATTATATATTTATAAAAATATATATATATCACTGTGACAGTGTCTCTTTGTCCTTGTGCGTTGAACAAACACATTTCACTCGTTAAAGATAGATTTCCACATCATCAGTAGCAAATCGCATTTAGTCTAAGGTTTTTTCGGCTGCGTGGAGGATTGTGTCATCACTTATGGGCCCGGGCTTATCGGACCAATCAAACCTGTCTCAAATTTCATTGGCTGGCGAAAATCTGGAATCGCGATACAGCGATATGTATCATAGCAGCATACTGCCTAGCAGGGCGGGAACTCTCTACTATCCAGCGAATTTCAAGGCTGCATTCTATAATTCAAGTGTCCGTTCCGCATTTATTTGCCGGTAAGGCTGCATCTTGTCCATAGAAAAGAGTCTCTTCGGATGACAGGGTGCTTCATTCAACATGCCCTGATTGAACCTGTGCCGGATGAAACAAAGTCTCACGCACACACCATCTAATAACAACGCATGAAATCCTCCATCAGCACCACCGAGAATCCGCCGCCGTGCCGTTTCAAAACAACAAGCCAACTGTTTCAAAACAAAAGGATCAAACGCCTCACTGAAATTTGTTTATGCTGCACCTTCAGCCCAGCATCCATGGGTCGATTCGGCCGGTATGGGATGACATTAGCCATATGCCTAATACGGACAGATACCCTGGCTTATACGGATTTCCTTGCCGGGAGCCGATCGTCGGATGCTCACAAGGATCATTTGTCTCACTTGTTCATCAATATTGCACGGAAACGGTTTCAATCGATATTTGACAGCCAGGTTTATCCATGTATTTTTACACATCGCCCATTAAGTTGCAGCTCTATAGACAGAAAACAGATGATTTACACTGCGCTTGAAACCAGCATAGACTCACCCCTTAGAAAAGGCCAAAAGCGACAGCGACAGCGCCGACGGCGACGAGCAGACCAGAGGCAGTGACAGAGTTGGCGCCGTTGGGCTCGGTCGTGGGAGTAGAAGTAGCAGCATCGGCAGAAGCATCGCTGGTAGCGTCGGCAGCACTAGATTCGGCAGCGCTTGATCCAGCAGCAGTGGACTCGGCGGTAGACTCCTCGGCAGAGGTCTCAGCAGAGGACTCGGCCTCTTCAGTCCCAGTCTCCTCAGCCGAGCTCTCCGTCTTGGAAGCAGCAGCAGTGGTAGCTCCAGTGGAAGCGACGGTGGTGCTGGCAGCCTCGGTGGTCTCGGCAGCAGACTCTTCGGCGGTGGTCTCGGCAGCGTCGTTGGTGGTGGGCGTAGAGTCGTCCACCTCGGTCACGGTGGGTCGCGCTTCAGTGATGGTTCCCTCGCTGGTGATGGGAGGCTTGGTGAGCTTGTCGGTCTCGATGGGGTAACCAAGCTCTGTTTCTTATTAGACGTGCCGCAGAAAGAGACACTCTCAAAAATACTCACCGTCGCAGAGGTTCAGACCAAAGCTAATGGCGCCCTCAGAGTCCTCACACTTTTCATTGCCGCACTCAATAAAGTACCACTGCAGAGAAGGCATCTTGCAGAAGCACAGGTACATGGTGGACTCCTTACAGGCCATGGGAGGATGCGCGTAAATGACATCTTGGAAGCAGTCAATCTATCGCGCGTTAGTTAGGAATCGATCGATCGTGAGCATTTGAGCGGCATACAGCGCACTTGGGCATTTGAGCCGTGGCCACCGCCGCGAGGGAGAGCAGCTGAGCAAAAGTAGACGTCTTCATGGTGTCTGATGTGTCGTTGACTGATAGAAACAGCAAATTGTTCAACAGGCGTCAGCTGGAGGATATAAACCGTGTAAAGACCAAACCCAAAAAAAAAGAGGCACTCTTCCATCCTTATACCTGGTCTCGAACGCTCGTGCCTGACCCCAAGATTGTCCCAAAGAATGATGCTCCCATCCCACGCAAACCCCTGCAGACCATCCCCTGACTGCCCCCCCTGTAGCCTGACCATTTTACCCTTCTCCACCCTGAGGTTTTGGTGGCGTGCGTGATAAATTGTACACGCCTTTCTTGATCGGGCTCGTCTGGCAGCGCCGTCGGTCGCCAGGCACCGTAGTTTGGCTGGGCGGTAATTTTAGAGTTATCTGATCATCTGATAATCAGTGTTTGCTGGACGTCTTTACCAAAGGACCACGGCTGGATGACACCTGGGGAAAAGATTAAGGGTGACGATCATCAACGGTTAACGGATACTCTTAAACAAGATCTTGACTTATGTTATCTATTCATACCAAAGAAGGGTCCCCAGACGTGATTCCATCCCAATGTTGTCCCCCCATGCACAAGCTCGGCCGAGGCTCCGAATCACCTCCATCACGAACTAGGATCTGTCATTGGGCTGTCAAAAAGCCCATCATGTGGAATCCCCATTAAACCCGCAGCTGAACGCCGACCCGACCGCTTATCTCGCCACGCCCATTTCTGCTCATCTCTGTACCTGAGCTAACGATGCTCAATAGCTGCAACTCAGATCCTGGTGCAAGCCTCGAGAGGCTGGATGTTTTTTTTTTTTTTTTTTTTTACAAGCTATTGACGGGTAGTTAGCCAAGATCGAGCACCCGAAAAGATGGGCATCTTCAATTTCGGTAATGACGCGGTGAACTGCTGTGAGGCCATTCCGAGATTCCAGCTCGACCGAGTTTGCTTGACGATGGAATCACCAACACATGGTTCATTCTTCGCACAACAGTGTTTAGCTTTTCTTTACATGGTCATTGCCTCAAACTACATCCTCAACCTTTCCACCACCATTCAATTTCCGGCACAGCCAAGCTTCATTTTTCCATCCCAATCTCCCATCACCTGCCCTCAAATCCAACCTCGCCAAGATGACCTCGACTCGCTAGAATCTTTACGGATAGCCAGGCCGAGCGACGCCCCGCAACCAACCCATGTCCCAAGCTGAACAAAAACCCTTGAACTCGTATAATCAGCTCTAGACCAAAAGCGCTCGGAGCAGCAGATCTCGCCTAGACACTCTCTTCTCAGGCCACCGGGGGATCCGCTTGAAGAGGACGGTTGCCAGTCACGTTCCATTCCGCTACACCAAAATCGTCGCCAACCGTCAACTTGTGGGGGTCGATCGCGGAGCTGGGATAATTCTTATTTATCCGTCTCCGTTTCTACCACCTCCGATGTTTATTTGCTTCAAAAAGACAATGGTTCATGCACTCAGGAACTGGCACATCTTGGAATCAATCTCATAATCATAACTACATGCTCAATCGTGTTTCAGAGTATACAGCATTGCCCTCACAACTACAAGTATACCCCAGTCGTTCCATCAAGCTCATCAACAGCTTATACCCAGCCATTTAAGCAGGGCAGGTATCGGGGAGCCAGGCAACGGGAGCTTGGTACTCTGCGGATTGTCAGCTTCAAATCTCACTGCCAGATCAGGGGAATACATACGGTTGCAAATGTCCTTGCCAGTGGCAATGGCATCCAGCTTGCTCTGGGGGGTAAGGCAGCTGGAACAGGCGCAGTCACGGTAGGCCAGAGTCAGGGCCTTGATCTTGCACATGCAGAGGAACATGTTGGCCTCGGTGCAGGTCTTGGCAGCCTCGTGGTTCATGACAGCAGTGAAGCAAGTGATCTGTCGGCAAAGTCAGCAAAATGTGCTCGAACCAACAACACATTTCTCGTGTTGGTTCAGGCTCTTTCTTACGGCGCAGAGGGGAGTGGCGGCATTGGCAGAGCCAATGGAGGCCAGGGTGACGGCAACGGAGGAGAGGAAAGCGGAAACCTTCATGTTGACGGTTGATGTTCAAGAGACTTGAAAGATGAGTTGAAGCTTTTGAAGAAGATGCTGAGGATGGAGAAGATTTTTTCCAGAGAGAGGAACAATGAGGCTTTATATACACGCCCGCGATGCCTCTTGCTCAACCTCGCTCATCCTTCTCCCAGAACAGCAAAGCTCATCGGACGCTCTCGCAAATCCCTCGTTCCCCACGCCAAGCACATATCCGGCGCTTAACCAGGCCTCGAGCGCAGACGCAGAAGGGCAAAAAGGCTTCATGGCACGGTTATCTTATCAGATCATCTGATAATCTAGCCATGGGCTACAGTGATCGCAACCTTGCTTGACACCCTGGTAAGCGCACTTGATTCCGCCTATGGATCCACTGGCCTTCTCAAGCCATGTACGTAAAGTTCAGCTTTCAGGGTTGACCTTTTGGGAATGGCCAAGGTTGCAGGACCGGGCCGTCGGAGAGAAAACTCCTAAGCACAAGCCCGTAGCTGACCGTTTCTCATGAGAGGACTCGCTGGTGGACATAGTTGAAAGGTTTTTGTATTCTATTGAAAGTGAATAGTTATAACTTTCTTCGAGAGACAAAACACAGTGCCAAATAAGTTTCATGGAAAGCCCACAAGGCAGTTACCGAGAACTCCGAGACCGGGAATGACCCTTGCTGAATTCAAGCTCCTCGGCATCTTCCTCAGAGTTGTATCCTCCATCACGCGAGTTTCCTCTTCTGGACGACAGGCCAAGGATTATGTTGCATCCAGGCACAACCAGACTAGTGCATACAAGGAGTAGTTGCGGTTCCTCGGCCAAGGCACACAGTTGCTTTGACCGCCCAGGTTCAGCCCTGGGGAGAGTCATGCCAAGGTAATGAAATGTGATTCTTCACTCAGTCAGTATCAACTCTTGAAATTATTCCAGTCCTCCATAACATGAGGATAATCTTACCCGTTCAGTTCTCAGTCTCTCATCTTCTGTGTATCATATCTCCTAAAGTGCCCATCCCACGGCAACAGTCGACGCCCCACGGAGTCAGCACCCGAATAGTCAACTCGATATGCAGCTGCAAGACTCCCTGCTAGCTCCGGGCTTCTACCAGGAGCATAATGCATGTCGCATCTCACGTGGCGAGTTTATCGCCATACAGGGAACAGGCTGCGGCTCTAGTAAAATTCACGCTTGCTGAGTGAGCTTTAAGCAACAGGATTACAGTATGAGACATATTTCTATTACTCAGTGGCTGGTTATAATGAACATGTGAACCAAGTCCTAGCCCATCTACAAGGCCTAGTACTCAAGGAGTAACTCACCTCCAACTTGTCTAAGCGCCTAGTAGATCAGCCTCTCGGGCCCTCGGCTCCATCCGGTTGAAGCTATTCACGCTCAGCTGCGGCACGTCGGCTTAGCGTCATGCAGTGGCGGGTTTCGCCAAGTCAAAAGGATCACCTGTGACAAACAAGGATGTCCAGACAATACCTCCCAAACCCACAAGATCGTCACCAGAGACGGGATCAACGTCATGATTTTGATTGTGTTGGTTCGGTCACATTGCATATACTCTATCTTGCTAGGTTCCGGATTGTCGGGAAACGAGTTTCGTTGCAACGGGAGTCGGGCCAAGACTTGTCGGTGGAACGCTTTTGTTGCCGTGGGATGGCTGGACGATAAAGTGGATGGTAGGGTGGCCGCCCCAGTTCGTGCATGAGAGACTAGACAGGATATGCATCCAGCCCGTTGAGGGATCACTAGTGAGGTGGAAAAATATCGTCCTATGGACTCTTGTTGTCGTTCGACAGTTGTGCTGACCGGGGTACAGGACTAGTGATTTCAAACAAGGAAGAAGTCGCCGCACTCGCCCGTCATCACTTGGCTCTCAAAGGGACCGTGGACAAGTCCTACTTTGTCTCTCATCAGAGTCTGAGAAGGTCATCCATACTTTCCCCCTAGCTAAGCTAGAGTAGGGAGGGATTGGAACGATCATGTCCATGTATCTTTAGGTCTAAGAACCGTTGGAACTCGCTTTCCGATCCCTACCAGTACCGACGGGGTTATTCAGCTCAGTTGGCTTGTTGGGGTGACTGGCATTCCCTCCAATTGTTGGTAATTTACGCAGCTATGCTCCGTTTTTTGAAGGACCAAACTCTTCTAAGTGTGATCTTAGGCACCGAGACTCCCCTCCTAAATGATCTTGGCAAACATTCATTCCCTCGCTTCTAAGACTCCCCTTATGGCCTTCGCACTGAAGTGATGTTTAATTAGACGTTTGCCTTATCGGGATGATTTCCTGTTTCGGTGTGCTAGTCGATCACCGTCGGGAGCATCCGTCCTGCTGCTTCCTCTTAACATGCTGCTTGTACGGTTGTACCTCCGGACCTACCTAAGTACAATACTACATATGCACCATATATAGGATCCCTTTCAAGGTGGTATGGCAATTTCGCCAAATGAATGAAACAATTGAAACCGTCTTTATTGGTATTATAGGTCGCCATGCAGAGTAGGTCACTACATAAATGCGGTACACTTGAAAAGGGAATACGGCCATACTGATTCCATTCGATTTGGTTGTGTATCAGTCAAGATGGGCCTCAAAATCCGGAGCAAGACTAATTAAAAGTAACTTTTTGGCATTCATAGCCAGACTCTCTTGTCGAATTCACCAGTGCTCAGGACCAATCTCCACTGTGTTGACGTCAACGTCACCCTTGAACCATCGCTGCTCATCCGCAATTTTGACGTTGTTGCCGCTCATCTGCCTCTTCTTCATGAGGCCATTCTCGTCAAACGTCCAGTCCTCAAGGCCGTAGCAGCGCCACCACTGGTTATCGTCGTCGTGGAATTCATACCAGAACTGGACGGCAATCTAGGAGACAGTTGGAACATGATACCTAGAACGTAGGCAGAGAATTTCGACTTACTTTGTTGTCGGTAAATGCAAAGAGCTCCTTGCGCAGTCTGTATCCATGCTCCTTGTTCCACTTGTTGGTCAAGAACTGCTCAATCTCGTCACGGCCCTTGATAAAGTGATCGCGATTACGCCAGATGGAGTCGGGGGTGTAAGCCATCTTGACCTTTGAAGGGGTCCTGGAATGTCACAATTAGTTCCGGTTCTTTTCTTACGCACGTAAACGAGACTTACATGGTGTTCCAAGCATCCTGAGCAGCCTTGACCTTGATTTGGGCCGTCTCCCTGGTGAACGGGGGCAGAGGAGGTTTTTGTTCAGCCATCGCGAATTAGTTGAGTTGCTTGGTGAGTATTAATGCAGATCAAAGTGGATAAAAAACCTCTGAAGTCAAGCTGGCGGGCTTTTTATATGCCCGACTTTGCTCTCGGCGTGATCGGGATTGGGATGACGCGCCCTTGGTGTGACTGGAGTCCACCCCGCAGAGCGGCACACGTTGCGGCAAAAGCGGCCTGATATGCTTTCTCATGATGACTGTTTTTTATAAATCATTTTATTTTTACCATATTTCAGGTTTTATATAGCAGTAGTATTGCTTGTATAGACGAATGTCCCGTCGCCGTAGTTGGTCACTGTCGAGGTACAAAAATCTGAGTCGCAGAGATTGCCATAGTTGACAAGAATACACATGTCGGCAAATATAGATGCACTAATTGGACCAACGGGTGCAACCGGCCATGATCATTTCATCCTGCTTATCGTCTTCTGGGTCATATGCATGAATCCGTAGCTATGTCTCGTCTCACTGGTGCGTTGACACGAGCTCTCCACATGGTGTGGCTTGAATGTGAAGAAATCAGACAAGTTTCGGTTTAGACAGTGCGAGAATTCAGTGTATAGATTCTATAATATAGTATTGAGCTAGTTAATGAAGAAACATATAAGTGTTATCTCCAGACGACGCGTGAGATAAAGATGGGGCTTGTAGGGAGATCATGCCACTTACACAAGCGTCGAACATCGTAATCCAAGCAGACTTCAAATTAGTCAATTAATTCACAGATTGGCCTTTCCCAAATCCAGGAGATATAGTTATACCGGTCCAACAGCCAGGTTAAGGACCCTCATCAGGAATTGGCAGTTTGAAGCAATCAACTCGAGGTCCATTTCACCCTGCGGCATTGGAATCAACCCGTTTCGTCTATGAGCGCCACTTTGAAGAGAAGGTCCTCTTCACGATCAATTAGAGCAAGAACCGGGCTTCTGGAAGACCAAAGGTCAACTTTGCCCTTGCTCACTAATTTCCCTCTTCACCAAGGTGATATTCAGGGACACGCTCAGTCCCAACTAACACCCCTAACACGGCACACGGCAGGCTTGATATTACGCACCAATGCAGTGGGTCAATAAGGCTGAATTACACTTAAACAATCGCCCAATTTTCTGGAGCCTGCGGATCGCGTTCGAATGCACTTCCCATCTGGGAAAGTCTAGTGACGTGTGTTGGCTGAGACCGGTCAGCACTAGCCTCCAAGCCTGCCGCTATCCGATGCACGGAACGCACGGCAGTGAGACCAAGTGAAAAGCACGATGATGTAGGCGGTCGTCACTTTACATCATAGCTAGGCTGAGGATATAAGATCTCACGATGGCCTCTGTTTCTTGGCAGCTGCTCTGGAGTTCATCTGTACTCATTTCAGCATCGACACAATGGCAGGATATCTGAGACTTCTCATCTCTATTTCCTTATACTCTCTTCTTTTCACGACAGCCATCGCTTCTCCCCGCGCCACCTCAAAGAGTCATGATTCTTCACCCTCTGTAAAATGGGGTGCTTGTCCTAAAGAGGTTCTCCCTGGGGTCGACTGCGGTACCATCGACGTCCCCATCGCATACCATAAAGGCAACTCGACCGCTGCAGATGGAGACAAGACAGTCAGACTTGCTCTGGTCCGTCTGAACCACACGGGCAAGGCCGACAAGCCCAAGCAAGGCGCGCTGTTCTTCAATCCCGGAGGCCCCGGTGTATCCGCTGCGTTCCTCGTTTCGGCGGCCGGCACGGGTTTCGTCTCACAGCTTGAGTTTTCCAAGGACCTGCGAGAAAATTACGACATTATTGGTCTTGATCCCCGCGGTGCAGGCTTCAGCACACAGGTCCAGTGTGATCCCAATATCTTCAATGAACGAGTTGCCACCTTTGTCGAGGATGAAGCCGGATACAAGAAACTCCTCAACTATAGCAGACGCTTGGGTGAAAGCTGCGCCAAGCTTACTGGTCCTTTGATAAACCACCTCGACAGCATCCACGCCGCCAAAGACCACGAACTCGTCCGCCGCGCTCTTGGCTCTCCCAAATTCAACCTCCTCGGTCTATCTTACGGTACTTTGATAGGCACCCAGTACCTAAACTTGTTTCCCGAGACAGTCAGCCGCATGTCCCTCGACAGCTTAGTAGACCTAACCCAATCCGAGACGATGACTCTCCTCACAGAGACGGTCACGTACGAGACAACGCTGAACAAATTCTTTGACTGGTGTGATCACAACTCTACATGTGCTCTGCACGGCAAGAACACTAGCCGCACCTTTGACAAGATCCTCGCCCGCGCCGATTCCAAACCGATTCCTGCCCCAGGCTGCAAAAAGACGTGCCGATCCAATGTCACTGGCGAAGAGATCCGATCCAACGTTCAAAACTTCCTCATCTTTGTCGACCTTCCTCTTGGTGATAACTGGATCGCACTCGGAGAAGCATTGGCAGAAGCCAGCAAGGGAAATGCAACAGCCCTGTCAACAACGCTCCAAACCTCACGCATCGCGACCGACCTCACCGGCGAATCTCCCTACGCATATCTCGCCATTGGATGTCAAGAATGGAAGCATCGGTCCCGGTCAGCAACAGACTTTAAGCAAAAGCTCCTTACAGCTTCCGTGTTTGCCCCCACGACCCGGGGTGCTTCACAATCATACTACTATCAGAGCAACTGCATAGGCTGGCCAGCTCCAGTGACTGATATCAAGGCACCCTCAGCCAAGAGTACGAAGGAGGCCCCGACTGTTCTGTTAGCAAACTCTGTGTATGATCCTGATACCAGCGTGGCTTGGGCCCAAAGTGTCAGGGAGCAGTTGGATCACAGGGTGAGCATCACAAGGAACGGCTATGGCCATACGAGCTTCTATCTTCATGGCGATACTAGCAAGGCTTTGGAAACATTCCTGGCAAGTGGAAAGTTGCCCAAGGATGGCACAGCGTACAAGACCTGAGTGTGTGCATAGAAGTTGCCAAATGGATTAGCACAAACAATTATCGTCTTCTATGTTTTCTTTGCTCCTTTATGATCATAACGCAATCATTTAAGTTTTAGAGCATTGTACATCTCGCTAATTGGAAAACAAATGCCTAATTTGCTGTCTTGCAATCATGCATTACACTGCCATGGTTAGAATGATCTTCAAGATAGCCACAGAGAGGTTGCTTGCTGAGAGGGTGTAAGAATAGTTATCATGTAGATACCTGAATCTCCAGTCCTGCTGTTTCCATATCTGAAAGTCAATTTATAGTTAACCGTATGCCGACACCTGGTTCATTTCCTCACGTGCATTTGCCAACCATGCCCCTGCGACGACGTGCAGAACAAATTTCCTCTTTCTTTACACCTCCACTTCCATCTTATCTTGATCCTAATCAGGGCTTCAAACTTCTGCTCTTTTGGGATTCCCCGACTTGAACTTGGGCCTTTTAGTGAGCCCTTTTCCCCTGTGCCCTTGATCTCGAGTCCTAACTCCCTTGAACAGATGTGGAATATGCCAGAAGATGTTGATCTCCTTGGCGGGGGCCACAGGCAAAGATGGCCAGTATGATGCGCACGTACATCTTGCCCAGATGGTGTCTCTTCTTAGTCCTCCTCCAAAGCAAGTGGTCGAAACGGAGCAATACTCCCGAAAGGCCTACCCCAGGGGAATTATCGCAAACTCACGGGGTGGAGCATGTGCAACGATGAATGAATGTTGGGGAGGTCCTTCTTCGGCGAAAACGGGAGGTTCAATCACAGCCTCCCTGCTTTGCGCATGAAAAAGACATTTATATTCAGTCTTGTACCAGATGTATCAAGCAGGCCTTATCCGAGAAGGCAATACATTGAGTGGCATGGCCACTGAACTGACAGGCCAAGAGAAGGACGACTTCGTCGATTTTGCTGGAAACATACTACAGTGGATATCAGAACTTCAGAAGACAGGCTGACCGCCAAAGAACTACAACATCATCCATTCCTCGAGGCGGTGGATAAACATTCTAAGAAGGATTAAGAGAAAAAAGGCCAGATCCCAGGTTGGGCGTTAGTAAAAACGCAGCTCGGTACAAAAGGGATAACAGGATTGAGCCTAAAGCACGGCTATTCCACAAAAGAAACTATGGATCATCCCAAATATGTCTCCCCAAAAGCCTCTAAGAAAGCTCTTTCAAGGGAACCCCAGCGTCATTTGGAGAGTTAGGTGGGATCGCTCCTAATCAACCCCATGCTTCGGTCCCGAGCCGTCAATCCCATCTCCGGGAACATTGCCAATAAATCTCTCAGTTACCAAGTGGAGGTCGTTTCGCAATGTTCTCGAATCCCGGGGGATGCATTAGTGCTCACGACAACCAGTTTCCCCTTGTTGTCTAGCCTTGGAGTTTGGTATGAGGGAATAACTACCTTGCGCCCGGTAAATACGGCGAGCACTCTGTATCGTGACAGATGCCAAGCCAAACTCTTGACCGCATCAATTGCATTCAAGTCACTCGTTAAACTGAATATATATCATGTTGTCGTTTCCTCTTTCTAGCGGCGCAATCTTGCCAACAGCTCCTTCATCCATCACACAGGCTCAGTTGCAATGAGACTCTTGATCCTGGCTTTTGCCAGTTTCGTTGGCGCATCAACAATTCTTCAACTCAATGACACAACTTATTACTCCCCCGACTCCCCAGTTGGGTCTGTTCAAATCGGAAAATCATCCCGTCTCGACAATGTCCTTCCTGTGACCTATATCAATGAATTCCCTTCATCGGTCCAAGGTCTCCAGAACAAGATCACTGAGCTTCTCGACGGCGACGATGTCATCTCAAACTCTTTCCTCTCAACACTCATTCTCCCCTCAAATTCCCATTTATCGAGCGAGATCAAGCAGTATCTCAAGTCCTCGGGCACGAGCACATTCGTATCAACCTCTGCTGGAAAGTTGCCGTCTGGGCCATACTTCCTGCATCCCTCCGGCCAGCTATCTCGAGTCTACAGGCTCTACCTTGACTACAACATGGCCTTTGTCCAGGGCGTGATTGAGGGCCCAGACGGAGCGTATCTGCCCTCCACCGCTAGTGTTGGCGAGAGCGTCAACGCAGCCATTAGCATACCTGTCCCGTCTCGCCATTACTATCCAAAGCCATCTCCAAAACGGCCGCTCTCAGGACTACGACTGGGGGTCAAGGATATTTTCGACCTCAAGGGCATAAAAACAGGCGCCGGCTCTCGAGCCTACTTCGATCTCTATCCGCCCGCAGATGAGACAGCATCGTCTCTCCAGCGTCTTATTGACCTTGGGGCTGTCGTCGTCGGAAAACTCAAGACGGCTCAGTTTGCTGCCGGTGAGGTGCCCACAGCAAACTACGTGGACCAACTTGCACCTTTCAACCCCAGAGGTGACGGATACCAAAGTCCTTCCTCTTCTTCCTGCGGCACAGGTGCCGCACTGGCTTCGTATGGCTGGCTAGACCTCGGTACAGGAACTGATACCACTGGCTCCATCCGAGGGCCATCCATGGCGAATGGACTGTTCGGGCTCAGAGTCACAAATGCAAGCCTGCCACTTGATGGAATCTTGCCTGTTTCCAGCAAGATGGACACGCCTGGTTTGATTGCCCGAGACGCAAAGTTGCTACGGACGGCATATGAGAACTGGTTCAAGAGCAAGTCCAACTACAAATCATTTCCCAAACGCATCGTTTTGCCCGAAGAATCCTGGTCGTCGTCCAACATGACGTCCAGGCCCATCTTTGACAAGTTCATCAAAGACCTCTCTACCCTTCTTGGTGCCAAAGTTGAGCGCGTCAACACAAACAAGTCATTCATCCAACATACAGGCAACAAAGAGGGAATCTCTGCCTACATCAGTGACTATCCTCTCGTTCTTGTCAGGGATCAATGGCGGGCCCTCGGTGAGCCTTTCATCGCCGATTATCAAGAAAGGTTCGGAAGGTTCCCCTTTGTTAACCCTGTTCCACGCACTGGCCTCGCCTTTGCCGCTCAAATTGATGAAAGCAGCTACGAGAAGGCAGCTCACCATCTCGACGTCTACAAAGAATGGTACACCTCACAGCTAGTACCGACTTGCGAGGATACCTTGGTCATCTACCCCCTTGGCACTGGAGCCGAGTTGTACCGGGATGGATCACTCAACACTTCTCCCCCTACGTTTCTACCACCGGAGGCACACACGCTACAGGCCGCAGCAGCTGGGCTACCAGATTATGCGGTGCCTATTGGTGTTCGGACATTCAACTCGAGCGTGAGTATGCGCCAGGAGGAGCTTCCGGTGAGCGTTGGCATTCTTGGAGGTGCCGGATGCGATCAGATGCTGCTAGATCTTATTGTCAAGCTAGGGGATGAGTTGGATGGGTTTCACGCCGTGGTTAAAACTGGAAGAACTATGTGGTAACGTTAAAAGCTCGATAGCTGGTAAAGAAGGTCAATGCAAAACCCGCTATAAAGAAACCCTGTCCTAAGATTAAAGCGCAATTGCGGCAAGTGGCATTCCGGTATTTCTCTACACACTTCTAGAAAACTCTTATCTTAATAAAATCTCGGTCAACACACCAAATTCGTGTCTTCCGGCTCGGCCCCACCCTCGGCATCCCACTCCGTCCGCGCGGGGTCGAATTAATTCCGACACGGCCGGTCGCTTATGTGATCAACCGGCTGCTGATGTGATCAAGACCGGGGATGAGCTGCTACCTCCGGGCGTTTAAAAGTTGAGGCGGGTAACCACGATTCCATCCCACCATCTATTGATCCATCCCATCCATATCGACAAATCTTACACACCAACTTGGACAAAATGACAAAATTCAAGGTCACCGTTACTTCAGACACCGTCTGCCCGTGGTGCTACGTCGGCCGCAAGCAGCTTCAAGCCGCTCAACGACTCTGGCAGCAAAAGCACCCCGAGTCCAACGACACCTTTTCCGTTAGCTACCAACCCTTTCAGCTTCAACCAGACTGGCCCAAGGGTCCCACTTCAAGCCGATCCAAGCAGCAATTTTACGAAGAAAGATTCGGCAAGGAACGCGTTATCCAGATGCACAAGCACATGAAGGGTGTGGGCGAGGCGATTGGCATCGACTTCCAGTTTGGCGGACAGACTGGAAACTCGAGGGATTCGCACCGCGTGGTCCAGCTGGCCAAGAAGTACGGCGAAGAGGTGGAGGGCAAGGCCCTCGACGGGCTATTCGCCGCATACTTTGAGCAGGAGCGCGATATCACCGACTACGACACCCTCAAGAGCGTCGCCGTGGAGGCGGGCATCCCGGCAGACGACTTCCAAAAGGCCATCGTCGACAGCGACCAAGGAGGCAAGGAGGTTGACCAGGCGGCGAGCGAGGCGCGATTCAGCGGTGTTTCCGGTGTTCCCGACTATGTCCTCCAAGATCGGTTCCGACTGCAGGGCGCAAACAGCCCCGAGAGCTTTGTCAGCGTGTGGGAGAGGATTAAGGCGTCCGAGGGTTCATAGGTGTGTCTTCTTCAGACCAGGCGTTTAGGGTGATCGGACTGGAAGAGCACCTCTGTGCGTTTCTCCAAAACATCGTTCCAAAGTCGTTGGCCTTCAAAGCCAGGGACGTAGAATAATAGACCAATTTCTTGACTCGTCCACCAGCTTGCTCTGTCCATGTTGCCTGAACCCAACACGAGATACTCGTCGTCCACGAGCGTCATCTTGAAGTGGCTCACGACTGGTTCATCCTCCATGTCCCGTCTAGCTTCGAGTTGCTTATAGTAGAGAATCTCCAGTTTACCGGGCGCCATCGCCTGTGCTTCCGGATCCGACGGACGCGGCTGGTTGGCCAAGGCATTGTACCTCTGAATGAACTTGCGTAAACACCAGGCGGTAGTAGTACCAGCAGTGATAAGCTGCTCGATAAGCATCATACCCTTGCTCGTTCTGATTTGCACGTCCACACCTCGTGCAAGCGCCTCCAAGAGCCCTTCAACCACAGGCCACGACGTGACGTTGGGGGTAAGAATAGTGATTTTTCGCTGGGCATTTGCGAACAGGGTTAGAAGGGCGGCGTTGAGGGGAGTCATTGGCGGGTTTGACTGTGATAGGAAGGGAAAGAAGGAGAATCTGGGGTTCCGATGGTGTGAAGAAGGGAGAAAGATGGTTGGCACAGGGCCAGTGGTGGGAAACTCGATTGATTGCGTCGCTGTTTCGTTGTCATTGGTCGAGTTGACGGTATTCTCGGGGAGACGAGTTATCGATATCTCATCATGGTCATCATCCTGGCGAGAGACCTTGGTTTCTCCCCATACCCTCTCGTAAAAGGCAGACAGACGATCAACAATGTCGCCCTCAACCTCAACACAGCCCTCAAACCACCTCTCCCAGCTAACATTGCAGCTCGGAACCCAAGCCCTCTTGCCATCTACAATCACAAACTTGGGGTGCATGACGCTAAACGGGGTAAAGAACAGACTCTTGACCGTCAGCTCGATGCGCGCGTTCTGCAGCACGTCCTTGTCCGGGAGACCCAGCTTGGGCCACTGCAAGGGAGGATAAACATAGCCGTCTCTCGAAGCAGGATGGAACAATTTCTGAAATAGACCGCGAGAAGAGAACCCAATCGTGATTTTGAGAGGTGACTCGACGTTGGCTTCTGCACGTGCAGCGGCAAGCTGGAGAAGGGCTTCGCGGATAGCATCCAGAGACGGAGAGTCGGCCCAGTAGCAGGTGATGAGCTGAACAGAGTGTTTGGCGCTGAGAATGGCGGGAAGAAGAGCGCGCGTATAGATTGAGTGACCTGTTCCCACGTACAATGCCTTGGGCGAGCTAGTGGTGACGAGCGAATCGATGTTATCAACGTGGTGGTTTGGAAAGTCGTCTTGCTGTTCATCGCGACGCGACTGCAGGAGTTGTTTCCACGGTCGCACAAACGATTGGGGAAATTCGGCAGATGTCATTTTAATGTTGAAATGTTAATTACGGATAAAAAGAGAAGTAATTCATGTCAAGAGAGGATGTTGATGTTGGTCAAGGGATCAAGGAAATTGGTGTTGGCGGCGCAGCAGATGACGCGGGAGACATGGATAACCTGGGGAGGTGCCAAGTCATGATCCTTGGAAGATCCACGTGGGACGAGATTGAAGAGAGTCAGCATAAACAGGAGACTTGCTGTGCGAGACAATTCACCATATTTACATATCGGATAGCATTTATTTGCCATTTTAATAGCCATATAAGCTGTTTGTCGCATCCTGGACCCTTGAGGCTGGAGAAGCTGGAGTACGGGTAACCTCCACGTACCGTTTAGTAAACGCCACAGAGGAGACCGTTGACGAAGAGCAACAACCAACGCCGAATCAATTAATAGTAAAGATCAAGCTCAATGACAATAGAGAAATCAATTCATTCTCCATCTAATGATTCTATTTATTAAATTGCACTACCCAAGTCAGACGTTGAGTCGCATTCACCTTTAGTAATCTCGCTCACCGCCTTTGACACTCGGCAGAATCCCCCACTACGGCGCCTCCTATCTTGAAGTCCATCCACCCTAGCAACACCTCAACCTCCCATCTCCTAACGTACATATTCAAGAAGCAGAAGCAGCGCCTGCTTCCCCTCTCCCGTCATGTTGTCGGGCGTCCTCATATTCAACCAAAAGGGCGAGAACCTCATCTTCCGCGCCTTCCGCAACGACTGCCGACCCCGTCTCGCCGACGTCTTCCGCATCCAGGTCATCTCCAACGCCCAAGTGCGCTCGCCAATCCTGACCCTCGGGAGCACCACTTTCAGCCATGTCAAGCACGAGAATATCTACCTGGTGGCCATCACCAAGAGCAATGCCAACGCCGCTCTCGTCTTCGAGTTCCTCTACCGCTTGATCCAGCTCGGCAAGGGTTACTTTGGCAAGTTTGACGAGGAGGCTGTCAAGAACAACTTTGTCCTAGTATACGAGCTGCTAGACGGTGAGACTCTTTCCACATTGGAGTCTTCACAGCTAATGTGTCAGAAATCATCGACTTTGGCTATCCCCAAAACACCGAGACCGACACCCTCAAGATGTACATTACCACCGAAGGCGTCAAGTCGGAATCCCGCCGCGAAGACACGTCCAAGATCACCATGCAGGCCACCGGCGCCCTCTCCTGGCGCAAGGCCGACGTAAAGTACCGTAAGAATGAGGCTTTCGTCGACGTGATCGAGGACGTCAACCTGCTCATGTCAGCAACCGGCGCCGTCCTGCGCGCCGACGTTACCGGCCAGATCATCATGCGCGCCTACCTCTCGGGCACCCCGGAGTGCAAGTTTGGCCTCAACGACCGACTTTTGCTCGATAACGACGGCCTCCTGAGTCTTCCGAGCGGGAACAAGATGGGAACAAAGGCGACAAAGGCTGCAGCTGGTAGTGTCACCCTCGAAGACTGCCAGTTCCACCAGTGTGTCAAGCTGGGCAAGTTTGACAGCGATCGCATCATCAGCTTCGTCCCCCCAGACGGCGAATTCGAGCTCATGCGATACCGTGCCACCGAGAACGTTAATCTCCCTTTCAAGGTGCACGCCATCGTCAACGAGGTCGGCCGGTCCAAGGTGGAATACAGCATCGGCGTCAAGGCCAACTTCGGCTCCAAGCTGTTCGCGACAAACGTCATCGTCAAGATCCCGACGCCTCTCAATACGGCCAAGATCACGGAGCGCTGTACCCAGGGCAAGGCCAAGTACGAGCCCAGCGAGAACAACATTGTGTGGAAGATTGGCCGCTTCACGGGCCAGAGTGAATACGTCCTCAGCGCCGAGGCCATCCTGACCAGCATGACCAACCAGAGGGCGTGGAGCCGGCCGCCGCTGAGCATGAACTTTAGTCTGCTCATGTTTACAAGCTCAGGGCTGCTGGTGAGGTATCTCAAGGTGTTTGAGAAGAGTAATTACTCGAGCGTCAAGTGGGTGCGGTACATGACGAGAGCAGGCTCGTATGAAATAAGGTGAGTCCCCTGAGTTTTGCTTTGAGTGTTGGCTAACAGTTGCAGATTTTAAATGTACATCAGGTGGCAGAACATGTATGGCGTTATGGTATATCCCGGCAATAGCCAAGCGGGCATCATCTTTTCTTCAGCATTATACTTTCTTCACCGTGATATATCAGTTCTACCTTTTGTCTGTGACTCTGTGTCCTCACTCGTCCTCAACTACCAAGACCCTGACCCCCTGAAACTTGCCCTTGTCTTCGTCTCGTTGTTGGCTCCGTATGGCGGCGCTGATGATTCTTGCAAACATGTACGACGGATGCTCTGCCCAGCCGAGTCCCTCAAGGTCAAACACCTCGACATAGCGTCTCGAGACTGCGCGTACAATATCACCTGGTCTTGTTTCGTCGTCCTCATTTAGATCCTTCCACAGTTGATCCCTCCTCTGAAGACCCTCCGCTTTGACGTCTTCTCTCTCACATCCCTTGCATCGTCCCGCACAGTCATCAACCAGATACAACACCTCCAGTCCCTTTTGAATCGTGGAAGCAAAGAAGGTAATCTCTTCGAAGCCCATCTCTCCGTATAATCCCGTTGCCCATGTTTCGGTCACGTTAATGGCAATCTTCTTGGCCCGTTGCAAAGCAGACGCCATCTCGCCCGACCACTGGCTCTGAAGCAGCTCCCCGATCGGCGGCGGACAGTTCAGCGTCTCGGTAGCCAGCTGAGTATGATCGGTTGGAGATTCACGGAAGCGCAGCATGAGCACGTCTGATGTTGGTATCATGATCTTTTGCGCGCGGCCGGGGAGGTGTATCGTGTTGGTCTCTTGTTTCGCCTCGATTTTTCTTGTGATCTCATATGCAACGCGACTGATGAGCCGTGAAGACGTTGCGACACGATACAGGCTCGGATCAAACGCTCCATGCTCTGATTCAAAGCGATCAAAGAATACCTGCTTCTTGTACTGATCGACTACTTCTCGTTTGGCTTCAGATTCCTTGAAGGCTTGTTCTGCACGTTTTTCGCCCTCCCATGAGGGAAAGCAGACATCGAAGACGTGCAAGGCAGGGCCAGAAGGAATGTATTCTTCCCAGATTTGAGTCTGGAGTTCCAGTGGAAGTTTGGTGAACTGATGGAACTCCATGATTGCGATATAAGGAGACGGTTAAGCTTTTCGTTCAAATAAACTACATTCTCGTTTCAAGCGCGGCCACCACGGCATCATATACCCTCCGCTTGCCTTGGGAGCATCCAACGTCAGCCACGCTCCATCTGACGAGGCACTGTCTATATATCAGCACTAACATTCTCTTTATCATAGGGATGTTCTGGATTGGGTGCTGGGACCTTTAAATGGAATCATGCGGCGAAGGAGGCAGCAGAGGTGTTGAGCCAAGTGTCAGACGCAGGGCTGACAACGCAGCAGAGTAGTATTTTATGCGTTAGTCTTGTCATCCTAAGGATAGATTCTCTGACCATGATGATTACGCTTAAACGTGTAAGCCGCTGCCAGTATCATTGATAGTCGTCGCGACAGGGGATATCACCAAAACCACATCACGGCCCAACACAATAAATCACAAGTTACCGGCCATAAGCTTTCACCTATTTGCAAGGCATTAACACCAGTGGAAATGGTTTAATTCAGCTTCTAGAAAAAACCTAGCTGAAGGATTCGTCTAAACCGCAAGTTCAGCTCTAAACAAAACAATGCAAGCATCGACTTTTCCTTACCCAACTCCTACTCAACACCTAAAAACATGTCCTCAGCGCGCTTCAAAAACCTTTCGAATCTTATCCACATCAAGGCCCGTCGCAAGACAAAGCTGAAGCTGAATGCGACACTTAGGCGGGTTAAGAAACCCCCCTCCAACAGCCCACTCTCCCAAGCCATACAACTCGTTCGCACTATCAACAAAGCCGTACGCAGTTCGATAGCTCACGATTACCGAGATTAGATCTCCTTTTTCTCGCACCTTGCTAATGGCTTGGCCTCCATCTTTAGACCAGCATCCTGCGCCCATCCCAGCTAGGATTACGCCCTTGGCTCCGCATCTAATAGACTCTGCGAATAGCTCGGTCTCGAGTTCTGGATGTCCGCATAGGATGTTGACCTTTGGAAGACCTTTCGAGGAATCTAACCCGCCAATGTCAAAGTGCCGCCAGCAGTTTGCCCTCACGGGGGGGTAAAAGAAGTTTGGCATCGAGTTCTCAAAGGTCCCGAGGTATCCTTGGTCACCGGCCTGGAAGGCATCAACCCTATTGGCGTTGATCTTTGCCGTGAACCTAGCAGAGCAGATGCGGTCGTTTAGGACAATCATTGTGCCTCGTCCTTTGGCATCCTTACAGCTCGCTAGACGAACAGCCTCGAGGAGGTTCATGGGTCCATCGGGACTAAGCGACGAAGCAGGCCGCATAGAACCAACAAGAACAACAGGTTTGTCAGACTTGATAGTCAAGTCAAGAAAAAAAGCCGTCTCCTCCATGGTATCCGTCCCATGAGTAACGACAACTCCAGAAACGGAATCATTCATGAGATCCTTTTCAATCTGTTGAGACAGACTGATCAGTATCTCCGAGTTTAGATCTGGACTCCCCACGTTGCAAATCTGCCTGCTTGTGATTTCTGCCACGTCTTCTAGCTCTGGAAGCCTCTCGATCAACTCGTTGACTTTGAGGCAGCCGGATTGGTAGATGGCTGTGGATGTGCTGCTGGGGGCAGTGCCGGCGATGGTACCGCCGGTGGCGTAGACGACGACTGTGCCCTTGGTAGCCATTTCGTGTGTAGTTCTTGTTGTGTATCGGTGAAGGAGTCTAGTATCGATGAAGGTGGTTTGCTACAGTCAGTGACAGGAGTCGGGCTATCTATACCACCTCCAGTTCAACCCCTTCAGCGAACAGGAATTAAACATCTTCACACTCAATTATCTATTCAAGTGTTCACCGTGGATGGCAACAATTGTTCAGCTCTACAACCCAGTACACCAAAAGTGCAACGTTGGTGATGAAAGAAAAAAAGAAAGAAAACCGCCGAACAAGCACATTGCTCGAATGAGCTTCTTGGCCACCAACAACGCAAACTTGGAGTTTACCCAATGATATCGTCTACGATTGTACAGTCAAACAATCGCCCCCAGGATCGTGCCGAAAAAACTCGAGTCACACCCAAAGATGAGAAAAGACTCTACATTTAGAATGATACCTACCACGTTACTAGCGAGTTTACACAAGAGGGTGATTGCTCACCAATAGCCTCCAACAACAAACCATCCCAAGAAACAACCCCTTAGGATCTTGGATATGACTTGCTAGCATCGCGGCTTTTGATACTGCGGCTGAAATCGCCTCCTCAAAACGCCACGGAAGCTCAGCGCTCAATATTAAAGGGGATACAGAGTGTGACCCGGCCCACGCCGCTGCCACGAGGTCCTCACGTTTTTCCGGTAGTACTGCCAAAGTTCTAGGCCTTTTTTTCTCTACAAGTGATGAAGATAAGGAGTAGTGGAGTCAGCTGCTAAAGAGCAACAGTCATCGTTCAAGTTTGCTACAACGACCACAGCTTAAAAGGGGCAACAAGTCTTACAATCTATAGATTCCATCCCACACGTTCCCAAAACACATGTAAACTCTGTGTCGCAGACTTCATCCCGGCATGCCACGAGCTATCCACGAGGTCTGTCCTCCGAAAAGCACGCGGTGCCCGTGAAACATGAACAAAAAAGACTCCAAACAGTCCAAACAGTCCAAAATTCCTCCCATATTAGACTGTTTAGTGTTGATAAACTTCCTATTTATGGTTCCAAGCCCCCCAACTCGTATTCAACCCTTTCCTTCTTTGCTCCTTCAGCTCTGGACAAGTCTATTGGCGTTCCTTGTCGTCCCGTTGCACTACGCCGGCAACTCCATGTCGCACATCCCGCTGACTCTTTTAGGATGCGAAAATTGTCAAGAGATGAATCTCGGGACCGAGATGACTTCAGCCTCGTCGAGGTGTTCCTCTCTGGTCAGGTTAGTAATCATCATCGATCGGTGGTACCGTTGATCAAGCATAAAGGGTCCTTTTCCCCCTCGGTTCTGCAGGTCCCTGACATGTTGGTGCTTCTCAGGCATATTCACTTGCATGATTCAGCATCTCACAGTTCCTTGCATAGATCACATCTGTCTTGAAAGTCCATAGAGTTGTCAACCGCTTTGTGGACTCTTCAACCCTCTTCCCTTTGTCTATCAGGACTAAACAACTCCCATCTACTCACACACAAAGACGTATCCTTCCCTCACCATACTTCCCCTTTCAGTCAACACCTTTGTCAACTTCTGTCACACACTCAATTACAATAACCCTTTTATCTTCTCGATCCAGAGCAAACAACCTGACTGGCCAAATCACGCCACCAGTCAGCTCGCTCAAGATCCCCTCTCGCCTCGACTTGCCCACGAACGAATCAAACCCTCATCAGTCCAAGATCCCGAAACAAGCCATAGTTCTCCCCGATCACGGCCCCCTCAGCCCTGCTCGATCGTATCAGCTGAGCAACCTCCCGAGACACACACACCACTTTCGTGTAACCTCACACACTACTACCGCCATGTGCATCGCCCACTACCTCCACTACCACCACATCCCCCCCTGCCCCCGCCCCGTGAGTTACCTCTGCCACTACAGCTACTGCGCCGCTGCCCTGTACGATCCCCTCAGTGGGAGAGCCCTCGCGCCCTGCGACGACATCTCGGACAGTTCCCCAGGCGGAGACATTTCCAACCCCTGCACCATGGGCCTCTGCCTGATAAATCCCAGGTGCAAATCCGGAGCCTGTCGTCTTGAGGATCTCGGCGGGCGGTGGGTGTGCTGCGCGTGTGGGAGGGGAAGAAACTCGAGCTACCAGTGCCTCAACTACCAACCCACTGCCCCGGACACGTTTTGCTATCACCAGATCTGTGAGAACTGCACAGAGGACAAGACGTGAGGAGCGTATCATTTCGAGGCCGAAGAATATCGGAGGGTGTATGTCCAAGTTGCAAGTGAGACATTCGAACCAGGGCCCTGTTCATCCGAAATCTTCAGGGGGGGGGTGAATATGCACATTCACGCCTTGGAATACTAATCACGACCAATCCACCACAGACGACGACTTCTCTTGAAATCTTTGGTCTATTACCTATTTCGGGAAACGTTCCATCATTCAGTCTTTCACAGACTGGTCTTGTTCTTCCAGATTCGCTCATGATATGGCCCTTCTTGGTAACTCACAAACAACTCGTCCTCCGATCTTTGTCCTCTTTTGCCAACTCAACGAGAATCGAGGTTCCTCAAAGCCTCATTCTCAAGGGTCCGAAAAGCATGAATAACCGACAAGAGCAACTGTTACACACCCAACAAAAAAAAGAACTCTCCATCTCAACAACACCCATGAGGCTCATGATGTTCCTATTCCATGACCCTAGACCGCCAACTCTGCAGGGAAAAAACACCAGGGATGGCTTCTTGGCTTCTATTTTCGCGTTGGCTTAATACAAGATCCGTGTTCCAGCTCTAATCTTCTTCCCGATCTTCTTTGTCAAGAGTTTGACCAGCCATGTCCGCCTTCGGGTCTTTCCAATACGGTTCGAGTTGCAACCCGTCTCCTTTTTTTATCGATTTCTTGGGGAAGGATATTGAAAGGAAAGTCGGAGAAGGGAATAATAGGGCATCTTTAAAAAAGTATAAATGGCTTGTTTCTTCATCTAAAGTTTAGAATCACTCTCATCAACTTGTTGTTTCTCATCTTTGAGTTTTAATTTACTACAATAACCTCAATATTAGCAATTCAATCTCAGACTCTCAAAAACTACAACACACCAACTCTCATCAAAGTCTCACTCAAAATGTGTCATCAAGTCACCTTCCGTCTCGCCTGCGAGCACGTCTCTACACACATCACCTACTGCCCCTCGGGCCTCGCGCGAGGCCGCAGAGCCTGCCCGAGCACCACCAAGCAGTCCATCCCGTACCCTCCCCCCTCGGGCTACACGCTCCCCAAGTGCCCGCTCCCGGACTGCCCCTTCGAGGCCAAGAACCAGGCCTGGGACTGCTGCTGGTGCGGCAAGACGTGGAATGTCGGCGGGAGGTGCAGCTGCGTCATGATTGGCGAGGGGGGCACGTACCGCTGCGAGCACATCTGCTGCAAGTCGTGTATGCCCTCCAGGGAGTATTCCTCCTGAGTTTGGTTGGATAGAGTAAAAGTTGGCTGGATACCCAGGGTTAGGGCGTGTCGAGTTTGGCTTAGTTTTGTCGAGTTGACAGTAATAATCGAGAGTTCTCATCTTGGCTTACGGGCTACTGCCTTAATTACTCCATATATGCAGCCAACCCACCGTCATCACTCTCGTATAGCCTCTCAACTTCAAACTAGATGTCTGCAGTAAAACTGCAGTCTTCTCTTACCTCACCGCTTGTGATCACATCTCCGACCACGCCGGATCTTGTCCTCGTGGCTTGTCCCATCTCCTCCCGAGGCTGACATGTCCCGTTGCACCAGATCCCGTCAGCCTGCATTGCAAGACCAGGGGGTCTAAATCGAGATGCACAGCTACACGGCCGAGGGGGCTTCGATCTAGGTCTTGTGGACAGAGTCGTGCTATCACCAAGATGCAGAATTCGGCGAGTTTCCGGGTTGTGTGAGGATACAACTTCTCTTGACTCATTAGATCACATCAGTGAGTGAAACGAACAAGAACCTCTCTCAATCCAGTTAACCATCATCACAACTCAACTCACAGCCTGCTTACCTGCTCCCCAGTACCAGGCTCCCGGATCGATCTCGTCTCGCAGACCGCCCCTCGTAGCCGCCCATCCAGCGGGGCATCTTTGTACCACCCACGCACACAGCATCCATTCACGAGGCGCCTCGTCACCTCGCCCGCCGTGCACATTTCCCAGATCATCGTGGCGTCCTATCAATCCCCCGAGAACCGTCACACAAACCCCCCCTCGAGCACCCGAGACATTGAAAAGCGCCGCCCAAGAAACCACCACCACCACCATCATCATCGCAAGCACGCCGCATCGGAGGGGACAGGCAACCTCCGATGATGCAGCGCCGCAGGACACGATCTTGAGAGAGCAGCCACTGGATCCAATGGCTGGGGTGGTGCAGAACGCCCTGCCTGCCTGAGGGTGTTGACGGTGGTGTTCGTCGTGGATGCTTTGAAGTGGGTTTTGGGTCTCGAGAAGTGAAAATTGCTTCGCTGATGAGTTTGAAGCCGAGGTCGTCGAGGTCGATCTACGCAGATGGATAGGCTGCTCTGGATCCTGGTGGGCGAGTTGACGAGGTGTATAAATAGGGGATGAGTGAGGCTGCTGTTGATGGGAATGTTGCTTGTTTGCTGTATTCCATCTCATCCTTCTCACTTTACTCCTCAAATCGTCTGTCCAGATCGAACTTCACCTTTCTTGACCTCTTATCAAGCTTCTTTGACTTCATCTCACCTCCATATACCCCTTACCAACCTCCCAAAGCCCATACCACAACATCTATTCATTCCAATCCACAACCAGCAACATGTGCCACGGTCATCCTCGACATCACCCCTGCTCCCACACGTCCATCAACTGGCACTACTGCCCCTCTGCCCTCATCGACCTCGAGACGGGCTACGAGACGCCCTGCTCCAACATCTCGTTCGCCGCCGCCCAGCCCACCAACTCCGACTGCCCCCTCCAGAACTGCCAGTTCAAGAGCAAAGGGGGTAGTTGGACTTGCTGCTCGTGCCGCCAGGGGCCAAACACTCAAGGATGGTGCACCATGCCCCTGAGCCGTCTCGAGATGGATCCCGAGTCCTATACCGTCGAGGCTGTTGAGACGACGTGTGATCACGGCTGCTGTAGCAAGTGTATCCGATACGGTGAGTCCATCCCTTACCTCTCATCCACCAACTCTAACATATCCAGGCTCGAGTCGCGATCCAACACCCGACATGACGTTCCCAGAGATGCGCAAAGGCTCGGCATCCCGCAAGTTCGGATACAGCAGCGCCACAAAGTCGCATCGGCGCGGCTCGGCCTTTTCGCTCATCGGGGGGTTCCCGGCCGCCGCGTCCGAGGAGGACTCTACGCCGTCCCCGTCGACATCCAAGTCGAGCTCGGGAGGCTCGGGGTACAAGATCGACATGGAGTACACCTCGAGCAAGACCAAGTCTAGCAAGAAGAGACACAAGTCCAAGCGCTGATGATGATGTGAAGGGGTTGGGGTTTTGTACATTGAGTCTTGTAGAGCTGAAATACATTCGTCTTATCCTTTGTATCACCAAGTATGTGTGAGTTGACCGGGTATAAGAGCAAGCCATACCATGAACATCTCCGGTTTCTCCGTCTCGGGCTATTCTTTCTGTCTCCAACGTCAATAAGACCACACACGGTCAAAGCACTTTTCTCATCTCCACCCAATGCCTCCTCATCAAGTCTCTCACCAACCAAGAGTCCGCCAAAGCATACAGCTACTTCCCTCGCGATATACTTTTAGCCACAGACGTCCGAATCAGTCCCACCTTGGGGTCCGAGATGGATCAAAGCGAGCGTTGTTGGCTATCCAGCTGCCGAGACGCACACACTGCCGAAGGGGGGACGGACGCTTTCTTCAAGCGGGATAGTTTGGGGCCAGAAAGTCGTTGATCTATCTCTCACTCAACAGCTGGGAGATAAAAAGCCACGTGCTACGTCTGCAGGAAGAACCAGGATCTGGCTCGTGGTCTCCTCGTGCGAGCGGGGGTACTGTATGATTGACAGCACCTGAGACGAGAAAACTTTGGGGGGGGGCTGATCAAATCAGGGACCAAGGGAAGGACGAACAAAAGAGGCCGGGCCATGATGATCCGCGAGAGCGGGCTGAAACGTCAGCCCATTACCGCCAAAAGGTGTGACTCTGGCACTTTGACGAGGGGGAGCTGATGATTCGTCTAGAGTTGTAGAGATGACGGATCGTTTGTGAGAAGAGAGGCTCTGCTTGCTTTGTTCACTGCAACTCTCCACCGAAGCGAGTTGAAGCCCAACAATTCTCCCTCCTACTCTACCCGAGATATCTCGACTTTTTCCATGGGCTCAAACGAGGTCAGTCGTATGTTTAGACTAATTGTACTTTCCGAGACATGCCATCAAAAACTCTCAAGAGGCGATCGACCAACTCCACCGGAATTAGCAGCCCATCCCGCAAGGCTAAGGCGGCGCCTGACGAGACGGCAGCCCCGATGGCGCCTCGCGCGAGACGAGACCGCCCCAGATGGATCCGGAGTTTGTCTTGGAGTGGGAGATTGGGTTGTCAAAGAAAAGAGAGACAGCTGGGCTGAAATGTTTGTTTAATAGCTGAAGCCTGAAGGCGAGCTATTCCCGTGATGATCAACCTCGAGATGGGCTAGAGTGTAATTGTTCAACATCAAGGCAAGTGTCTGGCCGTTGGTTGTACAACCTCGACCTGAATGGCCTCCCTTGCCTTTACTTGTTCATTTCCACATTGTAATGCGGGTCTCGTGTTTAACTCTACCACCCACACTCACTCACTGCAAAGGCATCAGCAACACAAAAAAAAAACCAAGAAATGTTGATCAATTGTCCGTGAATCCAAGGTTGCGCTGAAGGCATCACCATCGTAAACACATCCAGTCACCAACCTTCGCTTAGCGGCCCCCATTCACAGATCAAGCAAGCAAATCGTCATTCAATCACCATGATGTTACTGTAACTTCCTGCTTTGCTTGCCCAGATCCCCCCCAAGTGCGTGCGGCAAGGTTCATGGCTCCCACGCGAGTGGCGCACCCAGCTTCAGGCATTGGCTAGACTGGCACACAAGTCGGAGTGCCAGGCCCCGGGGCCGATAAAAAAAAAAGTCAAAGGGATCCCTAACTAGAGCCGTGTTATGTTTAATGTTTCGTTCGGGTTGAGATTCTCATTCCAGGCCTTGAGAAGATCACTAAGTGAAAAGGCAAGGCCTGTATGTTTTGCCTCGTGGGCCAAAGAGAGAGACTCAATGTTGGCCTGCATCTCTGTCCCCATCTGGTTCCCCCTGTTGAACCCCTGGAAGACGAGACGTGCTTGCAGCTGCACACCCTCAGCTTCTCCTCCCCCGGCTAGAGGCCACGAGTCCACGAGGCGCCGACGTGGAGGATTGGCCAATCACTCACTGGTGGGACTCTAGCGGGTGATCACCGAGGCGTCACTTGATGAGGACGAGCGGATACAGTTTCAATACATTACGGATCAAAAATCCAATATTGAAAAGATGAAGCTGAATAGCTTCCTCTAGACCAGACCCTCAGGCCTCGACGTCTGGCCTGCAGTGCTCGGCCCCGCCCGGGGTACATGATGTGTCTGTCTGTCGTAGCACAGGTACCGCTCTCGTCTCAGGGGTCATGTCTGTCCTCCTCCTCCACTCCTCCATTACCATCACCTGCAATCGTGCCATCCAGAGCAACCCCCCTGGTCTCTTTTCTGAAACTTGGGCTTACAAGTTACCTTTACCTTGCCTTGCTTTGAGAGTGATCGGCTTCATCTCGTCCTTCTGTAATAATAGCGCCCGCCGCCATCGTTGCACCTCTTTGACACTCTTTGAGCCTAACGAGCATTTGGAATTAATCCTTCAAGTGACTTGTACTACAGCCGTACCACCTCCCACCCTTCAAGTACCTTAGTAAAAAAAACGACTCCAAGGTGGTACTGTACCTCAAAGTAAGCCCCTCACCTCCCTGAGAACGTGTGTGCACCTTACGCACGCGCAGCGCACGCACGCACGCGCTGAGACCATACCATCCATGGCCATTCCCGTCCCGTCTCATCTTCGTCCTCTCTCTCTTGTTCTCTTTAATCTCCAAGTCCTCCCACCCCCCTGCTCGCCATTTCTTTTTACTCCATCCTTTGCCCAATTTCTTTTCCGTGCCCGTTTTCCCTCTGATCAGTCTCTCCTCGTTGACTCTTGTCCACTATAACCTGACCAGACCACACCGGACCACGCCAGACCACGCCCAACTCGATCAAGCTCCGATTCTCCGTCGCGCACCAAAACAACTTAACTACTCACCTATAACTCGATCCATTCAAGCCTTGGCTACCCATACCAACAACCTACCGCGCCTTGCCTGTCCGGTCCTCTCGCTCCTCCGACTATCGACTCATCCGTTGCCTCGCCTCTTCTCTCGACACTTCCCAAACCTCAATCACTTCCGTTTCATACTCGTCGCTAGTATCCACCAGCGCTTCTCTTCCTTTTACCCAAGTCAGCGTCGTATCGCGCATTGTCCACCGTCATGCCTGCCTCCTTGGACTCTTCCCGGCCCATCATGGCCCCTTCGGTATGTCCTACCCCCTCCTCTAGGTTGTTTCGTCCGCCTGCCTGCCCTGTCCCTTTCACCGGGGGATCCGCTGTCTGCCCACCGTGGTGTTTGAGGACGCGAGCAAGTCAACTGTTGAGATGTGACTGATTGTCCATTCCATCTTTGTTTGCTTGCTCCAGCCGCCTGGTTCAGCTTGTCATCATCGTCTTTGTTCCCTGTCTACCACTACCCTGCCATATACTCTCTTCTTTGTTCTATATCTCTCCTGTTTCACTGTCGCAACCCTTCACCTTTCACACACAAAACCACTTGACTATCACCCATCTGTCAACATGGCCAAACCTCTTCCCTGGTCTTCTTCGCACGCCCACTCCCAACCCAGCCGTCGCAAGCAAGATCAAAAGCAGGATCAACCAGAAGCTGACCCCTCCAAGAACCGCAACTCTGTTCGCTTCAGCACCTACAGCATGGCTCCCTCGTTCGCTCCCACCGTCCAGACCACCGATTCGGCCCACGCTGAGATCCGCGACATCGCCACTGGCCTCGACCGCATGGAGAACAAGGCCCTCACCTCGCAGCGCGTCGTCCTCACCGACGAAAAGACCGACACCATGAGCAAGCTCGCCCTGGGCGCCAAGCTCGAGCGCGCCCTCGACAGAAGGATGGTCGGTCAGGATGCCGTCATGCGACCTCGCGGCCAGAGCCTCAACGAGAAGCTCAGCGAGAAGGTCGAGTAAACTTGACCCTCTCGCGGCTGAATATGCCTCAATCAAGCAAAACTGCCTCTTGTTTCCCACTCGAGACCAGCGTTTTTTCCTCGTTTTTCGCAAAGGCATGCTACTCCTCGCTTCGGGCACCCATCGCAAACCACCCGCATTGGCCCACGACCATCAGCCCAACTCCAGGGGGGGACAAAGGACAAACCCACACCACTTTAACCCCCCTACCAACCAACTATACCACCCGTCAAAGCCTCTATTTTTCACGAATACAGACCCCCCAAACTCAGGATACGCACACCATGAAAGACAGTTACTGTTTTCTTTTTTTTAGTTCTCTCTTATTTTTAATGGCATGTCAGGGATGGATAAACAGGGAGGGAGGGGAACAGCGTGACATGGTGCCGAGCCCAGGACTTCCACCGAAGATTCCGGAGTTGGTTGGAGTGAAATCAGGGAAACAAAGGGAGGTGACCGAGAGGGATACACGTGTTTACTCTTTCAATCGTCATATCGCCAAAGCAAAAGAGCCCAGGCGCAAGGGAAAGAAAGAGAGGAGCAAAGGGCGGCGGCAAGAATCTCAAGGAAGTGTACGATTACCCATGTATTTTGGCGGATATCATGTTCTTTTTTTTTCGCGTCTTTGCCTAGTTACCCCATCATGCCGAGAAACACGGCCGTCAAATCAGTCTTCTTTATTGTTTCTGCCATGGATGCTGGGTAGCTTTCGTTGTGTAGAGCAGCAATGGGTGGAAGTGATGCACCTGGATCCTATAGAGTTGAGGAATCAAGGGCTCTTGGCATTGGCACGACATGGAGTGCATGCATGGCTCCCCGTGAGGAAAGTCGGTTACGAATTGAAGTATTCGGGAATATTCGCATTAACCCGGAATTATTCTGACACAGACGTCAACTTACAAGAAACGTAGTCGTGCTGAGGAATCAGGGGTTTATTCGCATTGGCTTGCACACGAAAACGGTTTGATACACAAGCCAACTGTAGGAACGTGGTTGCGTATTGAAGAACTAAGGGGATCCAATCTCTGGAAAAGTGCATAGACATGAGAACCTAGGAGTCCAAGGCAGATACTGGCACTTCCCTGCGAGAAACGTACTTAGCATTTGTACGTTGGACCACATGGAGAGACCATCTCGCATTAACATGGACATTTTGGGATGTGTGTTTACTCCCTACGAAGAGTAGTTGCGTATAAAGAATTCAAGGGCTCCATCTCATTGACATGGAAGCCTTGTGATACACAAGTACAAGTTGAAACCGCAGCGGTACGTCGTCAAGAAATAGGTATTCTTTCGCATTGACACAAAGCATTTTGGCAAGCATAAACTCCCTATAAAAAACACGGCAGAAACAACAAACCCATTACCCTCAACATAAAACCCGCATTCCGTCATGCCGTGATGTGGCATATCCAGGCTGAGACATCTTCGACTAGTATCTCGTCCTCTCTAAGGCTCTGTACCTGCAGGTGGTCACGGCCATCCCATGTCTCAGGTGAACCACTGCCGAAGCCATCTCCATCTCAGAGCACATATTCAGCCCCGAAATCATAGACTTTCCAAATCATGCCTGGTCCTTCTCAATCTTGCCTTCGACGTCCTTGAGCAACTGCACAAGCTCAGCCTCCTCACCCTCAACCTCGAGACCCCTCTTGACCCAATCCCTCGCCTCCTCCAGCCTTCCCATCTCACTCAGACACCTTCCTCTCCTCCACCAAGCCTTAGCGTTTCCAACCCACCTCGCCTCGACGCTCGCGTGTGCGTCCACAGCACCCTCAGCCCAGTTCTGCAGCGCCATGTGCGCCTGCGCCCTGTTTGCCAGCAGCGAGCTGACCTCCTCTCGCACCAGAGCCGCGGGCTCCCACATGGGCCTTGTCATGGCCATCTGCAGACCCAGGGTGTAAAACTTGATGGCGTCGGTGTACTTGCCCTTGCGGTACTCTGCGTTGCCCGAGTCGCGGAGCTTGGTCACGTTGGCTGTGCGCTTTGGGTTGACGGGGATCGGAGGGGGGGGAGCTCCTGATGGTGTCTCGATGTTGAGCAGAGATCGGTGCAGGGCGTTGAGGGTCTCGAGTTCGGCGGCGAGGGCGCGGGATGGGTTGAGTGACGAGATGGACTTGGATTGAGGGTCCATCTGAAGAGGGAGGAGATCAAAGTGTGTAAGGTCCGACATGGTGACGGATGTGATTTGCGTGTTGCGCAGGTGCTGTTTCTTGTACTGGAGAATCGCGGGTATCTTTTGGGTCTATTGGTAAAAGAGCGACTGAGTTGCGAGCGCGCAAGGTGGAAAAGTGTGGTGTTTGAGGTTGTCAGTCACTCTCCGTGGGCGCTGCAAGTAGTAAGTTGATGTTTAGGACACCTCACTTAAAGTTCTTATCTTATCTTAGCGGCACATGACACCCCTCGCGGCCACCTTGCCTTACCCTGGAGGTTGACATGAACACCTCGGTGATTATGTCACAGGACAGTTGCCAGCTCTGGCAAGTCAATTGCTTGTTGTTATCGAGCTTAGTTTTAATAATATTGTATCGAAGAGGTTCTCTTCTAATTCATGTCATGTTATTGTTGATGTTGTCGCTTAAACATGACTGTGTGCCCTATTTCCATGATGAATTGTTGCTTCAATAAACATGTCATCTGTCCCACATGCTGGGGCTCTTCATACTTTAATGAACTCGCAATTCGTCCAATGATAGGAGCCCCTACGCGATACACAATCATTGACAGGTTGGGTCACTCCATGGACCCTGACAGATCTCATCATGCCATCAATCACCCAAATCACCATGACATGACGTCTTCACCTGGCTTCATCTCGCACAATTCACAGCCATCACAATGCATTTCGTCGTATATACCACTTGATCAAACAAGAACCTTTCCTTTTCTACTCCTAGTGCAAAATGCGAGACCCTGTCCCGATGTAACAAGCACCTCCCTTCACCATCCCCTTGAACCCGTCCGCCGAACTACTGGCGTCCTTGGGTGATAGATGAAGAAGAGACATGACAGATTCCAAATGAAAAAACCCATATGACGCCCCGAAACAAAGTCCCATCGTTGGTCCTCATAGTGACAAGAGTGCAAAAATCTCGGCACATAGTCTCTCTCATCCTCATGCATTCATCATGTTGATTGTGGGTTTCTGTGCTTTATTTTTCTTCTCTTGGGGAATGGGGGTTCCAGACGACGGGACTTCATTTAGAACATTTTTGGGGGAATCGACATCCTCTCCTCAAGCCGCCCTTGCCATCACTCAGCAAATCAAGTAAATCCCTTTGTTGAACCGCCGCGCCAATCTAACGAAACGCACGAGAAATCATGGTGCCAAGTTTTACCTAGACCGGCAAGAACCTAAAGTCGAGGGATATGGCTGGCTTAGTAGCCAAAGGCAGCGAGGGCCTTGGTGGTCTCGTCCTTGACGGCGGCGGTCTTCTTGGCGTCCGAGAGTTGTCGGGCAGCAATCTTCTTGCGCTCGTAGTAGGCCGCGGCCTTGGCCTTTCTTCGGTCCTCCAATCTGTACAAGGTCAGTGATGATCTTCAGCCTATGAGCACACAAACATACCGGCCAACAATGTCCTGGTACTTCCAGCCAACCTCGTGGCTCAGACGGCCAACGGTGCAGTACTTGCGGCCGGGCTGGAGTCGGAGAACACGGAGAGCCTGGGGGACGACCATCTTCTTCTTCTTGTCGTAGGGAGGGGGAACACCCTCAAAGACCTTGAGGCGCTCGAGAGCGGCGGCACCACGGGCAGTCTTGTGGGGGATCATGCCACGGACGGCCTTGTAGAAGATTCGGGAAGGAGCACGGAAGTGGAAAGGACCTGTCTTGGGGTCAATGACTGCATCTCGACACTGGGTAGCGGTTCTTCTCACCTCCGCGGGTGGGGTTGTATCGGGTGATCTTTCGGAGGTGGGCGTGGTACTTGACTGTTGGCATCATCAGCTTGTGTCCTTGCTCGTCGTGGTGGTGCCCGGTGGTGGTGTTCGGCCACAGGTCGGAGTTGTGCGTCGTGGGGTAGACATACGCTTCGCGCGGAAGAACTCGCCAGAGATGTTGAGAGCCTCGCAACGGACGACAACAATCTTCTGGCCGCTAAGGAGCTGCTTGGCGACAATGGAGGCGAGTCGGCCAAGGAGATGGCCCTTGCCATCGATGACGACCTAGAAGACGCACAAAGGTCAGCGAAATGCACCTTGAATATTCCCATGTGAAAGCAGCGGGCGTCGAGTTCATGGCAGAAGCCGGCGCTGAAGGTCTTGGAGATCCCGCAGCATCCTCAATCCATTCCCAGCGCCTGCATCCTGCCTCTGCCCTCGACCCGTGGTCGCATCACCATGGTTGTGCGGTGGACTTGAAGGTTACTCACAACCTGCTCGAACGTCGACATCGTAACCGTCTTTTCTGGGGGAATTAAAGAAAAGAAAAAGAAGGGCAGCTCAGACGACGGCTAAGATAAACAAATCCTCGAACCTGGCCGGCGAGAATCTGTATTTCCTGTGCTGCTGGGGTTAGTCGGTCCCTCGAATGTTGGGTGGAAGTGGTCGCGATATGATTGACGTGCGAAAAATCCAAGGACCGCTTGAGGGCTCGTTGTGCCTTTGGATGGAAATACGCTAGCCCCATACGGAAAGGGCGTGATTCGGCAGAAGCGGTGCTGGATGTGCTTAGGGTTTAGAGACCTAGAGCCTTGGTGCCGACAATTTACCGAGCGCGGGCGCACCCTTCCCACAAAGCTTGAAATGGATCTCGGGCATCCGGGGAAAGTCGGTGATTTTGCACGTGACCTCGGTGGATCGTTCCGACGGCGGATAGGTAAGGGTTATCGTCGCTCACGGATCAGGAAATCTGGAGATGAAGCAAAAGGTGATCTAGATTCAAGTGGTCTAGCCAAATCCCAAACGGTTGATTAAAGAAAAGAATACAATCTGTCCAGGCTTTCTATCTTGGTCATCATCGTCAAGGCCGTCGAATCTCCTTGGATCTATTGTACAGCTTGTTCTAATGAGAATAGCAATGGTAAACGAGCATCCGCATATCCGTCCGGTTTAACGCCAAATGCACTCGAGACTAGACAATCTTCTCGGCCTCTAACATGGCCGTCAACAACTGAGAGTAGGAAAGTTTTGGTTATGAGTCCTTTGCAACATCCAGTTGCTTCAGTGTCTTCTGGACCTGCTGGACCAGCTCCTTTCTCCTCGCCCTGACCTCTGCAATACCCTCGCTGTCAATGCAGTCAAGCTTGAGCATGATGTGCTGCATGATGGACTCTGACACCTTGCGATGGTCCTCCTCCCGCTTCTTGGGATCGGAGGGGGGTGCCTCGATGTAGTCGGTGCAGAGGGGCAGCCACTTGATCTGGAATTCGACGGCGAGGTCGTCCAGAGCCTTCATGGGGCCACTGGTCGCTCCAGAGGACACAGGCGGCGCAGGAGGTGATCGAGGCTGATCAAACGTAGAGGTACTGTCGCGAGGGTTGCTCGCCGACATAGAGTCACTATCGCTGGTGATGCCCTTCTTCTTATCACGCTTCTTCTTGCGGCGGCGGGTTTTCCTGTCTTCCCGGGGCGCATCAACAATCACCATCTCCTCATCGGATGGGCTGCTGATATCTTCAATCTCGGGAATCACCGCCATCAGTTCGCTGTTGTTTTTGACACCGTAGTCTCGAACTGGCGCCAAGGGGTCTTTGAGCTGTTTGCCCTTGTACAGGAGCTTGATCCGTGAGGTTCCCCGCACAGGCAGCTCCATCATGAGACCGACCCGGTCCTTGACGTCTATTACTCGCAGCTTTCCATCTCCGATTGCATACGCAGGAAAGTGTGCGGGATACGTCACGCCCCTGTTCTTGATCAAGAGGACATCGTCTTCGGGAGCTGGCGGGGCGGCCGAGTGAGATCTGGGATAATATTGGGCTTCGGTCACATCATCCAGATCTTGGGAAGTGATGTAGCTAAAGTCATCGTCGGTGACGGCGGGCACATCGCCAGGGACGGAACCGTAGGGCGAAAGTTGTTCGCGGCTGATAGACCAGCCGTATCTCGACATTGTCAACGGGACGGCGAGCAGGACGGCGAGGCTGCTGTAGACTAATGTTGGAGGGACACCGAGAGTGTCGGAAATGTAATCGCTCGAATCTTGAAAGGCAGACGAGAGATTAGCCAACGCCCCGTTGAGGTAGGACGTGACGTTTTGTAAGGCACCGGGAGATGCCACGATTTCTTGGGCGGAATCCACCTTGTTCAGTTGGTTCTAAGGTGGTCCCGAAGAGGACACCCTAGAGGCAAATGGGGATACAAATGCAGTTAATTGACCAAGGTCATGGACAGGAAGCGAGGTAAAGGCAGGGCGGTCGGGTCGAGAGGACGTCTGTTCAAGGCGGTTCTCTGTGATCGACCGTGGGCTGATGTGGAGCAGGTGGGCAGCGCGCGACGAGGACAAAGGTGGCGGCAGCGGACGACGATCACGACCCTTGGGGCCAGGGTCTTCCCAGCGATGCGACCTGGGCGACCTGGGCGACCAGTGTCGAGAGAGGTTCCCGCCGGCGGTGCGCGACGCAGTGAGTTGGCAGCGGGGAAGCCAGACAAGCAGGCAAGGCAAGGCGTCAGTCGGTTTGACAAGCGTCGGGGCTTGGGTTCTCCGGTGACACAGTGAGGGGCTTGGCCGTAATACGTCGAGGTCAGGCTGCGAGCATGTACCTCTGTACAACCTCGATTCGTATGCGCGTGGTGGATGTGTGTGATGATGATGCAAGTCGCAAACCGGGCAGCTTGAGGATGCGGGCTGGGGGCTCAGCGATTGGTCGAGATGCAGGCGGGAGGGGACGGGAGATGCTGAATCTTGGATCGCGCTGTATGTACGGACAGAAAGCAGATGCTGCAAGCAGTCCGGATCTACGATGAATATCAAGGAGCCGTTGCTAGTTCGTGGTGATGAGAGGTCGAGATTGGTAGAGATAAAGGGTCGAGGCCAGATTTCTAAAAATTGAAACATTCAGCCCGGGGCCTGGTTAATCTCGGGCAGCCAGAGCCGCACGGGGGACCCGACGCCTCCTTCCAGGTTCATGGCCTGACAATTGGCAATGGAAACCTGAGGGAAGACGTCGGGCAGTTCTAGCGGGAGAGCCCCTGAGGGGCAGCACGTTCAGGGGCCCGGTATTTATCCAGAAGCCGCTAGAGGGCCCGAGGCCTGGGCGTCAAGCCCTGGAGAAGAGAGGGAGTCAAGGGACAGCCTTTGATTCCAGTCGAATCTGAGAGGCTGACTCAGCTCCGAGGCACGGATTGAGAAGCAATTGCATCATCGCTTTTCTGACCGAAACCCCGTGGAATCAATCCCAACGCCGTTACAGTATTCCAAATCCATTGCCCTTCAAGCCCATGACAAATCATCCCGATTTGCCTCTACGTGCCGATATCCTCATCATTTCCTCCAACTAGGTTTATTACATTATCGCGCAATCAATCTCCAGGGCTCCCTCTGATAGATAAATACCTCGCCAGCCCTCTTCTTCTCCGCCCCGCTCTCACAAGCCAAGTAAACCCCATCCATGAACTTCTTCCGTTCATTCTTCCACCGCGCACCCAGTCCCGGCACCATGGCAGAGATCTCCCAGAAGGTTCAGCAAATCATTGACGACAACGCTGTTGGTATGTTGAAATCCATCCCGTGATGGGCTCTGTGGGGCGCATGAGTTTGTGGATGGTAGCTAATACCCATGTTCGCAGTCGTCTTTTCAAAGTCTTACTGCCCTTACTGCAGACAGACCAAGAAGACCCTGGACGACCTCAACACCGTCTATGAGCTTCTCGAGCTTGACCAGATCCGTATGTTATCCTCTTAACTCGGTGAACAAGCCAGTTACTAACATCTTCAGCCGATGGCTCTGACATCCAGGATGCCCTCGAGCAAATCTCTGGACAGCGCACCGTCCCCAATGTCTACATCAAGCAGAAGCACATTGGCGGCAACTCGGACGTCCAGAGCTTGAAGTCTGGCGGAAAGCTCCAGAACCTGCTCAAGGAGGCGGGTGCAGTGAAGGCGTAAGGACCAGCTGCTCCGGTTTGCCTGGACATGGAGAGCTGATGACCTTCAGTTCCAAGCTATAGATGCTTGTAGATTATAGAGACACGATGGCTAGATAGCACGGCCACTTGGTGTTGCGTGCACCTGCAAAAGCAGATGAGTTGAATTCATAAAACCTTCGACCTTACTCGTCGAGTTGTGTCTGCCTAGTGATACATGTCTTTTGTTGTCCATAACGTACACCTCTTCCTCTTCGTGATACCTGTTCTACAGAACTTGCGTGGCGACAGTGCCGACGGGTCTCTCGACAAATTCCATGACGCCATTGATAATGTTCCGCCTGGCTTCCTCTGACGCCACCTTCTTGCCAGCGAGATAGTTGAGCCAGAGCAGCCTAGACAGTCGCTCATCACCCAAGCTTCCCATGACGCTCTTCTTTGGCGTCTTGAAGTCGCCGCTGTTGTAAGTGAGGGTCAGTGTCCCTGCAGCGTCACGGACAAGAAGCAATTCCTTCTTCTTAAGGACCTGGCCTCTCTGGAACATCTGCTTGAATGTCTTCATAGCGGTTCCAAAGGCCTCATCATTGTACTCCGAGTCTCGACCCGTGCGAGCTTGAATGGCTCTCACAAGACCATCGCGCATATGGGGAAAGTCTGTGTCCCGAACGGGGGTAATGCGGAACGCCGTGCGGCATCCGGCATCCTTGAGAATCGCATTCCATGTCTCCTCGCCCTCGGTCGCATCCTCCAGCGCCTTGCGCAGGGTCTCCTTCTCCGACGGAATAAGAGTAGTGGCAAGAGGGTTGATCTTCTTGACGAGGTAATGCTGCAGCTTCTCAATGTCCTGAGTAGCCACGTAGAAGCCAACCACATACACCTCAATTCCAATGAAGGTTACTGTCCTCGTTCCCAGACCAACCAGTGTGAACTCGGTACCCTTCTTGTCGGTAACCGCAGCCGCAATTGGGCCGGGGGCGTTCTGAGGCGGGGCAATATCTTCAATGTCTATCGTCCGAGGATACAACTTGATCGTGGTGTTGCCGGTGGGAACAACCTCTTGACCATCCTCGTCGCGGATGACAACCTTGCGCTTCTCGCCCGCTTCAGTCTTGAAGGTTTCTGTCGGTATCGGCGCATCACACTTGATAGCCCGCTTCTCCTTCTCGCTCTGGACATCGATGGCTTGCTTGAGCTTCCAAGCTGTGTAAACGAAGGAAACGATGCCAGCGATGGCACCGGCGGCTAGGAAGGCAGTGCGGTTCTGTTCGTAATCTCTTCGCTTCGCATTGAGGTGATTCACGTCTAGATCATCAACCAGGCGGTTGGATTGACGTTGAGAGAACATGGTACGACGGGATACCCGGGTGATGGCGCATTGCGTCCGAGCTTGCGCGCGAAGCACGGGACGAAGAGTCGAAGGACGAAGCATGGCGACGCTCGGCGATGGTAAAGGAGGGTATCTATTCAATTTTTGACGAGTAATCAATCAAAAACAAACCATCGAATGGGAAAAGAAGGGCATGGAGGTTGTTAGTGATGATCTGAAAGTGCAATCAAGATCCGACAAGCTACGGACGATGGCGGGAAAACGTCTGATCCGGGTCGATGCCCCACATCATGTCGTTATCTAATCACCAACGCAACTACCTACGTCAGAGTCACCATCACGGTCATATTTCTTACCCTGGAGTCGAGCATCGAAAAGTAGTTGAGGCAGTCAGTTGATATTCGGGCGAGGGGGAGATCTTATATCACATGCATCTACAGAATGATTACTTGTAGTTTCAACTGCTGGTTCCGCATAGAATGTAGTGCATCATGGTAGGCGGGGTCACTTGTTCACAGAACGTGTTGATGACACTACAACGTGACATTCTCCGCATTAAAGAGTCATCAGCAAAGACATGGACTCTTTAATGGCAGGCAATATCAGCCCAATGACAGGAGGGGATCCTAGACGGTTAACAAAGGGGCCCATGTAATACCCTAATTCGGGCGTTTGCATGATACTCAGGTATTACCGTCATGGACTCCCTCTCTTCATGCGCCGTATTGTGGCTGAAGAAGCAAGGTTGAATCCAGACGCTCCTGGCCGTTTTCCTCCAGTCTTCCATGCGAGCCAGAACTCTTATTCATATTCCATGAGCCATTAATGGCTGACGCCACTTCATTGTTCGGACCTCTTGATGAAGCGCCTCCAATAAGCCCGTTTCTGGCCTCGACGAATTACACCTCTACATACCTATCAGATATTACTATATCCCTCTCCGTCTCCCCCGCAGTCAACGTGATCAGTCGCGACCTGAACACGCGATCCAGCAAGACACTCTGCATTCCTCATTTCCATCCTCACGGTCCTCATCAAGCTTGTCACTCTACAGAGTCACATCCAAGTCAAGACCCGCAAGCGCCATCCCCCTGATCTAGAGAGAAGACTCCCGCCTCAACCCCACCACGGTCATCCCCGCGACTAGTAGACAAGGCCTGAGCCCTGGCTGGGATCATCTCCATAGGACGGGACCATCTGGGGACCGTCTCGTCCGCGCCCAGAGCGAGGTGCAGAGTCTTCAGAGGCTTGCAGCGCTTACAGTGGGTTCCAGCGCATGACCACGCGAATTTACAGGGCGCATCTGCCAAATCAAGGACCCAGATCCCTCCCATCGCGACTGAAACCAAGGAAATAAACACAGACGCCTCCCCTGTCCTTGCGGGTACTTGCAGAGCCCAGCTTCCACCTGCGCCAACACGAGTACTTTGCTGGCCACCGTAGGTACCTTACCCAAACCCAAGCCCAACCCAGCCAGCGAAAAGCTCCGCCCCGTTTTTGGCTCGCCTTGCCAACTGGGCTGGGACCAACCTAGGAACTCCAACTACCGCCGCCTGTTCCACCATCATCATCATCAGTTTCATCGTCGCCGCGAACGCCTATTTTCGAAGTGAGCGAGTGTGTTGACATCGGACCGCGTCCCCGAGCATCCTGCATCAGCCTAAGTCACGTCGAATACGCTTTCGTTACGATAACGATCCGCATCGGCCTTGAACAGGCCTCCCGAATCTCGCAGCCGCCCGCAGCCGCTGCTTAAGAATCACCCTTGTGATCCCTGATTTTCAGGTTCTCTTTTGCCCAAAACCGTTCTTCGACGACCGCCTCACCTGCCATAAACACAAGCAGCGTGCCCGTATCGCCCTTTGATGCGGTCCGCTGCCCTGCCCGCCAACATGGCTGCTTCCGCCGCTGTTCGACCGAGCCCTGCGCCCGCCGACGATCAAGATGACTCCCGATCGTCGTCGTCGTCGACTTCCCCCGCGCCCGCCGACAACGAAGAGTCCGACTTCTTCCTCGGTGCAAACGATTCCCAGTCGAGCATCGGAGTACCAAACTTTCAAGATATGCAGGTCGAGGATGATTGCCAACCGCCGGTTAACCGCCTGCCAAACGAGATCCTCATCAGCATCTTTGCCAAGTTGAGCGCCACTTCAGACCTCTACCACAGCATGCTTGTCTGCAAGCGTTGGGCCAGGAACACAGTCGACCTTCTTTGGCATCGTCCTGCTTGTACGAATTGGAGGAACCACAGCAGCATTTGCCAGACCCTGCAGCTCGAGCACCCTTTTTTCAGCTATCGTGACTTCATCAAGCGGCTTAACCTCGCTGCCCTCGCCGATAAGGTCAACGATGGTAGCGTGTTGCCTCTCTCAGTGTGCACCCGCGTCGAGCGACTGACACTCACCAACTGTCGCGGGCTTACCGACTCTGGTTTGATCGCCCTCGTCGAGAACAGCAACTCGCTCTTGGCTCTCGATATTTCCAACGACAAGAACATTACGGAACAGTCGATCACTGCCATCGCCGAGCACTGCAAGCGCTTGCAAGGACTCAACATTTCCGGCTGCGAGAACATCTCGAACGAGAGCATGATTGCACTGGCAAACAACTGCCGGTATATCAAGAGAGTGCGTATGGAGGAGTCTATTGGATGATGCATGTGACTAATTCCGTGGCAGTTGAAACTCAACGAGTGCGCCCAGCTTCAGGATGATGCTATTCACGCTTTCGCCAATAACTGTCCCAACATCCTCGAGATCGATCTTCATCAGTGCAGTCGCATCGGCAACGGCCCAGTGACGTCTCTGATGGTCAAGGGCAACTGTCTGCGCGAGCTTCGATTAGCGAATTGCGATTTGATCGACGACGATGCCTTCCTATCGCTTCCTGCTGGACGACACTTTGAGCACCTCCGCATTCTCGACCTGACTTCTTGCATGCGCTTGACGGACGCTGCGGTCCAAAAGATTATCGATGTGGCACCGCGCTTGCGTAATCTCGTGCTCGCCAAGTGCCGGAACATCACTGATGCTGCTGTGCATGCTATTTCTAAGCTTGGCAAGAACCTGCACTATGTGCATCTTGGTCATTGTGGAAACATCACCGATGAGGGAGTCAAGAAGCTTGTTCAGAACTGCAACCGCATCCGATATATCGATCTCGGCTGCTGCGTCAACTTGACGGATGAGTCAGTTAAGCGACTTGCTCTTCTCCCCAAGCTGAAGCGTATCGGTCTCGTCAAGTGCAGTTCTATCACAGACGAGTCTGTCTTGGCGCTTGCTGAAGCCGCGTACCGACCCAGAGTGCGACGAGATGCCAGCGGTGTTCTTGTTGGCGGCGAGTACTACGCTTCAAGTCTTGAGCGTGTCCATCTCAGCTACTGTATCAACCTCTCCCTCAAGGTCAGTATTGATGAATCTATTCTTTCCTGGACAACTACTAACTGGATACAGAGCATTATGAAGCTGCTCAACTCATGCCCAAGACTCACCCACCTCAGCTTAACTGGAGTAGCTGCCTTCCAGCGCGACGATTTCCAGCCCTACTGTCGACAAGCGCCTCCAGGTCAGTCGACTCAGTTGTCATTTGATACCCCTGCTGACCATGCTACAGAGTTTACTCAGCACCAAAGAGATGTGTTTTGCGTCTTTTCAGGCACCATGGTGTCTAAGTTCCGAGACTTCCTAAATACTTCACCACAGTTCGAGGAATATTGGGAGACCAACAGCTGGCCGCGCTCAGCTCGCTGGGACGCTATTCGGGCACCCCGTAGCTCTGTGGCCGCTCAACAATCGGCTGCCGCGGGTGAGGGAGCCGATGATGAAATGGCCGACGATGACAACGACTTTGAAGGAATGGACGGTAGCGAGATGGCAGTGGATGCCCAGGTCCCGATTCCCGTCAACGGAAACGTCCCCAACGGAACTGTGAATCCCAACCAGCTCATGAACAACACATTCACACAAGCCATCCCTGTGCCCCCTCCGCCACCCGGCTTGTTACTAGGTCAGCTCCCTACACTCTTTGCGCCACTGGCCCGCCTCTTGCCCTCGCCGCGTCTAGCGCGAACGGCTCCAGGATTGCTAGGGTCTGTGGCATATCGGAACACCATTAACACCCTGACAGCAGGCGGAGTACAACAGCAGCGGCTGCCTCAGGTCACCAGTCATGCCAGCGCTGCAACCCTGGGCCACGGCGGCCCTACCAACGGAGAGCCTTCAACAGGCGCGAGCACAGCGACTATCCACCGACCACAGGAGAATGGCGAGCAACAACAGCAGCAGCAGCAGCAGCAGCAGCAGCAGCAGCAACCCGATGTGATGAACTGAAACGATAGAATGTTTGCTTTACGGCTCAGGTTAGGTTAGCGATGACACCACCATAATTTGTTTTCGGGCTTCTCTCTTGCCCACGGTACGAACCTCCTTGGGCCAGCTCCCCGCGTTCGACCCGGCTAATGGACGACCAAGGCGTTGGAAGAAGAGCAGAGGAGCTCTCTGGAACGGTTAGACGACAGACACAGAAAGCGCGCGCGCACCGGGGAGTTTTTTGTTGTGTGAATGGCACGCCGCGGTTTTTGCGGCCACGACTTTTGACGGCAAGGAAACCACACGTAACTAGGTATACCACGGGGGCAAACGGCATGGAGGAGGCGGACGGACACACGGGGCACGTACGTACATGATCAGTCACGACGGGCTTTTGCTTGCTTTTTTTATACAGAGGTTGTGCGGTCATCTGGCATCCTCTGAGAGGTGAAGAGGATCATGGTAGAACGGTCATTGTGTTGATAATGCCTGCTTCGGGGGGAAACATAGTCTGATTACATGATGCTTTGCGTTGTGTTGTGACGCGAGTTTTGGAGTTGACAATAGACTTGCTTTTGATGTCAATGATTTACTCTTTGTTGTTTCAGACGTTTGAGTTATAATGTGTTATTAAGTTGACTATCTGGTGTTGACCAACGTCTCACTAGATATATGGGTATATATAATTGCCTTCACAACTTGACGACAACGACATACAAGAACTACTTCTTATGTATCCATGCTATCATCCATCCTCCAGAGTCTCATGCGTGAAACTCTAAGCGTTCCCCTGGATCTTCTCCTGGCTAGTCTGAGCACTGGCAACCGAGTGAGGGTGAGTGCTATCAGCCATGTGTCGGGTCAACTCGACATAGTCGTAGGCAAACTCGCCGAGCTGACCGTCATCAAGACCAAGCTCCTCCTCCTCGGCAGAGACGCGCAGCGACAGGCCAGGGATGAGGTTCATGAGGAACAGGAGGAGGCACGAGATGACAAACGACCAGCCAAAGGCAGCGCAGGTGCCAGCAATCTGGTAACCAAGCTGTACAAAGTGGCCATCAACCCAACCGATGGGGTCGTACTCGCCGCCGTCGAGGTTAGCGATGGATTGACTGAAGACGAGTTAGCGAGGATTTTGTAAGTGAGTCAAGGAGTGAAAGAAACGTACGTTCCAAAGATACCGGTGAGGATGTTGCCAACCATGCCACCGATACCGTGGACGGCAAAGATATCAAGACCGTCGTCGATGTTGAGGACGAACTTGAGCTTGGTGGCAAAGTTGCAAAAGATACCACCGCAGACACCGATGATGACGGCGGCCCAGGGCTTGACGAAGCCAGCAGCAGGGGTGATGGCAACGAGGCCAGAGATGGCACCGGAGCAGAAACCAATGGTGCTCCACTTCTTCTCAAGCCGGTAATCGAGGAGAACCCAGGAAATGGCACCGCAAGAGGCAGCGAGGTTGGTCACGTAGCAGGCCATGACGGCGCGAATGTTCATGCCGAGAGCAGAACCGCCGTTGAAGCCGAACCAACCGACCCAGAGGAAGACGGTGCCGAGAACAACATGAGTGACGTTATGAGGACGGTAGGGGAGACCGTTGTTGCGAGAGTAGCCGGTACGCTTGCCGAGCATGAGGGAGTAGGCGAGAGCGCAAGTTCCCGAAGCAACGTGGACGGGACCGCCACCAGCAAAGTCGTAGCTGGGGAGGTTGAACAGCCAACCATTGCCGTTCCAGGTCCAGTAGGCAATGGGGTCGTAGACAATGGTAGACCAGAGGAGCATGAAGACCACGGCAGGGAGGACACGGCCACGATCAGCAACGGCACCGATAGCGAGGGCAGGACTGTCAAGGTAGTTAGCATTTCTCCTCATCTTGTTTGGATAGAGATACTCACGTAATGCAGGCAAACATGCCCTGGTAAAGGCACAGCAGGATATCAGGAAGGAAAGAAGATCCATTGGGCTGAGCCAGAGTCTCCATGAGACCAAACTGGGTGAGGTCACCCAGGAAGGCGTTTCCAGTTCGAGAAAAGGTCAGGGAGTAACCCCAGAAGAACCACTGGAAGCTGATGACGGCGACCGATGCCATGGACAGCAGAATCAGCGTCAGGGCAGACTTGCGACGGGCGAGGCCGCTGTAGAAGAAGCCGACGCCGGGAATCATGAGAAGAACCAGGACAGCGGAGATGACGATGAAGGTCAGGTGTCCGGTCTGGAGCCAGCATGTTAGTTGATGTGATTACAGTCAGAGTAGCATTGTCCACTCACGTCGTAAAAGAGGTTCAGGTCATGGACGCCAGCAGAGTAGCCATCGTCGGCCTTGCCCTCTGTTCCATTGTAGGTGAGCGAAGACATGGTGGCGACAGTGTACAAGACAAGACTGTCAAAGCTTGTTGTTTGTTCCCAGAACCCAACGATGTTCAGATGGGAAGGACTTGAAGGGATGAGGCGAGACAAGAAAAACGGTCTGGGGGGTCGCCAAAGGCTAAATACCTTGCCCAAACGTCCGACGGGTTCAAAGACCAGACAGAGGTAAAACTGACACCAGGGGTATCCTCCTCCTTGAATCCGATCCTCCGTGACAGAAAGGCTAACAAGTTGCGCCGGCGACAGGACAGTACAGGACAGGGGGGTACATTGTTCGGATATGGTGTGGGGGAAATCTTGATAAGACGCCCATAGCTCGAGTAGCAATATGAGAGCACCCCCAAAGAAGGTAATGAACATCCGAAAGGAGTCCGAACTGACCAGACGGGCTGCAGCCAAGAAGGGCCACTCGTCAGTTGGCATTCCGTATTCAAGGCATGGGATCACTGTGCGAGCCCGTCATCTCTCGGGCAATAAGATACGGCATATGGATATCTCGGGATCCAGAAATAGCCAAGAGACTCTTGGCTGTTTGATAGACCCCATGATTGTAATCCCACGATAGTCTAGAAAAAAAGGCTGACAAACCGAGTTTCGTCGACGAAATGAAGAAGCCGAACATGCATCTTCTAGCTCTTCTCGACGGGTTCTTTTGTGCTTATCGCAGCAGCAAATGCATGCGCGATCCCATAATGCGAGTGGGAGGGCCCAAGCCACCGTCGACTTAAAACGGCGCCTACTGATAAGCATCCAAGTTCCAACAGGCCCCTGGCATTGCGACCTCGGCTTGGCAGGTTGGATCGAATGAGCATCCTTTCTTGGCTTTAGGCTTATCGTGCTGAAGGTGGCATCCTTGGTTGATGTCTTTGTGAAGCGGAAAATGCGACCCCGGATTCTACAGTTTCGGAAATGATCCGCACGTTGAAAGTTGAAGAGTGTCCCGGGGTCGTGAACTGTCGCCGCACTGCCACAAGATGACCATTGCGCGATAGATCTCGCCTCTGGTCTCTAGCCGGATCTTAACTGCCGACTAGAATACTGGACGACTTGACTTGTCCGTTGAATCCAAGAATAGGTCAAGGTTCCATTTCTCCTCACGGCCTAAAGGCATAAGAGTAAGCAGCACGTCAAGGGTTACAGCCAAGACTCATCCTCGCGCCTCGCAGCCCATCTTCCGCTTCCCCAGACGCCTTGCAGAGCCGATCCAACACCGTCCGAGCTTCTTATCTCCAGACTCGCTAGATTGCCTGCTGGGAGTCGTTGGATGAGGTCGAATAGGGCACGCCTGATTGGGCCGCTGTCTTATCTCTTGGCGAGAGTGGTGGAGCCCCTAGCGGTGATGGCTGGGTCCAAAGCAAGGGCCTGATGTACCAGGGTCTCGTCCTTGTCCCAAAGCGGTTGTAAGTGAAAGCCTCTTGCGATTGGGGGGTGAGTTGGAATGCCCGTTGATGAGACTGCTTGCTGCTGGAGAGCTTGGTCATGCAGAAAGCCGAGCGAAAGGAAAGCGTCGGCAAACGGATCAAGATGTTACTGTCATGCCGGTCGGTTAGTTCTATGTTGCTTGAATTGTCTGAAGCTGGTGATGGTCCGAAGAGATGAAGCCTTGTGCTACGAAAAGCCCAACATTCACAACTTCAGCCACTGAAACGCCTGAGACGTTAGAGAAGCTCGATCCAAGCTCAAGTTGACCTGTTCATTCCCCACACTTTCCATCAACTGTCGATGGTCCTCTTGCGCCCGCACAGCCTTGTGAGAGACTCTTGCGGGCGTCAGTATGCGAGCTTCCCGCTCTCTGCGACCCTTCAAGGAGGTAGGCTCTGACAGGCACCAAATATTTAAGACTGACCTCTCCCGTCTTGTTGATCTGTTCTCGAGTTCGACTCTAATCCGACTTCATCGACGCCGCCGACCCTCGAGTGACGAGCCCGAATATGCTTCTTGACTTTGATGACTGTGGCAAGCAGCCAACACGACTATCAACCTACTCCGACTGACTGATACCGACGACCACGCTCGCTGTTCCGACCTGATGAATCATCTCCTGCTTGGCGGTCGACCAAAGGGCATTCATCGACCAGGGCTGAGGGTGTGATCATTCCGACAATCCATATCTCATTGGCCCTCAGGAGTGCAGCACTTTGTTGGTGGGCATGTGCTGAACACCTCGTCTCAGCTGCGAATGCGATAACAAAACTTGGCGGGCCCGACAGCTGAATCCATGGATACCGTATGAGGACACCCGTTGCATCCGAACCTTGTGCCGAAGAGCCATCATCCACTTGGCAAAGATAAAGCAACTGGACGAACTCGAAATTACGCTTGTTTCCCGTGGCGCGATTAGCGTAGCGTAGAGATAAGGAACAACCCTCACGATGTTCCGCCCTAACGCATGAGTCGTATACCTCGCATCAGTTGGCCGAGGAGTGTCTCATGTCGGAGACTTCTGCCGTCTGCCTTGAGCCCAAAGTGTGGACGGCTTTCAAATCACAGGTTTGCTTCGGGAGTGCTTGATATTGTCGTCAATTGGGTATCTTGAAACCAACAATGTGTTGTCGTAGCTGTCTTTTCCCGTTATAGTCGTAGACTGCGTATGAGCAATGTCGCTCAGCAACTGCAGCCCAAACTGAGTTGGCCGCAAAGGACTTGATGCGCCCGGCCAAGTTCCCGGTCGTCATTCGTCGTGGACGGAGTGCAGAATCTTGGACATGCATAAGATCGGAGTGTGTTGCTCTGATGTGTTGCAAGGCCTCACATGCTTGAGCTCCTCTCCATGCCCTGGATTCTGCCACCAGTTGGATTGAATCACGGTGTCATGACTTGAGCTCGGTCCTCCATTCGTCTTCCAGCTCAACAAGTCTTTCTGCAACTTTCCATGGCGCTTCCTCTTCTAGGATCCTCCTCTGCTCTCCCGATATCCGGTCAAGGACATATCGACTGACGGTTTCGGGGTCTCTCTCCTTTGGTCGTCCAATGCCAAGGGCAATTCGCACAAACGGTGAATCAGGATATTTCCCTTGTGATAATGATCCCTTGACACTCTTGATTCCGTTGTGGCCCTTGTGGCTTCGATCCCAAGCAGTAAGTCGAACTATGCCGAGGTCCTTCTCAAGTTCATCGTGCACAATGACCAGACTAAGTGATGATGGATCATGCTGCTTGACCATGTCCTGCCATGCTCGAGCGACAAAGCTTCCAGAGATGTTCATGAGAGTGGGCGACTGAACCAATGTGTACTTTGGTCCCTGAGACACCAGACATGCCTTCTTTCCGAGGGTTACCTCCCGAAACGAAGGGTACCGTAAGACCTTGGCAAGACCATTGAGAGCGAAATGACCCGCAGAATGAAGACTTTCGTATTGGGGCAAGGGGTTTCCCAGACTGACAACGAGGAACCGGGGACTGAACATCTTGACGCGTGAATTGATACCGAGGCTCCAAAAGTCTTCGACAAGAAAGTTTCGAAGCCGCTGCAAACGCGGTATCACGTGAGGCCTCTCGGAATAACACTGCCCCGACCAAAGTGCTCAGCCCCGTCGCTGACGTCGATCAGTCGATTGGGCTGGATTGTGGCTGAGCCCCAGTTTTGTCGTCACTCAATGTCCAACTTCCATGGATGTTGGCTGACTCCTGTAATTACAACTTCCAACACTGTCGATATACCCTCAAGCGCGTCCGCAATTCCTTGCCGAATTTTACACTTAATCGAACCGAGCGAAGCCATCCTTAAAAGCACAAATCTGTCAACATGTCGTGGGCGGGTAGGCAAGCCATCACCCCGCAATCCGGAGGGGTCTAACACGAAGCAGGGTTCAAGAAGAATGTGAATCGCGCGACGACGCAGGTGATGATGAAGACGGGTACGTGAGATTGAGCGCGAGGCTGTGGAAGAGGCTGACGAGGAGCTCTAGGTCATGTGGAGAAGACCAACGATCGCGATTATGAGGTTGAAGAGAGGTTAGCAACACTTGATAAGTTGGAAATTGGTGCCTAACGGAACTAGACGATTCAAGACTATGGAGGCGGCTGCGCTGCGGCTTCAGAAGGAATCAAAGGGGTACCTTGACTCGCTAAGAGGTAGGTTTACCACGATGCGATGTCTCCGGAGGGACTAACAAAACAGCAATGACTGCCTCACAAATGCGAATTGCCGAAACGATAGATGCGTTCTACGGCGACTCGGGCGCAAAGGACGGCGTGAGCAGGAGTTACAAGCAGGCAGTCGAAGATCTGGACGCCGAGACCATCAAAGCCCTCGACGGACCCTACCGGACAACCGTCCTCGACCCCATCTCCCGGTTCTGCGCCTACTTCCCCGACGTCAACGAGGCGATTAAGAAGCGCTCCCACAAGCTCCTGGACTACGATGCTCTCCGCGCAAAGGTCAAGAGGCTTGCCGAGAAACCCGACAAGGACGCCACCAAGCTGCCCCGGACCGAGAAGGAGATGGAGATGGCCAAGGCTGCTTACGAGCAACTGAACGAGCAGCTCAGCTCGGAGCTGCCGCAGTTGATTGATCTCCGAGTGCCGTACCTCGACCCCAGCTTCGAGGCGCTCGTCAAGATCCAGCTGCGATTCTGCGCCGAGGCATATTCCCGCATGGCGCAGGTACAGCAATACCTGGATGCCGACACAAGAGACCAGTACGCCGAGGGCCAGCTGGACGCCAGGGTAGAGCAGGTATTGCAGGAGATTCGGGAGCTTAGCATCAGCGGCACGGTCTAGGATTGGACAAGCTTTGTGTGTTAATAGTGCACTTGGGAACGGCGTACGGAGGTGCTTCTTGATTGTAGACATTATCTAGCTCCATGAGGGACTCATGAGCAAATGAATAGACACCCTGACTTTTGGGCATGGGCTCTGAAGCGACGAGGAAGGACATTTCGCTTTGTAGGTCATGATCGTATTCATAGCCACTCTATTGAGGCGGCCCACCACCATATTATTATCATGGTTGCCCCTCATTAAAGCATCATCTGGGCCCTGTTTGGCACGGCGCGCGCCTTCGTTATTCACCCTTTTCGTCATAGCTTGGGTTGCGTCTTGGTCGACACCTATTGACCAATAGCTGGGCCACCACTCGCTGACCCAAACAGATCACTGATGCTCAGCCTTCTCCCCATTGCCTGCATAGCTGGGCCAGCCTCGGGTCCTTGTGTCTCGATAGGTCCAGCAGACCGGGCAATCTTCCAAGCCTCCTGGATCATAGCGGCATTCATCTCTCTCGTCTCGTCCTTGTCGTTGTGAATCCACACTCCCAGTACCTTGTCGCCTTCCTCCCAGTCGCCCTCGACCTTCATAATGACGAGCTCGCCAGAGACTTCGGCGTGTGATACCCTCGAAAGATCCACTATAACATTGTCCAGCCCTCTTCTGCTCAATACGAAAACGCAAGCTCTGGGTTGCTGGCCAGGGTCCTCAGGTAGCGGCGCCTGGGCACAGACAAACATGGTACCCTCGACACCTGACTTCTCCCACCCCCCTGATGCGCTATTAAAGGTGTAGACAACGGCGTTGGCTGCTATGCTGAGGATGGTGTGGATGGAGGGGAGGTAGCGCTGGAGGACGGAGAGGTTGAGCTCAGTGTTTGTGCGCGGGGGAGGTGGTGCGTAGTCGGCGTGCACGGCTGAATAGGCGGCCGCATCGGATTCGTAGTCTGAGATGGCAGGTATTCGGTTCGATGGCTGGCGGTTGTGCCGCGTCTTACGCGGTGTTGGTCTGCTCATGATGGATACTCTCTGTGTTGCGAATGGCTCGGACGAGGGCGCCTGGTGTGGCAGGGGAGAAGCAGGTAGCTGGTATTTAGCTGCGTAAGTGGCCCAGCAGTGAGTTTGTTCACGAATGTATGGCGTAGAAGAGAATGTCCTGGTGTTTGTGCTGGAATGAGATGTCGATCAAGGTCGAGGTTGACAAGGCACATGATGCGCCTGGCTTAGGCGGGCTGGCGGGCTCTTTGGGCGTCTTATCGATAAGACTCGCGACTCCCCGCGGGGCCCTCCCTTCCACTGACCTACATCATCGAGCCCAACTTCAAGATCTCACGTTGCACGTTGGTTGTGGCGGATTATAATTGCTTTGCATCCCTTCTTCTGGCTTATCAAACATTCTTTTGGCACAGCTTAGAGTCCAAATACTCCCCTGTCTCTCGCAGCAACGGTCTTGCAGTTGAGCTCCTGTGGGAGGACGTCATGATCTAGAAGGCCACCAGTCGAACTCCCCGCGATAGGTCACGACGGCGTCGCATCACCAGTTCTCACTCCTCCAGCACTGCCACTATGGCTTCCATGACCGACGATCCCACAAACCAGTCTGTCGAATCCGAACCGGTGGACCTGTCCTCGACGACACCGCACTCGCTTGCCAAAGCTGTCCATGCTAGACGATCCGAATACGTGCGCCCGCACCGGCTAAAGGTCAAGATCGGGACGTGGAACGTGGCAGCATGTCCAGGCACGGATAAGGACCTTGCGACCTGGTTCACATACGGTGAAGGTCTCGACCAGAATTTTGCAGGACTCAACCTTGTGCAAAATGACGCCGTCAAGATCGACAATAAGCAGCCAGGCAATTCGGAGCCGTTGCACCTGACAGCCGGGAAGGATATCGGTCTCTATGTGCTGGGGCTGCAGGAAATCGTAGACCTCAATACGACCAAGGAGTACATGAACCGGGCGGTGTATACGGATACCAGCGTCATGGACAAGTGGAAGGCTGCGCTGGAAGCTGCCTTGCCCCCCGGATACGAGCTTGTCACAGCCGAGCAGATGACAGGCCTGTTGCTTCTGGTGTATGCATCTCCAGAGATTGCGCCCACCATCAGCAATGTCAGTACAAAGCAGGTCGGCACGGGACTTTTAGGATACTTTGGCAACAAGGGCGCTGTTACGACTCGGCTTCTCCTTGGCGAGACAACCCGCATGGTCTTTATAAACAGCCATCTAGCTAGTGGCGCTGGCTCTTCATATCTGGACCGGCGGTGTTGGGATGTTGGCCAGGTTCTATCTCGGACCCAGTTCGACCCAATCGTTCACGCGGGCGTTGAGGAGGAGGAGGGAGAAAAGATTGGTGACGAGGACCTTGCTTTCTGGTTTGGAGACCTGAACTTTCGACTCGACGGCCTGCCTGGAGACGACATTAGACGGCTGCTCACGTTACATGCTCGAGGTGAATATGGCGCGTCTGAGGACTCGAAGCCAGTCCTTCCTGAAGAGGGCGTGATCGTCATGAGAGGCTCTGATAGTGACGATGATACCACCACGACTTCATCATTGCACTCGAGAAACGAGAGCTTCGATACTGCTAGTGACCTCCCGGACCCCGACGACTTTCCTGAAGACCCGAGCCAGGATCCCACCTCGTTACAGTCGACTATCGATTCGTTACTACCGCATGACCAACTGCGTAGGATGATCAAGCAGCGCAAAGTGTTTCACGACGGCTGGAGAGAAGGCGCAATTACATTCCTTCCGACATACAAGTACGATGTGGGAACAGTTGGGCTCTTTGACTCGAGCGAGAAGCAACGTGCGCCAAGCTGGTGCGACCGCATCCTGTTCCGGACTCGAAAAGACAAGCTAGACTTTGAGACCAAGGTCAGAGACGAAGAGGATGCAAAGAAGAAGGACGAGGAGATGAGGCTTAGAGGATTAGAAGAGGACGAAGATGTGCTCTTTAGCTATGATCCTGATGCTGATGGAGAGGATATAAGCGCAGCTACCGACGCAATCGAGTATGATGAGTACGACGAGAACGAGGAACCAGAGGCTGAGGATCTGGTGACTAAGGAGGGCTTCCACGACCGTATTGACCTGGAGATTTATGCCTCGCATCAGCGCATCACATCATCCGACCACAAGCCCATCACGTCTATCTTTACGCTCGACTACGATGCTGTTGTGCCAGACCTCAAGGCCAAGATTCACGCCGAGGTTGCGCGGGAGCTGGATAGAGCAGAAAACGAGGGCCGGCCAGGCATCACTGTTGTAGTGGAGGGTAACGAAAGCGCAGAGGGCAATATTGTCGACTTTGGAGACCTGGGTCCTCTGGAGAGGAAGACCCATTCCTTGACGGTGGCCAATACTGGAGGTGTTGCAGCGACCTTTTCGTTCGTGGCGAAACCAACGATAGAGGACGGCGATGATGCGATACCCGAGTGGCTAAAGACAACCTTTGTACGCGCTGATGAAGAGTCACCAGAACCACTGGGTGCCGCGGTGACGCTTGACCCTGGAGAGACAGCTTCAGTGTTGCTTGAGGTCCAGGTTTCGGCGATATCCCACATCCGCGCGCTGAACGAGGCCCGCGCCAAGATCGAAGACGTCTTGGTACTGCGGATAGAGGATGGCCGGGATCACTTTATTCCTGTGCGCGGCAACTGGCAGCCCTCATGTTTGGGACGCTCGATCGCAGAGCTGATAAGGATCCCGGATGGGGGCATCAGAAAGTTTGTCAAGGAAAGGGGCATCAAAGGGGCAATCTCTTACGACTCGGATGTTCACTGCTCGGCGCCAAAGGAGTTGTTTAAGCTCACAGAGGCAGTGCAAACTCTGGTGGAGCGCAGTCTCGCCGAAGCAATGATGCTTGAGGAGGCAGTATTGCCGCGGGATCCTGGGTGGCCACTGGAGTCGACAACATGGAGAGTAGGGGAGGCAGAGCTATTGGAAGCACAGATTGCGCTCGTGTCTGCACTCGACATGGATACTATGCTTCTGGATGCGCTACGTCTCGAATGGCCGGCATCCTTCAAGCTGGAAGTTGTCTGCTCTGTCCTGCTACTATTCCTCGAATCGCTAACTGACGGTCTTGTCCCTACACACTTATGGGCGAAGCTTTCTACGGCGCTGCCTAATATTTCTTCATTGCCTCCAAATGTCTGGCCCGACACAAAGACGCAAATACTCGACATCCTCTCGTCGGCCCCAAACCACAACATCGCATTCGTCTTCCTAACTGCCACGCTGTCCCGAGCCGCCACAGAACTCACCCCCGCGACTACAGACCCCAAAGCCGTCGGGCTCACTCGCAGACTAAGTTTCCGTCTGACTAATACAGAGGACGAGGACACCAAGAAGAGAAAGATGAGGGAACGCAGATACGCCGAGATCGTGGGGTCGATGGTCTGCCGCGTGGACGAGAAGGAAAAGGGGGCCAAGGATCGAGCTCGGACGGTGGTGGAAATGTTTCTAAGACGGGACGAGGGTAGCTAGAAGCGCAGGGATCGCAAGATCAGGGCGATGCGAGCGACTGTATGAGTTTTGAAGTTCAAGGTACATGATGGCTCTTTTGGGGTGGAATTAATCTGGTCCGAAGGGTGGTGTATGTATGTACGTAAAGTTGTTTGTGTCAAGGCATCAACACGGGTTAGGGGATAATGGATGAACAAAGCATTTGATGTGCAATGTTTTATCCATCCACAATGAGTGCCTAGAGTGGACAAAGATGAAGAGCCATGGAGAACATTAAAGGTACGTAAACAGCCCGATTAATCCCCCATTAGAGTTCTTGCTCACATCTTCAAGGCTCCCAAGTCCATGACAACAAGGCACCTGACCATTATAGGGGGAAGTAGCGAACAACTGCAGCGCCCCAACAATCACAGGATGTCCGTTTTTTTATTTCCAAGACTCCAACAAATCTAGCTGCTACATCCTCCTCGTGCAGCATCCTTTACATGGCCTCACCTGTCGTGTTGTCCATCACTAGTTCCATCATCCCTCCTTCAGGGCTCATGCCCTCCTTTGAACCTCTCTGCGATAGCCTCACATCGACCGAAAACCTTCCGAAGACAAGAGGCCGCGAAAGTTCCCCGAGGAATAACCCGTTTTGCCGATATCGCCTGCAGTGATTCACTCTCCACCTGCATCCACCCGTTGGGGCAACAGACTCGAGCCCTGGGAGCAAGCGGGATAGCAGGGCCATCGGTCACTGCGTCCCGTTTACCTCGTTTCCTCCATTCAACCCTTTCCTCCTCGTTCGATCTCTGCCTTGTTCGTCTACAGGTTCTTTTTGCTGAAATTAGACAACCTGCGGCCTCGCGGCCTCTTCTTCGCCTCGATCCTCGATCCTCGATCCTCGATCCTCCATTTGAGGCCTCTTTGACACCTTTGATCATTTTCTTCTTTTCCATCGCGCGGCTTTTCATTCGAATCGATACGACGACCGACTACTTACGACCTAATCGGCCTTGTCGAGCTTCACCTCTTGCTTCACTCCTTCGCACCGCCGTCACCAACCCTAGCGGTGCCTTGCAACTCTTCAACACCTAGCGAATCCTTCCAATCACACCAGCCCGGGGCTTTTATTTCTTTTTTGGGGGTTTCTACCTTCTCGGAAGGTTACAAACCTTCATCCTTCTACCTCATTGGCCCGAATTCAGGAGAGCGGCTCGAGCAACATGTCGCAAACTTGGGGGTTTAAGCCCAAATGGATGGTGAATGCCTCGCTCGAGCATCGCAAAGTTATCAACAACACATGCTGGAGGAACATTCGCGAAATGTGCAGCATTTTAGACCGCGCCTATGACTACGTACAACCCGAACAAAAGGAAGAGTTCAATGCTTGGCAGAGGCTTTATCGCCCCCCTGGCGAAAGGTCGCACCGCCCTCCTCACTGGAGGTCACATCGCAATGCCAACACTGCCCAGGCACCCCCGGACACCGTGTCCGAGCAGCTTACGGAGCAAGAAGCAAACCTCCAAGACGCTTTTGAAGTGATGATGGATGATACGGTGCTGGACGGGCTTAGGGAGCTCGAAAATGCAATCCAGGACAACATGCTCCCACGGACTTTTTCGCTCCAGGACATCAACGTAAACCAAGACACCATGGATACATCCAACAACGAGAGTACGACTCTCGAAGATGTGTTTCAACTAGAAGCAGATGACGAGCATGAAGAAGAAGCAGACACGGATCTGGACAGCTCGTTTTCGTGGGGAGACGCGGACTTTTCTCTTGACAATGAGTCTCAACTGGAGGACAGCATCGCCGTGCAAGCTACGTCTCAGCCGGACGATGATTACGTCTCTTCAGATATCGCATCTCAGATGGATGACGTGACCTCGACAAAGACGGACGAGACTTCGGATCCTTCTTCCCAATCAGGAGATGAATACCCCGACCTGAACGTTTCGCCCCATGGAGAAAAAGACAAGCCGGCCCCGAACATTGTACCTCAACAGGACCTAACCATTCCGGAAGCACTGCGGGATAGGATGCCTGGTCTCCTCAAGGCGAAGCTCGAAAGGAACGCAGTTTGGGAACATGTACTGGCAACGATAAACCAGCCCAGCCTCAAGCCCGCCGTTCGCGAAGCAGAGCCGGTACCACAGGATCTCAAGGAGACCTACGACAACGCCATCATCCAGATTGAAGAGCTCAAAAGCCTTTGGTATTGCGTTCAAGAGACACAACGATACGTTCGAAAGTTGGAGAGAAACTACAAGCATGCCTGGAAGGACTTGGACCACAAAGCCTGTGTGTATAGGCACCGATCGAAGGTGGCCCCGGACTACCAAATCCAGCACATGAGGAGCAAAGGTCAAGCGAGCCGCCTGAACGAGTGTATTGGTATCGACGAGCCTTGGCCTGAGGGAGAATAGGGAATGCCCCCTGCCAAGAAGCCACGCGGGATGCTCTATCATCCTTCGAACGAACCCTCGACTCGACGTCCGGCTCGCACCATCAAGTGGTGAATAGAACTGTTGGATATGGGAGTACAATGGGCATCTCGTCACTCGTTTGGATCGGTATGGGGTCTATTGATGGGTCAAGCACCGAATTCGGAGGGAGTGATTGTACTGGTTCGTCCTGGAGATGGGATTCAAACTACAGGTAGTCAATAGATTTTCAACAACCTCTTTGTTCCCCTGCTCGGCGTTTCCTCTCCGCTGGTCTCCCCTTTTTGAGTCTCGTGTAATCGTACCAAATGATGGTATCCCTCATTTTCAGGTCCTGTTTTCCCCCTAGGTTAAATCAAAAACACAATTTTCACTTTCTGCGTCCTCCACCGAAATCATGTTGTTTTTGATATCGCTCGCAAGGAATGAATCGTGACGACAGCAGTGACTGCCGCAACCGGTCGGTTAATCAATGAAACGCAATTTGGCAATGTCTCAGGTCGAGATAGCCGGGGGTGGCATGCTTTCTCTCTCCACACCCCCTGAAAGTTTAGCCCCCTTTTTCAAGAGGAAATCATCTTGGCTGCGGCAGATTTGGGGATTGGCTCTCGCTGGTACGTGGGGTGAGCTTGCCAGTCTGGCTCAAAGAGCTGGGATACCCAGTAGTAGGGGTGGTCCCAGTCAAACTTGTCCTGCTTGCCCGTGTACTCGACGTGGTTGGGGTAATGGGGTCGCTTGACCTTTTCCACTAGAGATCCAAATCAGTCAGCCATGTTTTGTTTTTATAGAATCAAGGATGTCGTACTTCTGCCGTTCTCCTTCTTATAAGTCTCCCAGATGGAGAGCTGGTTGAGGATCTCGGGGTCTTGAAGTGTCTGCTGGATGAGGATGTACTGCTGATCGGTGAGATGGCTCAGAAAGGTTCCCTCCCTGGATCTGGGGTCGGGGGATGTTGGCCACGGGTGCTTGTTCCTGTAGTGCCAGTGCGTGAGGATATTGTTGCAGCTGATGTGGAGGCTCTCGACGAATTCGGGGATAGAGTATCGAAGCTGTTTCCAACAGTTGGTCATTGATACTTTTCAACAAAGGATATCAAGTACGCACCTTGCATCCAAAGTTTTCTCTTGCGTGACGGTATCTGTCCAACGACATCAAGCTCGATTCCCGTAGGAGGATAAACACAATCAGATAGAGCGTGAACCACCAGCGTTTATCTTTCTGTAGAAGAAGCCAGTCGATGTCTCGTAGGAGCTTGTTTTTGAACCGCTCAAGAACCCAGACGTAGTTGAGCGTGTCGAACTGGGCCACGACCATGCGGGGCACAGAGACTTGGCCGTGTAGTGGGTATGATGTATCCTCGAGCTCGGGGAGCATGCCAAGTTTCTCTTCGCCCTCGATGTAAAAGGAGCCTGTGGTGTGGCCTATGGAAAGAAATTGGTTGGTTTTGCAAAAGGAGAAGGGGAAGGGATGCCTACGCATTGCGCACCAGAGGACAAAGAGGTTATGCATGATGCCTGCTTCTCTAATGTCTTCTTCCGTCCTTGTCTTGTTGCTTTTTTCCTGCAAGGCCTGTCAGTTTGGGACGGGATGGAAGGTTTCTAGAACAAGTACAATTAGGGACATGTAGTGCTTCAACGCCATGAGGTCCGTCTTGTAAATGCTGTCTACCTCCTGATCCTTGCCCGCTATGCTCTTGAGGGTGTCTATAAAAGCAGGGACGGCATTTTCAACCGTGTACCGCTCAATACCCTCGGCAGCGGACACTATGTCGTGCAGACAGTAGGGCGCAAGCTCCTTTTTCTTGAAAATCTCCTTTCCAAAGAGCCAGTAGGTCCAGAATCTGGCCGTCACGTCACCGGGTCTGGGTTTGAAGCGCACGACACGCATGACGAGTGGTTTACGGCAGAGGCCTTGCGAGACTTTGATGACGACGGGCACGTTGTCGAGACGGTCGGAGACGTCTCGCATCTGGATGCCCTTCCATCGTTTGGTGAGGTTTAGACCTCCGCAGCGGTAAAGAACCAGGTCGGCGATCTTGAGTCTCTGGCATGGCATGAAGCGGATGAGCCTTGGAGATTCTTTGTGTACGGTTTTGCAGCTGATGCATTCTCCCTGGGGTCTGTTCTGGTCCGTGTTGCACTGATCACAAGTTAGGAGGGGGTTATTTCTCTTGGATCTACAGGGAGTGTGTACCTTGATTTTCTGCATTCTGCAGCGCACGCAGGCGCCCATGAGTCTCGTGTTCTTGACATCCTCGCGTTCCAAGGGCATCAGGGCCCGCCTCCCCTTCCCCTTGTGGGCATCGTCACCGGGGGGAGGCGGGGAGTCGGGAGTGTCCATGGGCGGGCCATACTTTTGCCTCATGAGCTCGGCCTTTTCGTCATCGTCGTCGTAGGCGAACTCTGCTCGGTGGTATTCTTCCGCGAGCTCGTCGGCCGAGTCGTACTCATGGTCTGGGAGATATCGTTCTTCTTCCGAGGTGTTGGTGTACAGGGACGAGGTTGAGCTGCCAGTGTCCGAGTCTATATCATCGAGACGAGAGGCTTGGAGACTGCGAGTAAGAGTCCTGACTGCTCCGGGGTTGTAAGATCCACGAGATCGAGAGACAAGAGCTCGTCTCCAGGCCTCATGGCTTTGGAAGCCAAGTTGAACGACGGGTTCATCCTCGTTGCTTGATTCTTCTTCTACAGCCACTGCATCTTCAAATTCAACGTTAGCTTCTTCACCTTGGCTCAGGTGACTGCTGTTGTCTTGATCATCTTCAAGACCATCAGAGTCACCTTCAGCATTGTCTTCGAGGTCGTCATCCTCAGACTCGGAGGACTCGCTCTCTTCCTCTAAAGATTCCTCCGAAGAGGCATCAGAGCTCGAAACTCCTCTGCTCCCAGTTTGAAAGTTGGGAAGGTGGCCACCTCGCTCTAGCCTAACAGAGCTTGTGCCTGTGACAGCTGCTCCGCGGGGAACTACCAGGGGGCTCGAGTCCTCAGCATTCTCAGGAGAAGAGCATTCATCCGGAGAAGCCCGTGGTTCCTCTGGGGAACGCTGAAGTTCCTCTGCAGGCTGACCCCCTGGCACTCCCCCTGCGCTGTACCCCCCAACACCACGCTCTCGTGCTGCACGAGAGACGAATGGTGGCAAAATGTCCTGACTCAAGCCCTGAGCCAGAGGGCTCTCTCGACGAGCAGTGCCGGAGTGGGCACCACTGCTGCTAGCAGGGGCGTCTGAGTGTCCATGACGTGCGTGCTGGTGTAAGCTTAAGTGCGGCGGGTAATAATTCGCGCTCTGATGACTGGCGGTGCTCGTCCCCACGCCTTGAAGGTTGCCGGACCCGAGATGGTTGACAGGTATACCCCTGGTATCGTGGGCTCTGGGCTGCCCCGGACTCTCCAGCCGGCGGCTCTCGTCGCCCCGTACGGAAACATACGGCTGCTGCTGATGCGGAATTATAGAGTATGGCCGAGACTCTTGCTGTTGGGAAAGGGAATAGTCGGGTTCTTGTCCGTCGGGGCGATGACGCTTCAGGCGGCCGTAGGCTGGGTCGGCGGTATGCTCCCGCTTGAGACCTGTCTTCTTGCGCCTGTTAGAAGATTACAGCAAAGAGAGTAGAGTAAAGTTCCAGGAGGTCGGTCCATCCAACCCGGTCCCATCTCGACGTTACACACTGGGCAGACTGAGGCCACTGCGCCCGCGCCAACGAGCCCACCACCCCAGCAGCCCATCCCATCCCAATCCCAACTGGGGGAGGGGCCAACGAACAGTAGAGCCAGCTATGTACATGTAGTCCCATTCGCAGGGACATGACCATTGTAGGTAGACGAGTGGATGGATGGGTGGATGGATGTTGCTAGTTACACCGCAGCGACACGCCCAGAAAGCGACCGTGGCTGGGGGGTCTTTTTTTGCTCTTACTTACGCGGATCCCAGCCGGAGGAGTAGTTGGCTCCATACCGGCTCGTACAGTTGGCTGTGGCACCGGGCGAGTCTCCCCTAGCTCCCGTGGAGTAGGACGAGGAGGGAGTGTCATCAGCGTTTAGCTTTCTTTCTCCGTCCACATGCGTGTTGTTGCGGCTTGCTCTCTCTGTAACTCGCTTGGTAGCAGAGCAACGAACGCGAACGCGACAAAGACGTGGGTGAAGGGGCAGGACGAAGCGAAGGGGGACAACGCACACGCACACGTACACACGCACACACACACACAAAATGACCGGTGAGGAAAACACAAGAGGAAGATGGAGCCCTCAGGCAAGCCCCCAAGGGCAAAACCACCCTGAGCAGCGCCCTCGTCCACTTGTTTCCCCCTCGAGGGAGTGTCTGTAGGGGGTCGCTGTGGCGTTCCTCGTCCTCCCAATCCCCGGCTCAGTTGCGAGACACCCTGGCCTCAGGCTGCATGGGGTGTGGAAAGAGAGGACAAGCAACGAGCCTCGTTTGCCTGGGAAATCTTCAGCAGGTCATCCCCCGTGGGGGGCCAGAAGAGAGCCTCAAACTCCGGGGGTATCTCTGCTAGGTACATGGTCCATTGTTTGCTTGCTTGTCAGGATATGATGCCCTGACGGATGGAGCTGATGGGGATGGTGAGGGCGTGTGTGTGTGGACACAGCAAGAAAAAAGTGTCTAGGATTTGCAATGAGCACTTGATGGAGCAGGGATTGTGAATGAAGAGGCCACCCTTGTCACCCACTGCCCAATCAGACACGACGCCCGTGGCTTCTTGGACCCATCGACGAGATATCCTGTCCTTCACCGGTCAAAACTCCAGTGGTTGACGGGATAAGAGTACGGACCATGTCTCCGGAGTTAGAATGCCTGGTATCGAGGTCAATGTTGCGGCAGAGGGGGGGCACGAGGACAAGATTGAGATGCTGTGAGAGTGTCTGGATGATGAGGGAAAAAAGCAGTTAGAGGTCTAGTCAGGATCTAGGCTTTATATATTTTTGGTTGGATTTATTCTTGCTTGTTGGTCCTGAGGCCTGTTCTACATCCTAGCATGAGAGACTGGCCTGGTTCTACTCTGGTGGTGTGGATTGCCTTCCAAGTCAACATGACCCGTACTAGATCCATTTAGAGGCAAGGCGTGTAGGTCAGTACAGAGACAGAGACAGAGAAAAGAGAGAGCGTCCGTCAAGTGGAGTTTTCCCGTTGCGGAGGTCCGGGACCGAGGAGAGACAAGAGAAGCATGACAGAATGAAACTCTGATCAAGCTTGGGGGCCGCCATTCTTGGCTTGCAAGAGGCGGAGACGGCCGAGCAGAGGGAGCGGGATGTGTTCCAAATACTATCGCTGGCGAGTGGCTTGATTGCTCGCCGAGTTTCCTGTCTATAGGCGAGGTCGACGAGAGCCTGGTGAAGGGAGATGGTGATCCACGATGAACTCGTCGACCGAGAAACGGAATGCAGACATTGAACTGGCATAATAATTGTTTCTACAGCAGTCCCGTCTCCTTAATCTATTCTTTTTGCGCTGCAATTACTCTGTTCCTCATACTTTTAACGTGGTTCCTGACTTGGTCAGATCACGGCAAGCCCCTGAGCCTTGACGTGAGCCGACCAGATCCGGGATGACAATGTCGTGCATCCGGATCTACGACTAACCAATCTAGCCTTTGCCTTTTCCATGGCCATCCTCTGGCGTTCGACGGTGACAGTGTCCGGCGCTCGAACTAGCGGGATGGCCTCGTGGGAAATGACATCCCGACGTCGGTATGACGACGCCGCGACGGTTCCTCTCGAGACGACGAAAAAAATGTTATAACCTCTTCAAAACCTCACTCGGACGTTCTCGAGACCTTTCTCTCTCTTTTCACGTTTTCACGACTTCGATATCTCGCCTGTATCCTCCTCGAGACCATACCGTTCCGTGGTGTTCCCTCCTCGTCATAGGGGGTACTCAACAACACCCCCTTTACGAAGCTCCCACCGTGTCTACAAAAAAAGAACCGACAAAAACCTCTCGTCACAACCGCCACCCCACGACTCGGCATACCCTTTTTACACTTGGTCCATTGTTGGTAATGGATGCATCACCGAGAAAAGATGCACATCCCCCCCATCGAAGGTGTGACAAGGCAAAGACTAGATCACGGGGAGGACATCCGGGACGACAAGAGAGGGACCAACAAGTGCAAACAACGATGTTGAATACACTCCTCTTGGGTGTATGGTGAGGTCTAATACACAGATTCTCCTCGCGAAGCGCGGGTTTGATGTGATTGTCCTGCTGCCGCCTTTTGTGATGATGGGCGGTTAGACGTAGAGGAGGGAAGGCAGGAGTTGAGGATTTAAACAGCTCCAGATCTGCTCTTTTCGAGAGATGAAGGTATACGCATCGTAAAGCAACTCCAGAGCACAACTACTCGCTTCTAAACCTCTTTGTTTCGCAACTCTTCCGTCAAGAAACCACCAACTCCAGACCATGGCTACTCTCAGGGGCATGACTCAGGACTCGGCAGAAGCCGTCCAGAGCATCCAGGAGAAGATCCTCGCTGGTCTGAACTCTGATCTTGCGGGAATCTCTGTCAAGGCTTCTTCTGATGCCTTGGCTGGTCCTCTTGTTTGGTCAGGGGCTGAGTTTCAGGGGGACTCGACCTACACTCTTCGTCTGAGTGAGGATGAGGTCGCAGAGATTGACAACGCCCTCGCCAAGTTCAAGAGTTAGAACAAAATACACGTTAAGTTTGTTTAAATCGCTGACTTGAACAGCTCTTGGGTTGGACGGGGATGAGGTCTCCCGGGACAACTTCCCCCTTCCCAACCTGTCTCGCCGCCTCCGCTCCAGCTCCGAGACCCTACACATGGGACGAGGCTTCGTCGTCATCCGCGGCCTCGAGGCTTCCAAATACACCGTGGAAGACAGTGTCACTGTCTTCCTTGGTGTTGCCAGCTACATTGCCGAGAAACGTGGCCGCCAGGATCGCAAGGGCAACATGCTCTGTAAGTCTACCCCTTAGTGTCCCCGCCGGTACTTTCACCTAACCACGATCAGCTCACGTTACGGACTCGAAGCAATGGACTGCCCCAGTCAGTGCCCGTCACGGCATCCACACCAACGGGGCGCTGGTGAGTTCAAGCCATGCTCGTCAAGTTAGACTGACTCTCACAGTATCCGTAGCCGTTCCATACGGACATGGGATGCGATATCCTATCTCTCCAGGTCCGTCACAGCGCTGAAAAGGGCGGCTACACGTATCTGAGCTCCGCCTGGACCGTCTTCAATGACCTCCTGAACAGGGAGCCCGAGGTCGTCAAGACTCTTCTGACCCCCAACTGGCCTGTCCAGCTGTAAGTCACCATAACTAACACCGAAAAGCAAATACTCCTAACTAGCCTCGTGTAGATCTGGCCGCAAGGCTTCCTACTACCTCGCTCCTGTCTTTTCCTTCCACGATGGCAAGCTCCTTGCCAGTCTCGATCCTGCCCGTCTCGGTCCTCACCCGAGCATGGCCAACAACACCAACATTCCAAGCCTCACAGAGGACCAAGTCCACGCTCTGCAGTCCGTCTCTGAAGCGGCCTCGCAGAGTGAGGTGCGCCTGGAGCTCCAGACCGGTGACCTCCTATTCTTCAACAACCTCGCCCTCGTCCACCGTAGAGACGCCTACTCGGACGATGCTAGCTCCTCCCGGCACATGGTTCGGCTCTGGCTTCGCAGCCAGAAGCTCGGATGGGCCATCCCCGACGGCATGCTTCCCCCCTGGGAGGCGGCCTACGGAGAGAGCCGCAAGAAGAACAAGCCTGCCCTCTACCCCATCGTCCCCGCGGTCGAGTACCCGGTCCAGAAGTACACCACCAGCTCTGCCGCCTTCATGATTGAGGACTCTGAGAGCTCTGACGAGGAGTGATGGGCTCCTGCACTATGCGTTGTCTTGCACCTCTTTGAGGATCTACAGTCTTTTCCTATCACATTGTTTTGTTATTGCAGGTTATCTACTCAGACCCGTCCAGTCGTTTACTCAGGATACAGCCATTGTATAGGCTATCACACAGGACTTCATGTCAGATATTCGTCACTCTTTTGCACATGCAACACACAAATACAAACCAGTACTGTACATTCAAGTGGGCCATCTCGTGTAACTGTCTCGGGCGTGCAAACGTAATTGCTTCAGCTCAGCCAAAAATCGTAAACACTGTGTACAGAGTAAAGTGTACCAAATCTTGATATCCCACCGACAACGCCATAATTCCGCTCCAGCCAACAAGAGACGACCAAACCCTGCTGGAGACGAGTGAACCCCGGTTCATCTGCACATAAATGGCGTGCAGAAAATCTCCTATGCCGAGACAAGACAAGACCCGGTATCCGTTACTCACAGGGCTGATGAACCCGGAGCCAACACGCTCTCATGCAAGATCAGAAACCGCGTCAAGCAGGCTTAGTTACATCGTTCGGTCTAAGCACTGCAACCTCATCTCTCGCAGGAGAAAAAAGTAAGGCTCCTGACTCCATTGGTCGTCTCTTACCGCTGAGATGACTTGTACCTTCACCCGCCGATCCACGAAGAACCCTCACACCACACCGGAGGACATGCAGTATTAGCCTTCTTCTCTCCTTTCGCATCATGCATTCTTCTTTTCCCCCGAGATCTCTTGTATCTCTCGATCCCACCCACAGCTGTCAGTTCTCAAACTCAGCCGCCAGCGGTGGGCATACTTGGTCAAGCCACGCAGCTTGACCCTTTCCGGGGTCGAGAAGCCCTTGGTTCAGCTCCACCCTTGGAACCTATCCCGGTTTCCAAAAAGCCGGGCGGGCCAATGGGACCGAGACGAGTCAAAGTGTATCGTACGCGGGTGCGCCTCAGGAGCAGCCATTTCAAGTTGAAGAGGTGGGTTTTGGCGCAGAGTTTACTCGGTCGAGTGCCGGGCACATCAGAGTTGCCAGAGGCTGGCGCTCATGGCTTTGTGGAGATGACTGTTGAGACGGCAAGCTTCCAGGCTACCGGGACTCCTTGTATCGAGCTGTAAATGGGTTTAACAATGGTATACCATGTGCCGCAAGGGCATCGCAACCTCCGTTTGATAGACTCTGGCCCCTTGGCGCATTCCTCCCTTGCAGGACACCAGCTGTCGACGCACATACACCGCCGTATGCCTGCATCTCCATCCTGGATGCTCCATCTCTCAGCTTCAGGGGGTCCACCTTGACCGTGTCTGATCAGACCGGACGCGGGACCGGGGACCCCGGGATGAGCACTTGCAGCTGAGGATTTCCGGATGGTCCCCGTTCCGGGATCCTCCTTGTGATCGACCGAGAGATCTTGGCAAGTAGACTCTTGTAGCCGCCGAGTTGTTGTGCTAGGTGGGATGATACTCAGGCTAGAAGAACTGGTGTTGTAGATGAGAAGCATATGTACACATTACGCTACGGAAAAGAGATGGACTCTCAGGGAAACTTCTAGTAAGGCTAAAATAGACGGCTTCTTTCTCTTCGTCTTGACATCTCTAGCCTTGCCTGTCCAGATACCAAGCCTTGTCAGCTAATTTCTAAGAGAACCCGCCTCGAAGCCATCTACCACACCGTTCTAGCCCAAGCCCCACGCCAACTCAGTCTCCCGTCACGACTGATACCTCTTTAGGCTGGCGGCATGCGGTGGTCAAGGCTCGAGGTGCCTGCTGCGAGTGTTGTCATGCATAGCCTGCTTTCAAAAGGCCCCAACACATCACCACGAGGCCGAGTTGGATCGGAAGGGGGTGCGTCATGCTTCACCGGCGCTTACTGGGGGCGTGTCTCCTCTTGGCTGCTCAGCTCACCTCGAGACGAGACTACTGTATCACGAAGGGGGTGGGAGAGAGTGTGGACCTTCATGGCTTGATGTTTGCTACTATCATGGATGGGGTTGCGTCCCAAATTAGCCCACCGCTTCAGGTCGACGCGCCAACTCCTCTAGTCCTATCATCATTATTCAGCGTCCCGTCAGCTTTTCCTCCCTCTCCTGCAAGATGAGCTCAAGCCAGCAGCCCCATCAGACCAAGGAGTGCCCCTATCCCGAGAGCCGCCTTCACTTGCGCTCCTCCGGCCGTCTGGATAGATGTTGGCACAACCGTCTCGGACCCAGAAGACCACTCCGAGTCTGTCTCTGAGACCTCTGATCCGGTCTCCCACCCGGTCTCTGAAGTCTCAAAGACTGAGTCCTCAGTGCTGTTGGGGACCAGTGACCCAGACGGAGACCCAGATGTCCATGAGATAGACCCCTCAGAAGACGACACGTACTCTTCGTCTGTTGATACAGACCCAACAGACAGAATAGAGGCCGTCCCAGACTCCCCAGGTGCAACCGTCGCAGAGCACGGGCACTCTCCAACCTGCACACAATCCTTACCCGAACTAACTGCCTGGACTGTAGTTGTCTCCGTCCTCGTGCCATCGACCACCCTCTCCCCCGTCGACGTCGAATACGTCTCGACAACGATCGTCTCGATGGTTGTAGATCGTGTGCGGACCAAGGTTGTAGTCATGGGAGTCTGAGACTGCCATGTCTCTGTGATGGTCTTGGTCATCGTCACCGTCAACTCTGTCGTGCAAGGCTCCGAGCCCGAAGCTTCGTCCGTCGCCTGGGAGAAGTGGAAGGAACTTGCTTGACTCCACATAGGAGTTCCAATAGGAGTTCCTAGACTCCATGTTCGTTCCCCGGGGGGTATTCCCCAGACACTCGAACTCGATGGCGTAACCCATTCCCAAGAAATCATCATCTCCTCTGAACTTGTAGAGCACGAAGTCGAAGCCGTCATCGAGGACAATGTCACGAGCGAAGGGATAGGAGTGTCGTCGTATATCGTGACGCACGAGGTGGACACTGCCGACGGCGTAAACGGGGAGGCCTTGGACATGCCGCTTTTCCTATAAGCCGTCAGTATATATGCTATACTAGTAATGCCAAGCAACCTACCAAGTCACAGTAGAGAGCGTGACGACAGAACACTTTTGCGCACAAACAGTTGTCTTGGAAACCTCGGGAGGGAAACCAGGGAAAGAAAAGTGTTCCTCGATAGAAGTAGTAAAGGAAGTATCAAACACCTCTGTGTTAGTGCACCAGAGACAGTCGACAGTCAAAGTAGTCTTTGTAGGCCGAGCAGGAACGATAGGTCCTTCCAGGGCGACGGTGGTCGAAATTCCCACCGCCAGGAGGTGGATGAGGAGGCTTGTGAAGCCCATGATGCCGCCGGTAAAAGAATGAATATGGTCCAAGGTGAGTCCTCCTCCTTCGTGTCTTTGAAAGAGGCTCATGTCTGTTTCTGAAAACGCCAGACGACGGCTTAAGTAGGAGGAGTCATTTCCCCTGCACAACGTCGACAGCTACCATCTCGGGCTTCACTCGCTTCCTTATCAGACTTTGAGCACAGCATGTTTGTTCCTCGGGTGCTGCGAGTAATATCACTCTTCCCTACTACCCCAGAGATCTCGTACAACAGCTGATGCTTCACAGACGGCTCTGTCTGTAACGGTCGTGCAACACTGTCGATAGAGTGGCAGCAGCTTCTCCACTCGGCACTTGCAGCGCAGAGCCCTGACCGACGGCAGTGTCATGTTATTCGAGGTCGTGGTTGACAGGCATCGTTCGATTAATCAAAGTGTCACGTTGGATTCGGTTCGAGTTGCCGGACGGCTAGATTCTCGGGTTGCGGCGTGGTTGGGGATGTTGTATTCGATCGATGGGACGAGAAGTTGTGGATCGTCTAGGAAAAGAAATGGTCTGTCAGCTGTGTCTAGAGACGTAATTGGGTATAGAAAACTTACCGTTCAGTCCATAGGAACAATCTATGAGGAAAGAATTAGAAGTGTGGTTAGTAGATTGTGTCAGCTCCAACTGCAACTGACAGGCACTCTTCGGACCAAATACTTTCCAGCTCCTATTATCCCAGTCTGACTTCATTGGTCAATCCCTATCCCCTGGCTACATCATTTTCACCTGATCTTAAGACCGTGAATCCACATCAGCAAGGGATGGATGCCCATGCATCTCGTTCCATAGAACCACTTTCCATAGAATCCATTTCCTTCTCATCAGAGCTTCTTCAACAAGGTTAGTCTTTCCCCGCAAGCAAATTCCATTAATCCCTCGTAATCAAATAGGAGGAGGCCGTTTGGTCGTTCTGGGGCGGGTATCGTTCGAGATCTGAGATCTTTCCGCCCGAAACAGGCGTTGTGTCTCACTTGCGTTACAACAAGAAGTACGTATTCCCTTCACACAGAGGTACGAGGGTCTTCAAGGTGCCCTCGATGGGTCAGTGACAGCTGTCGATGCGAATCGCTGGGATAGTGTTGATGTTTGACTGATCAGGGCTCGATACGAGTGAGTTTGATATTGGCCGTCATATTCTGGAATCCGACGTCGGAACCACTGCCGTCGTTACCATGCCTGCCAAGAAGTCTAGAACCGTATCTTCATTCCAGCCGCCGGCAGTATCCTAGAAATGTCTTGCTCGGCATCATACAACTCCCGAACAGGTAACCCGTTCGAGGCAAATGCCGAAATCACGCTAGAATCCAGCTTCGTCCGGCAATTCTGGCAGTTTGCTTTCGGCCGAAAGATGGCATGTCTCAAGGGACGGAACGTGAAGGGGCTGCTGAGTATCCACACTTGTCATTTCATAGGTTCTCGGTGATATATTTGTCTCTCGGCATGGGATAGTTGTGCAATCATCCTCCGGGCGAATGGCAAGACGTTATTAGAAGAAAAGGCCATCCCCAGATATTTAAATCTGTTACCGTCATTAACTCTTAAGTCATGTCATCTTTCAAAGCAGGCTCTATTTGTACGCTGTAGTTGTATGCCCCTAGCACATGACCACAAGTATCCTTACACTTCCCCATATAGGCCTATCGAGCCTCAAATCTCCTCAAGTATCCATTAAGAAGGGGGGAATTCTCCCTCAAGTCTCACTATCACAGTCTCATGATGCGTAGATATTGGAATGGCCTCTATACCAGCATACTCACTGTTCTGAAGCGAGCCGTGCCCCATGTCAAAAGTATCGATGATTATTTGGCCTAATGCAAGGTTATCAACCCGTATGTCTCAGCTAGAAACTCTAGATCAGACCACCCCACGTTATCGTCCAGAAGCAATGAGATCATGTGCGTGTCGTCGTTCTCAGTTGTGGGGGTCCACGGTAAGAGACCCGATAGTGGAGATGTCGTGATGTTCTGTATCGGCGGTGAAGATGACAGTATCAAAGACCCCTGCATTCCTGATAGGTCCATAGTCAATCTTGAGACAGAGGGGATTTCTGACACTTCAATGCTCATCCGCCGAAGAGTTGCACGCCATATCCCCTTATACCGAACACAGAGAGTTGAAAGAGTTACTCAGACAGGGCAAGGTAAGAAGCGCAGGCTGCCTTGTAATAATGGCCCATATTTTAATGATAAATAATCAAGAAAGTAGTAGAGCAAAATTCATCCATCCTCTGGTAGAAAACGACTTCTCCCCCTTACATATCCGGTGGATCTGTGTCTGGCCCTGAGTCCAGTTCATCCAACGGCCGCCTTGAAACATGAAAATTCTCCAACGACGGCTCAGATTCCGAATGGTCGTCTTTATAGGCTTCCACATTTTGCGCCTTGTCCTCTCACCGACATTGTCAGGGTTGAATTGGCTCAGCTTTGACTATTCAGGTCAACTCAAGCCTTACAAATTGTTGGGATTGTTGCCTCTGATACTGACATCTCAATCTTAATACATATTTATTTAACTATAAATAGCTTCTTCTAACACTTCTTCGCCAAGTCTTTCAGATATTATCGGCGAATGTAGTCGTCAACATCAGCCGGCAGATCGGGGCTATTTGTGGGGCAGCTCCGGATCGCACTCCCGGTCACCGTGAGTGGCCGGCACTTGACCCGATGTCTCGAAAAGGCAAGTCTTGATTAAGAGGTTACTATCGGGAGTAAGGCCTTGGTTCTTCCTGTTCATATTTCTGTCTTGCGAGAGTCGTCTCGATTGTTCAGGTGCTGTTATCCAATTCCTACGCGTTGAAGCATGAGTGTTGCTAGGGAGCCTTGAGTCGCAATTATGCCTTGAGGTTAAAGCAACGACAAGGCGAAAATGAACAAACTCTCATTCAATGTTTACTACCCATGAAGAAAATATTTTATTCAGGGCGTCAGGATAGACAACAGACAATAATGATGTATAGACCATGAGACTTCTCGGACTCTAGGGTAAATGAAGGCTAGTTCAATCCCACTTGGAAGAGTCTCGACTTGAGCGGCGTCTGAAGTCCGCACAACGTAACGAAACCATGATCTGATCATGGACTACGAAGAATCCGAGCCGTCGGTCGCGGGAACATTGTTGTCCGAGTCATTCTCGGGTCAACGAAGCCGAGAAAAAGAACCACAATTGAATGGCACGATCCCCAAACTAAACAATAGCCATTGTAACATCAATCGAAGGATCCAAGAAACATCCAACACTCGCAGAAAACAACAAAACCTCGGCATCTCGAGATCTGTCTAGGGTAGGTCATATCATGAACTACTACTAGCACCCATGTCCGGAGCCTACCGAAAACCGCGGGCACATCCTTGAACCTGTGATCATCCAGCCCCTTCACCCTGGCCTGACAAACACCAAGCAACGTTGCAACTCCAGTGGACACTCTCGGCACATGACAGTTTCCCTCTGCGATGGAGACTTTGTTTTTCGAAACCGCATGGTTACCCATTCCCATGATCTGACGAGGTCCCTTGGAACGCTTTTACCGCAACTTCAATACGGAAACTTGACTTTGCGACACAAAAGCCGCACAATTGCCCTTTCATCAGCCTCACAAGCCACACACACACAACTTCTGGAGAAAGCTGCTGGCCTTTTCGGTCCGATCCAATTCGCGCCAGGGTCGTTTTGGCTTAGTCTGGGGGAGAATGGACAAGGGGGGTGACATTGGCTCGAGCTGCAAAGTGCGCTTCTCCGCGTTGGAAAAGAAACGAACGGGGGTGCGGCAGATTACGCGGAGGAGGCGCCCTTCATGCAATGCGGGACACAAACAAGAAAAATGCCTGATCCAGTTTTCCCTTCTTTCTCGAAAAGAATCGCGAATATCGTGGAAGAAACCAACTTTGTTAGTGCCGGAACTGCCGCACGATTCATGCCAATCCAACTTGCCCGCAATTTTTACTCCACTGGTCAACGTAAAAAGCACACGAGCAGGTTCTTCTCGAAGCTCACGCTAGATCACGGCCTGTCCGGCAGCTACTGCACGATGAGGCCACTGGTCCTGCAGGCGGTGATGAGATTGGCCTGGGAAGGACGAGTTACTCCCCCCTGTTGCTTTGCTCGAGGTATACAGTGCGTTGCCGACTTGGCAAACGGGAGCGTTTTACTGGTCGCATGGGCGCACTGTGGTGGCTGATGCTTTTCTCTACAGTACGGAGTACAGGAGGACAAGGATCGGTGACAGCCACGGAGCGGGTTTGAGGAAGCGATGGTTGTGTAAGGCCAGAGGCAACAGTAATGGGGTATTGCGATCTATCTATAACTTGTAGGTATCTCTAAACAAACAAAGTCTATATCGTGGTCGTGAGAGCGGGGATTATCACCTGATATCAACGGTTCAGCCTCTACTTCTCAATAGGATCAGGTATCTCTTGTCTCTTTGACTCTTTCTGACAGAGTCTCCCAAACTCGCTTAGAATCAAGGGCACATCAAGCTGTTGAGTGCTAATGAGATACTCGCCTTCTTGTCGTCGAGCTAGCTTGATCGCCTTTCGTGCACCAGAGTGTACAAGCGTACGGATACTCTGGTAGATGCCGTGACCAGGATATGCCACGACTCCAAGAGTTGCTGCCAGAACTGTTAGTCTCGTTAAACATGGGACACGAGCTGATACGCACCTGAAGCTGTCTTGGTCGCCATACCAACCACACCTTTACCGACACCTAGGGCAGCGCCAAGCGCACCACCATCCCTGCCCCCCTTGTAGGGCTGTACAAACAAATCGGCAAAGCCTTCAGAGATTCCCCGGACAAAGTTGACGCCTCCTACGCGAGCACCCGACTGCCAGTTGTGGATCGGCTCGTTCTCGGGAACATCTTCACCGTAGAGCTTGGGCACGGCACGGCATCCTTCCGTGATGGCGAGCGGTAGATCAACGTAGAAGCCGCGGCCGTACGACTTGAAGAACCCGCCAACCCCTGATGCCGATGCAGAGGCTACTGCGCCGGCTGTCTTCCATCCACTGCCACTGCCGCCGTGTGAGGTGTGTGGTCTGGATATGCTGCCATGCTCCGACGGGGCTGGTGAGAGATGAGGACTCGCGGACTCAGGGGCTTCGTTGGCTGTAAGGGTCCTTTGGCGTTCTTGATATGCTTGAATTGGCCTTGTAATAATGCCAGTGGTGGCTTTGGCCATGTCAGTTGATGTGCCGAGCATAGCTGAGACAGTCCCAGTCAATGGATCCCATCGTCGGTTGATGATCCTGATAGTCTTGATCTCGTTTCTGCAGCTGTCAGCTAAAGCTCATGGTTCACGCTGTTAGACAACATACATAGTTAGCTTCTTGTGGTCAACCTTGAGATGCTGAAACAGGACACCGGCCGCTGCCTTGGACAACCTAATCTGCTTGCCTCCTCGCTTAAACAGCCACACAGCAGGCTGATTGTGCAGGATGTCGCACTGCAGGCTCTCCAAAGGCAGGTTGGCATGGAACGATCGCGCCGCAGTGACTACACCATTCTCCCTCCTCATGCGGTGCGAGATCTCGGCAGCGGCTGAAGCAGCCTCTGGCGTGAGACAGTACTGGATGGCCTCGGCGAGGTTATCCACGTTGAGCTGCTTGTGGGGGATTGGGAGGGGTCCTGCCCCTGATGCTGCGACCATCTCGCCCCAGAATGGCTGGCTGCAGGACGTTAGCGAGAGACTGTACCTGGGGTAGGTGATACGAACTCTCCAAAGAAGGGAACAATAGTCGTTGGCCGACCGTTGAGAAGACCACAAGCCGTTGTCCCCGCACCACCATGGTGAAAGACGGCAGACACTTGTGTAAACAGCCACTCATGCGGACAATCTCCCAAGAAAAAGATATCCTTGTCTTCTATGCCGCCGAGATTACTCCATCCTCGAGAAATTATGGCTCGCACACCTGTCCTCTGCACAGCCTCGACGAGAATCTTGGTCATACGCTCAGGATCATCAATGACAATACTGCCGAAGCCGATGTAGATGGGACGAGGGCCTTGAGCCAAGAAGTCTGCGAGGTCAGGAGGAGGCGTATAGTTGGGGGGTTCTCTGAAAAAGAAGCCGCAAACGTCTGATCTCGTCAGTCTTGTTAGTTAAAATTGACCAATTGACATACCGATATAAGATGGCCAGTCTGCTGGCTTTCCGACCAACGCTGGCGACCAGCAATATGTGAAAGGGATCTTGAGCGTCTCAGCAAGCAGAGGACCCTCAGCCAAGGGTACAGGCTCAAGATCAATCGTCTTGCGCCAATCATTGATAACATCACCCAAACTAACCATGTCAGTCCATATCCATGCAACCAAAAGCTTCCAAACACTTACCCCTGCCATGTCAGCCACTCCACCACACTGTAGGAAACATAGTTGGCCGTCTCCTGGTCCATACCTGCCTTGCTCCCAAACTTGAGATTGGCTAGGGGATGCGAAAAGCTCCTCGTGCTGGTCCAAGGCATGGTGAACATTAAATGGACCGGGATGCCCATTGCTTGCGCGCAGTGGACGTGGGCAAAGCTAGGAGGGTTGGCGATGATGGCGTCGGCAACAAATGGACGCCCACTGATAGGGTCTGGCTGAAGACATGACTGCCAACAACCGTCTAGCATTTCGGCCACCATTACACGCTTCTTTTGGATATCTCCACCGCGGAGACTCTTCAAGCTGGGTATCAAGCCGGGGTTCTTGACCATGTACGCCATCAATTCCGAGGGATTGCCGCCGATCGGATAGAACTCGAGTCCAGCGTCGCGGACAAACTTGTCAAAGACATTGTGTGTGGCTAGACGCACTCGGTGGCCATGCTTCTGGAGCTCGCAGCCGAGGGCGACGAAGGGTTGAACATCGCCGCGGCTTCCGACGACTTGGATGACGATGTTGAGCTTGATGGGGAATTGGTGAAATATCGAAGATTCTCCCTTTGTCTCGTGAAACTGGGAGTATGCCGGAGATTCAGGCTCCTCTAGAGGCGCCTTGAAGTCGGGAATGAAGCGGGAAAGGGCACGGCAGAAGCGAGAGTTGACATCGACGTCGACTCGACCGTCGCCTATCGACCATTAGCGGGGTATGAGGGGTCAAGTTAAACAACGTACTCGTCACCGCAGTCGTTTGCTGTAGATTGTTCCCTATCGCCGCCTCGTAGGAAGGAAGGTTATCTTCCGGAATGACGGCCTCTGGTAGGTCGCTGTACGGAGAGACTGGCACCCCCGTGCTGTCATGGGATCCCTTGAAATACGCCATGGATCTTGACTTAGGGTATCGAGCTTGGAAAAGAATAAAGAAGATCGGGGCCCTTGAGGAAGATCATTCTCGGGGGAAGCATTAAGCTTGTATTAAAGCAAAGCTCCAAAGGCCAAAGCTAGCCTACACCGTATCCATTCCATCGCCATCTTTTGTTCCGCGCATTCGGACAAGAGCGCGGCTTTCATGTCAGGGGCAGCGACGCGCGACGTCATGCTCGGCTCAACTGCCGCGGGTGCGCGTATCGAAAGTGCATAGGGCTGATGGACGAGTCGTGATCCTAGCTTTGCTCTATTTGCGGTTTCATGGCGTGTCCGGTTGGTAATTGATGTGCGATATACGCGTATACTGATTCGTGTTGTGGAGGGTTGAAACTCCACCAACATCTGGATTTGCAGGGCTATTTTTTAGTGGATCGCCGTTTGCAGTATCTATCCGCGTATAGAGATGCATCAGACATTGAATACGTTCATGTCGAACTAGGAGGACAACGTCAGCTTAAATACGTTTCCACGTAAAAAGATGGATATATATTCTAGCCAAGACCTCGATTCGGCGGGTTTTCTTTTCTCAAACTCCCCGACAAGTTCCTCGTGTTCGTAAACACCAACATTCGGAACCTGGACAAGAGACGACCTGGGACACGAGAACGTCAACATCCAGTAGCCCATCATGGCCGGCGATAGCAGCTCAGACGCCCCCGAGGCGTACGTCTTTTACAACTACAACCCGTCGATGCCCGCGGCCGTCATCTTCGTTGTCGTTTTTGGTCTCTCAGCGATTCTCCACACGTGGCAGCTCCTCCGCAGCCGGACATGGTACTTTATTCCGTTCTTGATCGGATGTCTATGTAAGTTGCGACGCGTACTCTACGGAAGATATCTGCTAATAACCTTGCAGTCGAGACGGTCGGATATATTGGTCGTGCTCTATCGGCGAACGAGGCCCCCGATTTCACCAAGAACCCGTACATCATCCAGTCGATTCTGCTTCTGCTGGGACCGGCGCTGTATGCGGCATCCATCTACATGATCCTCGGCCGTCTCATCAACCTTCTCGATGCTGGTGACCTTTCAATAATCAGCCCCCGATGGTTGACAAAGGTGTTTGTCACGGGCGATGTTCTCTCCTTTTTCGCCCAAAGCGGAGGTACGTTGCGACTACAAGACAAAAACTCCAAAAATGCTAACATGGACTAGGTGGCGGTATGCTCGCAACGGCCAAGGACAAGGACGGCGTCAAGAGAGGCGAAAACATCATCGTCGGAGGTCTGGGTATTCAGATCCTCTTCTTCGGCTTCTTCATGGTCGTCACCCTCGTCTTCCACCTTCGAATCCGCCGACAGCCCACCCAAAAGTCTCTCGAGATCACGACACCCTGGAAGAAGCTCCTCTATGTCCTCTACGCGACCAGCTTCCTCATTCTCGTGCGATCCGTTTTTCGCGTCGCTGAATATGTCATGGGCAAGGACAGTGAACTCCAGTCCAAGGAGTATTGGATCTACATCTTTGATGCTCTCCTCATGGCCCTCGCAACTTTGCTTCTCAACTGGTTCCACCCGAGCAGTGTCATCAACAAGGCTATGGATGCTAAGCGCATCGCCAGTTCTGAAGAGTATGTGATGGAGAGCCAGCCGTATGAGAGCCAGCGCCCCAGACGCCACTCTCACTCGCGACGCCACTCACGGACTCATTCGCGTTCTCACTCTGGCTCCCACTCGCATGCTGGGCGCTCACACTCTCACTCCCAGTCGAAGCCTTCGCAGCACAGGGACGAATACTATCAATAAGGGGTAATGGGGCTAGCGTGTGCTAAGGGAATGAGAAAGTGCCGGACCCACGACGGGATGCTCTCCAAGGGCTGGTAGAGCTGGTCGCGTCAAAGCGGCATGGACGAGCTATCAGATTTAGTGGGGGAAGCGAAACTTGGGACTGTATGAGGAATCAATAACTAGGGATCAGACTGTCCTGCTGATAGTCTTTCATTTACAAGCGAGCAAGGCAGGTGTCATAGCATAGCCCATCATGTCTGAGATGGTTACTTCTTTTTTGCATGATTAATACAAACCCGGCGTTAACGAGATTTGCGTGGAGACTCATGGTGAGGAACTGAAAACTGCATCGAGATCGATGAACTTATGAGAAACAATAAACTGGAGTTTCGAGCAAAAACCGACGACGATCGGTCCCAGGAACCCGTATCAACAACCCAACAATGCGGTTCCGCAACCGCATCAAAGGCAATGGCATGCCCTGCCGCTCGTGGGCAGCAGGTGAGAGACAGTCTTGATGGGACCTTCATCTCGGCTACAGCACAGTGAGGCTTGAGCCAGGTGAGCAAGCTGGGTTGAGACGACATGTTTCACGACGGCTCAGGACAAAACATGATATGGCAGGCACAAGCTATTTGATAGCTAGTGACTGACAGCTGAATGTTTCGGATGATCTCTTGCATGCCTTAGGAAACGTGGGGAGACGGGGGACTTTTGAGGGGCAGAGGGACGGCATTTCTGAGACATGGGGGGCTATGGGACGGCAAGAGATTCCAGTGAGACGGAATAGTATCAGCATCTTTTGCATGAGTAATCCAACGTCTCGGATGACCACGAGAGCAGGTCAGAGACGGCATCTGGTTGATGCTGTTGAGGTGGCGCAAGTCATCAGTGAGGAGATGGAAAGCTGCCTAGAAAGTAGATTCTCGAAGCTGCAGAGCGCAATTTTGTATCTCAACAGAAACCGTTGTGAGGGTTAATAAAGAGGGGGTTTCTCAGAACCCCATGATTTGGAATGCAATTCTCGAGGTTTATACAAGGCAAGGCGAAGAAGTTGAAGCCAATAGAAGCCATCTCTCTCTCCCCCCGAAAGCGATCGGCTGGGTAACCGTTTACCGAGCCGAGGCTGACGGGACAAACAACCCACGATACGCGAGTCAAGTGGAACTAGCGATGAACAAGAAAATGACCAAAAAAGAAACGAGAGAGATGCCAAGACGAGCCATTGAGAAAAGGCACAAATTGATTACGTAGATATCAGACACGGTGCGGTTGGGAAAGCAAGAGAAAAGTTAAAATCATGCCAAAAGATGTGTGTGAGTGTGGGAGAGAATACCTTTCCGCTGTGTGCTCGCTGTAGAAACTTTAGACACGGCCCCCGGGAAACGCCGGACGGCCTGAGCGATGCTGGATATTGATAATAAATGTCTGAGAAAATTCAGGAAAAATCCGCTAGAAATCTGAGTCCCTGGGGCTCTGAGATTACAAAACAGCTTCGACAAGAGACTAAAAAATCTCATTCATTCTGGGTGCTAATGCTTGACGGTGGCTTTGACTGGCGGTTTCGTTTCTTGAACCACGCGCCCAGAGTCTGTGCAAAATTGTCTAAATTGCACTGTGATGCTCGGGTGCGACGTTACAGGAGGGGCTCTACACTGTGCTCTGTGGCGGTGATGATTCCCTTGCGCCACCGACGAAATCCAAAAGTTCCCCAGCTCTTGACTCTCACTGGATGGTCTGGGGCTTGTACACAGTGTCATATCCGAGCACACCACTTTCTGACGGACGGTCGGGACACACGGGCCCGCCCCCAGTGCGCCTCTTTTTCTCTTTTCTGCTTCGCTCTGGGGACCCTGGCTCCCTCTCTCACTCCCCGTAGCCATTCGCCAGCCGTAGCCCGTCTTCCTTCCTTTCCGCTTTGGCACTGTCTGTTCGCTGCTAATTTCTCCAACGCCCCTTCCCCCTTTGGGATGTCTCGCCCGTCCGCTCGTTGTACCTTCCTTGGTCTGCTGTCTCGTTTCTGGGACGGGTGGTACGAGTGAAAAGTGACGGCTCAAGTCTCTCCCCAGCCATTTTAGGGCAAGAGGTACATTCTCATCCATGCCTCCCTCGTCCCATCCCGTCGTCACTCTCTCCCGTCTCTCTGGGTTCCTACCTCGTTCTCACGGACGGTCCACCCCCGGTCTCGCCTTGCAGTTGGCTTGGCCCTGGGTCCTTCCTCGAAATCTCCTTCTCTTTCAGTCTCCATCTCTCACCTCATCTTCTCGTCTGCCCATCCCATCCTTCCCACATCCACTTCTCTTCTTTCACCTCCAGACCAAAAACATCCCCAACCAACTCTCGCCATATTCCTTTACGCTTCGAATTCTTACTAGAACAACTGAACTGACCTAAGCCACCTGCGTCCTCGACCGACCGCCACGACTTCTCTTCGCGCTTGCTGGCCAACCCATGATCCCCCGCATTATGGTTCAAGGCGAAAGGGCCGAATAACCTGCATCTTCAGCAAATCCCATCGAACCAACCCCCGCCTCGAACTTCCACCACTTCCGATACACCATCGAAACCGAAGGACACTTATCAACCCCCCGCAAATCCCCCGGACTTTGGGTTGACGCGAACTCGTTCTGGCAAATCCCAGATTCTTGGAACATTCTTGACACCGCGTCCGTCCGCTGGGCGCTCCTCCGCCAACTCAAACTTACTTTTCGCTGCTGGTGATAATCAGGCACAGATCACCATGCCTCAGCCAGTTGTCAAGCGCGCCTGCGATGCTTGCCATCGTCGCAAGGTTAGATGCAACGGCGCCAACCCCTGCCGAAACTGCTCTGGTTCTCAGCTCTTGTGCACCTACAATGCGATTCCTCAGAAGAAGGGGCCCAAGGGCTCTCGTGCAAAGGTCATCAGCGAGCTCAGAGAGACTCAGCGACAAACCAGCTTGGCCGCCAAGGTCCATCAGAGACTGACTGGCGCGCCTCCCACACCTACAACTTATGGTCCCGAACCGTCGACTGGCCTACTATCCAACGAGTTCATGAAGGACTGCCTCCGATACTTCTTTGACAACGTTTACGGGCAGATGCCCATTCTTGACAGACGCGCGCTCGAGGAGCACATGACGGTTATGGAACAGGGCCGTGATGTGTATTGCCTGTTGAGCGCTCTCTGCGCGTTTGTCATGCTCCAGCCTGGAACGGCTCTGCCCGTCAATGACTCCTTCAACCTCGAGCTGCACCCAGGCGCCAACATCGCTGCAAGCCAGCTCCTTCTCGATGAGTGCATCCGGATCCGAAAAGCCAGCGACTACCAAGACTCCATCACCCACTACGTCCTTGTCACCAACTACCTCATCTTTGCTTGCAACTTTGCCCTGGACAACCACGACAAGGCTTGGTTTTATCTGCGTGAGACTAGCACCATGATGCACATGGCCGGCATGCACAAGGAGGACTTCTACTCGTCCCTTGATCGGGAAGATGCCATACGAAGACGCCATCTTTACTGGCTTGTGCTCATGACAGAGAGATCGTACGCTATCCAGCGTAATCGACCTCAAACTCTCCAGGCCTCGATTCGCCTTCCTGGTGTGGGTGACGAGACGGGCAACCCTAGGATGTTTGATGTCAACACCTTTGCCATTCGCGCAAAGCTCTTCCAGCCATTCGACAATGCTTGTTTGGGAACTTGGAAGAAGGTACAGAGCCAGTTCTCGGCGGCTCAGATCACAGGGCTCCAGAAGCAACTTCAAGAAGCGGCCCTCGCGTTCTCCTGTCAGGATACAAGCCTGGCTGATATGGGAACAAATCAACAGTGGCTCCAAAACCTCATTTGGCAGCTCACCCCCAACAATGGGCCCGACGGTAACGAGGAATACATGGCCCCCTCTCGTCGAGACCTGCTCATGACCATTGCCTCTGGTCTCCCCAGTATTAAGGGAATGGATGTCGTGGGTAGTGGATGCGTACGTACAAGACATGTTGCGAGGATTGAGCCTGGCTAACCAACAAACAGATTGAGAGTCTTCTCCAAGCATGCCACCTTCTGAATGATGTTCTCTATCGTCAACCAAACATTCGCCATCCTTACACTGTCAGCCCCCATGATCATCTTCAGCAGCTGCTGCAAGTCTTGGGCATGTTGAGACACAGCCACTGGCACTACCTGCCTCTACTGCTCACCAAGGTGGTTGAGGTTCTCCCCCGTCTCACCAACCCAATTCTCCCCAACGCACCAGAGAACTGTCAAATGGCCAACATTGACATCTTTGACGGCTTTGGCAATGCTGGCATGGCGCAGCCTCAGATGGCAATGTACCAGGGTCAGTCGGGCGCGACTGATGCTCTGGGACAGCTTCCACTGCCAATGTTCCAGGCCCAGGTCGAGAGAGATTGCAAGCCCCCAATGGGCATGTATCAAGGCCAGATGGAGACACCTGACTCTATGGGCCAGATGTCATTGTTCCAGGACCAATCCAACACACCTGATTCCAAGGCACAAGCATCGATGGCCATCTACCAGAATCAGATCACTACACCCGATTCACTGGCCAACTCGAATGGTGGCAATGGAACACCCCCGGGATCGCAACAGGACAACAATATGAGTTCCTCGTTTGTGACACCACCTAGTGTTGTATCACCTGGGATGGAATATCCCCACAACTTGACCAATTTCAATGTCTCTGATATGGTCATGAGCCCAATGGGCGACGGAACACCTCCCAACTCGATGAACTATATGCCAAACCAGCAACAGCAGATGTCGATGCAGGGAGATGGGATGTGCCAGCCTCAAATGGACAACATGGCGTCACGGAGCATGCGCAACCAGAGTCTGAATGCCCAGTCCATGTACGACCTGCAACAAACACCAGAAACAGCAGGCAGTTACCAGATGCAGAGCCAGGCGCCCATGACAGGCCAGAGCCAGGCGTCGATGTCAAGGCAACGTCAAGCGTCGATGGCTGGGCAGGGCCAAGCATTGATGACCAACGAGATCGACTTTGGCGGTCTTTAGAGACAGACATACTTGAGCGGCTCGATCACTTGATCGTCTGTGTCCCACTGCTGTTTCCCTCTCTTCTCTTTTCTTTGTTAAAGCAAATGTTTAGTTGGTCCTCAAGATGAGTTTCTTGCTGTCGACTGTCTGTATTTGATACGCTCCAATTCCCTTTGTTTGTTGTTTCGGAGGCTGGTCTGTATTTGATGGATGGCCAAGGTGGTCCAACATCGGATGGGCGTCTCGGTGTTTTGTGCTGTTGATTATTCTTGGTGTCTTATTTGTTGATGTCTGTTGATGTCTGTTGGCGCCGTGTACGGAAGGAAAGGAAGAAATGTGCCCGTACTCACCAGAAGTAAAAGGTCTTGGGAACAAGGACGGGAGTATGGATGGGAGTACTGGGAATGATATACCAGGAATTGGAACTATGTGAAAGGCAAAGAAGGGTCCGACCGAAGAAGAGGCTTGATAGACGCCGAAGAGTAGAAGCTAACTTAGTTTAATCCTGTTTTGAATTGAACTGCTGTACGCCACGACTGTAAAATGATTCTGACTTGATATCTGAGTGTTGGTGTATGTGGCATGGTATCATTATTCATAAGCTGGGCCGACTAGACTCGGTCCTTTTCGTAAACATTAACCTATCCCCTCCCCTTGATAGACCTGACGGCCAATACCTCGATCCTTTCTGCATATAAGCTCATGAGATGGCAGACGGGGTCTCCCCAGATGACGTCTCTCAACTGTTCTTCGAGACATGTGACGGCTACGACACCTTCATCGATACGCTCGCTTACTGTCTTTCGATCCTTGGGTTTGGCTCGAGGATCCCCTGTGCGTAAAACGACGAGCCGGCCGGCGTTGCTGAGAGTGCAAGGGGGGACATTCCAAACCGGAGGAGGTGGACGAGAGCTCTTTCGAGATTTGGAGCTCGACTTTGGTTTCTTTGGTGGTGGTGAAGCGAGCAGCTCCAAAAGACTCCTGACATAGGCCTTGTCTGCACGAACAACAGGATCACCCTCATTGATGAAGCTGAGGAATACGCTGTTTCTGAGATTTGGACGATCGGGCTTGGCCAGCGGGAGCAAGCTCACGGGCGGTGCACCAAAGGTGACGCAGTGGATCTTTTTGAAGCAATTGGATAGGGCGTTGAGCTCGCTCTCGGCCTCGGCCGTCTCGGCCAGCATATGAGAGTAGAGGAGCGCCGCCACAGCTCCGCCGGCAGAATGGCCCGTCAGCATAAGGTTATAGCTCGACCGCCGAGGGTCTTCTCTCAGGAGCTGCCGCAGCCGCGCGGCGACGGGCCGGATCATGCTCCGAGCCACCGAGAGGAACCCCGCGTGGCATAAATTCCCCGGGTCGTCGAGGAACCCAGCGGGGCTTGAAGGAGCTGTTTTGAGGTTCACGGCCCAGTCCATGAACGTTGCTGTTCCTCGGATTGCGAATACGATGGTGCTCATGTGATCCATTGGTTTCGACTTTATGCACATGGCTTTTGTGCCAGAGAGCCAGTCTGACGATACGTGGGCGTCGAGTTCGCTACCTCGGGGTTTTTCGTAGACGCGTTGTGAATACTCGGCGGCGAGGCAGAGGAGTTGCCACGTTGGGAGGTAGCTATAAAGTCAGGATGCATTTTCTCACAAGTGGAAGAAGTGACGTACAGGGCTAGAGGGGGGAGATCTGCTGGGAGTTTCGAGTTTGCGTAGAGCTCGACTTTGGAAAAGTAGTTGCCGGAAACCACGGATGTTGCAATATGTGCCTTGTCCTTGTGCTTTGTGCGTTTGGTGGATTTGCCAAACGCCTTGTCCTGAGATTGTTGTTGTTGAGGAGGAGGATGCCAGCTGAAGAGATCACCCTCGTTACCACAGAGCTTCTCATGATCAATAAGAGTCATGACATTGTTGAACCGGGAATAAACATCAGCATAAACAGCATTGGTCGTCTGAGCGCAACCATGCCAAGCCGACATGCCATCATCGTAAAGCTGAGTAAAAGGAACGACATCCTTGGCAAGGTTGACCATGGAACCTGTAAGTCTCGAAAGAGAAGTATGATGATGAACCTGCTGTTGAGGCTGTTGTTGGCTCCCAAGGTAATAATGCTGATTCACAATAACAGGCTGATACCCATTCCAGGCAGGAGGAGCTGCCGGGACAGGTCTGAATTGAGGTTGTGATTGACTTGCATAGCCGTGAGAGTAAGGATAAGTCGGAGGTGGCGGAAGAAGAAGTTGAGGTTGTGGTTGTTGTTGAGGAGGTCCATAGACGTTTGGAGGATCGAGTAGGCCTGGCTTCTTCTGCCTTTTATTCTTGGATGAGCTACTACTGCTGCTCTTGCTCTTCTTCTTCACCTTGTTTGTCTTGACGAACCAGCCCATGGCGAAGGTTGGACGAGTATCGTCAATGTCATTTCAAGATGTAAATAAATAAAAATGTCACACAGAGAGTGAAAAAAAGAAGAGGAGGAGGAAACAAGGCTTGAAAAGAAGGCGATAAACAAATCGCACATGACACACACACACACTCTTCCAAAAAAGGATGGATGCCTTCAAATCGCCAATAGGATATTCTTAGCAACAAACGCTTGCTTAGAACAAGCCTGTCGATCCGTTCAACAGGGGTGTATAAGGATCCAAAATCCCCCCATCGTGATCACACACACATGGCTGCTAGTAAATGTCCGCGTTATTCTGTCACTTCCATAGGCTCTCTCCAAGGCTCAGTGGCTCTGCTCACAACACCGCCTCCAAAGCTTATGATTCGTCGCAACCCCAGCGAGTAACAGACCAATCAGATGCATGGCGAGCCACGAGGGTGGTTGGGTTCGCCCAGGGGATGAAGAGGGGAAGCGATGAGTGTCCAGGGGTTTGTATTGGTTCGAGTCTTCAGCTTGTCGGGTCGGGTATGCAAAGGAAGAGAGAGCTCTGCAGAAGGATGGGTGCATGGCTAACGAGGTTCAATGGCTTTGGAAGGCATTGTTTATCATGGCGCATCGAGTGAGCTTTTGCAGAGTGAGACATTGTTGACTGCATGATGCTCACCATGATGCCACTGCTCACTCGGCCAACCTCTTGCAGGATTACATTACATATTGCAGCGATTGTCTAGGTATCGCGCTGCATGATACTGTATCCCCTACGTAGGAGTGCCACGGACTTAGCACACCCGTTGCCTCCGTCGCAAAAACAATCCATGACACCATCCAGGGGTTTACCTCTACCCGCTATTCCCCTTTTGTAAATCACGCTAACCTTGTTTCGTATTCTTCTGTAAACCGCGCTAACCTCGTTTCGTATTCCTACAACGCTATACCCTTTGTCGTATTCACGGTTTATCTGATTCATTGAGACTTCTCCATGTAATGATTAATCCTCACGAGAATGATGAATCTCGTGGAGAATGTCTGTTAACTCCGTCTCGGTCATTGAAGTCTACATTGACTGTGGCCGGTGAATTCTGAGTATAAAAACCCAAGAGGTGTCGTCGATAGAAGTGAATAGACAAGACAATCAACCTCATTAAGCAACTCAGTCAACAATCTACACTCCTCTTCTCACAATTATCCCACTCTCACCATGGCTCTCCCTTCCACCATGAAAGGCCTCGTCCTCCACGAGGATGACTCCGTCACTCTCGAGACATCCCTCCCCGTCCCTTCTCCAGTTCACGGCTCCGCCATCGTCAAGGTCCTCGCCAACCAGGCCAACCCCAACTTCTTCAACATGATCCGTGGTCAGGCCGGCGCCCATCCCTTTACCCAACCAAGACCCCTAGTCCCAGGTGCTGCCTGTATCGCCCGCGTCGCTGCCGTGGGACCGGATGCTGTCTCCCTCAAGGTCGGCCAGCTCGTCGCCATTGACAACTTTATCCGAGCTCGTGATGATCCCAACGTCAACATCCTTTGGACCATGTCTGATGGACAGACTGAAGAGTCCAAGAAGTTGCATAGAGATGTCTGGCGTAATGGCACCCTCGCCGAATACGCGAGAGCACCTCTTGAGAACCTCTACCCCTTGGACGAGGAAACCCTCTGTGGCCCTGAGAGTGAAGGAGGTCTAGGATACTCTATCCAAGACCTTCTTCACATCATCCCACACAGTGTCCCCTATGGCGGCCTTCGAAGCATCCACCTCGAGCCCGGTGAGACTCTTGTCGTCACCCCTGCCACGGGTCTCTTCTCCAGTGCTACCGTTTCCACCGCCCTCGCCATGGGCGCCAAGGTCATCGCTGTATCTCGCTCCTCTTCCGGCCTCGAAAAGCTCAAGGCCAACTTTCCTTCAGTCCGCACCGTCGTGGCCACTGGCGATGTTCAGGCTGACACCGCTGCCATTCTCGCTGCTTCCGGAAAGACCGCCCCTGACGCATGCATGGAGATTGGTCCTCCCGCGAGCACCGGCAGCACCATTATCACCTCGTGCATGCTGTCCATCAAGTCCTATGGACGCATCGTCCTCATGGGTGGCCGCGGCGATACCAACCTCCCCTTCCCCTGGCCTCAGCTGCTCTACCGTAACCTTACAGTCAAGGGAGGTTTCATGTATCAGCGTGAAGACGTTCAGAAGATGATCAAGTTGGCTGAGACTGGACAGCTAAAGGTTGGCAAGAAGAACGGTTTCGAAATCGTGTCCTCCTTTTCCTTGGAGGATTGGGACAAGTGTGGAGATGCCGCCGTCGAGCATACGGCTTTTGGCAAAATGGTTGTGCTGAAGCCTTGAGTTTGGGCTGATCCCATGACGGAGAATATGTAACAAGTCCCTTGGTAGTATAGTTGGAGATGTAGGGAACTCAATGAGTATAATGAAACAATCCCTTCTCATGACCTCCACCCACGCTACCGATAGAATCATCAAATTCCAGTTTCATGTCTTGCATTCTAGTCGAGGTTGACCTTGAGTTCAAACAATGTCCGGCCCAGCGCTTCCGTCATGGCCACTCTCGCCGACAGGCGTATGCTAATATCGTCACCATCCAGAATGTTGGGCATAGAGTCTTCCGGGCATTCCTCTTCGCTTAATATAGGAAATAAGCGCTTGGGGCCCGTCTTTTGCCGAATCCAGTGCGCCTGGTAGGCCATGTGGCAGAGCCGCCTGCGCTGTTTCTCCATCCTTCCTTGAATCTCGCCCGGGCTGAGGGCTTCCTCCTCCAGATACAGCTGAGACGCTCGCAAATCATCTTCTGAAGTTCGTGCGCATTCGATAAAGTTGTGCATGTTAAAGACTCTGCACCAAAGCTGCCATGGATACGGGTTTCCCCCTGTATAGTTCAACGCCCTCTGGATACCCCAGATGATGGCGACGTATCCGCGCCTTTGAACCTGAACGGCCGGGTCCGACCTTGAGTGGGTGTGCAAGACTCGCCGATTATGGATGGTAAAGTTGACAAAGTGAATACCACCAAAGTACCGGTCGACGCCCATATGATGACACTTCATAAAGGTCCAAGGGGATGGGATCTGAGTCGCGCGTGATGTGTATCTGCTGAACGGAGGATGACTTCCGCCACTGTCCATTCTATACTGCATATCATGCGCCGTAACGACAAAGTAGACTGGTCCGGATGCAGGTCCCCCTTCGATGGAAGGGTTTATTCTCACCGCGTTGATAGGGCTCTGCTGTAGGAGAATGCCGACATCTTTCTTGACAGCGTCATCAATAGATCGTGCCACGGTAATGGTTGATTTATCAACGATGGCATGTTGGGGAGAAATACCACCGTCGACGTCCGGGCCAAAGCGAAGTTTCATCGAGGTGACCTTTTCCCGAGGATCGACCACAACTATCAGCTCATGATAGACTCGTCGGTAGAAATCAACAGCACCCATGTGTTCAAGCAAGATGGCAGGCCGGGCGAGGTAATCGTCATCGTAGGCAAGATCAAGAATGCCCAGCCAAAGTTTCCGTGAAGCGTGAGCCTCAAGGTGAGGATTGTAGGCACTGACAGTACAAGGGCATATCCAGAGGTTCGTTCGGAGTACTGTGTCTGTGATCTCCATCGGGGCCATGTTTCCGAGAAAGTCGGCTTCGTACCGTCGATCCACGTTGCTAAAGACACGACGTCCAACGATGCGGACTGGATCCTTGAAGGTTTCGCAGAGGGGAGCTAAGCAACCTGGGGCTCGCTCTTGGGGGATTTGGCTTGGACCAGCTTTCCATAAGAGAATGGACTGATCCTTCGATTGTCTCACTATCGCTTCTTGAAGTCGTAGAAATGCTTTGTCTCCTTCTCCGTAGAGCATGGGCATGTTGATGCTGAACAATCCCAGTAGGCAGTATGCAGCGTCTTCTTTACGGGTCGTGACACGGCTGGCTGCCCAGCTCATCTTGACTGAGACGGCAAAAGTGTCGAGAATCTGGGGTAGACAGTCGGGTTTGTGACACTCCATGCAATTGCCGTCGCGGACGGGGGGAGCCGGGTCTCCTCCAGGACAAGCACATCGTGGTTCGGAAAACAACTGAGGCCAGACTCCAGTTCGCTGGCAGACGCGATCGAGTAAATCCCCATCTCTCGTCCCGAATCTGATCCAGTTTTGGTCAAAGAAGTCGACACTCCGTGGAGCGATCAGCTCTTGTAGGGTCCATCCTCGAGTGAACCAACGACTACTAAAGAATTCAGTGTCGTCTGGAGGTAGATCAATCTCCCGGTTCTTTTGCTGAGCGGTGGGCAGATACGAAAACCCAGAGTCAAAGTCGCTTAGATAGACGTAACACAGAGCGGACTGCTGGTACCACTTGAACATGGAGTTGATGGCCTCGGACAACTCAGCGCTGCTTGTTTTGTCGATGCAGCAAGTATCGATCCAGATGTAATCGAAGCCATCGCGCCGAGCCTGGTCGCAGCCTTCTTTGACTTTGTAGAACGCATCCCGATAACCTAACTCGTCAAGCGACAGTTGCGTGATATCCTGGAAGGAAATCTCATCATCACCCCAGGTGTGAGACAAGATGGCATATGGGGGTATGTCGGTTTCGGCACCGTTGAAGAGCTCAAGTCGGCATTTGCGCGCATCCAGAAGTCGCATTTTCGAGGCAGACTCTCGTTTGGAATTTGCAATGCAGGAGAAGGATGCAGGCTGATGATTTGGGAGGTGTGCTTCAAGCCAAGGCTTTTATTGAGAGGCTGAGTTGTGACGAGGCACTGCACCAGGCATTCTGCGCTGACAGCGCTGACATCACTGAAGGCAGCACCTGATGCATAATGATCCTTGCCAAGTAGATCATTCTGGCGATTCGAGTGAAACCGCGAAGAATTAGAACTGAACAGATGGTGGAAACATGAATGAATGCCCAAGTGAATGATTTGATGGATTCATGGTGTTGATGTTGTAAATAAGACGGGAAGGTGCCCGTGATGGGAGGCAGGAAGTTCACCTCAGTGAAGCTTAGTCATGGGTCTCACAGGGCACATCAACACCTTCAATCCAAGACTGCATGAAAAGAGAACAAAAGACGATGTGAAGAAATCTTGGGGGAAGTCGATACCCAGGTCAATTCTAGTCCAACATAAATGCGCTTCCGACAGTGCCGTGAATCCCCAGGTTCCGCCCTTGCCAAGCCCTCGATCCGATCGCATTCAGGATCCACACGCCATCTCCATGACAAGGTTCAGGGTCTCGATAGACGAACCGGCGAATGGTTAGCTGACATTTTAAATATCAAGTGATATAAGCTCATCATGTCCTTTCCATTTGTATAAATTAAGAACCTCTCCCCTCTCCGTGAGAGACTTCTATCACGACTGTCCTCATGTCCTTCAGTAACCATTGGGCCAGGCAATATGTCGCAAACGAGCATCGAGCAACTGGAAGCCCCTTCGACCACACTTGGGGAGTCTCAAAGCAAAACACAACAAAACGGATCTAACAACAACGATCGGAACTATCACCAAAGTCAACCTCCTGAGACCGTTGGCGAGGTTCCTCCCTCCACCTCCAACGATGAACCGACATCATCGACCCCAAGGTCGAAGAAATCTCTGGCGCAGATTGCCACGGCCATGACATCTCTCTGTGCTTGTGTCTTTCTCGCCGCTCTCGAAGTAACAATCGTGTCGACCGCTCTCCCTACCATAGCCTCCCATTTCGCCTCTGATTCGGGCTACACCTGGATTGGCACCTCTTTCGTCTTGGCTCATACCGCTTCAACGCCATCATGGGGGAAGATTTCAGACATCTGGGGCAGGAAGCCAATCTTGCTAATTGCAAATGTCATATTCTTTGGGGGAAGCCTCATTTGCGCCCTGGTCGACGATTTGGCCGCCTTCATTGCAGGGAGGGCCATTCAGGGGCTTGGAGCTGCAGGCATGCAAACCATGGTCAACATCTGCATTAGCGACATGTTTTCGCAGAGAGATAGGGGCTTGTACTATGGTTTGACTTCTATCGTATGGGCAGTGGCATCTGGAGTAGGCCCTGTACTCGGCGGTGCTTTCACGGATCGACTGAAGTGAGTAAGCTTTCCTGGGTGACTGTTCGTGAGTCTGACTTTGATCTAGTTGGAGGTGGTGTTTTTGGATCAACTGTAAGTACATCCCTCGTATTCGGAGTGGTTACTGACAGCTCATAGTGCCAATTACTGCCGCCGTCTTTGTCCTCCTCATCCTCACCCTCAAGTTGCCCTCTCCCAACACTCCCGTGTGGGCAGGCCTGAAAGCAATCGATTGGCCCGGCAGTTTTCTAATAATAGGGGGCACTTTGATGCTCCTCTTAGGTCTATATCTGGGTGGTGTCTACGAACCTTGGAACTCAGCGCCAGTTGTCTGTTTGATCCTCTTTGGTATCATCACCGCCGGTCTCTTCATCCTCAATGAGTGGAAATTGGCCGAGTATCCAGTGATACCGGTACATCTCTTCAAAACCTGGTCGTCGGCTGCAGCATACGCCGTAACCTTCTTTCACGCGTTCGTATTTATGGGCGTCGCCTACTACCTACCGCTATACTTCCAGGCAGTCCTTCTCGCAAGCCCTCTCCGCTCAGGTCTTTACCTTCTCCCCTTTATCCTTTCAATAACAGTCACAGCTGCGGCGACTGGCGCATATATCCAACTTTCAGGGAAGTACCTCCCGGCTGTTCATATTGGCCTGGTCATTATGACGCTCGGCATTGGCTTGATGATTGGTTTGGACCTCGATCTCAACTGGTCAAAGTTGATTCCATTCCAAATAGTCAGCGGAATTGGTGTGGGTATGAACTTTGAAGGCCCCTTGCTTGCAGTTCAGACCGTCGTCCCGCACAAGGATGTTGCAGCCGCTACCACGGCTATGAGCTTTGTCAGAACCATCGCCACAGCTATTTCTGTGGTTATTGGTGGTGTTCTCTTTCAGAACGAGATGAAGGGCAAGAAGCAAACTCTTGTGGATGGCTTAGGGCCTCAACTTGCCCGGTTTTTCGATGGAGCAACTGCGTCCGCAAGCGTCGATCTCGTCAAAACACTGCCTCCAGAGCAGCAACTGGTCGTCCGAAGAGCATTCTTCAACTCTCTGGACAGTATGTGGATTATGGTAAGGAATCTAGATACAAAAGTATTCGCCATTCTAACAGCACCATAGTATACGGCATTCTCGGGAGTGGGCTTGTTGCTTGGCTTTTTCATTAGAGCACAGCATCTGAGCAAGGAACACGAGGCAGCAGAACTAGGCATCCGAAAGAAGAGCCACATGCCTGAATCAACAACTGATGGCGTAGTAGCCTCGATCGAAACTGGCGAAGAACATGACATGGCTCGTGTTTCTCCCCAATCGTAGGATTCTCCGATCGAGGGACTAGTGTGTAGTCGCAAGGAAGCGTGTAGCTTGGTTATTAGCATTGCTCACATGTCAGAGCTTTGCTCGTCAGGGTCACTATTGGATAATTGTTCAAGAAATCGTCAACCTTGATACAGAATTGAAAAGCTCATCAAGAGCCTCATGTGAGCAGCTAAACCACCGAGTGCGCAAAGCCAAGACCTCAAAAGCCACATTGCGCGTCTGTTGCACTCCACCGAAAACCAAATGTGCAGCCCAATCCTACCCCCTTACTCAACAGGGTGCCCAGAAAGCTGTCGTTCTGGGGCCCAGTGCACACCGAGCCAGAAGGCGAAGAGAATGGCCCCGGGGAGTAGACGGAAGATAATCTCCACCAGAGTCCAATCCATCATCCAGCCACAAACCAGTCCGCAAAGACCTCCACAAAGAATCCAAAGATCGACGCCTCGGCTGCCAGAATGAATAAAGTAGCTCGTTCCAATCGAAGCAGTGTAGGTCCATATTACAGCCACGAACACAGCTGCCGAAGGGTTCGCGTCTGGCCGAGCAAGTCGTTCCATCATCCAACAAGATGCCGACGAAGAGGACCACAGTGTCAACTCAAAGAGCGTCTGTGGCCCGCCCTTTGAGATCCTCTGGTTATTTTCTTCGAAAGGGTTCGCGTCTTCGTGCCGATTGGGATACAGGCCGTGCTGTCTAATCCCCTTTTCAGGATCAAGACACTTAGTAGGACTCGGTTCCCGTCTTGCTCCCTGAAAAAGCGTAGGTTTGATTCGTCCTCGGGAGAAAGCGGCCATGTATCCACCGTGTCCCATGTTGTGTCGATCGTGTTCCTGGCTGGCAACATCAGGTCGTTAGACACGGATCTATGCAAGAAATGGAAACTTACCAGGATGCCATCAATATCTGGGAAATCTCTTTTCCGAGCGAGGAGTGCATCTCCTGAGAGAACTTTCCGCTAGGAAGAGACATCGGCCTAGTTGCATGCCGTACATCGCTTTCTCCGCGTCTCTCCTTGGGGAGAATAGACTGGTTCCTGTACAGTCTTGCGAAGTATTCCTTGAATCTCTCAACCTCTCTTCTCATGCAATCCCGAGTCTCCAGGGTATTCGGGCGGCAGTCCGGAACAGTCCAGGTGAAATCCAAAGTATTCGAGAGGGATTCCAATTCCGCTTTCCGGGTCTGTTGTAGAGCCTCAGTCGGCTGGCGTAGGTCTCGTTCGGTCGCCTGGAATAGTCTGGGAAGATGCGGCAAGGGCTCGATATCCTTCGCGCTGATGCCAAGGAAGTCTACCGGGTCCATCTTAAGGCGAGTAAGATTTTCTCGGATTTGGTGATGTTTTGCTGGTTCAAGGTGGCTTCCGTGATCCTATTCAAGGAGGGGAACAGGGACAAAGGTAGGCACCTCTTGTTTGTGTCACCAGGCTAAGGCCTCCGACTTACGTAGGCTGCATCTGGCGAATAGAACGCATTTGCCAGTTGCATAGCCCAGAAGAGAAGAAGGTGACAAGAGGGAACCCAAGTTTATGTCCCATCCTCAGCTTCTATACCTCTCTTCCCACCATAAGCTTCCCGGCTCCGTAACCAACACCGCCCGAAATATCTTGTGAGATCCTACCTAGTTAAGTAATGAAACAGGCAGTTCAATACTAACATTTCAATGAGCTTCTTTCAGCATCTTCGACGAGGCACAGGTTCGCGAGGACCACCGCTATGGAGGGGTCCACGACCGACGAGGCTCAAAACCGCCGCCCAGGCACTCATGGCTTGGATGCCATTCATGATGCTTCACTCGACGGTTTGAACCCTGAACAAGCCAACAAGCCGCTGAAATCGGCGCACGCTTGTTTCCATGCGAACCCCACCATCATTGAATGGCGCACTCTCGTTACCCCCTATGTGTATGTCCCTCCTTGGCACTTGTCAACACGGATATACGGGGCGGATTCTGAGATCAATGGAATGGCGACCCCAACATGGCTAGTATTGAATTCCGATCCTGAGAGAACCGAAGAATCGGGGCTTCATATTTGTACCCTCGGGTGCAGCAAATGCAGCACAAACAAGGTTATGCTCCCTATCGACCGTCCTCGCTACGCTATAGCTAGAGGATTGATACCCAGTGGCAACTCTATCTCCCTCAGCCTCAATGTTCGGGGCACGGCCGCGTTCCATGTATCCGTCCAACGCTGCTTCACCCAAAGCCATTGTCTCGACCGAGAGAATGGGCGACCTTTCTATCCGGACATGATGAGCCACGATGCCCGAGACAGCCATCTACCTCTCTTCGATATTGATAATGTGACTCTAACCGATACAATTCTGGTTCGATGCTCTGGCATCTGCAACCGAGCGTGCCCTCAGGATTGCGAGCGGTGTAACTGCTTCTGGCGCTGCAGTGGCGGTGATACCACTCCGCACTATCGATGATGTCCCATCTTGGGCATGGATCTCGTAAGTTTTCTCAGTTGTCTAAGCCAAGACTCTTGACTTAATTTTGCCACGCAGGGACTATGCGGTTTGGATGATATGCTTCATTCCATATCTTGCATTGCAGATCCGCTACATTGGCCATCATAACAGCTATCCTCGACAATTGTTAGTTTCTTGATCACTTTTCTGTCGCCAGGGAAACACAACCGCTAATAGTGATGACCAGCTCCCTGTTTCTAGTGATCCTACTGGCAACATACTTTGCCATATCTCTGGCGCAGAACTCCCCGACACCGATCGATGGTTTCACTATCTATGGACCGATCGTGCTGTCGGTCACCACATTTCTCGTTGCACTCCTCTTTGATGCCATCGCCGCTTGGGAAGCGCGACGTGGAGGTGCTGCTGCTGAGGCACAGCACCCCGCTGGCATCGCCATGGCGGCTCTAGGCGTGGTTCCATGAATGGACCCTACTTGGGGAGAATTATGGATACTGGGAGACGTTTGTCTTCTTTCCCAATTGGTGTAAACATTGGCGTTGGTGTTGCAGCTTGGTAATGATCCAGCTGTTGGGAAACCATAACTGGCATGGAAGAGCCGTCTAAATCATAATATATCCATTAACTTGACTACTAAACAAAGTAATAAAACCCATATTTGGTAATAAAAACAAGTGCCATTCACTATCCCATCAGTGCCCACAAGGCTCCAAGCCGTATCTTGCCCCAGTGTTATGTGATTAACCGTCAGCTGTTTCTCCTGGTGGCATAACTGCTTCCTCTGGTCATATGACTACTAAGGTCTTAACATTGCGATACTTCGTTCTTAAGCGGATGATAGAGAGTGACGAAGTATCGCCACTACTGAGAGCTTTGATTGGACCCAACCCCCCTTCGTGACCTGCTTGGAGCCTTGTGGGCACTCATGGGATTAATAGGAATATAACCCTACCTGATATATTATTTGTAGTAACCCACTTTTTAGACTCATGTGTTAGCATCTCTTTCTTCTTCCCCCCTCATACCGTATCTGATAGGTATAGACACCGTGTATACATGTTTCTTTTATCTCCTTGTTGATGCAGCCGGCATTATTTTATTCCTGAGAAGGCGTTATTAATTGCTAGTTCTAGATTGTTAAGTTGTACAATTAAAATGGCACAGTGCCCAGACACTTTCCCGCACTGCGACTCTATCCACCAACCTTAGCCATATCTTCTCCCTCCACCTTCACCCCAGGTAGGCGATAACGATGCATCATGCGAGATTCCCAATGTCCTCAAACGAGGAAGCCCGCTCGCCTCTTCTCGATCAATCTCCGATGCCAGACGCTCGGGACGATGGCGACAACGATCCAGCACAACCCTTGCTCACCTCCAGCTGTCATGGGGAACAAATCCCACCAAGGCAGGCATTATCGCCACAGGAAGCCAACCCCGACACGGAGGCGGCGAGAGAAGTTCTCCGGAAAATCGACCGAACTATTATTCCTCTCTTGTTCATAACCTATATGCTCAGTTTTATGGATAAGATCATTCTCTCTAGTGCTGCTGTTTTTGGACTTCGTGAGGACAACGTACGCCCTCAGTTCCACATCTCGTGCGTGCCGTCGCTAATAAGCTATATGACAGAAGCTCGAAGGACAGCAGTACAGCTGGGTCGGGAGCGTGTTTTACATGGGATATCTCCAGTGGACGTATCCTACTAATCTACTTGTGACGCGTCTTCCTGCTGGAAAGTATCTGTCTGCCAACACCCTATTCTGGGGGTCCGTCGTCACTCTTACTGCTGCATGTAACAGCTTTGGGGGACTCTTGACGGTGCGATTCTTGCTCGGAGCTGCAGAGGCCACCATCACACCAGGCTTCATGTTTCTCACTTCAACCTGGTACACTCGCGATGAGATGCCAACTCGCGTGGGGATTTGGTTCGCAGGGAACTCTGTTGGTGGCTTGGTCGCAAGTCTTCTCGCTTTTGGGGTTGGACACATCGATAACACCGCTATTCGACCTTGGAGATGGATGTACATCATCTTGGGCAGTGCAACCTTGCTCTGGGCGATTCCCATGTTCATCCTCCTACCAGACAACATCTCAAAGGCCAAGTTCCTCACACCGAAAGAGAGGCAAGTCGCTGCCCAACGAATAGCATCTGCCGGGACTGGGACAACCGAAAACACGCACTGGAAACAGGATCAATTTCACGAATGTTTGGCTGATCCCAAGACTTGGTTCATTGTCGGAATCGAGTTGCTCACCCAAATCCCCAACGGCGGCTCCCAAAGCTTCGCCAACATTGTTGTGGCGTCGTTCGGGTTCACCAATCTGCAGTCCACACTCATTAATATCCCCTACTCTCTTTTGTCGGCTGGCATTATCTCTGGAAGCGGGTATCTCGCCGGCCATTTTCGAACCTGGAACTGCATCCTGATTATCGGCGTTATTCTGCCATGTGTCTTTGGAAGCGCCCTCATCTACAACCGGAGCCATTTACCTCACGGTCTGCACCTCTTTGCTTATTTTCTCCTATCAAGTGGCTCCGCAGCTATGCCTCTGAACATGGCCCTAGTCCAGTCCAACTACCGTGGCGTCACGAAGAAATCGACCATTACAGTAATGCTCTTTATCGCCTACTGTATCGGGAACATGGTAGGGCCACATTTCTTTCGCGAATCTGAAGATCCGCTCTACGAGACTGCCTTCAAGGCCATCATAGTCTGTTATAGTTTGGCTATCATCTGTGCTGTAGCCCTAAGAGTTTATCTCGGTCGGCTCAACGCAAAGAGAACGCGGGAAGAAGGAATTCTAGGCAGTGCGGGATCTGGCGGCGTTTCGAGGGGTGTTGGTGATGCGCCTGAAGACATCACAGATTGGCAGGCAGTTGGCTTCAGATATCGACTTTAGCAATCTCAGAATGAGCTCTCAGTAGGAAACTCCCATACTTAATGACTAACATGAAGTGGAAGCTCATGAAGTCTTTTACAAGAAGAGAAACCTCGAGGCCACCTCCTGCGTACCGCTGAAGACCGTGCCGAGGTTGCTACCCAGAACAAAGGGATCTCGACAGCTTATGCATAAGAAGCCCACGCCGTGACGACAAAGCTCAAAGTTTTGCAGTTTTTCCCGCGCAAAGACAAATCCAACCCCCAGATTTCGCGTGAACAACATTACAGAGCATTATTCACGCTTACGCGCGAATCCAGTGCACTCAGGTCTGACTGGCCAAGCAGGCTGTTTCACATCACGTGCAGTGCACAAATAGAGCGGCTCCATATTTCGCCGACCCCGAAGTCGCCCCAGATTCATTTCAAACCATCAAACAGCAGCCACTCCTGCTCCCGACACTGCAAACAAAGTCCAGCATCACCAACTGGACTCTTTTTCTTCGTTTTACCCCAGCGAATCGATTTTGATCGCGAAAAGTTTGACAGGATGTCGTGGAGAAATCAGGGGATCACCGGATCCAACAACATCCCTCTTGGCAAGCGCCGCTTTGGAGACGAGGATGGCCCTGATGGATTTGTCGATGGCGACCGTGACTTGAAGCGCGGACGTGACCCCGAGCCACGAAGCGAAAACGATGGACCTCGACGACGCAAGAAGCGAAACAGATGGGGTGATGCCTCTGAGAACAAGGCCGCTGGCCTCATGGGACTGCCCACTGCCATCTTGTCCAACATGACAAGCGAGCAGCTCGAAGCCTACACCCTCCATCTGCGCATCGAAGAAATCTCCCAGAAGCTGCGCATCGACGATGTCGTCCCAGCAGATGGCGACCGGTATGTTTGCAATCATGCTTGACCCTCCCGTTCATTACTGACGTTGCACAGATCGCCTTCGCCTCCACCCCAGTACGACAACCACGGTCGACGTATCAACACGCGAGAATACCGTTACCGCAAGCGACTCGAGGACGAACGCCACAAGCTGATCGAGAAGGCCATGAAGACCATCCCTAACTATCACCCACCACAGGACTACCGTAGGCCGACCAAGACGCAGGAAAAGGTCTACGTTCCTGTCAACGATTATCCGGAGATTAACTTCAGTATGATTGCTAACCCTTTAACCCTACTTACCAATGTCTTATCCCTGTTTCCCCTTTGGAGTTTGATCAGACTCACCATGATACCTTTGGGTATCTTTGAGAGGCCTGGTCCTTCATCAATCGGACTAACCCTTCACTCGTTCATCTAATTTTTGCGAACTGCACACTGACACTAGCTCTCTCCCACTCAAGTCGGTTTACTTATCGGGCCCCGAGGTAATACTCTGAAGAAGATGGAGGCAGATTCAGGTGCCAAGATTGCTATCCGTGGCAAGGGCTCCGTCAAGGAGGGCAAGGGTCGGTCTGATGCCGCTCACGCCAGCAACCAGGAGGAAGATCTGCACTGTCTCATCATGGCCGATACCGAAGAAAAGGTCAACAAGGCTAAGAAGCTCATTCACAATATTATTGAGACTGTAAGTTGACTACCCAGCTACAAAGTTGCTCGTACTAACACTCCCAGGCTGCTTCTATTCCTGAAGGCCAGAACGAGCTCAAGCGCAACCAGCTCCGAGAACTCGCCGCACTCAACGGTACCCTCCGAGATGACGAGAACCAGGCTTGCCAGAACTGTGGCAAGATTGGCCACCGCAAGTACGACTGCCCTGAGCGACAGAACTACACTGCTAGCATCATCTGCCGTGTCTGTGGTAACGCAGGCCATATGGCTCGTGATTGTCCCGATCGCCAGCGCGGTGCTAGCTGGCGTAATAACGATATGGGCGGCCGTCCCGCTGGTCGCATCGGCAGTGGGGATGCTGTTGATCGCGAGATGGAGGTAAGAATCCCCGGTGTACTAAACATGACTCAAATACTAACACTGTACAGCAACTCATGCAAGAGCTTGGCGGAGGTTCTTCCAACGGACCTCCTGCGCGCATCGAGGCCGGCCCTGGCAGCAACGGAGACGCGAAGCCCTGGCAGCGTGGCCCTACTGGAGGACCCGCGCCTTGGCGTTCTCGCAACCAAGATTCTAACAACGAGGGAGGTTCATCGGCTCCCTGGAGAGAGCGCGGCGGTCGCAACCAGGATCACCACAGCGGCAGCAACGGTGGCGACAGCTACTACGGCCAAGGTTATGGCGGATCTTCCGGTGCCGCTGCGCCATGGCAACAACAGGCTCCTGGAACTCAGGGTGGGTATGCTGGATATCCTGGTTACGGCAGCTATGGAGCCGCTCCTGGAATGGGCGCTCCTCCTGGTCTTGCCGCTGCTCCTGGCGGTGCTCCTCCACCTCCTCCAGGTGCTCCCCCTGGCCTGGGAGACATCAACGCCTTCATCCAGCAGTACGCCGGAGCGGCGCCTCCCCCACCACCTCCTTCGGGCGATGCTCCCCCTCCTCCTCCCAGTGACCAGCCTCCACCCCCACCTCCCGGTGCTTAGATGAGGACAAGACTAACAGCCGTTGCTGGACATGGCACACTTCTGACATGACAAGGTTTTGGCCAGACAATAGGAGAAGTCTGGAGTATATCAGACTGGACCGGAGGATAACACGGGACCGGGCGATGCCTTTGACTGGGTTTGCAACTAACCACTACGACTGAAAATTGTCTTACAATTCGTAACGTTCTTGACGGCAAACTATGTATTGCAGCTAGTCAGAAATCATCCAGCGGAAAACGGACTAATCGCGTAGGCAAAATGTACTGATTGTTTTAATTGTCTTTAAATATATGGTTCGTGATGTCGATTATTGCGACTCTTGAATAGACATGACACCTTGACTGTGCCTTGGTTGTGCCTTGGTGATAGCCTCAAGTTCCCGGTTTATGCACCTGTTTTATGCAAATCATCCATGCCTAGACCCCGCATGCAGCGGATTTGGCGTCATTGTACGTACCTCACCCGAAACGGGGAGCTTGGGCCATGTGACAAGGGGAGCAACGCAATCGCCGCCGTCGCACCTGCCTCATCTCGAGTCCTACGACTTCACCCACTATCGATTCGTTTAGACGTTCTCAGTTTCGAGGAAGGTGCTGAACGGCGTCACAAGTGATTCACAGCGAGGAAGGCGCATCTTTTAGAACGCGTCTTATCTTCTACGTCTCCCTTCAGCTTCATCGGATGACAAAGCTCATCTGACTGATCTCAGCAAGCTCCAGCCTTCGTGTCTCATCTTGACTTCTTTCTTCCTTGTCCTACGTGCTCCATCTGCCTCATTCCTACCATTCTACGCGTCGATTCTCAGTCTTACGATGACCCTGAAGAAATAGAAGGCATCCATTTATTCACCTCGTCACGCTTCTCGCCGGCGCATTGACATTCGCGCTTCTCATGATCTTCAAGCACCGTCCTCAGCCTCAGTGATTGACATCACTGAACAGCGAGGCAGCAATCATGCGCTTCCAAAACCCATTCGCCTTTCGGCCGGGTCCGGTTTCATTCTGGACAACCGTCATCTACCTCGCCCTCGTCATCCCTCTCATCTACGTTCACGAGACTGTCCCACCAGCTCCTTCGGATCGCTCCCTCTACCAAGGCCTCAACTTGACCGAGGCATGGCTAGACCTTCAGACGATAAGCCGCGCATTCCATCCATACAACAGTCACGAGAACGATGTAGTTCGCCAATTTCTCATCGATCGCACCAAGGAGATTCTGGATCGCAACAGCATGCCCTACACGACTGAGACGATTGGTGGTGTGGATTGGCACACAAGGTGCGTCCTCATTGCGCATGTCGACAAAGACACCAAAGCTAACGTCCCACAGGAACGCTTTTGTGCAGACTCAAGATTCGGATCTCAACCCTCGCGATGAGTTCATCCAATCTCGACCTCGCGGAGCCACTCTTTTCGATGACAAGATCTCCAACGTCACCTGGACATACAACACAGCCAGGCCTACTGGTACCAACATCGCTAAGGGCACTTGGATGGGACAGTACTTTGAGGGAAACAACTACTATGTTTACATCCATGGCAAAGATGACCCCGAGGGCGAGTGGTGGCGCTCAGAATCGGCCTACAAGAAGTTTCGTGGCCAAGGTGGTGTCCTTGTCAACTGCCATTTTGACTCGTGAGTTGCCATGATCATCTTCATGCGCGTCGCTCACAATTCTATAGTGTTTCCACCGGCTACGGAGCTACCGATGATGGCATGTCTTGTGTGTCGATGCTCCAGCTGCTGAGCTACTTCACATTGCAGGGCCGTCAACCCAAGAACGGCATTGTTTTGCTCTTCAACAATGCTGAAGAGGATGGCCTCCTGGGTGCCCGAGCCTTTGGCTACAGTCCTCTGCTGCACTTCACACATACATTTGTCAATCTTGAAGGCGCGGGAGCTGGTGGCCGTGCTATCCTCTTCCGAACTACCGACTTACAAGCTGCCAAGGTGTACGCCAAGAGCCCTCATCCCTTTGGATCTGTTGTTGCTGCCAACGCCTTTGAGAGAGGCGTCATCAAGAGTGCGACCGATTATGAGATCTTTGCCGACATTTTCGGACAGCGTGGAATGGACATTGCCTTTTACGCTCCTCGTGCTCGATACCACACCAATCAGGATGATACTCGTCACACCTCTGTTAACAGCATTTGGCACATGCTCTCGGCGGCCCTTGCATCGACTGAGAGGTTTTCACAGATTACCGGCACTACATTCCATGGCGATCGATCTGATGGAAAGTCTGACCTTGTGCAGAATGGTAAAAAGGCCGAGGGTGTGTGGTTCGACATTTTTGGCTCAGCTTGGGCTGTCTTTGCGCTTAGGGGGCTATTTGCATGGTCTCTAACGCTCCTCGTCGCCACACCCTTGATCCTGGTTGCCATCACTTATATTCTGGCGCGGAAGGACAAGTACTACTTCTTTTCTAGAGACATCAAGATGCATCACGACATTAATGATGATCCGGTGGTGCTGGGTGGCTGGAAGGGCTTCTTGCGCTTCCCGTTTGCCCTCGTCTTCGCAGGGGCCCTTACTATTGCGTCCACGCTTCTTCTTGCTAAGTTCAACCCTCTCATCATCTACAGCAGCCCTTATGCGGTGTAAGTACCTCAAAACTTGGTCCAGGCGGTTAACTAACATGTTATAGGTGGTCCATGACTCTCTCGATCTTCTACTTTTCGTTTTGGCTTATCATGAGAGGAGCCAGCTTTATCCGCCCGAGCGCCCTTCACCGCGGATATGTCCTCATCTGGCTCTTTGCCCTTGGCTGGGGTTTACAGGTTGTGGGTGCCGTGGCAGAGGATCGCCTGCACATTGCCGCCCTATATGCGACTGTGTTCCTCCAGTCCGCTGTCTTCCTGGCCCTGTTCATCTCTCTGTTGGAGCAGTTCGCCCTTCTTGGAAAGCACGATTTTGCCATGCAGCTACATGATGCCCATCAGGCACGAGATATCTCGAGTCATGGCACTGACCACGAGTCGCGACCTCAGCCCGAGGAGGAACCTGCTCAGCCTGAGGGTGATGAGGACGAATCCGAGGATGCAACGGAGACAACGCCGCTCAGAGCTAATGAACCAGGCTATGGATCCAGCACTAGGACATCGTTTGCCGCCACTTACCGTCGCTCTGTTGCGGACAACGCACCCTCGCCGCCTAGGATGCGAAGATATCAACCCTACGAGCATGAGCAATCGTGGTCGGGACGACTCCCTTCTTGGACTTGGATTATCCAGTTCCTTCTCTTGGCCCCCGTACCTGTCATTTTGTTTGGCAACCTTGGTCTGGTTGCGATGTCTGCTCTGCAGATGACAGGCACAGATGGTGGCAGCCTCCTGGTGCCCGTGCTGACTTTGGGCATTGTGAGCATTTTCCTCTTGCTCCCGCTCACACCCTTTATCCACCGCGTCTCGCATCACGTCCCTATGTTCCTGTTGTGCGTTTTCGCAGGAACTTTCATCTACAACCTGGTGGCCTTCCCGTTCTCGGATAGTCACCGCTTCAAGTTCTACTTCCAGCAGGTTGTTGACCTTGACAACGGAACCGACACTGTTTCCATTGTGGGACTGGAGAGGTTTTCGCGCTCGGTCATTAAGTCGTTGCCGAGTGCTAGCAGTCAGGATATTAAGTGTGAGAAGGCTGTTGGTCGAGATCTCATGGAGTGTCTGTACGACTCGTCTTCTCTATCCCCTCATCTGGTCGAAGGCAAGACACCTAGAGAGTTGATCACTTTTGAGACGGTGGATGGCACGAACGCTTCGAAGGGACGACTGCGAATTGATGCCTTGGACTCGAGACTTTGTTACCTTCACACGTCACGACCGATCTACGGCTTTGCTGTTGATGGTGGAGCTGCAAGAGATCCTCGCTTTGGCGGATTCCCCTCAGAAGGGTTTAAGACGATCCAACTTTGGCGACGCGATCGGGATCGGCCTTGGACTGTGAATCTCTATCTGGACGAGCACTCTCAACAAGCTGACAAGTCTTTTGAGGGAGAGCACAAGAAACTGGGAGATGGTTCAGTTGTACACCGTCGGGCGGATGATCCTCTCGAAGTGACGGTCAGGTGTGCTTGGAGCGATGCAAACAAGCCTGGAACGATCCCGGCGCTTGATGAGCTTCTTAAGTACATGCCGACTTGGGCTGCCGTTACCAAGAAGAATGTTGGCCTGGTGGAAGTGCGCAAGACATACAAAGTTTGAGTATGAGAGGTGTGGTTTGAATCATTGTACGGACTGGGGCAAAGGTTGGATTCGCGCATGTTAGAGTGACTGAGATTTGGGATTGCGAGCGTCGGTGTTGGCCACGCCTGGAGTTTGGGATTGGCTGCTTGGGTACGACCTATTGTTGATTAAAATTAAACACGGAGCATAAACAACTGTCATTGGGGTTGTGAGAAAGACAATACAATCGCATTGATTAAGAGGTTGTCTGAAGCGTTTTTTTACGTCTATCCCAGAGAACCCGAGATCCAAGAACTTGGGATTGCTCCATACTGCAGTAGTTATCTAATTCCTAAGATCATCATTCCAAAGTTCAGGGGTTAATATCAACAACTGATGTGAGGCATTCATGATTTATCTTGTTGTTTCAATCTCGATTTGTTCGATAGGCGCAACTCTCGGGTAGCTCGGGTTATCCACCAAGCGCATCTTGGCGTAATCCACTCTCGAGCGTTGATCTAACTTCAACAACGTTCCCGACCGCAAGACAACTGACTGAGACTCAAAATGGTTTCAAATATCTCGTTGCCATCAAATAGGCACAATGAGGCCACCCATCATGCTCTCATCTACTACGTGTGCGGCAATCCCGGCCTGATTGAGTACTACACCGACTTCTTGAAGCTGCTTCGCGGTCTCCTCGATAAGGTCGAGCACGACACGGCCTACGATATCTACGGCAGAAACCTCTTTGGATTCGTTGACGAGGAGCATGAGCCATTTGGCCCCGAAAACAAGCCGTGGGATCTCAATGGCCAGATTGAGGGCATCTACGACGACGTGGCGGCTAGACGTCTCGACTCGAAGCCTTACGACTTTGTCATCCTCATGGGCCATTCTGTTGGGAGTTATATCTGCGTCGAGATATATCATAGGCACTTGGAGTCTCCTGAGCGAGCACCTCACCTGAACCTTCGTCATGGCTTTCTCCTCTTCCCGACGTTGACGCATATTGCTCGTTCACCAAGTGGTCTCAAGTTCACTGCACTTCGCCGCGCAGTGCCCTTTCTCGATACCACGACACACATCGTCGCGCGGCTTCTCCTCAGCTTCTTGACCGTCGCTGGTTTGACGTGGTTGGTGCAGCGAGTGATGGGTTTCACTCCCCTAGCGGCGTCCGTAACAGCACGCTGGCTGAAGAGCCGAGACGGCGTGCGACAAGCCGTTCACTTGGGCATGACGGAGCTCGAAACAATATGCGAAGAGCGATGGAGTGAAGAACTCTGGGCCGCAAGCCAAGGGCCTAAAGGAGACGCACCTCGCTTCTTTGTGTTTTATGCCAAGACAGATCACTGGGTCGACGACGGTGAAAGAGAGGGCTTTATCGAGAGACGGAGGGGAGGAGTTACGAAGATTGAAGTTGATGAGGGAGATATCCCGCATGCCTTTTGCACGAAAGCTGGTAAGTCTTGAATACTCTGTTTTGATGAGCTGTGCTGATTCTGGTAGATGCGAGTTTGGAGGTTGCTAAGAGGGTTTGCGGGTGGGTTGAGGAGATTGATCGAGTTGGGGAGAACCATTGATGGCAGGTTTGAGGTGATATAGAGCTGACCGGTGCTTGGAGAGTATTATTGGCATATATCACGATGGATTGGGTTGATGCACTACGGATAACGAACAATGGAGTATACACTTGGTTTCATACTGACCTGACATGTCAACGAATAGTTCCCAACAATGAGAAGACGGTTACAGAGGGAACACATTCATCTCACATGGACCTGTCTTTGGGTGACATCGTTGGTGGTTGCTCATTGGAGACCCCGCACATCGGAGTGAAACATTCAACGTCATAATGGTGATGTCCAACAGTAAATACGGGATGAGTTCCAATTCTGTCAAGGGCCCGGTAGCCACGGAGAAACGAACCCATGGAGCCAGCAAAGAATCGAACTCTTAACAGCCCATCGTCAGCTGAACAACCAAGATCAGTCGCCACAGCGACCAAAGGACCGAAAGAGATCGTCCTTCCCCGCAAACTCTACCAGCCAGCGATGCCGCCCAGCTTCTAATTCCGGCATTCTTGGCACTTCTAGAAAAGGGCGTTGGACGGCGTTGATTTGACGGCTCTGACAACCCACACGGCGTAACCTAGCGTCGGCCGAGGGTAAAAAAGATGGTGTGTTGACGACGGCAGTGGCATGATGTTTTCCTACGAGAACTTTTGTGAAGCAAAGCGAGAGGTAGAGGTGTATGCATCACTTGTGTATTGACGATAGCTTTTTGGTCTAGAGACCATTACCATTAACCCATTGTCTTGTCATTCCTAATTACAACGTCCCAATTCCATGTGGAATTCTCATTGTGTACTTGAAACCATTCCACGAACCATAGCTGGCATCATAAAATCTCCCATCTAAACCATTCCTGGTAGATGGTCTTTCATGAATACCTCATAATTTACAGAGCAATGGCAGCGAGGGCAACCATGGCGATGGCACCAACACCCTTGAGGCCAGCAGCGCCGTTGACCTCGACGGTGGAGGCGCTGGGGGTAGAGACGGGAGCCACGCCGGTGGTCTCGGGGGCAGAGGTGGTGGAGACGACGGGAGGGACGGTGGTGCTCTCCTCCTCGGCGGCAGAGGTGGTCTCGACGGCGGCAGAGGTGGTGACAGCAGCCTCGCTCGTCGTCTCGGGAGCAGCGGAGGTCTCAGCGGCGGTGGTGGCCTCGGCAGCAGTGGTCTCTGCCTTGGAGGACTCGGCGCCGGACTCGGAGCTGCCGCTGCCGGGGTTCTTGCAGAGACCCTCAGTAGCAGGGAGAACCTCGTCTAGAAAAAGAGTCAGTAAATATTCAAGATGCAAAGGTGTAAGTGAGACATACTGATGGCAACGTCGGCACCACACTTCTCAATCACGCAAGAAGTAGCCTTGCTGCGGACATCGTCAAAGTTCTTGCAGACGCAGACGAGGTCGGTGGTCTTGCAGTCGGTCTCGCTCTCGATGGCATCGTCGAGGCAGGGAAGGGCGCACTCGGGGACGTCACTGAGAGACTGAGCCTGGACGGAGGCGATGAGGGCGAGAACAGCGAGAGAGAACTTCATCTTGACTGATTTTGTTGTTGAGTGAGAGCTTGAAAGGCTTGTAAGAGACAACGAATGAAGACTGGTCCAAGTGATAGCGAGTGGATGAGGAGGAAGTGAAAGGAGAGGATGAGATGGATGGATGATGGCCCTTTATGTATGCGAGTCTACAACCTTTGGCATCATACTGCATTGGTTTGATCATTAGTTCCCATGTCATTGCCAGGGCGAATACGACCAGCCTTTCCCCTTCTTCCTCCAGCTTTTCCCCGCGATGAAGTGGTGTGGATGGACCGGGATCCAAGCGACGAGCCGGGGGAACAAGACAGGGGGAGGGTGTGTACTGTAGTAGTATCTCGGAAGGTTTCCATGTGTGTACAAGTGAGTGTGCATGTGGTAACTATTCCCAGACGAGACATTTGTTGGAGACGGACGACATTTCCGCATTTGAACCACACCACCGAGGGGGGAAAAGAACTTTTTTCTCTTCAAATTTCGGGGCTGTTGATGAGCTTTTGGTCGATCCACCCCCGGATTTCGGAGGTGAATTCCTGTATAGGTTCATGTGAGCCGATGCCTTCTTCTGGGGAAATGGGGAGAGTCTGGAGATCTTGATATTAGATGCCGAGAAATCCGGGGATCGCTTCAACATGAGTAGAGCTTTGGCAAGGGGAATGACAACATGGACAGTTCAAATGACAACACATGCAGTTCAATACAAGCAATAATAGCACCTCCTCAAATACCAAAAAAATACTAGCACCTGCAGACATAACGTAAAAGAACATCTAGTTGGCCCCGGATATTGCATTGGGTCACATGCTAAGGCCGATCTTGTCCATCCAAGAACAGTTCCCTCGGCCGATTCGACCACCCTAGTACAACTTGAGCGACAAGGCCGACACTTTCAGCAACACCCCAAAAAACCGGTTCTTTTTTTCGGGGTAGAGTGACTGATTTGAACGGAGATCAAGTGTGGTAATACAGTAACGCCAGGCATGCAGGAACCGGGAGGCGTTTTGTCATGTTGAGCTTTACTACTGAAGCTGTCTTGGTGTCAATTATGAGATACCTACTCTCATATATTAATGCACCTGTTAACACTCAATTGACATTTCATCCACTGTTACCGAGCCATAACAACACCTCTCGACCCGTGCCAGTACCCCTACCATCAACCAACCAAACACCAACCTCTCATTTCCAACCTCAATCGCCAAGAAGGCAGTACGTCCGGGGAAGCCCTAACAAACACCCATGTCTCCCCATTCCCATTTTCCCTCCCCCGCATCCCAAACCCCGCGGGTACAAAACTCACACCCCTGTAGCTGAACAAGGATCTTGACCAACTCGCCTTCCTTGTTGGAAGAGAACTACTGTCATGACCCTTGTTCCTCTGCCCGCCACGCCGAGGCTCACATGAAAGATGCAATGCTTTGCTCAAGAGAAGACCCGGGAGAGCCGCGTGCACGGTTGGTGTCCGTAGTTGCCGACTTGGCGACTTGCCTTGTGGAGAGGTGGATGAGCTTGGAAATTGTTGGTTGCATTGCATTTTGGAGAGCTAGGGAGGGTATCAGGTATTGCTGTGTATGATCGTACTACGTAGTATGCCGGGTTAGATTCTTGGAGAGGTTGGTACAGTAACAAACACAGGTTATGAGCCGTCATTTACCGGCCTTGTCTATCGGAAGTCGGCGCTTGTCGTCTTGATCCCTTGAAGATCAACAGCTTCAGAACTGGCGTATAATCCACACAATTCAATGCTAAAGAGTATCAATCTCTTCATGCACAATCATGCATAAAACGTCGGCATTTAGCAAATTAAGCTATCTTGTGAAGCATCGGACCATGGTAATGGAGTGAACAATTGAAGTGGGTGTGAACGAGTACGTAGGCAACTGCGCAAATTTCATGGAACCTGACCAGTCTAATCCATCAGCTCATCAAAAATATAAAGAACCAGTCCTTGAAATCTTGCTCTCTTTGGGCAAGGTGCGTCGTCACATCCAGGGGCATCCAACGCCGGCACATGTCGGGGACACACACCAAGATCGAACCACTACCAAACTTGAGCGCTTGAAAGACCTGGAATCAGCTCTCATGACATCAATAGAGGATCTCTAATGTTACTCTGAGATGTAAACTGCATACAACGTTGGCTACGCCGTTGAAATGCATTGCTTCTCGCACACCCCTCTTGATCACAAGCAAGTCTCTGGCACAGGATCTACATGCACACGGAGATTGAGAAAGGCTAGACTGGTTCCTGCAGGATTCACTTGCCGAGGTAGTAGTATGCTGTTCCTGAGCATATGATGATGGTCGTTTCCACAAGCATGTTTGCTGTGCCTGAAAGTTGGCACACCTTTTCGTTGATGACTTCAAACTCAGCCCTTTGACATTAATCCGAAACACGAGATGTCAAAGCAACTTTCATTCAATCTTGTGAAGATTTTGAGAGAAGAGCGAACTATGGAAAACTCAGGTGTCGATCCAACTTGATGGCTTGTGATGCTTGGCCCCGAAACAAGCCGGTCAGTCACCGGAAGGACAAGACGCAGTTACGACAGTTGAGGCGTTGGTACTATTTTCGAACGCAGTCTTGGCAGACTCTCCGTTACAAACTCTCCTTTACAAGATTGAACACGGGGGAGGCACAATACCTCAACCCGAAAACGCGCTTCCAAGCTATCCCCCAACATGGCCGACCCAAGGAATGCCCACTCTGAAGCAATCTGTCGCTCAACACTGACTACAAACCACATAACCAACTAATCCCATCCCTTATAATCAGGAAAATACTTTTCATGTATCCTCCTCGCATACTCAAGAAGAGCCGGATACTGCCTCACGACCTTTCCACTCGTCGGTGAACTAAAGCATCAATTAGCAAAACTTGTCAACAACATCAGAAGCCAGACTTACGCATCACACGTCAAAGCCGAAGCGATAAAAGCAAAAAGCGTCGCATCAACTTCCGTAGGCTCTTCACCCCCAAGAGCCCAAAACGGCCCATCCCGACTCGCACTCGTTCTCGCCTCGGATATAAGAGCATCGATGCTCTCCCAAACCTCCTCCCTCAGAGTCGCGACTTCGTCATCCATGAAACGTCCTGTACCTTGCCCCCAGAGCACCTTGGTGACATTCCGATGTACGAGAAGACCAACAAGAACCTGAAGGGGCCACGGGATAGGAGCCAGAGCGTTGGACCTCATGGTATAGTAATTATCACACCACCTCTCCCGCGTTCCATAAAACGACACCTTATCCTCAACAAGAGCTCTAAAAGCAAGATCAGTCGCCTTCTTCGCAGGCGAAAGCTTGGCATTTAGATCCTCCACGATGCCATCCTCGATAAAGCGCTTGATGATAAAGGTCGAGTCACCTAGACGCTCTTGTGTGTCGAGCTCGATGTAGGGAATCTTTCCCCGTGGTCCAGTCTTTGGTGAACCTCCGCCGACTTTATATGGGATTCCGGCGAAACGTAGACGTGTTTCGAGCTTGATGACAAAGGGAGACCATGTAAATGTTCCTGGTTCTCCGAAGCCGCGGAAGAGGGTGATCTGGGGGATGTTCTTGGATGCCATTTTGCGTAATGACATAGTTTATTTGCAATTCTTGCTATTAGAACTCATACCAGTATTTCCACTTGATTTGTTCACGACTTATATATCATCTTTCCCGGTGTTTTCATCGTGACTCGCGCCGTCTCGCGGCTCCGTCGCTGGCCGGACTTTGACTCGGAGTCCGGACCCACACCGGGCGCGAGCCGCGAGAACGGCAAGACGAAAAGGCCGGGACGGTGCTTGGCACGGCCGTCTATGTACCAGACTGTCCCAATCGATCAAACATCATGTTACCTTTGATACTGAAGCCATAATCAAGGCTGCAGTGTGTACACGCCCGGATAGACTTGCCGTGCTTGTGGACAGAATTGCCCAGAATGGAAGTCCGCCGGCCCCACACACCGGCTCTATCTTGGCGAGCTGCCACGGAGCAGCCCTTTTGCGATGGTGCAAAGCTGAGTTGGAGGAACTGCATTAGTTTCATTCGTCCCTAGCTATTCCTGTCGCTTTGCTGATCATGGGTCAGATATAGCTCCGGAGAGAAACACGTTGTGTAAACCGACCATGTCTCATCATGAGATTCTACCCTGAAAAGCTCAATACTCTTGAGATGATTAAAACTTGATCAAACGTTGTAGAATCTCGTGAGATGACTAAAACCCTTCGCCTGGACCTTCTTCACTACCCTCTGTCGTCCCTTTTCTCGGCCAAATCCACCCTAGGTCTGCCACAGTAGCCAATCGTGGCGTCGAGAAGCCCGCTCAATTCGCCCGGAGGCTCCAGGGACGGCGAGAAGCCCGTGGGGTCTGTCCCCGCCCCATGACGGAATTACCGCATGGAGGGGCATTGACGACGATGGCATGAGGGGATGGTGAATGATACAATTACTCAGCTCTGAGGCGTTGACTGACAAGATTGGAGTATATAGACGCGTCGTTGGCACTTAAATCTTGTCTTCAGCATTGCAATCTGTTTCGGTTTAAAGATAGCAAAAATGAGCGGAAAGACTTACAACGTGGGTATCATTGGATACGGGTAAGCTCACCAAGCCATCTCATGAACGTCAACTGACAACAACAGCGCCTCTGCCAAAACCTTTCACATCCCCTTTCTCACACAAACACCCCAGCTTAAGCTGTACAGCATCGTTCAGCGATCGCCTAAGGACGGAAACTCAGCACCACACGACTACCCTGACATCAAGCACTATACCGACTACAAGCAGCTGCTTGCTGATCCTGCAGTCGACCTAGTCGTTGTCAGCACACCTCCTGGAAACCACTTTGAGCTCACCAAGGCTGCTCTTGAGGCTGGAAAGCATGTCTTGACTGAGAAGCCCTTCGTGCCCACCTCCACTGAGGCTGATCAGCTTATTGACATTGCCAAGAAGAATGGCAAGCTTCTTATCGTGTACCAGAACCGACGATGGGACAACGACTTTGTCACCGTCAAGAAGCTCATCTCTGAGGGAACCATTGGAAGAATTGTTCAGTTCGACACTCACTTCGACCGATATCGCCCTACTCCCTCCAACAACTGGAAGCTCGACCTTACCATCGCCCAGGGCGGCAGTGCCCTCTTTGACCTTGGCACCCATCTTATCGACCAAGCCTACCACCTGTTCGGCAAGCCCCAGGCTGTTCACGGCCGTCTCCTCAATCAGCGCAGCGGCAAGTTTGACTTTGAGAACCCTGACGGTGTCTCTGCCGAGCTCACCTACCCGGACGGCCTCCTAGTCAACATCCGCATCAGCGTCATGAGCGCCGAAGCCGACCAGCCCCGATTCTGGGTCCGCGGTACAAAGGGTAGTTTCCGCAAGTTTGGCCTCGACACCCAAGAGGAGCAGCTCCAGTCTGGCAAGAAGGCAACCGACGCCGACTTTGGCAAGGATGACCCTAAGCACCTGAAGCTGGTGTTGGTGGGCGATGACGGTGTCCCCAAGGAGCAGCCTGCTCCCATCTTGGAGCCTGTCACGTACAAGGCCTTTTATGCGCAGTTGGCCAAGGCTATTGAGAGTGGACGGGAGGAGGATGTGCCGGTCAGTGCGACTGATGCTAGGGATGTTTTGCAGTTGATTGAGGCTGTTTTCGAGAGTGCCAAGACGGGCAAGGATATCACTTTTGCTTATTTTAGCCGGGATATTGATGAGTTTGATGAATAAAAATTGAAGTTATACCCAACCTTGGAGATTGAGCGAGGGGTGAAGGTGGGGGTGTTGAGTGAAGGTGAGGGTGATGGGTCAAGTGGAGGGAACAACTGCCACCTCCCCTTGTTACCTGCCTCATGAAGTCTCTTAACAACGGCAAGTGCCTTATCTAATTCCCCTTACCTAACATGGAAAGCTCTCACCGAGAACTTGAAATAGCTCGGCAACTCAACATGTGCATTCTTCCATCTCGTCAGTGCTGATGGCGCACTCAGATCCGTCATCACCAGGCATCACCAGGCATCACCACTCAAGCACCATTATCCCGTCAGGCTCTCATTTTGGAGAGATTCATGTTCCATCTTTTGATTAACAACGTTCACTTTGACCTCATCTGCAGCCTCCTCCTCAGTCTTACCGAGCCGACACCCCTCCCTGATGGCCTTCCGATTATACACTGGCCGAAACTCGACCAGATACTCAAGACCGCCATCGAGCGTATCCAGTCCCCTTTCCGATATACGCAAGTCATTCGAAAGAATCTTCTCGGAGAAGGATGCGACTCCTGCCCCTCCCTCAATAGACGGGACCACTGGCCGATACCGAGAGCCAGACCAGGAGGTAGATCTCGAAGCCGCGGACCCGAGTATCAGATCACGAAATGAAAAACGAAGCTAGTGGCGACTCATTCAATGGCTCACCCAAATGGGAAACCCAACGATATATTTGGAGCACGTTTTTCGCCGGGTTCCCGGGCCGCGGGAGGAGATACTCATCGAGAAGAAGATGAGCAACCCATGGTCATGCCGCCACATCAACTACAATGTTCGTAATACATCAAACTTCAGAAGGTGGTGTCGATGCTTCCTCTTGATGACCGGATGGTGCATATTTGTTGGACTCTTGCGCGATCGACTAGCCTTCATCTGTGGACCTACTGCAACGACAATTGAGGAGATGACGGCGGCAAGATTCATTCCTCCACAGCAGATATTTCGTCCCAACGTTGTCATCTTCCTTGAAGCCGTGGCAGCGGCCGGTGGCGCCTGGGCTTTAACCCAAGGCATCACGAGGTTGGTTTCCCCAGGTACAGGGGAAAACGCGACTGACCATTCCCAGTTCAAGATCGTCTCGAGAGAAGATGGAGGGAATTGCACATGCATCAACAACAGTAGCGGGCATGATTCTCAAAGGCGCCAAATCTGGTGATAAAAAGCGAGCGAAACTGCAACTCCACGTCTTGTGAGTTTCTGTGCTATGTCGATGGCTTACTAGTTCTGATGTGTTACAGCAACTGCCTTGCCTTGATCACCGCCTATCCTGTATGTGTCTTGCATCGATTATGCGGCAATACCCTTGACCCTTGCGTGGTAGCGCGGTGCAACCGGGCTGCAAAAAGACTTCAACGGTTGCGCCCAATCGAAAAGGACGACCCTGAGACTGAGAGTACGATTAGCACCTCGAGTGTTACCTTTCAAGAGTACACAAGAAACGAGAAGAAACACTTCTTTGAGATGCTATCCCTTCAACTGGAACGGGAGTTTCGAACCTCTTTTTCACAACCCAAGCTACCGTCAATGGCGTCCCACCGAGTCTTGTTCAATCTCCGTAACCACATAGATGACCTCTCCGATTCATTCGACCTAGGGGCGGTTAGACCGCCAATCCTCCGTAAGTTTCTCTATGCTAGGCATGGTCAACTCTCTAACAAGGACAGGTGAAAACGCCGACATAATGGGCGGGGCTGGGCGAGAAAGCTCCGCCTATGCTTACAGAGATCATACAACTCCCACTGTCCTTCTCTGGGCCATCGACATCGCAACGCGTGTCCTATGCATTGGTCTTCCCCTTCAGACATGTACCGTGTTATCCTGGTCCATGATGGGCAGGGTAGTCTTTGAGATCACGGGAATCTCACTCATCGCCGCTACGGCTTTGACGATCCTCAGCGAGATCTGGCGTCTATGGGACCCCTACTCAAGAGGCATCAATATGTACTCATGGACACTTGGCGTCGCAAGGGAGATTGACGCCATGCTCAACGATGTCTATGACAGTGATATAGATAAGAACAGGGGATTGCCTTTGAGGAAACACGGGTATAACAATGATAGGAACACGTCGATTAACAGTCCTTTGAGGGAACACGGGTATGATGAAGGGGATAAACCTGGGTGTGGTGGGAGGGAGAAACATGGGGATGATGAAAAAGAGATGGTGATTTATAGTCCTTTGTGGTCTTTGGCGTCTTCGTCGTGTTGCAGCAAGGAAATAAGTTGTGAGGCCACCAGGGAGTCGAGTTGCCGAAGGGCGTCCATATAGGGGCAGAGCAGAGAATAAAATCATGGCCTATGACAGATACTGAAGTAAATAGTGACAAAAGGCATTGGATACACAGGGCATGTACTATGACAGAAATCATTAGATTCACTGCTACTAAATAGCTAAGGTATCCTAGGTAAACAATGCCCATCCAACCGCCCATGACCGAATATATATATAAAAAAATACAAGCCTGTGATGCAAGCTCATCTATCAACCCTTTGTATCCTATCGATGCATTCCTCAGGATGCTGGAAAACAACAGACTCCGACTTTTTCGTTTTCTTATATGCAAGAATCAAATGTACAAGAAATGTGTCTCTTAAATGGCGAGAACAAGGCCGGCGAATACTGCGGCAAATGCAGCAACGGCACTGCTGCCCACGTTCCTCACGCCGAAACTCTCAATGTTGATGCGATCGCTGATGAACGAGGGCCAGTAGTCAGCGGCAGGTGACTCGTCGAGGGTGCCGTTCCAGCAGTAGTTCTGGAAGCATTCCCTGCACTTGTCAGGGAGAGCCGTGTTTGTGCGGTCAAAGCTGCGGGCGAGCATGGCGCAGCCTACGCAGACAGGCCAGTCTGGATCGCGGGTGGCGTTGAGCATTGTTGCAGCCGCATAGCCGTTCTCGATGATGGCGGAGAGCTCAGATGTGTTGACGGTGGTTTGGAAGGTGGAGATGTTGGAGGCGTAGACGTAGGGGTAGTTGGGGATGTAGACGATCAGGGGTGACGGCTCAGACGTGTTGGAGGCGTTGCAACCAAAGAATGTAGGCCGCGTGTTGAGGCCTAGGTTTAGGAAAGTGTCGCGGCCGGGGACGACGGGGAACGAGGATCCCTTGGAGATGTCGACGAGGGATCGCTCGTACGTCTTGATGGGCGATGCGCCATCGGGCCAGCCCGATTCGGTGTCGGCAGACGAATCGAACGAGAAGACGACGTCGACCTCGCGCTCGATACGGATGTGGGGGTAGTAGGGGACGTTTTGGAGATCTTCGCCGCCGTCGACGAGGGTTAGGCGGTCAGAGTCAACGCTGAGGTTCTCGAGCTTGTTCCAGCCCTTGAAGGGGTTGGGCGTCCAGTCTGCAATATCGTTGTTGTCGTCGCCGATGGACTCGAGGAGGGCGGAGACGGCGTCGATGGCTACATCGGGTACATCGTCGGGGACGTAAGGGCTGTCGGTCTCGTTGAGGTAGATGACGATGGCGTTGAACAAACTACTCGATGTTCCCATTACGAAACCAGCATTGTCGAAACCACGAATGCACGCCTTATCCTTGGGCAGCTTGCCGCCGCTAAACTCGGAACCGACGTACTTGAGCGGTACGAAACCATTGAGCGTCGGGTCAAAGGAGCCGAGCTCCCAGGGTGTAAACTCAAAGACTGTCGAGTTGAGCGAGACGATGGTCTCATCCGGGTCGCGGCCGTCGGCGATGAGGATAGGCATTGGCGCCTTGCCCTCGGAAAAGAGCGTGTCGTCGGCGAGGGAGGACCAGGTGTACCCAGGACCTCCGTTTGTGGCGTTGATAAGCTGGTACGAAAGCATGCGACCCCAGTAATCCGTCATGGAGCGCTCATACCCAGCATCCTTCTTATCCGAGACCTCGTCGAGGATATTGTTGTAATACTGCAGAAGAGCATAGTTGTTGGGACCCTCAAGGATTGAATTCTCCAGCTGCCAGATGCCTGGGTAGTTGACGCTCTCCTGCACAGAGGTAAAGTTGTTCATCATCAAGCTGCCAACCAACCATCCACCACCCGACAAACCAGAAAGGTACGTCGCACTCTGGAGAAGACCACCGAGGTTACCGTCCCTGTCGCTGCCGTCTGAGCGATCATCCCACGCAGCCAGGGCGCCGGCGCCGCACAGCATAGCACGGTAACCACCTCCCGAAACAGCGATACCAATATTAGGCAGAGCCGTAGAGTTATTCTCAACATCTTTAAGGTACTCGTCGCTGTCGAAGCCAGGAATGGATACACGCTTCAGGAGGGTTCGGATGTACGGGATCGTCTCGTTGCGTCGCTTGGGAAGCCACTCGCGTTCCTGGTCGGAGATACGGGTGCCATTTCGAATCGTGGGTCGCTCGCTGGGACAGGTGACTTCGGTGGGAACGTAGCCATTTGGGGCTTGAGGTGATCCTCGTCTCGAGAGGGAGACGGACTGTGAGAGGAGGTCCGAGTTGGAGATGGCGACGACCGAGTCTTCGGCTGTGGGTTATGTTAGGAATGGGAGTTGAGAAAGCGCAAGGTCGCTATGCACCAGCTGCGCTATAGGTATAGCTTCTAGGTAGCAGAGCGCATTGAGGCGACGCAGACGTAGAGAGGATGCTTACGCGCAGGTCTCGCGGCGACCGGAGTCAAGGCTGTAGCAGCAGCCAACAATAGCGTGAGGCTATTGGAAAGGGAGGCCATGCTTGTGGCCCACCAGGGAGTAAAAGCGTAATAAAGAAACAGAAGAGAAAATAAAGTTAAAAAGAGCTTTCCAAAAAGGTTAAACAATAAAAAGAGGCGAGATTCCTCTGTCTCTCTTCTCAGTCGATAATTGCTTCGTATTCTTATGCGACGCGCAGATGGATCCCTTCCAAGGGTTAAAAAAAAATAAGGAGATGGTGGAACAATGTGGAGAGGGAGAAGTGAAAAAATAAAGAACCCAAGACTCTAAAACAACAGCTTCAAAAAGTACAATAAAAGGAAGGGAAAGAATCCGGGTGGTATTCCAAAGAGGGAGAGGAAGAGTTGAAGGAGGGAGGTTTGGAGCGTGGATGGAGACTGAAGATGGATGATCCAGGTCGAGTTTAATTAGTATCGCCCTTCAATTTTGCGCGGGGGCAGCGATAGGATCTTTCAAACACAGTAGAAAAAAAGTTGAAAATGGTGCATGTCAATGTCAATTCCCCGTGGGCTTCTTGAATTATTTCTCTTCTACAAAACACCGACACAAGTCCCGTTCCCCATTCTCTTGCGCCTCTGCCAAGTGTCAGCCCAGCCGTGCCCAGCCCCCGTCATCAATCCGAAGCGGGCACCTATGATTCTTCTTCTGCGAGTTCCATCCGCGAGTCGCAAAGTAACTTGGTATACCTACAGTTGAAGTTTCTACATTCTAGTACGACAAGGACACTCTGTTTGTGTATACACTGCACAACATGATCCCCTCTACAGATACAATTCCCCATCAACCTGTTATCACCACCCGGCCCGCCCGAAACAACGCCAAGTCCTTGGTGGTGAGAAGTGAGCTTACGGTGCACCACCTTATGGATTGCATCTTACGGCGGGGCTTAGCGTGGTATTTCCCTCTCTCCCCTGGCGCGCGGCCACTAAGAGAATGGACCCCGAAAGATTCAAAGTTTGAAGGGACCGGAATTCGGATTGGATCCATGCTTGTGCATTGATTCCATTTACGATGTTGTTACCCACGTGCAGCTCACATATCTAGGTTATGACTACAGACGTTCATATCTAAGCAGTGAGATCTTTCCTTCTATACGCTTATTCGCATCACCAAAACCGAGATTAAAAGGAACGTGCCTCATCCAACTCCGAAACCCAGCCAAGCACTTGACAGAAACCACCTCATCCTTGGCGATATGGAGCCTGCCAAGACGGATTGGCGGCTGCTTCGTACTCTCCTCTCTCTGTAAGACTCGTCTAGATAGCTTTTGCTCTGTTGGCAGAGAGCACCGCCATCTTTGTCAGCCCGCAGCTCGCATTCTTCGGGCACCCGAACAAAAATGCCCCTAGTTGCCGTCACAACCTATTTTTGAGCCAGGCACTGGAATCATCAATAATCACTCGGCCGATCGGGAGGCTGTGAATGGTCTCGTCGTATTCTATCCGCGTATCAGAGTCTGTATTCAAGCCATGCGCTCTCGTCAACAGCCCACGAATATCTCTCCACTTGACTCAGCGGGAGGCTCGGCATACATAACGACACCGCTTATTTCACACTCTTGTGTTCGCCGAATGTGCCTATTGCCAAGTCTTTTTTTTCAGGTGTTTCCAAGCGACATTATCATCAATCCGATGCGTCTTCATCTTGTGCCACGGATTGGCCAAAAAAGGGGTATCAAACAAGAAAGAAGTAGTCTACACATACGAGTATACGTATAACCGCTGTATCATCGGCGTATCATCACCCATCAACCATCAAACTCATCCCCTGCTGGCTCCCTCCCAAAGGGATGGTTAAACTTGAGCAGACCCGTCAGTCCGCCCACCCACGGATCATCGTCCTCGGTGCGGATCACGCACGGAACGCCCCCGTGCCACTCCTCCCCGGGTCCCGCGCGCCCCACGAACTCGCCCTCGACCCGGATCTCGGTCCCGGGAGACACTCCCACGCACCGTTTCCCGTCAATGCTGAGGTCGAGTTCGCGACCGCGGTTCTTGGGGCTCATACGCAGGTTGACCTTTGTGTCGAGCGGTAGCACCAGCGACCGGAAGCTCAGGCTACACGGGCTGATGGGCGTGATGAGGAGAGACTTGACTAGAGGGTGTACGATGGGACCACCAGCGCTGAGGCTGTATGCTGTTGAACCCGTCGGTGTGCTGATTAGAATTCCATCAGCTGTCGTCTCAGTGAGAAAGTGCCCGTTCTGGTAAATGTCAATGACAGCCAGGTGTGGATGAGATCCTCGGTGCACTGAAATCTCGTTGATGGCCCTCAACGACGGTGAAGGCTCCTTGGATCCCGCAATCGGCTTCGCCCCTGACTCAGCATCGCTGGATAACGTATCAGACAACCAGTGGTTGATGTTGTTACCAGATGGATCGTACACATCAGCCTTGATGCGGTGTCGAAGCAGCACCTTGGATGCCCTCTGAGAACCCAAGCTTTTGCCCTTGTGCCTCTCCCATCCAGCGTAGGACCCTGTACTCGTCTTATCCCAAGCCCCTCGAGGATAAGCGGCGTCCCTCATAGCGACGTCACTCCCACTCATGTACATCTCCCTCCACGCCTTTTTGTGCTCGCCAAAATCCCACTCGCCCAGAAAGCCCAGTGTACCCATGCTGAACGACAAAATCGGGGGCACCGATCCGTGCAGCTTGTACAGACTCGCAGCTCGCAGGACAGTACCGTCACCGCCAAAGGTTGCAATGACGTCAATCTTGTCGGCCATATTGGAGCGGTTATCCGAAGAGTATATGGGGAAACGGAGACGCTCCTTCAACGAGTCGGCGATGCGTGGCTCAAAGACGAGGTTGACTTCAGGGTACTCATTGTGGATGTACTTGGAGAACTTGACGACGGCTTCGACGACGGGGGCTGAGTAGAGCTTATGGATCAGGAGTAGGTTTTGCGGTGGCTTTGGCCAGTTTAATGATAGCAGCGACGAGCCAGGCTTTGTACTCTGCAAATATCGGGGACTGATTCGTTGTGGAAGCTCTGCGATGCTGCGAATCTCGGGTGTTTGAAGGGAGGGCGTGGTGGACAGAGAACGGCACGAGGGGAACCGAGTGAATGGCCGGACAGGTAGAGTTACTGCTCGTGGATACAAGGTAGGCTCAAGAGCCACCAAGCCCCTGATGAGGGTCCTATTAAACATGTTGTAGCTCAAGAGGCATGACCGATGTCTCGTGAAAAGATAAGGGTCTGCAAGACAGAATAAATTTGTGAAAGAATGACGCCGAAGACGGGCACAGCTTAGCTCGAACCACAGCGGCTTTGCAACGGCTTTACACATGAGGGCAGAAAATGATGAAGCTTGTGGTGGGCTGTTTTCTCACCGCCTACCTGTTTTGGAGAGGAAGCTCAGTGTGGGGAAGCTCGCACATGGAGATCTGCATTAAGCTTTGACAGAGAAACAAAGAATATCATGTTAACAGCAAGTGTTTGGACAAAGTTTGTACCTCTGCAGCAAGCATGGATCACCTGGAGTCTTCACCTGATCTTTATGAGCCCATCTGGTCAAGTCCCCATCTCCAGGGTAGCTTTGACAGCTCCAGATCTGGCATGTCGGCACCGAGACACATGATATCGAAACCCTCTGATTGGCCCATCGGCGTCGGCACTCCCAACCACCGGACCTCCGTCTCAGGCGTCATACCCTCCGCCCCCGAGGCATCCGCTAGGCGGCTGATGTCACTCGCACAGGCAGCTAGGGAAGCCTTAGCAGGACCTGGCCATCATGTGCGCAATGTCTCGCAGCCTTGTCCCTCTCCATCTCCAGCTTCATCTCTGACTTTCCCAGTGGTTAGACCGCTCTCTTTCACTTCCGCTTGATAAAGCTGCCACGAGGCTGGACTCTGGTGGCGGCCTCTTTTAACCTCGTGTGCGTCCCACGCGACCCCTCGTCTTGTTCTGTTTGGCTGCAGCTCAAGGCAGGCAACTCTCTTTGTTGAGCTGGACGATATATTAGCTTGAGACCGCCATTTCGTTCGCTTCAACAGCGTCCTTTTATCACTACCAGTACCTAGCACCGAGCAACATACACGACGCTCATCCACCGTCATGGCCGATCTCAAGAACGCCGACCCCTCCGAGGCCTCTCTCCCCGGTCCGGACCTCACTGCGGGGCTGACCGAGAAGCCCAATGTCGCGCCAAAGGTTGCTCATCCGTCAGGGAGGGAAGGATACGGAACCCTGATGCAGATCCTCCGCGGCGCCTTGTTCAGCTTTTATTTTATGACATGCTGCATCATGTAGGCCACACAATATCCGTCTTATAGTCTTATCTAACCCTTACAGCATCCACATTACCCAGTTCATCGGGGCGCCGCTGTACTTCTTCAACCGCGACTGGTACTACGCATACATGGCCATGACGAAGCGGTCCTTTTGTCTCACCACAACTGTCATGACCCAGATCTGGGGTCCTACAACTATTCGAATCAGCGGTGACGAGTCGGTTGCGGGCCAGATCAAGCTGCGACCTGATGGAGGAGTGCAGTTTGAGTTTCCCGAGCGCTTGGTCTTGATTGCCAACCACCAGGTAGGAACCTCGGGTTATGTGGAGGGTGTCGACTAACCGGTTGTAGATTTACACTGACTGGTTGTACCTCTGGTGGGTGGGATATGCCAACTCGCCTGGGATGCATGGTCACATCTACATCATCCTCAAAGAGTCTCTCAAGATGATTCCTCTGATCGGATGGGGAATGATGTTTTACGGATTCATCTTCATGTCAAGAAAGATGGCAACCGACCAACCCCGACTGGCCTATCGTCTGAGCAAACTCAAGCAGCGCAAGGTGGACCCAAATGGAAAGTCTTATATGGATCCCATGTGGTTGCTGTTGTTTCCTGAAGGGACAAACCTGTCAAGGAATGGAAGAAGAAAGTCGGCTGGTTGGGCTGCCAAGAATGACCTCAAGGACCCTGATCATGTCATGCTTCCACGGAGTACGGGCATGTTTTTCTGTCTGAACGAACTCAAGGGCACGATGGACTACGTCTACGACTGCACAGTCGCGTATGAGGGAATCCCGTAAGTTTTGAACCTTGTTGCACAGCGTTAGCCTCGTCGACTGACTGACGATTATAGCCGAGATGGATATGGAGAGGAGTTGTTTGGCCTGTCTAGCACTTACTTCCAAGGTCGACCCCCAAAGTCGGTCAACTTTCACTGGCGTCGTTTCCGCATGGCCGACATCCCCCTGGACGACCAGAAGGAGTTTGACCTGTGGCTGCGAGAGCAGTGGTATCAGAAGGATGCCTTGATGGAGCAGTACATGACGACCGGCCGGTTCCCGCGCATGGCTGGGAGCAAGGTTGACTATATCGAGACCGAGATCAAGACGCGACAGCCTTGGGAGATTCTTCAGATCTTTGCCGTGGTAGGCACGGCTGGGCTAATCTGGCACAACATCAAGAAGACATTTGTGACGGCGACGTCGATGTTTCGGTGAGGCGTATTCGCGAGCGAGTGGGTTGATGCCGCACTTCAGGGGTTGTCTTTGCTTTTGCGTCGACTTGGGGATACGTTGGCTTGAGGATACACAGTAAGAGGGGGACGACGGGACACACTTGACGACTTGCACGATTCTTGGGTTCAGACCCCTTTGGTTCTTTCGGTTCTGGTTCGGTTTGTTTTCTAGCATTTGGAGGAGATACCGAGGCGTACACAGGACAAGATGGGTTGGCACGGAGCATCAAGGAAAGATGGGTGAGGTGGGAGAGTATGGATTCGGTCAGTGTCCGAAGGCAAAGGACAACTCATGACCCGTAGAGGAGGTGAAAGAGGAGGGCGGAACCTCCCGAGTGAGAGAACTCACAGCGTTTCTGCAATGGACAAATTTCCTCTCTCATGACCTGGCCAAGAATCACAGGCCACAGGAGTGACAGGCGGTCTTGATGCAACTCGACGGGGTAGACTATGACGCGCCAGGAAACCAGCTCCGAAGATGATGCATACATACACCTTGATGCATACGAAATCTGGAGCCGAGAAGAACGTTGAAGTGGTCTCGCTCCGGGTGAGAACAACCATATCCACTAGCGTTGCCGCCGATCCTGGGGGTGGACACAATAATCTGGGGAGGGGGCCGCCTAGACCAAGATTCTAATCTGCACTTTAGTTGGATCAATGTCTGTTTCTGTACAGAGCCTCGGCATCCAAGGTGCTTCTATGAGCCGTCATTGGTCGACATGGCTGCTGTTCGGGAGATGCTGCGGGGGAAGAGAGTGTGTGTCTGTGCGGGAAGGGGGGGAAACTGGGGAGGGGGGGAAAGATTGCTTTCGGTCATGATGTGTTTGATTTTGGGTTCTGATGGTGGTGTAGTGGCGGCTTTGCCAATGATATTGGATTTGCTTGGCTGTTGGATAATTGGTTCCTGCTGAGCCTCTGACCATTCCTGCTGTGGCTCTATAATTTAACGAAAAATACCCAATATGAGCATCTCTTGGACGAGACACAGCAGCTTGGCTTCTTATGCAGCGGCGTTTTCCCACGCAATAAAGGACCTCGACGCTCGCTTCGGACTACAGGCTGCGTAACCCGGGCGATTGGGTATAGTTTCACGATTTGACGGGGGGCCCAAGTGAGAAGGAAAAGCATGGGGCAGGGCATACCCTCCACAGCCAAGAAATCAATACGCAAGCCACGCTGAACAAGGAACATGGGGTTAAGGCCTTCCTGTCAAGCAAAAGGGTGATATCCCCAGAAAAACCTGGGGTCGGGTGATGGAGAGAAAGAAAAGGCAAACACCCCTCCATCGCGTCTCGCTCCTGATCGGGCAGTACTCCGGCGTCGCCAAGCGGAGCTCTGCCTCCATCTACCCCGCAAAGTCGGACGACGAACGACCCCGGATCGTCGGTGGAGAATGAGAGAGAGTCCGTCCACGGCAGATCTTGCGGGGGAGAGGGAGGAAGAACAAGGTCTGGGGTGAAATCTGAGTATCGGGGACAAGATATCCGAGGCATCTTGGGTCCTTGTCTCGAGGTTGATTGGGCTGTCGGGCCAGTTGTGGATTTGAGATATTCCCCGGGGAGGATATAAAGGAAGTGATGGGACGATCAAATTTGGGGGAGTTTGTTCAAAGCAAGAAAGTAGGCCCAGCTTCCTGGTACGACCTTTCCTCACCTTCTTCTTTTCTCTTGAAGGGCCTCTGTGTCACTTGGGGCTTTTCTTGTACCGCCGATCACCAAAACCAACCCCCCTTGCATTCTCCTTTTAACTTGTCCTACCAATCTCCCGGAGAGTGTGTTATAAACACTGTCTTTCTTCCCTCCTCCTCTTTCTTTGAGACTTTCCATATCTCTTTACAATCATGGAAAAGACAAACGCTACCGACGACCATGTCGCGCTCGAGGCGCAGGCAGAGTACAAGCACCTCGACCAGGCTCCGAGCAAGATCAGTTCCGAGCAGGATCAGGATCATGGCTTTACTCCTGAAGAGCAGAGGAGCATCATACGGCGTATTGATCGTCGTCTTGTTATTACCGTGGGAGCCATGTACTGCGTTTCTCTCATGGATCGAACCAACATGAGCGCCGCCAACATTGCTGGTATGAGTGTTGAGCTGAACCTCATTGGCTTTCGATACGCAAGTGAACCCTTCACTCATCGAAAGAGACGCGTCGTTAACAGAGTGTTAGAACATTTGCAACCTCGTCTTCTTCATCCCCTACATCCTCTTCCAACCTCCCTCCACGATCCTCATCCGCAAAGTCGGCCCGCGCATTCATCTAGCCCTCATCACAATGTTCTGGGGAGCCGTCATGATCGGCATGGGTTTCGTCAAGAAGTTTCCTCAGCTTGCTGCTCTCAGAGCGGTTCTTGGTTTATTCGAGGCTGGCTTCTTCCCTAGCTGTGTTTATCTCCTGAGCACATGGTACACACGATGTAAGCGATGCTCCTGAAAATGCACACGTCAGTAATTAATGTGTTTTATAGATGAGGTTGGAAAGCGATACTCCGTCTTTTACCTTCTCGGTTGTGTTGCTTCTGCCTTTTCCGGTATTCTCGCCTACGGTGTAAGTCTTCACACTCCCATTTTCCAACTCTCACTCACACCATATAGCTCATGCAACTCAACGGTCGTGAGGGTCTCACGGGCTGGCGCTGGATCTTCATCATCGAAGGTGCCCTGACCGTTGCCCTGGGCATCGCCGGCTACTGGCTCCTCGTCGATTTCCCCGACTCGAAGCGAAAGTCTTGGTCCTTCCTCGGCCAGCGTGAGAGAGACTGGGTCGTCAGCCGTATCCATCGTGACCGTGGCGATACCAAGGTTCCCCCTTTCGAGATGGGCAAGTTCCTCGGTGGTGCCAAGGACTGGAAGGTTTGGGCTTATGCTCTCATCTTTTTTGATACCACCACCATCACCTATGCCCTTGCTTACACGCTCCCTATCATCCTCGTTGGCAACATGGGCTTCAGCGTTGGCGAGGCTCAGTGTCTCGTAGCTCCCCCCTACGCTTTCGCCGGTATCGTCATGTTCGCGACAGCCTGGGTCGGCGACAAGTACCACATCCGCGGTCCCATCATCATCTTCAACATGCTCCTCTGCCTCATCGGCCTTCCCATCATGGGCTGGGCTAGCAACGCCAACGTCCGCTACTTTGGCGTCTTCCTCGTCACTGCCGGTGCCAACAGCAACATCCCCGCGTCCATGTCATTCCAGGCCAACAACATCCGTGGTCAGTGGAAGCGCGCTCTCTGCAGCGCCACGCTCGTGGGTTTCGGCGGCGTCGGCGGTATCGCGGGTAGTCTCGTGTTCCGCGAGCAGGACAAGTTGACGGGGTACAAGCCGGGCATGTGGGCGTGCATCGCGTGCTCTCTGCTGTCCATCTGCCTGGTGCTTCTTTGTGATTTTGAGTTCAAGAGGGCCAACGGTAAGGCGGAGAGGGGTGAGAAGGTGCTCGAGGCTTATGATGTGAGTAACGCTCCTTATACACCACAAATCATGACTAACTCCTCTAGGACGACGCTTCGCCTGATTTCCGGTATACCTACTAAGTCATGATGCACGAGCAGGTGATGAGATGGGACTAACTGTCGATGTATCGGGTCCGAGGGATGGGTGACTTGGGAGGAATAGCCTCAAGTAATGCAGCAAATACAAATCTTGGTGCAATGTCGTCACAGCGCTCCGTTACGTCAGGAGATGATGCATCTCCCCTCGTCCCTCGAGTCATATCCTCGATAGCGTTACTCCTCGACAACGCCGTGCTCTTTGTCCATCCATGGCACATTGTGCGATCTCTCTTTTGCTCAGATGCTGGTCTCCTTTATGCTGAACAAAGGTACCCTTTTCACAAAGAACCCTTTTTTTTTTTCTCTCTGCTTCGCACAAATACTCAAAAACTGTTGTAGCCGCCCAACATGTTAACTATTTCCCGATAAAACAACTGTTCGAGAAGCATGGGCCATCCTGAATACGCCGTCCCAGTCTACCTGGGTATCCTTCTATTTCTGCTACTATTTTGGCTTACCGTACCTATTCTGTTCTTAACCCTCCTGTGGCTCAAGTTTCGTGTCGAGATGAGGAACTCTGAGTGGTTGGAAGATGGGTTGTTGCCTGAAGAGGATGAGGTACAGAGACAATATCACACTTTTGCCCAGGGATGGAAGGATGCTGGGTGAAGGGTGTGATGGTGACTGCCGTCTTCCGTGAGTGGCTTTATTTCCTTTCATCTATTTAGCATACTAACCAATGGGGACCAGGCATTATGAGGAAGCGTCTCGACTATCTTCGAACTGGGAACACTTTCACACCTTCTTCTGGGTGATAATTTGTAAGATCAAATACAGAGTACGTATACTTCGTCTATTTACATTGTCAACAGGACCATGGCAACACCCACAACAGCAGAAAACAGCGACACCTTGGAACTGCTGGCCGCATTCTCTCCGCTACCGCTACCTCCACTACCTCCGCTGCTTCCGGAACCCGACTCGGCCTCCTCCTCCTGGTCTTCCTCCTCAGAAGCGCTAGTCTCGTTCGTCGTCACCACACGCTCTTCCAGCTTGGCGTCCAGGGGGTTATACGCGTCGAGGTACTGAATGAGCACCTCATCCTGGCTATCCAGAGTAGCCAGGTTCTTGTTGGGTGTGGCAATAAAATTGTCACCGCCTCCAGCCAGGAAATCAAGCGTGACGACACGGTAGTCGGTCTCGTTCTCGAAAGCCTTGCCGTCGAGGGTGAGGCTGATGAGCTTGGAGCCATTGTTGTTCTCAGGGTTATACTCGATCTTGAGACCCTTGGAAACCTGGAACCACGAGGTGATGGGCTTCTTGTTGTTCAGGTTGAAGCGGGACACGGCGCCTTCAAATAGCTCCTCCAGCTCGGCTCCGGTAAAAGTGAGCTCGACGATGGCGTTGCCAAAGGGGAACGAGGTGAGGACTTCGCCACGGGTGATGTCGCCCTGGTCGATGGTGGCGCGGACACCACCGGCGTTGACAAAGGCAAGAGCAGGCTTATCATCCTCGCTGCGGCTCTGGTTAAGACGGTACTCGAGCATGGCGTCGGCCATGACCTGGCCGAGAAGGCAGTCTCCCTTCTGGCACTGGGTCTGGTCGAGCTCAGCCTTGGTATTACCAACCTTTTCAGCAGCAAACTCCTCAAACGGTCCACGCCAGGCCTTGACCTTCTTCTCAAAGTCCTCATCCACGTCGGTCTTGTTATCCATGTGAATGGGGCCTCCGTGGTAGGCAAGGGCCTTGCCGTCCTTGTCAAAGGTCAGATCAATGTAGCCGAGGTACTCGCCCCATCGGTACGCAGTCACGATAAAGACCTCGTCACCGTTGATGTTCTCAACAATGGTAGGGTACTTGCCCTCGGCGTTCTTCATCTCTCCAAGGGGAGT